TCTCGTTCCCATATATCCCTTATGGTTTATGGTGCTGACGCGGGGGCGGGCTTATTCAGGGACTTCAGGGTGCAAAAAGTTTCAGGTATTGTCAAAAGGAGATGCTTGGTGGGGCGTAACGCAGTTTCTTAACTATGAGTAAAGCATTAAATTTTATACAAGCAAAATTTGAAAATACCATATAAATATGAGGTTGCAACTAATATTGTGAATATAATCAAAAAAGGGTGAAACGTGGTGTTTTCTGAAAACTTAACAAGAAATTTGGATTTTTATGTTTGGGAAATACCTGCCATAAAAACATTATGCATGCTTATATTTTTTATTAATAAAACGAGATTGATTTCAATCCCACTCAAATTAAAAAGCTGAGGCCTATTAATTACTTTATTGTGAATTATTTTACATTCCGTTGCGTTTACATAAATTGGTTTAGTTAAAAATCACTGAAGGGCTTTAGGTTCACTATTAATAGTCTCGTAGATTTTCTCTCCCGCGGCAAATAAAGGTTAAATTATAAATGAAGTATCCAAAATTTGTGTACGTCTCTGAGTAAGAAATCTGTAATTTTGTTGTGCCTGAGCGAAGGTGGCAAAGCGCAGCTCATTCAACCCTTTGTATAATTTGTTGTTTGCGACCTATTTCTTGCTCCAAGGGGAGGTTGTGAGCGAGCCAGAAATGCAGTCTATGAGGCATATAGGCGCACACAAAGGAAACAATAAAAATAGCCCAAGGGTTCGTGCGCTGAGCGAAAAAGATCTTCCAGGAGAGGCAGTAAAAGGAAGAAAAATCTTTTTCGTCTCTCCTGCGGTCTGTGGAATCAGCTGATTGCTGCAAAAATCCATTTCTGTTTTTAATTATTTGCAATTGTTCTTAACGCAGCAAAATTATAAAACGTGCATCATTAAATTCTAAATAAATATTTTTACTTTGCCTGTTTTTCTCAAATTTTTCATAATATTTAAGTGTCATTAAAATTAAAAAATGTGGATATTTGATAAATTTTTGAAAAAAGTTTCTTTTACTATCCAGAGACGTTTATTCTAGAATGGTAAACGTTTTGTTTGTAAAATTCTGACCAGCAGTTTTCTTAATAACACGCTCAATAGTTTTCCATTTTTGACGCGTTTTTTTTCGCTTCGAATTTAATATTAAAAAAACAAAAAGGGTTATAAATTGCTCTGCAACAGAATTTTGTGCGCAAATATGTGCCACATATCTTGAATTTTTGAAACATTTTTTGGTACAAAAGAAAGTACAGTATTCAGCAAAATATGCTAATTTTTTAAGTTTTTTCTTAATAACTTGCTCGCGTTGACAACGAATTTTTTCAAAAAATTTGTAGAAGTAGATAGGGCAAAAATGAAAACATCCATAAAATTTGGAGCTCACTGCTTTAATGGGAGATGAGAAATCAGCAATTAATACATTTGTCACGCCCAATTCTAGCGGCGCGAAAAAGCAGCCGTACGCTTATAGCAGAGTGAAGCCGAGATTTTAGATCACTTGGAAGCGAGAATTCAAATTTTTATAACTTTGCTCCTAATTAAAATAAAATGTTCATTTTTGAAAAAGGGGTTCAATTTTCTTTTTACCATCAACTTTTGTATCAAAAGTTTTTAGGTAACTTTATCTGGAACCTACATAATTGAACTTTAAGATTTTATGCTAATCGAAAAAATTTGATAAAAATCGAAAAAAAGTGAATTTTAAAAGTATAACAAAGAGATTATTTAAAATTTATATGTAATAAATAGATTTAAATATTTACTCGATATTTCAAAAGAATATTCTCACATTCGCAAGATATTGCAAATTTATTGAATATTTTATAAATATTTATGGAGTTTTAACAATGTTATATTTATTTATTTGGCATTTTAAATGTTTGACAATTTAAATATTTTAAATTAGATAAATGACAAACGAATTGTAAAAAAATCAAAGTTTGAGAGCAATTAAAATTGTTTTAATTACGACTAAAAGCTAAATTGCACACCGCGCTAGATAATTGACCAATATGGAAGTTTTAAATTTGATTCTGCTCTGCGTGAGAATGAAGGTGCATTAATTTTTTAAATGAGAGCTCAACCGCATTTTATTTAATTAAAACAGAGAATTGAATCACAGGCTAAGAGAAAAATTCCTGTTTACACCTTGCAGGCCCATGTTAACTAAAGTGTTTCTTTCTCTCGCACAACCTGCAGAAGTTGTCAGCCAGAGCACTTTTTCAATGATTATTTGAGACAATGTTGATCAATCTGGGGGTTTTCAATAGAGAGATTGAAAGACCCCAGACGGCCGCGGGTGGCCCAGCTGACCGCCATCACCGGCCCCACGGCGCCTTGTTGTTCGCGAGCCAGGTATATGTGTTGCGCACTTGTCTTTTTGTTTTCTGGCTGTTTTTATGAGAAAATAATTTTATTTCCCAAGGTTGCACAGCTCAAATTGAGCGATTGAGACTTATTCTTATGAGAACTGATAAATGACTACAACCCATAAGAAATTTGAATATAAAAAGTATGTTTAAACAGCACTTTTTTGCACAAAAATGATAATCATTATATCATTATTAATTAAACTAAACGAGTTCTGTTTTTATTTAAATAGTTCATCATAGCTCACTGTAAATGAACTTTTAAACTTTATTATTTATTATTTTAAAATTATTGATATATCAATGTGACATAAAATAAAAGTTAAATCATTCCTGCAGAGGTTACTGCTGGGCAGTTTCAACCGTTGTGGTGAATCTGTCCGAGAAAATATACCTGATTGATTTAATTGTCAAGAGTTGAAACTCTCCAGAAGGTGAAACTGTCCAGCGGCAGTGTTGCCGCTTGTAAACGTGGAGAGTTTCAACGCAACGGTGGAAACTGTCCAGTACTGGAAAATAACAATTAGCAGCATTATTTACAAGTTGAAACTGCCCAGAAGGTGAAACTGTCCAGCGACAGCGGTGCCACTTCTAACCCTGGAGAGTTTCAACTCAATGGTGGAAACTGTCCAATATTGAAAGCAATAAAAAATATAAATAATTACATCATTGCAATCGATTATTTGTCCCTCTCAAAATATATTATATACGATTCCATTTCTCACTATTCTTGGTCATGCCCTCGCAATTCACTCCTCCCCATATAAGGGTGTGTTTTTTGTAAATCCTCCATCTTTTGGACGGTTTCAACCCCTGGACAGTTTCAACTCTGGACAGTTTCCACTCTCCCGCTCTTTGCCCTGATTTAGACCGCTGTGCTAACCCCTGCGTCTGTTTGTCCTCAAATATGTTCCAAAAGTCGGGAGGCGTTTTCTTGTTCCGCTCGTTTCTCGTCAAATTGTTTGAAAAACTCGTCGACCCGTTTCAAAATCTTTTATGCTCTAATTCCTCCAAATCACTCCAAATTTTGCAAATCCAGAATCAAGAAATTAATATAATCAATGAATTTATTAATAGAAGTAACATATTTAATATGAAAATCAAGTAAAATGACAATTTTGATGAATTTTTACACAGTTAAAATATTCTATAATAGGTTCTTGCATAGATGTTGTTTTGGATCCTTTCGGCATTTGAGGTGTTCATTTTATTTCATCAAAAAATTAAAAAATTTAATTTTTAATAAAAAAAAATTGGCATCATCAAAATTCATTTTAATTTCAAATTCAAATGAAAATGTGTTATTAATTATAATTTTTTTGGGTTTTCACATTTTCATCAGAGGGTGGCGTTTGATAGACGGCTGTGAGTCTGTCTGACGGTGAAACCAGAGCCTTCTTGTTCGGAACTTTTGGGCACAAAGCGCGAACGCCGGATGCGTGTCATTCCCTATTTTCCTTTCGTTTCGGTGACAGCCGCTCGCGGAACGTCCCTCCGAGAAAAGATGCATTCACGAGGCTTGGCTAATTTGACTAAACGCCACTCAAGTGTCACTTTTTGATACGCGCCCAGATTGCCGCAGCCGAATTCTCACGCAGAATCTTTTACTAAATTTACCTCGCGCGCGGCCACACTCATCGGTAGAAAAAAGTGCGAGTTTATTTTAGTTGCTCGCCTCTTTTGCGACGCAAATAAAAACAAAAATTAAAGCACTACACAGTTGTTTACTTATGAAAGCGCCAGGTAAACGTGACTTCGTGTTGTTTTTGTAAAATTAAACAATATGCAATATGGGACAAATGGGTCACAAGATTTATACAAAATTTCATAGCTGCACTTGCATTAAGTGCATGAAGATATTAATCATATTAATATCTAAGTGAGAAATTTATTCCATTTATGAAATAAAAAATATGTTTTAAATTAATTCGTATTTAAAAATTAAACTTAATATGGAAAGCATTTTATTATACTGACTTTCTATCATAAAAGTTGCAAAATATTTATCAAAAATGAGAATTTAAAAAGAAAAACGGTCGTTTTAAGTTTTCCAAAAAAGTTTTCAAACAATTTTATTTAATAAGTTCAAAAGCAAACTTAAAATTTTATGAAACCTTTACTTAGTTAGAACCAAATTTGAATAAATTTATGGGTAAAACGGAATGATTTTTTTTTTTTAAATCCACTGGAGCCTCTGAAATTTGAATATTGCTTTTTAATAAATATTGGCTTATTGATAACTGACAACAATCACTGGAGCAGAGAAAATCTTAAATATTTGGTGAAAAAGTGGAAAACAGCTCTTAATTATTTAAAACCAAATTATCATATTTGTAAAAGAAATTTTAGTAATTTTTATATTTGGAAATTAGTTGGAAATTTTAAAACGCAATCAGCCAGGTACCTTAATTAATTAGGTTTAATTATAAAGTTACCAGTTTATGCACAATTTGTCCGAATGAAGTTTTTATTTCTTTTGATAAATAATCCCTATTTAAATTTTTTTATTAAAAAAGGAAAATCACCAAAAATTTATATGAAAAATCGATTATTTTCAAAAATTAATTCATTAAAAAAATTTGATTCTCGTTTTGTTTTAATTAAAATGTTAATTTTTTTGCAGACTCGCAATTGCAGCAGTACGGCGAGGTGAATCAATTGGGCGGCGTGTTTGTGAACGGGCGGCCGCTGCCGAACGCGGTGCGGCTGCGGATCGTCGAGTTGGCGCAATTGGGCATCCGTCCGTGCGACATTTCGCGGCAGCTGCGCGTCTCGCACGGCTGCGTGTCCAAGATTCTGGCCCGCTACCACGAGACGGGCTCCATCCTGCCCGGGGCCATCGGGGGCAGCAAGCCCCGCGTCACCACGCCCAGGGTCGTCGGCTACATTCGCGAACTCAAGACCAAAGACCCCGGCATCTTCGCGTGGGAAATCCGCGACCGGCTGCTCGCCGACGGGGTCTGCGACAAGTTCAACGTGCCCTCGGTCAGCTCCATCAGCCGCATTCTCCGCAACAAGGTAAATTTCTACCCATTTCTTATTTCTTCTCATTTTAGATTGTTTTTTCATAAAAATACAGGTGGCATTAACTGAAATAAAATTTCATCTTTTCAAAAGCACCTTAGTTTTTACAATTTTTATGAATACATCTAAAAAGAGAACAAAACTATCAAATTGAGCTTATTGAAAAGTTACATCATCCGACATCATCCACGATAATGAGATTTTTTCCACATTTTGCAAGTTTGTAATAAAGTTCGTTGTGGGAACAGGTGAAAAAAGAATAGTTATGTTACAAAGAAGGTTAAGGTTCTTCAATTTTGAGCATTTTTTTTTTTTTTTTACTTCATTTGGAAATGTTTTAAGTTTACTGGGGAATGAACAATTTGTAAAGAATTTTCCAAACCTATAGCGAAAATGATTCTTTTTCTAATGATAGGACAAATTTGGAAATAAAAGTTGCGCAAATAAAAATTCCAAAGACTTTTGTCCAAACTTTTTCTATGAAAAAAAGTTTCTTACTGTTGGTTCGGTAAAAATCAAAACTAAAAACATTTAAAAACTGCTCATTTAATTGGCCCTAAAATTTAAAAACTTTGCCATCCGTTTTTAAGAGGATTTTTTTACATCATTTAGGAATTTAATTTTGAATTTTTACGATTGATACTGTGATGGCCGCTTCAGGTTTCAAAGTACCAACGGCGGCTATGACAGTACCAACCTCCTCGATGAGCGAACGTTGCTTCAGCTTTTTAAAAACAGACCAGTCTTTTCTCAACCTCCAACAAGCTAAAATTGAAATTAAACCCTGAGTGTTATTTTTTCTTTTTTTCTGGTGCAGGTGGCCCCTTCGAGTCCGACGCCGCCACAGTCAGCGGCGCCACCGTCACCGCACCCCGCCTCGGCCCCCTCCATCTACTCGACCCTGTTTTCGACCTCCCCCACCGCCTACTCGTCGCCCTTCGGCAGCCCCAAGGTGGTCCCCGGGCCCATCATGTGTCCCCCCGGCTCGCGAATGTCCGCGTGGCCCAGTTCGCACTCGGTGCACGACATTCTGCGCGCCTCCCAGCAACAGCAACAGCTCGAGCGACAACACTGCGGCAACTACTACATGTACTTGCAGGGCTGCAGCCCCGTCGTCGGCCACCAGGGGCCCCTTCAACCCCAAACCACCTCGCTCTGACCACCTTCAACAGCTTCTTTTTTTGCATTTTGGACTTTTTTTAAACTTTCATTGCAACAAGCAAACGGTTTCATTTTCTCCTACTGACTATATGGAATAAGTAATTTTTCATCAACCATTGTAATAATTATCTTTCAACGAAGACTGCTTTTTTTAACTGAAGTTTTTCTAGAATTCTGCTCCATTCAAGGCAATTCAAGGGTATCATAAAAGAACAGATTCGATTTGAAGCATTTTTTGAACGCACCACGCGTCTCATTAGCGCAATCAAAACTTTTGTTTTATGAATAAATTATTTCAATGCAAATTTTAAGGTTCTATTGAATTTTTATTAATTTCTGTCTGGTAGATTTTGAGGTGAAAAACTTGAAAATTAAATCCTTTGAGGAAATAAAAGCTACCTTTTGACGTCTCTAAGTATTTAAAAATAAATCTCCATAAAAAACCGTTTTTAAGTTGATGAGACTCTTTTTTTTATAGCACAAACAGTTTCTGTGTCTTAATTTCAATTTTTAGTCTTCAAATTAACCCAAACGCAAATAAATCAAATCAAAGTATTGTCGATGTATGTCAAATGTAAGCTAGCAAAATTCTCCCTGGGGGATTAATTGTTATTTTTAATAACTGAATTAATTAACTGTTGAAGCTGCACCGAGAGAGTATTATTTATGTACATTAACTGTGGTAAATACTTTGTGATAAAACGACGGTGGCAGCGAATTATTTTTGTCCCTATAAATATATCTTCGCAAATTCCTTGTCGCAAAGTTATAATTAATATATTTAATAAGTAATATAAATTTAAACGCCGCTAATACGTAGGTTTAACTTAAAGTGCTTCTAATACACGTTTGTATTGTGTATTTTTGTTGTCATAAAACTGTGGCATTTTTTATTATTTAATAAATTGTTCTCTTACTTACTGATCGTGTGAGGAAAATAATTTCGGCGCCGAACGAAAAAATAAAATTAAACAAAACGCTGAGATGTGAGGATTTTCCTTTCATATTTCCTAAAAATGTGCGCGTGTGTCGCTTTTCTCCTCGGACGTAAATTGGAAGACTTGGAAATCTCGAGTTTCAGTTTCAGATGCGCGCACCCCGCTTATGAAGAGGAAACAATGTGCGGCATAGTCTGCTCGAGCGCTCGGAGGAAACGTTTTTTCATTTTCAGTATTGTCTTACACCCGCCGGGATCAAATATCAATTAACTAAATTAAGCACAGAAGTTGTTGATTTTTGAAACCGACCTCCAGCACACAACTGTGACTTGCCCACTCTTGTTAAAAATTATGAAATTAAACAAAATCTTGTAATTTTGAAGTTAATAACAAAGAACATAATCTTATTCGTACTCATCATTAGTTGAAAAAATAAATTTTACACGCGTCTTTTCAGCCCTTGATCGTATTAAAGATATATTTACGAGTTGGTAAACGGCGACCGCACATCAAACAAGGCGGTTAGTTTAAAAAGCAGAGTACACTTGTACACATTCATGGTGTATTATTTGCCGGAACGCGCGTTTTTTTACGCAACCACATGGGCTGGATGTGGAGATGATGTATGTGTACGCGCAAGCAATTAAGAGGCAAGCAGCGAGGAGAAAACGAGCCCCTGAAAAAGTCTTTGTTGTTTTCCGCTCTGTGGCGCACACATGTGAAACGCGATGCCCGTTTTTTCCGAATTTCGTGACAGACGCATTTTTCATTTGGCTTGAATCAAAATTTGAAAATGAATTTCGGGCGTTGAGACGAGTTGGAATTAGGAGGCAACAGACTGAAGGAGAAGAGTGGCTTTGATGGAGGAAGAATCGGGGCACTTGCCTCTTCGAGCCTCAAAGGGGCCGCCCGCCCTCGGCTCAGCTAATTAAGTTGGTCCCTCTTTCCGGGAGAGCGTGCAAAACTGCGCGTCACTAAACTTCATGGTAAAGAGGCTATTTTTTCTATCACGAATAAAAAAAATTAATGAATGTTAATTTGAATCGGTAAATTTAAAAAGTAAACAATACATTCAAGTAGAAGAAACTTTCTTCTATAAATGATAAAAAAGGTTTCAGCTTGAACTGAAAGAATGATCAACGGCATAGAAATTCAGGTTTGTGTTCAGTACTTGAGAGTTGTATTTAATTCCAAAGTCAGGAAAGGTTTTACCTTTGAGGGGCTGCAGCTACATGGGGATGATTTTGCAGATAGCCGTAAAGAGCCAGGCCAAGAGGCAGCTCGTTCCGACGGCGGTGAAGCCACCAGCCACCATGGATGTGATCGTGGAAGACCGCACGCCACACCAGCCCAACACCACCTCAGACAAAAGGAACATGATGTGCTGGCCATCAAATCCATAGCACGGCAGCATGTTCAGCAGGGCAAGTCCAGCCGAAAGAGCAGCCAGGTAACTGCAAAATACAAAATTCTAAAAGTTAGATTGATTGTTTCTGAATAAAAATTTTAAAACTAAAAAAATAATCGAAGATTCTAGAAATTACAGATTGTAAGTTTGAAAAGATGATAAAATATTTTTTAAAAGTATCAAGAGTCATAAAAACAGTTGTTAATTTAACAAAGTTCATCTGCTGAAAACAGTGTGGACTAATTTTGATTAAACTTTTTCTTTATCAAAATCCATTTAAAATGGATCTCATATCTATCAATATTACATAAAATATATTTACTCAAAATATGCTAGAGTAAAACTTATGGCAATTTCAACAAAATGACAAAAATTAAACCTCCAATAGATGCTTTGGTTAAAATTTCTATGCCAGTTTACATTTCATAGGGGCCTTCTTAAAAACCTTGTTTACTCTCTACTCAACATCAGGAAAGTCCAATCAAATCACCTGAAAAAATTGTAAAACATTTCTGGGTACTGGGGAGAGAGGTACGACGCTGCTGGCAGCCAATTTGAGATCTCCACTGTGTGGTACAGCTCGGAAGGTAGCCCTAGGAACAAAACTGATGGCTTCTTCAGGTTGGACCGCTTGATGACAACCAGTCTGGTGCCGTTGAGGGCGCTGGGCTCCATCAAGGGCGTCAAGGACACCGAACCCTCTGGACAGCCCTCATCGGACTGCTTCGGAATGGACGCCTCCACAACTTCCCGCACCTGCATGCACCACCTGCCCAGAACAAAATTTTTATTTAATAAAAACTAGCATGTTAAGTTATTCTGACCTTGCTGTTTCTCCAGCTTTGTTTCTGTTGTGGAAACACAAGTGCTGGAGCATTTCGCCAGAGCAGCAAGGGGTGTCTGTCGTCGTTTGCGTATTCCTGTTAGTGAACGAAACAGGGACACAATAGTCAGTCTGAGACTGCTTGGCAGCCTTGTACAAGCAGTTGCGGTAGCTAACTTTGTCCTGCACTTTGCAGTGGTTTAGGCCTGTTATGTGGTCTCCGTATAAAAGGCCTGATGGGCCAGCAACTCCTGAATTCTGAAAATTCCAATAAATATATTACAACAATAAAAAAGATACAATTACTTTATTAATTTATAAATCAATACTTTTATACGTTCATTATTTTTTTTAAATTAAATTTAGGAATTGAAAAGTGAGAATTACAGGGTCGACGCTGGTCACAACAACACCCTGGTCAAGTTTGTAAAGATGCGAGTGGGAAATTGCGTAGAGCAGCATGAGTGCAAGCAGGGACAAGACAACGTTGTGCCACACGCCGGCACACAATATTCGAAGGCGGCGCCAAGTGGCTAACGAATTAATGCGCTGAGTGCTGATTTCAACGGCTGCAACCGGTAGCACTACAATCAGGTGAGCTTTGCACCCCAAAATCGAAATTCCTTCCCTGTCGGTCAAAAATTAATTTACTGTATTAATTTCAACTGTTTACAAAATTTACTACCTTCCTGCAGCCAGGGCGTGTCCAAATTCGTGGAGAATTCCTCCAATGGCAAGAGCTGTCATGTAATTACCAAGTTGGCTCATGGGCAGGTTGATTCCTGGCACCTTTTGATTGACAAGAAATTATGTACAGACGCAGTTTTAATTATTATAATGTGCATTTTACCACAGGTTCCAATTCAAAACCGCTAGGCTTGTCTTTCGATCCGTCCAGAATGGAGCCGAATAGGCCTCTGAGGACAAGGAAAGCGGCCACTGGCATCAGAGGGAGGGACACGATGACGCCTAGACTGAACCAGAAGGCAAGCAGTCTTGGCCGCCAGTTGGACCATTGCTGGAAGAGACGGTTGAAGGCCGTCGTGTGCCAGTGGAGTCGCAGGAAACTCACTTCCAGACCGGTTTTTTGTACAAAGTACACGTAAGGAAGATGACAGCAGCTCTGAAAAAATTACAAAAATTTTAATTCAAGTAAATTTGATTTATAGATTTAATAGAAAATATTATTACATACCTTGAAAAGCACGTCGAGGAAGAAGAGGACGCAGTGCAGAACGATAATTCCTATCAAAAGATAAGTTCCATCCATAATTATAGCTTTAAAAGTAAAAAATTTCAGTCGAGTTTCTCTGTCATCGTGGGAAACGTGTTTGTCAAGTGGTGATCGAGTGCCGCTCCATGTTTTTACATGGTGAGCGACTGCCGCGAAGAATCTTCGCAGGCGAACCGGACGTTCGCCTTGTCCAGGACAGCTGTTATTTTCTTTAGCGCAAAAATATAGATTAGGAGCAATTTTGCGAAAGAGAATGAGTTTACTTTTGCGTAGCAGTAAAGCTGCGAATCCACCGGCACTGTTTTGTTTAAGGAGAGTAAAATAGTTAGGAGGGGCGAAGGGGCGGGACTATCTGGGTGACCTTGGGCCCAGTCCTATCTTTTAACATTGAGCTGGGCCATAAGCCACCTCCTCTTCGCCTCTCCTATCCTATTTTACTCTCCTTAGTTTTGTTGACATTCGGATCGTTTTCGTTAATTTTCTTCGTCGTAGTCGAATTGGGGGAGGGGCAAGAGAGGAAAAACGCGCGGAATTCAAAAACTGCTAAATTTGCTGGCAATTTTATAATTGGGATAAGCAAGTATTAATTAGCAGCAGCAGCTAAATTTGCATGGAATGTATTAAAATTTGAACAGTGTAATCAAGAAGATATCTCCTTTATTTTCAATGAAAATTTATCATAATCATGTGTGTATTTCATACTTCTTTCTATAATATATAAAGTATTTCAAAATATTGTGGTAGAATTTCACAATCGAGGGTTGATTCATGGTGATTTGAATTTAAAATCGGCTTTTCCTCGATGGGTTTTTGTGAGTTGTTTATTGTTTAAGAAAAAACAATATCCTGCTCTACATGTTTCGGCTGCGGGCTGCAGCCATAATTCATGAGCTGCGAAAACAGGTATCAGCTTAGGCCGCGCAAAAAATAAAGAAATATGCAGACAGCAGTGGCGACGAGTGAATACAATGCAATCCCAAAACATATCTTTTACCCGAAAAACCAACCGAAAAATAATTTAGTCTTCTCTCGACCACCGCCGAGAAAGGTACGCTCAAAACACGCGTTTAAATATTCTGACCAAAATTACTATAAGAAAATTCATGTTTTAAAAAATATTTTTAATTAAATGTCAAATTTTATGTTAAAAATTATTTTGTGAAGAAATGTTAATTTAAATAATTTTTCATGAAAATTGTCAATTTGAAAGAAAAATAATTTTTGAAAAGATTTAATTTTGTACTAATTTTTGTCAAAATGTTTTCGCAGCTCATGAATTATGGCTGCAGCCCGCAGCCGAAACATGTAGAGCAGGATATTGTTTTTTCTTAAACAATAAACAACTCACAAAAACCCATCGAGGAAAAGCCGATTTTAAATTCAAATCACCATATTTCAAAATAACTAAATAACAGGGTGTGGGACGATTTTATACCCACCAAATGGCTTGAGAAGTATCAACGATTTATAGAAATTCAGATTTTTTTTCACAACAAAATTTCAATGGAATGAATCAATACAAAACAACACTCAAACTCATTTCAGTATTCACACTTGCAGACCATATTATATATAATTAATATAATTGCGACCAAAGTATCATAAAAAATAATCAGCAGCTTTGTCTGCTTCCAAGGTAATTAATTAAAACAGAAGACTATGAATGAGATTAGTAATGTACACAGCTAGAATAATATATATATATATATATATATTTATATATATATATAAACGCAAGTGTGTGTTCCAATAATAATTATGCACAATAATATTGCTCAGAGGCTTGATCTTGAGGATTCGATTTTACAAAAGAGTAATTTTGCTACAAATGAGTAATAATTTCAAATGAGAGGAGACAGACGCGTGGACAGACAGCTCAACACTCGTTTGATAAAAATTGCACTCGCGAGCTGGAGGCCTTTTTGCTTCCTTAGGTGTTTCTGATCTTGCCAGGCACGTAGTTCTTATCAATCACCGGATCCTGCAAGAACATGTGCAGGCATCGTTCGTTCTGAGCAAGAGGGTGCCCAGCAATTCTGAAAATTTTCACAGATTAAAAATAAATTACTCAAATCAATGGTGCTTACTTATTAACAAATTGTTCAAGTCCTTTCCTTCTCTCCTCGATAAAGTCCTCTTCGTAAATTCCATCGTCTCCTCTAAAAGGTAGTTGCCGTTTCCAAGCTTTGCCAGGTAGAGGAGGTACCACAATCTAAAAGAAAAACAATTAGGCACACATGATGAAGTTTTAAATTTCCTTACTTTGCTGTCTCGCTCAAGCTCACTTCTGAGCCACTCAAAGTCGCTGTACCGACGTCTTACACTGGACTCTTTAGTCTTAAAAACTGGTAAATTGGTCTAGAACAAGCAGATTAATTATGTTAGAATTGCTGAAAAAATTTACTAATGAAAAGTGAATCAATTAAAATTAAATAATTGTAAAAATATGTGAAATAATTTTTTATTAGTTCGAATTTCAAAATTAGACTTTGTATGCAAATTTGAAACCTCATCCTCAATATTGAACCTCGACCACAAATACATATTTCTACAAAAGCAAAAAAAAAATAATTAAAATAACCGAGAACGGTGAGAACAAATCGAATTTGCAAAGTGTACATTTAAATTGTGCTTAAACAGGCGCAATACGTAATAAAAATTTGAAGCCTTTCAGGGCAAAACTTGTTTAAGTAACTCCTCTCTAATTAAACAATTGAATATAATATAAAAAGGTCCACAAGCCGGCAATTATTTTCCTAGTAAATTCTCTACATAGCCCAATTGAAATATTAAGAAAATGTAAAATTTTGTGCGGCATTTGAGTTATGCAAATGAAGAAAGACTCAAGATTGAAGTGCTGCGTCATGATCCCAAGATGCGATGGGGATGATTAATAAAGTCGCATGGATAACCACAAATTAGTAGGATTGGGCAATTGGTGTTGTGATTGTTGGGTTTTATTCACCTTCATGCGGACTTCATAGTCGGAGTATCTTTTCTTGCCGACGCCGTGCGTGATGGGATTGACGACGTCGATCTCGAGGAAGTTGGCCGGCGCCGCGTAAGCGTCGTCCAGCGTCTGCTTCTTCACGTTGAGCCGTCGAGTGGCATCCGCCGTCGTCTCGGCCGCCATTGCTCTCTACTGATGACTGACCGACCTACACAATTACACCCACACAGAGAGAGCATCCCTGTTAAATCCCCTATGCGCGAGTGTCGCCTGCCTCTGCAACTGACTGCAACTGACCTCGGAGAGAAACTGAGGGGGAGGTGCGCGCGCACTGAGCAACTGAGCTGGCGCGAGCTCGCGCGTAGTGGTGTCGCGTTAGGTACAGGTGAACCTAAAACCTATCAAAAATAACCGGTTATTTAGGTTCAATAGGTTTTATTGTGCAACCGGTTTGTACCTAAAACCTAAAAAATTTAGCATCACCTATTAAAAATTTTGTCAGGTTACAAAAAATTCGTGTCATCAAGAGTGGTTTGGAGTTTGATAATGACTGAAAAAAAATTTTGACATAAAGAACTGAACTGACTTAGGAGTTCGGAAGTTTTCGGATCAGAACGTTGCAGAAAATGAGTTATGAAAAAAGGCGGAGCTTCTGAAACCTCAAATCTTGTTGCCTCAAATGTTGTTACGGTGCTACAAGTATACAATGTTATCAAATAGAAAACTGGTACGTGACACACCTCCTCTGTTCATTTCCTGTATTCAGCATTGTTTGACTTACTTTACAGCCGATGCCGATACAATATCGAATCCAATAATAATTCCATAATAACCGATATGTACTCGACTCGATTGCAGCTGTTGTCAGCCACAACCCACAACAGCCAAAGAAGACAATAATCAATAATTTTAATAGCTGTCATCGTGTTTTTATTTTGACTTGAACCGGATTGAACTTTTAATATAAAGGTAAAGAAAAACTTTAAAAGTAGAAAGTGATTTGCAAAAGTTTAAGTATTTTGAAAATTAAAATAATGTAATTTTTAAGGATGGGTCGTAAGAGGAAACTAAAACATTGCCTGCCAAAGAACACGCAAGATGAGGTCCGAGACCTGAAATATATTCGCTTGGCTTCATCAGCTAAAGCAAAAACTTCCAATACGACTGCCACATTATTGGATGGAGCCCCAGGAATGAGCACAAGCGAGGGACGAGTCATTTCTCACAACACTTTGGATGTTTTTTTAGCCTCGTTGATTGTCAAAGCAAACTTACCATTCGATGTTGTAGAGCATGACTTATTCCGAGAATTTATGTTATACATGGTCCCCTCCTATCATGTTCCCCATCGAACAGCTGTATCCCACAAAGCAAAATATAATGCCAAATTATCGAACATTAATTTTTAATTAATTATCAGTCATTAATGATTAAAAATTAATGTCACATTAATTTATAATTAATTGGTAATCAATTAATGACTACAATTAATTTAACATTGTTGGATAATTAATGTGTACATTAATCTGAACTGTTGAAAATTTTCCACAGATAATAATTTTTTATCATTAATTCATAAATAGTTATTAATTAATTAATCAAATTATTTATGTTAATTAATTGAAAATTACTTATTTCAATTGATGATACATTGATTAATAATTAATGATGTCATGAATCAGAATCGAAGAAAATTTCCAAAGCAAATAATTTTTTTAAATATTAAATAAATAGTTATAAAATAATGATGCACATTGTTTATTTAAAATAATTAATAATTAATTACCACAATTAATTTGACATTGTTAAATAATTGATGCGTTCATTAATCAAAATTGAATAAAAATTTTGAAAGTTAATAATTTTTGTCAATAGTTATCAATTAATGCATTAATTAATTTAAAATTTTTAGGTTAACTAATGAAAAATTATTGACCCTTAGTAATGATATATTGATTAATAATTAATTAGTTCATTAATCAAAATTGAAGAAAATTTTCTAAGTTCATAATTTTATTTCATTATTTGGTAAATAGTTATTAATTAATTACTCTAATTATATATATTAATTAATTTATAATCAATGACAAATTAATTGGTGATAATTAGACAAATTTCAGTGCGCGTGATCAGAATGGGTGGGGGAAAGCCGCTATTTTCAAAATCGACAAAGTGACTGTTGACAACGGTTGGGTCGCTCATACAACTGCCGATTTTCGTCCAATTTCGGGCCGATGCAAGTGCCGCGCGGGGGTTATGGGCCCTTTCGCGGACGCTTAAGGTCACCACACGCCTTCCTCAACGTTTGCCCTCGCAGGAAATGAAGGTTTGACGCTGGATCTCGACATTTTCGCAGCCGCGCCGTGAGTTTTGGCAAAAAATTTGGGCCGCGATGTGATCGAGTCCCCGTTTGTGCTTCTCGCCGCGCTGAAGCCGCGTGTTGGAAGGAAAAGTAAAAGGTAATTGATTTTTACATGAATTTAATTCGAAATTAGCAGATAATTGAAACGCGTGCTATATTTAAAAAAAAAATATTTTTTACATCGCATGTTTACAGATTTGATAGAGCAGCGCGCCGCATCGAGACGGATTTTGCCACATTTGATTGCCAGATCCCACCCTGCACCTGCCCTGTGAGGAGATGAATCTCTTTCGCCCTCGCAAATCTCTCGAGAGACAATTAAAAAGAGCGGTCATGCCAGCGCAGCTGACAATCGGATGACTTCGACTTCCCGTCACGCTGCCGAATGACTTTTGGAAAAGAATATTTTTTTGTAAGTTAAATTATATTTGCAATCAATTTGTTTAAATATACTTGTTTTTAATTTTCAGTTATATTTTTTAGGTGGTCTGATTAAAAGTAAAATCGAGGAATGAAGCCTAACCGTCTGCAGTTAAAAAGAATTTTGTAGCTTCCTAAATTTCTGCCGACATAATAAAAAGGTGGGTTTGCATCAAATTAACCTGAGACATAACCATATTTTGTATTCATAAAATTTATGCATTTTGCAGACTCCGCCAATCCTTATTGTGGACACAAAAATTGGAGGTTTTTGTACAAATGGCCTGCCTATTATTTGAGATGCAAGACGGTTTCCAGGGACAATTTCGTCCAATGAATGAAACCCGACGCAGTTGTTCAGCGTAAAGAACGTGATAATTATAAAATTTTGTGGCAATAATTATTGTTTTTTTGTAAATAAATTTAATAGTCTTATAAAACAATTATTATCTTTCTACTTATTTCAATTTCAGACATTTTGGATCTATGGATTTGTCTGCAAACTTGTGAGTATCTTACAAAATTTGTTTCGGATGTCATGAATTGTTGTGAATTTTTAATTTCAACTTAAATAAATTATAAAAAGTTTATAATTAAATAAAATAATTAAAGACAAGGAGATACGGAAAATTAATAATAATTCATTTAGTTCCCACATTTTAACTATTGAGTTTTACGGAGCATTTAGTATTTAATTTTTTAGTGTTTTCAATTGTATAAAAAAAGTTGTCACAACAGTAAATGCAACCAAAATATTGTAAGATATACCAATTTTACAGTCAAATTTTAATTAACAAAAAATTAATTATGAAATGATTTATTAATTAATTAAAAAATTATTTAAACATTAATGACTAATTAATTAAAAATTAATTATACACTAATTATGAAACATTAGTAGCTATTTTGAGCAAACCAGTATTAATTTAAACAATAATTTTGAAATGATGCGTAATTAATGTTGCTCATTAATGATTTCATTAATGCCACACTGTAAAAAAAGCGTCACACAAAATTAATGAAAAATTAATGGAGTGCATTAATGCATCAACATATTTAATTAATGAAAAATTAATTTTTAATTAAATTTTGCTTTGTGGGATGTAAATGCTATTATTTCATAAATTATTTGTAAAGTATGTTTAATAATTCCTATATTTAAAGATCACATCAAAAATTGAGCACGTCTACGAAAAAGGAAAAGAATTTGTAAGTGAACTGACGGACGGGAAAAGGTTAGGACTGACAATGGACCTTGCAACTCTGACAAACTCAACCCGCAATTTCTTAATTGTTACAATGAAGTGCCTAGGTATAGAAATTAATATTATATTTGTATTATATGCATTTATAAATTTTTTTAATTAATAGATAAATTTGATGCTCTGACATCAGTTACTTTGGGCGCAATTCACACTGAAAATAGAGGCACTGCAGAAAATATAAAGGAAATTGTTACTGGCTGTTTCCAAGCCAACAATATCTCAGAATCTCAGATAGTGGCAATCACAACAGATGGGGGCAGCAATTTAATTAAAGCTGCTGATTTAATGGACAAAGACCACATTCCTTGCTTTTGCCATGTTTGTGATAATATTGTTTCATCAGCCTATTCACAATGCCGAGTGTTGAATGTGCTTGTTGATGATGTGAAAGGAGTGGTTACGTACTTTAAGCGAAGTTCCTTAGCCATGAACATTTTGAGGAAGAAGCAGAGAGAAGCAACTGGCAAAAGCCTAGAACTCATTCAGGCTGTAAAAACGAGGTGGAATAGCACATATGCTTGCATAAAGAGGTTTTCACAGCTCTACCCTTATGTCTCAAGCGCATTAAAAGACCCACAAATAAAAAAAGTAAAAAGAGATGGGTCAACAGAAGCACCAAAGATCACAGACGACACAGTTGAAATCTTAAAACAATGTCTTCCCTTACTCCAACCCTTTGATGTTATCACCAGAAAACTCTCCAGTTCAGAGAAAGTCACCAGCAGCACTGCGTTATTTTCAGTCGAATACCTAGAGACAACTTTAAAGAACTCTAATCCTACTAACTCGGTGGCAAAAGAGCTGAAAGAACGATTGATTGAGCAAATGCAGCAGCGTTTTGAAGCAGTGAAGAATAATCAAGTTTTGCAAGCAGCTTCATTTATTGATTCAAGGTTCTAAAATTTTAAGATTATTGATCATATTAATATTAACCCTATAATTATTATTTTTTGCAGATTCCGAAACCTCTTGTCGGAAAAAGCTAAGGAAAGCACTCGGAGTTATCTTTTAAGGCAGATGAAAGAAATAAGTTTGCCAGAGGAAGCTGACGAAGAAAACCATACCACTGCTGAAAGAGATGAGTAAGAAGTTGTTAAAAAACGTAGTTTTTGTTAAAAAAAAATATCAAGAAATTTATTTGTATTTAGAGTTGACGACTTTTTTGATATTGGAGAGGATCAGGAAGCTTCGGTTCAGATCAATGTCAGCCCCGAATTGGAGTTAGAGAAGTACGAATGCGAGAATGCCACAAAGTGGGACTTCAATGATGATCCGCTGAAATTTTGGATTAAAAATAGAGCATTGTATCCAAGACTTGCTCGTGTTTCCTTAGGACTGTTAACTGTCCCAGGCTCTGCTGTGGACAGTGAAAGAGGAGTATCTCAGCTTAATTTGGTCGCTCGTAAGCATAGAAGCAAATTGTCAAGTCTTAACATCAACCGCCTAGTTTGTCTTCGAAGTCTTCCGATCTGTTTTTGGGAAAGGTTGTTAAATCTTCGAGGTCATGATTAAATCAGAACTTGTTCATTTTACCATAATTTGATTTCAATAAATACTCTTATTACCAAATATTTAACAGGTTTTTTTTTAATGAAAAATATCCGATATATATAAAATAAAATTTGAAGATTTGTGCTACATTCTTTTTGATATTAATTTCTGAAGCACTAAGGTTTTGAAATATTATGTGAGATTCATTACAGTGAGCTAAAAGAGATCTCTTGGGCTATTGAAATTTTATTACGACAGATAATATATAAGTAAATTACCAAAATTTAAAAAAAAAATGCAGCCTCTGCTCCAGTTATAAACAAAAATCAATACAAATTTTATTTTTATTAAGATTATTCATCTAAAATATAAGTTTATAAGTATGAATTGTAAAAACATTAAATATAGGGTATGCATTTTTGTTCTTCACTATTTTTATTTATTGAAAATGAATCAAATCATATATTACACATTTTATAAGTGTGCAAAGACAAAGATATTTACAGAGATTCAGGGAAGTGTCTAAGGAAAACCGTTTTCATTTTGTGTTCTTTGGGCAGGCTACCTGCAACAGCAATTGACAAGTTTGGAGCCCAACACAGTGAGCTTCCCAACATCACTGCGTAATCTTTCATCGGATGACTTTTATTTTCCATCCAAAAAGAGAGGTACTTGCAAGACTTTGAAGACGCAGGCAGATCAAGGTATGACTGCAATACCTTGCGAGCAGCTTGAGAATGGGACGATTCAGTATCAATACTTCTTTGAACTCCATATTCTGCGCCGTTGTTGAAAAAATCTTCGAGAACGTCCTCCTCTTTTAAAATAAAAGAATACATTGCAATTAAAATTTAAATATCTGACGAAATTTAATACCTGCATGGGTCGAAGAATTAGCAGTGGAATTTGTGTCAGATTTCAGTTTTTCACTGATGGTTTTCTCGACTTCTTTGTATGCTTTCTGGTACACCATAGGAGTGATTCTATGACTTTTCTTCATCCTAGAGTCATACAGTGTAGATAAGGCGCAGAAAACAGAGTCTGGCTGAGCCAACGTCTCATCCGCTAGTTTCAAAAGTTTTGATTGTAAATCCTTTCCACTGGACGTAGACACAACCACTTTAGTAAGTTTACCTATAAAACACAATTAAATTAGAAATTAAATAATTAAAAAAGTTATATTACCAAGGAAAACATTCTTGAGTGGATAGAATTTAGACGTTTCAGCGAATTTCCCAAAAATTTCAATTGCAGCTTTTGAGGAGTAAATTGAATCAAGCAAGGCAAAGGAATCCTTCAGCTCTTCCAACTCACTCTTGGACAATGTGCTTGGCAAGCTTAAGTGGTCTTCCTTTAAATGAGCCACACAAATTTCGTCATTGAAAAGTAGCACAGTCCGAAGTCTCTCATACTCAGTGTTGCTCTTAATGAATGCCTCGACATCTTTGCCTGTGCTACTCAGGTAGCCGCTGTGGTGTGAGGGCTCTCTGTAAAATAAAAATATATACTTTTAGTAAAGGCGTCATGAAATTTTCCTGTATATTGTTGCTGTCATGATACTAACTTGAAATATTCAAACAGATCTAGTGCCTTTGTCGTTGACCAAATTGACGAAATCTGGACGGATGCAATTGTCAGATAATCATCAAGTAGAGATGTAATTGTGTAAATTAGTGTTGAATCAGGGTAAGTAATCAATGCGGACTCTTTTAAGGAACTATTAGAATCCAGTGTCACAGATACAATCTGTGATGACTGGATGGAAAACTCGCTTGTGATGATTTCCATCTTGCTGGAAATTTCTGTAAAATCTTCATTTTCAAGACTTAGGAAGCCGATGAGTGATGAAAAATAATCATCTACTGACGGATCTACAAAGATTATATTTAATTAAGATCTGAAATTTACCAAAAAAAATTTTAATTTACCAAAAAATCGGATAGATCCTAGTAAGTACTTGGTGCCCTCGGCATCTAACTGGGTCTGGAAGGACAGTGAACACAATGAAATGGTTTCAATCTTGGAACGGAGATGGGCAATTTTTCTCTCATGTGTGTCGTGCACAGTCTCTTCAAACTGAAAAATTAAAACAATTCATAAAAAAGTAAAAATAACTACAATATTAATACTGAAGAAAGGCTGCAAATCCTTTGGAAGTTTTTGCAAGCCATTTGGATAATGGCTTTGAAGTCAGCGTTGTCCAAAATAGAGGCATCCACATTGGCATCATTGACCAACATGTGAAGAAGGAGGCTATACAGCTTCTCATTTTTCTCCTTCAAAACGGGGTGCATCATAGAAGTAGCTTAATTTTTGAATCAATAAAATATTAAATAAGTTAATAAGTAATTAAGAGATTAAATTATCTTACATGGCGTTTGCTTGGGCAAAGAGGAAGGCTCAACTAACTCGACACGCTTTGAAAACCCCATACTAAGCAAATTTGGTTCCTTGGCAGATTCCTCTAAGGTACTCTATACACGAAGAGAAAATAAAATGTCTCAAATGGTTAAAAATCATGGAAGTAAATTTTTATTACCGAAGGAAGGATTGCGGACACGTCTTCCTCCTCGGAATCTATTGCTTCCGTCGATGTTGATGGTTGGCCTGCAGGCAGCCGAGCCTTGATCAATTGTTGCCTTTCTGTTTCACAGAGTATGAATTCAGGTGGGTGATGTGCTCTCAGATGACCCCACATGTTGGTTGTTCCGCCACCTCCGGGGATTGTTTCTCGGCATAGCTTACAGACCCACAAATCTTTTCCTGCCGAGCGGAATCTCTTTTTGGCTGTGCTTTTGACGCGTGGTCCTCTGCGCTTCTGTGAAATAAAATTAAGAGATAAAAATTTGCATTGTGCGTATTAAAATCAAATAAAGGGCTCTTGTATGTAACTTAATCCTATGTGAATGGTTAAAAAATTAATAAAATTAGCGGGATATTATGAATGCAACGACAAATAATTATAAATATAATTAGCTTTTATAAAATAAAAAATATTACACCTTATTATTCATAATTCCACAGCGAACTTAAAGCAAAAGACAGGTTAAGAAAAATCGTAGCCGGCGAGAAGGACCCTCACTCTAATAATTGAGTCCACCAAAGTCTCAAAACTCCAAATGAAAAAACACGCACATGCAGCAGGGGCGTCCCAAACTCTATCAAGTATGAAGTTAAATGTAAAGGCCATGTTTCTTTCTGTCGAAATCTGTTCCGTTCCGCTCAGTACTGTTTCTCTTCTCTTTGCGTCGTGTGCCGTCGTAGGATCTGCGCGTTAGTTTGTTTTGGTGATTTTGGTCTTGGTCTGGGTAAGTGCGTGGTTCTCTCTTTTTCCTGACTTTTCTGACTCTTCAAGTCTCCAACAAGAGTGGGGAGGGGAGTCTAGTCATACATTTAGAACAAGACCAAACAAGACATAAGACCCACAAGACATTTATGATTAATATGATTGAGGAGAGACATGACAATGCCATCTGCTGACAGAAAAGGAAAGTAACACTCGCGCGAAGCGCGAAAAATTTTTGGATTTAGGTGTTTAGGTGAACCTAATACCTAAAATATATAGCCGGTTACCTAAACCTGTTACCTGTTAAAATAAACCTACCGAACCTATTATAGGTTTTACCGCGGTGCAAAAACGACACCACTACTCGCGCGAGCTGGTCTACTGGCTGTTAGTGAACACATTATTCCACTCCGATGATTTCCTTCTCTGCTTTTTCTTCCTTTCCCAAATAAATATTCCGGCCAGAGAGCCAGACTGCTTTGGCTCTCCTTCTCTTCTGCATCGCGCTGACAAAATATGAAGTTTTAAGTTTTAAATTGTTTATGTTATTTTATTTAAATTAAAGTTTTATATATTTTATTATTAATACATTTTAATTTTAAATTTTTATTTATGAACTATTTAAATAAAATATAAAAAATTATTTTTAGAATGTTATTTATTGATAAATTGAAAACAGGATGGATATACACACAGATTTTTAAATTCATAAAAAGTATAAAGGCAGAATATAATTGTGCTGGATGTGTTGTATCAACATTTTTTATTTTCATGTCATTATCATTCAAACAATTGAGCGGAAAAATTAATGGAAACATGAAGCATATACATATATTAAAACTATTACAAACATTTCAGCAATAAAATCACATAAAAATGAAATGAAATTACTATAATAATTTAGACATATTTAGCACTAGACATCAAAGATTAGCATAATAAACAAAAAATTTATATTAACTTGCCAATGGACTATTTTTCCGTTTGCATTTGACATATTACTCATAGGACGGTTCAAGACGGTATAAGCACACATTTATTTATTTTTTTCATATTCCAAGACAAAGCCAGCTTGTGAAGAAGAACACGCAGATAATATAATTTTATCTTTTATTTGAAAACATAAGTAATATCAATGAAATAATTTCACTTAAAATGTTATATCAATTGAACTTAAAATTTTTCTTTTAATTATCAGTCATTAAAATAAAAAGTATAAGTGCTAAAACGGAATTATTTGTACAATTTTACGTAGACTTTGCGTCCAGAGATGAGCATAGTATGCGTAATTACATAATTTTGTGACATGCTTTTTTACATGCCTTCAAAATGAGTAATTTTTTTCCGAGCATGACGTTTTGATATAACCTTACAATTTTCTGTCTTAGTCAAATGGTGCAACATTGTTTTTACGTACCTTTCGCTCACGTCTGTTATCAAAGTCATGAACGCATTCTCACCGTGGGTGGCAAAATGCTCTCGGAAATCAACAAATATCTTGGTTTGCAACAGTCTGTTTGCGACCTTTTGAGGGATGTTTCTCCCGACAACTGCATTCAAGTTTTTCCCGTTTATGGCATTTTTTGCCTCATTTATGCACATATTGGTAACCATGCAAATATTTATCATGTCCTGAGTAGGGAAACTCAAACCAAATTTTGCCGCAGCTCTGTTTTTCTGCTGTATCAAAGCACAGCCTGGCATATCATTAGGGCGTTCATCCTTAATCACAAATGCTTCGAGGCAATCTTGGCACATCACTTCTCTCTTGAATTTTAGAGTGAGATAACCTGATATATAGCCTACAATATCAAGGTTCTTGTCCAAATCCATCTCATAGTCATGCTCAAACTGTTTTGCTATTTGTGAATTTGGTGCCAGATAACTTTCGTTCTTGAAATTAATATTTGCACCACAGTTGATTATACTCTCAATATCTTGAAGACATTCAAAGTCAAGCTCTAACATTCCACCACTGAAATGGAAGTCACTTCTTTTCTTTGCCCTCTTTGATGAAAAAAGTGCATCATGTATAATTTCTTTCTCATCAGGTGTCACATTTCCATTCCTCGAGGCTTTAATTTCTATGTGAATGCCCCAGTTGCCAAAACTGACTTTTATCCGGATATTATCCTCTCCAGAGAGGGTAATATCCGGATAATTTTTCGATTTTGGCAGCTGGGGTGTTGATATATTTGTAAGCAACAAATAAATTTTTGCAGCAGGGGTTATCATTATGACCCCCTTTCCTTCTCAGAGCACCAAAAAACATTTCAAGGTGGTCCTGACTAAATTTGTAAGTGAGCAAATACCCAAGCATTTCCTTGTTGCCCTTCCCGCCCTTTATAAAGTTTTCATAAAGAGAAGAAATACTCCTCATGCAGACAATGAATCCGAAAAAGCCTGTAAATGATTTTGATCTTAAAATGCTTACGCCATTTTCTAATTTCAGACTTTTAATATATTCTGTGACAGTATTGAAAAATGTGGACCACTCCTTGTGGTTTTTTCTTTCTACAGGAGCCTTTTTACCAAGCGTTTTTGGATTTCTTGAGTTGCAAATATCAAAAAGGGAATCAAACATTTCTAAAAATTCTACTGTAGCTTCTGCTTTTTCAAAATCTTTATGTCCCTTATGCATTAGAAATTTGATGCTATCGGCGACAGATTGACTTAAAGTCTGTACAGCTATGGGTACTTTCATTTTATTTTGATGGTAGTTTATATGTTTATTTCTCAATTTGTTAGCTAGATGCAAACCTTGTTGAATCTGAAAATTGTGAAGTTTGCGCACATATGTAAAATCTATTTTGCCTTTCCCGCTGTATATAATTTTGCTTCCAAAACAGTTTCTAACCAATTTTATCATGTGACATGCATCTAAAAATACGTAGATTGGTCGATTTTTGTCTGTGGGATTAGGAAAGTAATGCTGAGGATTTTCGTGGACATTCAATTTAGCGCCAAGCTCATTTGCCGTTGCAATATTTGTTGGAGTGCCATCAAACGTCACCGACAAAACTTTAGCTCCAGTCGCCTCTACCTTCAAAATGCAATCATTTAAAATTTTTGCACTATCAACAGCATTTAGCGAGTCCACAAAATAAAGCGCGCATGGCCATTTCCATCTTCCATTTATTGCGGTGGCTAAAATCACTCGCGCATATTGGGCAACTTTTGCTTCAACATCGACTATGGGTTTTTCGCCCTCTTTAGTACCCATGTCTGCATAGCCCCAAACTCTACTGTTATCAAAATCTAGCTGTTTTTTCACGCTCATATCGTCAAAACTGAAAGCAACATACAGTTGCTCACCCCTAGCTTTATATTCGTCTGCACGAATTTTTAATATGCTCAGAGCAACTTCATTTATCCCAACGTCAGTAGGATTAGCACGCAACCAAGTTTTTATTGTTTGCACGCATGGCAGAGCAAAAGGAAAATTACTGCGTACAAATTCGTATGCACAAGTAGAGTAAAAGTGTAGGGTGAGAGCAAATTCTCTTTCTTTTTCAGTGAACTGCTCTTTTCTGTTTGCTCCTTCAGTCGCCTGCTTGCCAATTCGCTGCATAAAAGCATAGCCAGTTGCCGGAAGGAGATTTTTCAGCCTTTCATCAATTTCTGGGCTAAAAATGGTTTCCTCTGTTAATTTTGTTATTAATTCCTGCATAGAAACCAATTTGTCATTACTTCGGTTCAGTTTTTTCTGCAAAGTTTTGAGAATTTTTTTTACTCTGCCATTTTCTTTCAGCAATTGATCATTAATAATTTTGTATTTGTTTATTTCCTCGTCATGCCGATTTATTTCCTCTTTATTCTGAATAACAGCCAAGTTTTTCATGTAATATCTCCAGCGCAGACTGTATGTTTTTTGTAGTTTTTTGAATTCAAATTTGATTTCAAATGGAGCGCGTGTTTCTGGTTTTTCAGCGCGAGAAATCCATTCATTTAACTTACATTCTAAAGACGCACAATCATCATTAAAGTGTTGACGGATAGGTGTTTCTTCCGCAAATACCAATGAAGGGAATGTTTGTGCAACTGCTTCTTGCTGGCTTTTTATCAAATCATAAATATCTTGCCTTGTGACGATCTCGTAGATAGCTGGATAATTAACGGCACCCAGAGAAGCATCAAGCGAAGGTTCACAGCCACTAACGTCCAGTTGCATATTCGGAAGAGAGGGCGGCCGAGGCGGTTCCTCTCCTGACAGGGAGCTCTCGATTAACTTCCGACGACTCTTTTTGGATCCAGGTGCCTGCATTTTAGGGCAAAAATATAATTGATTTGTGTTAATTTTTTAATTTCCTTTAGGTCACAGTAGGATTTCAGAATTTATTTTTCATTAATTAGTAGTATCGTGAACTGATATTTTATACCGCGCGCATTTATGATTCAGTATATTGCTATATATTGGCATAACATTTTAAATCTTTTTTTTTTAAATAATAATTTTAATTTTTTGTTGCCAATAACTAAATATTTCTAAAATGAGAACGTTTTGTTTTGATATTTTAAGCTTTAATAATAATCTATATTGTAGATTTCAATTTATTTAATTTTATATGCCAAAAATTTTTAATATTCTATTTATACATTTACAACTAATTTATTTTTAATATTTTAATACCCGGATCATTTTTTTTTCAATTTTTTATATTTCATTTACTCTTTAAATGTGGTAAATTGCCAACACTGGTCGAGAGTTAAGACCAATAGCATCGACTGAGTGTCGATTAATTCTCATCTCGACCGGTGTTGTGCTCTACAAGTGTTCTTTTATAAAACTGGGCAATTTTGATATTTTCTAATTGACTGAAATTTTTTTAATATTTCACTTACAACTTCTGGGAGGGTGCTTGAGATTCTTTTCCGTGCTGCAGCGTATGACGAATTAAATTGGTTTGCAACAAAAATGCTGGGGAAGGCACCTTCTACTAGTATTTTTCTAGAGCCAGAATCTTGTATCATGTGCATCTCAAAGTGTAAATCACAAACTTGAAGAGAGTTCACAATTGTAACAGAAGGGTAAAATCTTTTAATATATGATGTCCACAGCTCCCTCACTTCAGGTTTTTTCACATTTTGCAGCCTGAAAATATTTAGGCATTAAAGTAAATTTAAATATAAATTGCGCTTAAATTGGCATAAAAATTTTTACATATCAAAAGAATGACTTGGATTTGAAATTTTATAATAATAATAATAATTAAATACTAATATTTTTAAATTATGTTATAATATTAAATATTATCAAATATTTACGCAAATCTTACCGAAAGAGAGGAAAGCGGGTTGTGTCACTGCAGTCGTCCGAAATTGGCCGCTTTCTACCGCACAAAGTGCATAGTTGCACTCTGCGGGTTTTGTCTCCTTTTTGCATAGGAAGGTCAGGGGGTTCAGGCTGTAGTTCCGGCAGCATGCTTTCATCGCAAATATTTGGTTCCATGAAATTGAATAATTCTTAAAAAAAAAAAAAAAATAATACATGAAAAGCAGATTAATTCATGTCCAACTTGGAAATAAATAAAATCTCACCTCCTTAGTATCACAAGAAAATCATTCAATCAGCAAATTAAGCAGCAACGTGAAATTTTAACACATAAATATATTGTGCTGGTCAGTGATGGTCAGTGTGTGACAAACAACTGACTCATCCCTTTTCCTCCGCAGCTCCCTCGGCAATGCTGCCAAACGTAGGCACGCACCCCCACACCAACTAGTTGCTGCGCGCTGGACCTGCATAAATTTGGCTGCACGGCGCCAGTGCATGATGGGTTCATTGCTCGCAGGTACATTTCCGTATCTTCTCCCATTTCCTTGGCCTTGGCCCATATATACTCTGTGAGATATATGTACACGGCTGAGCCGTGTGACGTCATAATCGCTCCTAGCGCCTCTGCTGGCAAAAGGCTGAACTCAAAATTTTCGCTCTCCCATAAGAGACAAAATTTAACCAAGGATGCTCTCTCTGTATGTACAACTCTTTATTCTCTGTGATTACACCCCTTCCGAGGGAGACGAGCTTCGGTTAATATCATTTTTAATGCGTTTGCGTAACAATCACACGTACCTGCGACAGTCTGCCCTATCCACTGGCGGCTCCTCTAGTCCGCTTCTTACCGAATCCGCTAATTAAATTTAATGTTACGAGTGAAAAAGCCAGAACAGCCAATGTCAGCTTTCAACAGCAGAGCAGAAGCACAACAAAAGGGAAATTGCAAACGGAGGAGGGGAAGACGTTTTTCACGAAAGAGACATCGAAGGTCGCCATGTTTTCTCGTGGCCGCGCACATTTGAACAAGTTAATTTCGGCGGCAACAGATCCCGCACCAGCAGAGAACCTCATTGAAATTTAATTTTTTCCCTTTAGTCGACATTAAATGATTACAATTAAATTAAAATTTTAAAATCTATGACGTGGTATAATTTTTTGTTCATTAAAAAGCTTTCAGCAATTGCATAAATTAATAGATAGAGTATTTATTGAACACAACTAGGTGTACAACGGGTGTCTAAAGCTAATTTGTCTTCCTAAAATTAATTTTACAATTAAGCTTGTTTCGATAATTATTACAAAGTACAAAATTAGTTAATTTTGATTTTTGCAGCCTCTCTTAGGCTTAGTTTTCGTTCATTACATTCAAGAATATGATATTGTGAACATTTCTTACCGCAGTGCTTGCATTCACAATCTATTGTCGCTTGAGAATGAAAATTTTTATTCTTAAAATCAGTGCCGGACTGGCTCTAAAAATTTTACCGGGCGTTTTTAAAATAGGCGGCCCACGCCAACTAAACGGCCCAATTTTGCGCGCCGGCTTCGCCGGCGACGGCCCTCTAACGGGCCCCCGGCCGCGATATTCCGAACCCCACATCAATTGGGCGCATTGTGTGGAATTGGCGCTCAAATTCAAAATTCCCAGAGTTTGATCATTAAAAAATCAGTCAAGAAAGCGATAGAATTGAAAAAAAATATTTAATTGACACTGAATGAAAATAATATGTCTTTGAAAATTAATTTGAACATTTTAGAACAACAAATCTTCATATAAAGCGTTCTAGTTGGAAAGTTTACAGATATTTTATTGTTGACTCCACAATACACGTGCACTTGATCATACTGCAATTGCACCAAATATTATCAATCCTTTTGTTTACTTTTGGCCTTTTGTTCTGACGAATGAAAAGAAAAAAATTCTTATTAAATAATGGCAGTAGCAAGTCCCACTAAAAATATTTTTCCCACGTCCTTCAATACAATCTGTGTGGAGAGCTCAACAGAAAAGATTGTTTTGAGGGCTATGTTGCAAAATGAATCTGATGCCAATCAATGGAAAGAAGATATTTGTGCTATTAGTAGATCTCAGTGGACAGTCCTTTACGAAAGGGATAATCTCGAGAGGTGAGATAACATAATTTTGCCTGGATAAATATGTAAATTATAAGTATATTTATAAATTTTATAGGTTTGTTGTTCACAAAAAATGGTATTGTCACTTCAGCAAGTTAAACAAGACTGAAAATTCTACAAGGAGCACTGACTGCAAGGCTAAGCTTGATATCAAAATTAAGCTGGTATTTATATATTTATTAATACTTTTGAATTGTTGAATTAATTGTTATATAGTTTTTTTCGTTATTATATCATTGTTGATTGTTTTTTATAAATTAATTAATTAATTTGTAACAATAAATATTTTCCAATTTATTTAAAATAAAATAAATAAATAAATTTTATATTTTGCAGAATACTAGAAATACAAGAAACAAAGACAAATACATTAGGCCTGATAAAAATGGAATTAGTAGACCTGCAGTGATCACCATCACAGGGGTGCACAATCACCACCTTAGAAGTGCTGATACGCTTCGACTGAACCGAGTTCCCAAAAGTCTCGAAGATACTTTTATGTCATATTTTGATGATGGTAATACCCCAGCGCAAGCAAGGCGCTTGCACGAAGATCTCCTCGTGTCCGCTGACGCAATGGTTGATTTGGCTGATAATGCACACAATCCAACACGGCGGTGTGTGCATCATATGCATGAGAAGTGGAGTAAAAAAAACTTTGGAGGTCAAAGTGATTCACCTTTAATGAAAATCATTGAAAAGAACGAAAATAACTACTATTTAGAAAGAGGTACATATGATAAATTAAAATAGCAACAAAAAATTTAATCACATATTTTGTATTTTAATTAAAAAAAAAAATTACTTAGACACCCAAGTTTATGTGACGGTGAAGGATGAAAATTGGGCTGTTTTGGTCGTGACTCCAATCATGAAAAGGGTGCAACACTTAGAATCTGCAAAAGAGAGTCTATTCGTAGATTCAACATCAAGTGTTGATGTGACCCACTGCACTTTAACCTCAATGACTGTTCCCTCAAAAGCAGGGGCTCTTCCATTGTGCCTGCTGCTTCACAATGGCCAATCAGAGGATTGCTATAAATTAGCCTTTTCCCTGGTAAAAGATCATTGCCCAAAGGCATTTGGAGGAAATACGGTAAAAAATTTAAAATTTTTTAAACTTTAAATAAGAATACAGTTTGAGAATATTGTGTAATATCAAAGAAATAATATTTAAATTAACCCAATAAAAATTTTATAAGGAGCCCCTCACTACAATGACTGATGACAGTTCTGCTGAGAGAGGAGCTCTTGCTGCTGTGTGGCCATCATCTCGCCAGCTATTGTGCACTTTCCATGTATTATCAAAGGAATGGAAATGGCTCCTATCTAATTCTACCAAGGATGTGAGGAAAAAACTGATGGGCCTATTTTACAAAGTATAATTTAATTTACTTTTCTATAATTTTAAAATTTAATTTAATAGCAACTTAAATTCAGGTCGTTTATGCTGCAAATCAAGAGGAATTTGACAAAGGAGTGGATGAGATCCAAAGTTTGAAGTCAGAAAAAAAATTCGTTGCTCGGTTTGAAAAGTACCTAAAAAGAAAAAATGAATGGGCTATTTACAAAAGGAGTGATCTTCTATTAAGAAACAACCACACCAACAACTATGCAGAGTCCAGCATCAAAATTGTTAAAGAGGCTGTACTTGATAGAATGAAGGTTGTTGATTTAGCAGTTTTAATAACAAGAATGAGATAGAAATATAATTTTATTGCAGGCATTCAATCCTGTGGCCTTGGTAGAATTTGTAATTGGGCCCATGGAGTCTTACTACAAGCGGCGGCTCCTTGACCATGCACATAATCGACACTCAGCCCACTCCATTGTCTTCCACAAGTTACTAAGCAGGATGGAAAAGATCAAACCTGAATCAATCAAACAAATTGAGGAGTTTGTTTTTTCTGTCCCAAGTGCTAACAGAAATGGTAAATATTAATAAATTATGAATTTAATTTAAAACAAGTGTTGGGGACCTAAAAAATTCCAATTGAAAAAAAATCAATGTCAAAATTTGTCTACATAAGAAACCATTTATGAATTTGGTAACAATTACATAATTAAATTTTTAATAATTTAAACATATTCAGGCACCTTTTATGAAGTCCATTCAAAGATTGGTGTGTGCTCCTGTCCAGTTGGTGAGGGTGGTGCATTCTGCAAACACCAATCTCTGCTTGTTAAATACTTCAACATCTCCATGCCCTCGGCTCCTCCACTTCTTAGTGGCGATCGACTCGAACTTGCTCGCTTGGCCCTCGGCAGCAAATGCCCTGACTTGAAATTCTTTTTAGGCCGAACAGAAGTTGATCCAACTGAAAAGGAGCCAAATTTAGATGGTTGGTTAATGTAAAAACAATAAAATATTTTAAAATATATAATTTCTTTAACAATAGTTGCTCATTTTGTGTCGGATGCACAAGTGGAATTTGACGAAGAGCTTCACGCATGCGAAATTCATAGTGAAGAACAAGACCTTGATCCTTTTGATGAGGCTGAGAAAGAAGATTTGGTGAATGAGTGCAAAGATGCATTTGCCAGCTTGATCGAGTTGGCCAAAACTGATGCATCAAACGAATTGCTAAGAAAGTTAAGTAAGGCTTTGAACAAACCGAAGAGTGCACCTGCTGCCACAGCTTCCATTGTTGCCATCTATCGGCAGATTGGTTCTGTCTGCTCACGAAGTGGACGAATTCCCATTCAGTCAAGTGGGCGAGCAAGAAGACGAAAGGGTGTTTCGAAAGGTGCTGCTCAAGTTCCACAAGGCCGTCCACCAAAAATCAAGCAACACAATACACCAGAGGTGCAGAAATCCACAACAAACCAAGGCAAAAGAAAGGTGACTCCATCTTTAGTCAGTCAGCCTAAGAGACAAAGAAATTTAAGTCAAGCTGTTCGAGAAAATGTAGCAAACGCCAAATCACACTAGTTTAATAAATAGCTTTTGAAAAAATTAAAACTGTTTTTCAAAAAACCTTTTCATTTTTGTTTATGTAGTAAAATAGTGAAAAGTATCAGCAGTAATTTTAGTTATTTAAAAAAATTATCATTTAACAACAAATTAATTAAAAAAATTAAAGATATTTAAAAAAAAAAATAATTAATAATATGAATAATTATACATACCTCAAAAAATATCATTATAGGTTTTGTGAGAAAATTCAATTATAGTGTTAAGTTGATCTAAATCGAAACAATATTTTGCACAGCGTTTCGTCCGTGTATTTGTTTACCCAGCACCCAGCTGTTGTGCGTGCTCCAGCTGTATTGTGTGGTCAACGATAAAATATCTGTAAACTTTCCAACTAGAACGCTTTATATGAAGATTTGTTGTTCTAAAATGTTCAAATTAATTTTCAAAGACATATTATTTTCATTCAGTGTCAATTAAATATTTTTTTTTCAATTCTATCGCTTTCTTGACTGATTTTTTAATGATCAAACTCTGGGAATTTTGAATTTGAGCGCGAATTCCACACAATGCGCCCAATTGATGTGGGGTTCGGAATATCGCGGCCAGGGTGCGCGGGACGTTCCAAAGGGTGCGTTAATTTGGAAAAAAAACACACCCCACCCACCTGACACCAAATCTGTCGTGACTCTCGACAGGACTTTTCCCCGAAGTTCTCACTTGCGCAGAGCTGGAGACTTTCCCGGACTCGAACGTGCTTCTTAATTAATTAATTGACTTAACTTGGCGGCCTCATGGAAATTGGCTTTAATTCTAATTGGCCTTTAATGCTTTTACTCTTTTATCTTTGTGCTCTAACTAAAAAGGGTTAATTGATATTTCAAGTAAACAAGTTAATTAACAATAACAAATAAAGTGATGGTTTATTCTTAAAACTAAACAATAATTGGCCAAACTAATGCGGAATTACTATTAGATTTAATATTCTAATGCTGAGTTTTAAAGTTCGGACTGAATTAGTGAACGGATTAAGCTGATTTAAAAGGATATTCAGTTCGGAATTTATCTAGCGTGGGCGCCAAGCAATACCTTTTAAAGCGGGAAGGGAAACCATTACAACCACACTTATTGTTAGTCGAGTCCAGGAAGCGTCTGCTTGGGCACTCAGGTGGCGCCCTGAGCGCGGCGGTCGTAGTTCTCGGTGGTGGCGTGGCGCGCGGGGCGGGAACTTAAGGGTTGTGCTCAGCTTTGGTTAATATACTAAATGGCCTTAACGCGCGCGGTTACATATAATAAGGTTTTTGTACAGTTAAGTTTCTTCTTCTGCGCAATACAATAATTAAAGATCTCTGTGGTTACACCACATATCATTTTCAAAAATCAGCAGATGGAAGGAGAAGGAATCATTCAAAGTCTTAATGATCTCTGCCAGTTTAGAGTTGGGATAATAGGAAGAAGTATCTGCAAAAAGCTGTCTGTTAAAAATGATCTCTCCATTTGCTTGTCCAAGTTTTACCTCCAGCTCTGATCCTGCTGACCGCCAGTCGTTGGCTAATGACATAGTCGATTCCTGGAGGCAGAGTGCGGATAATAACTTTGAGGTTGTATTTGGTGCTCAAGCTGGTGACTAGCTGTGGCGCTCGTTGAATCTGATTGGTCGAGACAATTATGTTTCTGGACACAGATGGTTCAAGCGGCTGCAGAAATTAAATTTTGAAGCAAGTAACAAAAATAAAAATTGGGGAAATACATTAGATAGGACAGGCCGTGTTTGAGACGCATCCATTTCAGATTTTCTGGGAAAACTGTCAATCCTCGCTGGTGGAGGATCTCGAACCATTCTTGGCAGGGTTTTTCTATAGCTACTATCAACAGTCTTTCTCTCGGGATTCACTTTAGCAACCTGGATTTCCTCATTTTTGGACTTCTTAGGAAATGGAGGAGGCCCCATTTTTGACCTAGTCTCTTCAGATTTCTCATTGTAAACTGAATTGCGAGGTTTGTTTATCATAGACGTGCTAGGTAAGTTGGGAGTTTTGAGTTGCTTCTGTTGCTCAGTTTTTGTAGGCTCTTCATTTTCACTAAAACATTCAGAAATTTGAGCAAAAAGTGTTTTAACTTTCCTTAGGTTCTTTACCTGTCACTTGATAATGGAGCTATGACTCGTCTCATCCTTTTCTTGCCTCTATTGTCATCTTCCGAGCATTGTCCAGATTTCTTTTTCTTGTTCTTTTCTTGCAGTCTTTTCTCACACACCTCCAAAATATCCTCCTCCGACTCACTTCCCGAACCCTCAGTGACAACACAAAAAGAGTCCTATAATATCAAAATCATTGAAGGATCTAAGAGAATTTCAAAACAAATATCACCTCTAAGTAAGTATCCTGTGTTGCTTTGCTCAAATCAGGCACACATTTGTGCTTTGCCAGAAGTTCAGGAATTTTGAACCCCTTCTTAATGACAGGACTTCTCACAGACTTCAAATACTCTGCATGCATGCTGCACAAAGATGACGTCAGAAATAAAATTTCGAAGCAGCTAAGAAAAACAAACTCTATGTCAACTAGGGTGCTAGGGTGGTCATCAATGAAGCTTTGGTCGTACTGGTTCATTTGCGTGCAATCCTCTTCGTCTGATGAGTCATTTCCAGAAAGACTTGCTTGTGTCAGGGCAAATGGATTCCTTTGCTTCTGAATATCAGAAAAATATATTTTGAATTAAAATATCTATTAAATGTTACAAACCTTCTTTTTTGGTCTTTTGCTGGGCCTTGGATTGAAATCAGAATTTCCTGAGGTGTGTCCGACAATGGTCGTTTGCTGGTGGACAGTCTTGGCTCGTTACTAATTGTGGATGTCATTGTCTCAATAATGATAGGCTCATCATCAGAGTCCCCTGAAGTTATCAGAGAATTGATAGTGAAAATTGAAGTAAAAAGATACAAACCTGGAGGCGCTGCCAAATTGTTTCCTTTGGCCGGAGTAGGAATAAACTGAGTCTGCTGCTTTTCAATGGCATCGACCTGCTCCAGAAAATCTTCATCCAATGCTTCAAGAGAGTCCTTATCCTCCTCCTTCAGAGTTGGCAGAACCTCTTTACATAGAATGGATTTTCGTTCAAGGACTGGCTTGACATTTTCTTCTCTTTTCGCGGACACCACAACTCCATCCTCTTGTTTTACACCCGGCTTGGATTTTACTTTGCTTGCCTTAGGGGTGCTCGTTATTTGTCCCAGTTCCCCAACCTCCAGTTCAGCAGCCAGCGCGCAGAGCAACTCATCCGACAGGCAAGTTTCCTGAGAAGAGTTTTCAACAGCAGGGTGCAAATTTTCAGCAACGGCAACTTCTGAAGCTGGTGAAGGTGCACTCATTATATCCAAGTCGAAATTAAACTCGGGTTTGTTCACAGTCTCATCTTTGAATATTGTGTTGATATTTTCAGCAAGAGCGTTAATTTTAGTCTTCTTCAGAGGAGTGGTCGGCATTCGCAGTTTTTTTACAAAAGGAGTTTTTCTTGGGGACTTTACAGTTACTTCCGTTTCTCTCACAACCACATTGTAAGTTTTTTTGGACTTTCTGAGGTCTGCAAAAATGTGGTCCAGAATCGAAATGTCAGGAGGCTCAAAATCTAGGTCTGGCTTTTCCTCCACTTGCACAGTGTGGGAAATTAGACTAACCGAGTCAAGAACCTTCATGATGGGGTCTTTGTCAACTGACTCGTTCCGAATTTTGCAAAGAAGGGCTAAATTCGAGATGAAGAGGTCAATTTCTTCGTGGACCGACCGCTTCTTTTCCTTTGGTTTAGGGAGTTGAAAAATTGGAATTATATCCTCAAATTCCTCTTTGGGAAACAAAGGGGCTTCAGGCAACAACTTTGGTTTCTTGACTTTCTTCTTCTCCAACGGCTTTGTGACCCTTGCATGGTTGGATGTGGTCGAAGGCCTGTTCTGCGCCTTTCCCACTTTTTTGCCTCCAACTTCACTCCCGAGTTTTGTTGACCAGAAAGACACGTCTGCCGATACCTCATTTGCAATCACTGCAAGTTTCAAAATAATCAGCTTCATTTAAAAAACATGAAATTCTGAAATAAGAAACTGACCAGCCGTTTGAGTAAGAGGTGCATTGTCAACTTGGTTCAAGCCGTCAGCTAACTGCATCAGGCTCACTATGTCTCTTGAATCCTGGGAGTGCAGAGTGTTTGAGGAGCCCTGCAAGCTTGAACACCACTCCTTCCACAGCATAAAATCATACTTATTAGACGACCTCTCTTCAAATTCCTCCACATGGTTTTTCATTTCATCTATAAAAACAATCACACTGTTAACATAAAAAAAAACTTTAAGATAGAATAAACCATAATTCTGAAGTGCTAAAAGGCTTTGGTCCTTCAAAGAATCAAGATAGCTGAATTCAGGAATCGGCTCGTGCCATTTACTAAAGGTTGAATTCATTGAAGAGAAAACATTGGCAGCTGAAGGGAGGGTAGTAGTTTCAGCACCAGTGGGAAACTTCCTGTGAGGCTTGATTTTGCAGAAGGGACTCAACGTTTCTTTTGGAGTGACTAGAATTTTTCGAAATAATTCTGGATGTACACCTGAAAGTTTAAAAAGGGAAAATAATTTTTAAAAATTATTGCTTTAATTTTTGATTACCTTGAGGAACCATTCGTGGACTGTTCAGTTGATTCATAATCGGAATCACATTCCAGTTGCACATGTTTTTGTTCACAGTTACATTCTGCTTCATGCTTGAGGTGTATTTCTGTTCATAAAAGCTATAATTTTTCTTGATAAAATTAGCAATAATAGTTTCCAAACCTGATATTCTTTGCCCTCAGTTAGAATGGTGATGACCTTTCCATCCCTCTTGCGTCCAGTCCTGCCTATTCTTTGGACAATCCTGATAGGAGACCTGCTGGCGTCGTAGCAAATGATCAGGTCTACTTCTCCAATGTCTAGACCCTCCTCTCCAACACAGGTTGACACTAGAGTGTTGAAGACGTTCTTGTGGAAGTCCTTCATGACCTTCTTCTGCTCGTCCTGTCTCAACCCTGTGCCTCCTTTCTTAGACTGGCCGACGAAAGTCACAGGTCTGATAAGCGGGCTATGTTTGCTTAGAAATTCTGTGATTTCCACAACAGATTGCCGGTACTAAAAAGAAAAATTAGAATAACTCATTATAGAAAAATTGAAGGATTCAACCTCAGTAAAAATGATCACTTTGGTGTCAATGCATTTGTCTTCGGCTTCCAGAAAATGGGTCAGTAGAAGTTCTTCCAGCTTTTGCATCTTAGGATGACCAAATTGGGCTGACTATCGACAACATAAATCATAATTATAATTACATAATATATATAATAATATCAGAAACAGACCTCAATATCTTTAGTTAATCCTACAATGTCTTCGTCATGAGTAAGGGTATAAACCAGAAGCCTATTTTGGTTTTCAGCTTTAGTTTCTAGAAAAATTAAGTAATTTTCATGAAAAGATTCACATTAAATAATATTAACATAATTACGAGCAATGTGGTTAAGGAAGGCGCCTTTGCCGTAGCTGACAAGCATCTCATAGGCTTTACTCAGGTTCATAGCGACCTGACCTTGGTGACGGAGGTCATTCAACTCCATCGCACCGACTCCAGGCAAGGGTGTTGTGTTCAACTTGTCGCAGAATGTTTTCAACTGAATTAAAATATTTCAGAGATTTCTTAAATTTTTAACTACTAAAACAGTAGTTCTATTATGGGCATTCGGCCCGGTTGACCCCTGACCCTAGAACCTCCCATAAGAATAACATGGGCCATAACAATATCATTGTCCGTAAGAAAAGCAAGGGCCGTAAGAAATACATGTGCGAGGACCACGCAGCATTGCGCGCCCTCTCCCACTTTGACACAAAGAAATATTCAATTTAATTAGAACGTTTGACCATAAGGTTAACACGGGTCTCCCATTTGAAATATGCAGCACCGGTTAATAATTAATTAATAATTAAAATTAACACTTTGCCCCCCCCCCCTCGCACCGTCTTGTGCTTCCTCCGTGTGAAATGGGCAACGGAGAACGCCTCGGCCCATGTTATTCTTGTGGCCAATGTAAATCATATGGGAGGTTGACCTGAGGTCAGGGGTCCACCGGGCCAAATGCCCATAATAGAACTACTTAAAACTTGCCTGAAATGCACTCAAGTTAGAAATGTTGTAAGATCTTGGCACAACTCCTTTCTGCATAAATTTGACCAGATAACGACTCAAAATCTAAAAGAAAAGAAATTATTTTTGAATAAACATTGCAAAAATTTGTTTACGTCCAAGAGTCTTCCACTGACTTCCTTCAACTCCCTGCCAGGACTGACTTTGATGACTTCGATATCCTTCTTGTGGGAATACTGTTTTACTTCAGGACTTTCATCCGTCAGCAACTTCAACTTGGAGATGTTCAAGTTTTTCAACACCTTTGGAAAAAATATATATATTATTATTATTTTACTTCAAAATACAAACGGAAACCAACTTCCGATATGGATTCTCTGTCTGAACCGGGAGTGGCGGAGAGGGCGAGCACCCTGAATTGAATGTTGTAGGAACGCATGGTCTGCATGACTACGCAGTACGACTATGATGCTGAAGTTAGCGTCATCCACATCCACATCCTCATCCACATGTGGATAGAATTGTTCCGTCAAACTCGAGCCTCATATATCGCCATAAGGTTAACATGTCCACATCCACATCCACACCGTGTGGATGACGCTATCCTCATCCACATCCACATCCTCATCCACATCCACATCCTCATCCACATCCACACGTAAAAATATTTTAAATTGAAATTAAAAAATAAAAATAAAAAATAATTTTTTTTTAATTTTTTTCAAAATTAAATTAAATTATCTTGTTATCTTCTGTAATAATTATCACATTTAAAATCACGCTAAAAAGTGTTTATCCACACGTGCACCCTCCATCCACACCGTGTGGATGACGCTATCCACATCCTCATCCACATCCTCATCCACATCCACATCCACATCCTCATCCTCATCCACATCCTCATCCACATCCACACGTAAAAATATTTTAAATTGAAATTAAAAAATAAAAATAAAAAATAATTTTTTTTTAATTTTTGTCAAAATTAAATTAAATTATCTTGTTATCTTCTGTAATAATTATCACATTTAAAATCACGCTAAAAAGTGTTTATCCACACGTGCACTTTCCATCCACACCGTGTGGATGACGCTATCCACATCCACATCCCCATCCACATCCTCATCCACATCCACATCCTCATCCACATCCACATCAACATCCACATCCTCATCCACATCCACATCCTCATCCACATCCACACGTAAAAATATTTTAAATTGAAATTAAAAATAAAAATAAAAAATAACTTTTCTATTTGTTGTGTGGATAATATTACTTAATTTTGAGAAAAATTAAAAAAAAAAATTTTTTTTGATTTTTATTTTTTAATTTCTTTTTTCAAATATTTTTAGGTGTGGATGTGGATGAGGATGTGGATGTGGATAGCGTCATCCACACGGTGTGGATGGAGGTGCACGTGTGGATAAACACTTTTTAGCGTGATTTTAATTGTGATAATTTTTACAGAAGATAACAAGATAATTTAATTTAATTTTGACAAAATTAAAAAAAAGATTTTTTTATTTTTATTTTTTAATTTCAATTTAAAATATTTTTACGTGTGGATGTGGATGAGGATGTGGATGTGGATGAGGATGTGGATGAGGATGTGGATGGGGATGTGGATGAGGATGTGGATGAGGATAGCGTCATCCACACGGTGTGGATGTGGACATGTTAACCTTATGGGAATACATGTGGCTCGAGTTTGACGGAACAATTCTATCCACATGTGGATGAGGATGTGGATGACGCTAACTTCAGCACGGTGTACGACTGGTTGCCCTTGGCCTTGTGCGCTTCGTCGAACACAATGCAACAGACCTCCTTAGCAGGACAAATGCCGGCGACCAGGTCGTTGGCCACCACCTGCGGAGTGGCAAAGAAAACCTTCTTTGTGTTCCACTCCTCCTGCCTCTTGCTTTGTAGCATGGTTGAACCTAAAAAGAACAGTTTATATGGGACTGGACGATTTTCTAATAAAAACCTGTCATTTCAGTCATGTCAGACGTCAGACTTGGGAAAGCCTACAATGTTGTAGCAGGCGGACACTTGCTGGGCCACTAAAGGCTTAGTCGGAGCCAAAAACAAAATTTTCTTGTTCGGAAACCACCTGTAGTAGTTAAACATAACCACTGCTGCGATAAACGTCTTTCCAAGACCTAAAAATTTAATAAATCAATCTTTGTTTGCGGTTTAAATAAAAGGGGATAAATGCACACCTGTAGGAATACAGACTAGGGTGTTCTGGAAAAGCGCTGTCCGGACAATGTCCAGCTGGTACTTCCGTTCAGGGTAGTTCACAGGGTAAACCCAGTGTTGACCAGTCTCGCTGCAAAAACCTTCATTGTTCAGGTTGGACTTAGACGAATACAACTGCAACGGGCCAGTGTCTTCCACAGGTGGTTGTTGTTGCTCCCCTGTAGTTGCAAGGCGTGCTGCGTTTGACGGACCGGCTGTAAATTAGCATTGTTTAATTTTTTTGTCACATATTATTACATCAATTTCATGTTACCTTCGTCCATTGCTGTTATTTCAGGACCAAAACTTTCTTACATGGTGTGAAACTTTCGAGACTTGCGGTCGCGGTGGTAACGGCTATGTAAATTATGCAGTGGAAGTTTTAAGTGGATCCATAATCAGCCGTCACAACTTTTGAAATAGCCGAAAATCGATTAGAAAACTGAAATCAAACGCTATGACAACTGACAAATAGCGAAATTGCAGAAATATAAAAAAAAATTGAAGGGAAGCAAGAGGTAAAGGTAAACCAATAGGTAAACAAACAAATTTAATATAAGAGAACTCCTTGCGACTCCTTGTAAGAGAAGGTCAGAGACAAGGGTCAGAGATTGGTCAGAGAGGGTCTACCAGCCATTCAGCCAATCATCACAACGGACGAGAGTGAGTGAGAACTGCGCCGCCATCTAGTGGCGCGACGACTAACTCCTTGCAGTCACTCACTTCACACACACAGAGTTCTATTATTCAACTCTGTATTATACACACATAGTTGTATTATTCAACTCTGTGTTTCACAGATTTCAGGATCGGACGCAGATGCATGCAAAGGGGGTGATCGACATCGACAGCGTGAAGGTCGGCCCCTTCTTCACGATGAAGGGAGACGTGCAGGCAGAGTTTGGAAATGTCCGACCGCACGCCAGAGCCAGGCGATTAGTGTGAAAAGGTGAAATAGGTGAAATTATTATTTTTTTATTTTAATTTTGGGTGGGGGAACATTTTGTATGATTGACATTCATGGTTTAATGTTTGATAAAAGTTTCTAAAGTTTCTGATTGATTACGTTTGGGGTTTGAATTCCATATCGATCTTCATGCGCCCTTTGAACTTGACTGTTTTTTTTTTTTGGAGTCGAACATCGGAGACCCAGACTCCTAGACCAAGTAACATGAAGTATGACTACGGACTACGGCGATCCGAATCCAACATTTTCCCTTGTTGTGGAACTACTGTCCACAACCTTTGAATAAAGGTGAACCAGAGAGAGCCCGCTTAGATAGCCCGCGATTGTGCGCCGAGCTTTCTCGGTGAGTGGCGGATCGTGGCCATCTACCGGTCAACATTGGAACGATCAGAAAGTAAACAAACCGCCTCGTGTTTTTGCTGTCGCCGGAAAGAAGAAAGAAAGCAAATAGACTCACTTTTTATTCGCCGCCGGCCAACTCGTCCCAGTCCCGACCCGAATAAATCATCAGGTTTGAGTTTTATTGCCCGCTCAAGTCATTTAAACCCATTTTGTCGTTTCTCGTCATCTCCGCCGTCCATGTTTGGGTAATCCCCGGAGAAAATGACCATATAAGGCCCGATTTGAGAACTCGCGATCTGATTGGCCGGAACCTTCTGGAAGCGAGTAGAAGCAGACCGATGCGTTCTCTCATTGGCGCTGGGGAGTTGAGCGAGAGAGTTCGTGCTGAGACGCTGAAGGAGCAAGAGCTGCGCGCCGCGAGCTCTTGGCTGCCGACGGGTTTCGGACGAATTTCGGCCTAGATTTGCGAGTTCTCTGGTAGTGTGAATTGTTCCCTGAGTTGGTCTGGTGTTGGTTAGGCGTTTATTTGGTGAGTTTATTGGATTTTTAGTTAATTTTGCCCGGTTTAAGAAGTTACGTCGGCCGCACGTGGTGCTGAACCCCGCCGATTTTTGAGTTGTAAGTCCCGAAATTGTTTAGTTTTGCGTGGAAATTGTCGGAATAATTAGCGGTTGAATTGTTTTCGCCGCTAATTTGCATATTTTTGTCAGATTAGTGGAAGTTGCGAGTTTTGTGTAAGCCGGTGAACCGAGCGCGCCCTGTCGGCGGCGGCGGTAACCGAGGCCCGATTCCTCCCATCGAGTTAGTTTGTTTCCCTTCCTCCCTTTGCCGGTAGAGGCGCTGTTGGCCGTTTCAAGTGTAAAGTACCGTGAAGTTAGCAAGTAGAATAAATAGAGGTTCAGTTTAAATTGTAATTCTTTGTGGTTTTCGTTCGTGAGTTGGGAGTTTCCCGTGGGATTTAGTTTAAGATTAGGTAGAGTAGAGAGAGAGAAATAGTTTAAGAGAAGAAAAGCAAGTAGTTGATCAGAGAAGAAGGAAATTGTTGAAAAGAGTGACTGGGAGAATACGATTGAACAAAGGAGGAGACCCGCGTTCAATCAAGTTATTCTCTTAGTTCTGGGTCGTTGGTGGAACAGGCCGTTGCCACGATTCGAAGGTTTAAATTTTAAATGTGCCATTGCCGCCTTTTGGGTTCCCTCACAGAGCAATTACTTTTCGCGCCCTGAAGGTGGCACCCTGAACGACAGCACGCAGCAGCAGCAACCCGCCCGCAAGAGAAGGAGGAGACGCTCGCGAGCCACCGGCCGGCAAACACACCCGTGTGTGCGCCGCGCGCTTCATAATTGGGGGGGTATTGCTCTGTCCATTATTTGTATCCCAGTTAACTTTAATTGCGCCTCGCAGTTTATTCCGATCGCCAAGTTGTACTTGCCAGTTTAAATTACAATAGATTTAATCCTACACTTAAAAGTAACCACCCGTGCTTTTATTAATTACCGCGACCCCGAGTCTAAGGGAATACGGCAGAGAGAAAGAAAGCAGAAATCTCTCTGTCGTGGCGCTCAGTGGCCGAGTGTCACGACAGAATTGGTGTCAGGTGTGTGGGGTACTGAATTGTGCCCCAAGAGGAACGTCCCACTGCGCAGAAGGACTCGTCCGTACCAAAAGCTCCATCCGACCTCATCCCGTTCCGGACGCTGGTTCCGCATCTGAAGTCAGCCGTTTGCTCTCACCCTTAGGACGGGACGCCGTTGCTACCCTGGAGGCACCTGCCGAGCTGACTTGCCAGAGCTGTTAAGTTAAGTGCCCCTTTTGCTTGAGACTTTAACCAAGTTGCATTTTTTTTCTATTTTTTTCGCGAGTATTGAAGGAAATCACACCGAATTAAAAATAAAATTTAAATTCTGAGCTCTGATTGAGAGCATTTTATTGCACTTGGGTAAATCTCACCTCTTTTATCTTTTGTGGCTATTCTCGCGCGCACCTGCACACTCACCAACAAGATGAGCTTGCTCCACATCGACTTCGACCAATTCCTCGTCACCCTGAATGACCAACGTGGGGCGGCCGCCGCCGCCATCTTCGCCGCAGGGCAACCGCCAAGTCCAGCAATTCACGTGCTCTCCCGACACCACGGAACGCCGCAGATCGAGCAGTACGGGGGCAACCAAGGCACTTCACTGTCCCAGTTCATCCAGAGCGTAAGGAGAGCAGCATATCACTGCCCCCTAAGTCACCGAGCCCGATCTGGTCCATCTTGCCATCATCAACCTTTCCGGGGATGCCTTCGAATTCGCTCACAAGCTCGAAGTGGAGGGTCTCACTCTCAACATGTTGGAGCAGAAACTGGCTGAGAGGTACGAGCAAGCCGTCCCCTACGCAGAGCTTCGAATCAACTTTGAGCGCCTGAAACAAGAGCAGACAGAGAGTGTCGGGCAGTTTTACAACCGCATGGAGGAGGTCGCCAAGAAGCTTGTGGCCGCCTCAGAATGGCCGCAGGACACAACCCAAGCGGTCAAGGAATTTTACCTGGAGCGGGAGATGCAGTATCAGTTTCTGAGGGGTCTGAAACAGGACATCGTCACCGCACTCCAAATGTCCAGCCCAGGGTCACTGCGGGAAATGCTAAAGGCTGCCAGAGACTTTGAGGCACAGTGGTGCGGACGACAGCCAAGTTTCCAGAGAGTTGAAGATCCGGCAGTCACTCCATCCGCTTTCGCCTGCCAGGATGGCACCCAAAACCACGGCGGTGCGCCTCTGTCAGGCGCCTCAGTCAACTGCGCTCCAGTGCAGACGCCGCCGACCCTGCAGCAGCCCACTCCTCAGACTCCCCTGCAGGTGGTGCAAAACAGCACCAGCACTCGCACGAGAACCGCCACTCAGCACGGGCAGGGAAGTACATCCGGCACATCCAGAACCAACCTGAAAGGAAGAAAATGCATTAGTTGTGGTCTCCTGAGACATGTCATTAAAAGCTGCCCCAACTGCCCCTACTGTTTCCAGAGCGGACACAAAATTGAGAGCTGTCCCTTGATACCATGCCGAGTTTGCAGCAAGAATGGACACCTACCCAACAACTGTCCACTCCTGACAGGGGAGGAAAATGTGTCCTCGCAAACAGGGAGACAGGAGGCAAAACAGACGCCGCCCTCCGGTCTCTCTTTCACGTCCAGCATCGCCTCAGCAGCGCCCTCTGTGTCCAGAAGGGCGCCTCTGCGTCCCCAGCAGGGTCAACAGTGACAGCGCTTCCATCATCCGCGCTCTACCTGGCAGAGACGATGACCATGGACCTAAAGAAAAAAAAACGAAATGAGAAAAATTGTCAGAAGAAAACAAAAGAAATCCCCAGTTGCAAAGATTCTGAGAACAACACAGTTTACCTGATCCTCCTCCTCCACCACAGAGAGGGACCACCGAGGTCTCCAGCAGACACATCACCAAGCAGAGAAATAAATGGAGCTTTTAGGAATGCAGCGGGAGCACCCAGCTCACCAGCAGAGAGATTTTGCACAAGGCCAGTGCAGAGTCGAACCGCCAGCAGCACTCCTGAAACCTCAAATTAGTCAGAAACACAGAACAAGAAAAATGCAAGCGCCTTACCTTCAGACGACAGCACCGGGGAGGCGCCGACACACAAAGATCATCCATCGGGGAGCACCACGCGGAATCTGGCTGTTCGATTGCCACCAGCAGTCCCTCGTGCACGGCAGACAAAGGCCATCAGTCCGACCTCTTTGGCGGTGACGGACATGCCACGGATGGCCCACCTCCGATGGTGCCAATTCAGTCTTCGGCTGGTCTACAAAATATATCATCGGTGCAGCCGGGTGACTACGAGTCAACCAGGGGGCGGTAACAGCCCCAGGAAGGACACGCCAGTCTCTGGCCGACCAGATCGGACACTCTGCTGCCTCTGGTGACCGTCCAGAGTCCACCAGGGGGCAGCCACCGCCTGCAGAAAATTTGCCAAGCGCGCCAGCTGGCGCAGGCACCAGCAAAGCTGCCGAGCAGCCACCGCCGCCCACACCTCGAAAGCGCGGCCGGCCTCGGAAGGGCGAGGAGAAGGCAAAAGTGCCTGAGCCTTTCGCTGAACTCGCCGAGTTGGCAGGCCTACACCGCGGGCACCACAATCTGCGAGAGCGCCAACCACGTCTCCAAGATCCGAATTTTGCTTGGAACCAGTGACGAGGACCTGAAACAAACAAAAAAGAAAAGAAAAATCAGTAAAGAAAAGGAGCAGTTCAAGAAAGAAGAAAACGCGCCGAATTCCGAATTGCAAATCTGAGCCACATTAGATAAAAGTTGAACCCATTTAGTTAATAAGAATGTATAAATGGAGCGACATTAGCTGAAGTTCTCGCTCAGACTGAATGTGAATAATTAAGATTTGGGCGACATCAGTTGAAGTTCTCGCCCAACTTAAGTAAATGACTGCGCAAGAGCGAAGGACAAGCGAGTCCGAACTGCATAATTTGTCGAAAGAATGCAGTTAGAATAATATCAAATTGTAAATTAATTGTAAAATAGCTTAAATTCCTTGCTTAAAATTTTCAATTGTAAATTAAAAGGAAATGAATTTTTTTTTTGTACTAATTTTGTACTTTGTAATAATTATCGAAACAAGCTTAATTGTAAAATTAATTTTAGGAAGACAAATTAGCTTTAGACACCCGTTGTACACCTAGTTGTGTTCAATAAATACTCTATCTATCTAATTTTTTTTTTAAATTAAAGGAGGTCAAAAATTTCATATTTTTTCTCTGCGAGACGTCTTCTCATGAACAAAAATGATATTCCATGAGGTTGCGCGTGATAATTTTTTGCTTGTGCCACCAGAATCGGCACTTTTTTTCAATCTTGGCGCGCTGAGTTGCTGAACCACGGGGGCGCGGCTCAAGAGCCCTTCGCAGCAAGAAGTAGAAGCGGCGGCTCTCGCCGTTTAGCTGACTACGATTTAACCCGTGGAGGCGGAGCTTCTTTCCTCTCCCATGACCTCCATAACATTTTTGAATGAAAACGCGGTACGCGGTATACCTCGCATAGTGATAATAAAATAAGCAAAATAAGTGCTCCTTGTTACTGAAACAGAAAATTTGAGTTTGAAATTCCAAAAACTTGGATTAAATTATTTTAAAATAAAGGATAATTTAAAGAAGGAAATAAATAAAACCATACTTCATTTTCAAAATATAACAAGTTTATTTATCTCAGTCGATTAAAAGATTTGGAATACAAAATTAAAATATTTCCAATTGAAGACTAGCTATAATAAAGCACAACTCTTGTTTGTAATAACACAGATTCCATAAGCGTAAAATTTAAAGCAGCATTCCTAATTAACTGCGAACCAGATTTCATATCACCGAGGATTTTCTTGCTTTGTTGCAGAAGGCTCAGGTAGAATGAACTTGGTGCTAGGCTGCAGCCGCACCCTGTTGATGACATAAATTTTATATTAATGATTAATTTAATAGTTAAGCAAATTAATAACGCACATGATTGTTCGGGGAGTTTGTGGATTGGCTGGAATGGGGTCTGTAGCTGAAGGCATCCGTATGAAACAGAGTGGTTGGCCAAAAACACCATTCAATGAGTTGGTCCTTGGGCGCATTGGTGTTGCTGTTTGCTGCCCTCCTGGACGGGCCATTATCATCAGTGGTCGAGTGAGGAGCGGACTAGTGAATGACTGAGCTCTTGGCCTGATTCTGTTTGTCAAATTATGAGATTAAAACTTATTGTTACCAGGAAAATTGTAAAATAAATTACTACCTTTTGTCAGTGTTCACCTGGGAGCTTTCACACTCGCTCTTTCTCTTGGTTCTTTGTGCAAGCGGAGTGGAATGGTGTTGGGGACTGGGAAGTGTAGAGTCGAGGACCGAGATTCCTTCTTCTCTGATCTCTACTTCTTCCGAGACTTCAAGCTTCTTTCCAGCAGGAGTGAATTGGGCGAACAGTCCTGCGGAATTTTTGAGATTTCCTTTCTTCTTCCAAGCTGCCTTATTTTCTTCTGCTGCTGCCTGGTAAATATTTGTTGTTACTTGCGGGTATGAAGTGCTCGATTGACCACTGCAAATAGAATAATGATAAGTTTTTGATATTCTCTTCTTAAATAAGTAAAAAAATTATATAAAATTCCATGCTCACCCAATTAATGGCCTTGCGACCGAAACTCTCTTGGAAAAAATAACTTCATCAGAAAACAGCTTAGGAACTTTTGCAGATGTGGCCAATGTTGCAATCTTAACTTTCCCTCTGCTAGCTCGCAGGACAGCTTTCAACTGATGGTTCTGCTGCTTCAGAACGAAACGCATCAGCGATCGCAGCATGACTTTGACCATGAAGGTTTTGTTGACTTCCCCGTGTAATGCACAAGACGATTCGAGAAAGTCAAAATCTTCACTGCACTTGATTGCCTCAGCCAGGAGAGCCCCGATGTCTTTCTCAGCATAGCTAATTTGCAGAATCTGGATGAAGCTTTTGGAGGCCCGGTGGACAAATAACTGCAGTCTACTGGAGCAGGCGACAAACGAGTAGTTGCTGCTTTTGTCTTCAGTCAGTGACAAAATGCTGTGCTGTTCTTCTCGACTTCCTGGATCAACTGCAAATGCAGTTAAGCAAAAATCACACATGCCGTTGTTTTGTGTAAGCCTTCTTGCAAGATAGGATGCATATTTGACGTCCCCGTGGTTATCACTTAAAACATATTCTTCAGTATCTTCTGGGTCCTTAGAAGTTTCTCCTTCTTGCTTGTCTCTGTCATTTACAGCAGATTGTGATTTTTGAGCGGCAATTTTGGTGAAGTCCACCTGGTTGAAGAGGTCCCAAAAAACAGCACCATCCTCCAAACAGTTTGAATTCTTTCCTCGGGTAGGGTCCATGACATGTTGTACCATAAGGAACTTGTATACTCTACAAAACTCTCGGGGAGTGACATCAGGATGCCCATTTCTATAGCGAACCTAGGAAAATGATAAGAAATGAAATTTTTGCTTATATTTTAATATTTACTTAAATGTACCTGCGAGAAAAAGTTTTCCACGAAATCCTGATTTATTGCTCCTGTTGGCATCTCCTCACACCCTAGGGCATGCATTTCATCCCAAAGGCCTTGAAATGCTGCTATAGTGAGAAGCCATCCATTCAAACATGGTGGTCGGTAAAAAGTCCCATCCTCTTGCTCTCCTTTTGGTGGCCTGTAGAATCTTAGGTTTTTTATGTACTCCGTTGCTTTACTCCACAAAACATGGTGTGGGGAGTCTGCTGTAACTGCTTCTTTCAGTGGTTTTCTTCTTGGCAGCCACTCTTCAGGTTTCTCCGGATCTGGTCTTCGAATTTTAGCGTTACAGGAGTCGAACAGGTCGTTGAAAAAGGTGCACAATTCAGCTGTACCTTCTGCTTTCTTATCAATTTTGCCGTCTTGGATGCATTGTCGTATACCTCCAGCTACTGTCCGACTGAGAACTTGCGCTGCCATCGGAACATTCATGTTGGTCATCGAATCACCAAAAATGTGGGATTCGGTGAGTTTTGGTGCTACTCGAGTTATTTTCTGGCAGTCGAGTTCATAAAAGGAGACAATGTCAGCCCAATTTGCAAGAGCTTCTGTTCCATCTTTTCTCTTTTGAACCCCCACAGCTTTCTTAAGGTTGGACTTGATGCTTTTCAAAAGATGTGGAGGGTCAAAGAGACAGAAAATCTTTTGGTTGTCCCTGACTATGTACGGCTTTTCAGGGCTGACTTGGAATGTGTTGCTAAAGAGACCTATGTGCGCAGGACCCTGGTCACACACCAGGGCCTTCACAATCAGCCCAGTGCCATTGACTTTTGTGATGGCCTTTTCAATGGTCTTCTTGATCTTTGTGGCAGTCAAAGAAGGGTCATGAAACTCATAAAGCAGTGGCAGCTTGAAGTTCCCAAAAATGGACTTGAGCATAAGGACGTTTGCCTGTGTTGCTAGATGTTTGGATTCTCTATCAACTCCAAGCAAGTAGCCTTCCTCATCACCTTGTCTCACATAATGAAGTTCCGGCTTGAGGTTTATTGCGTCCCACGACAAAACGACATATTTGGCCCAGTCGTCAATGTCAAGAGCCAGACACTTCATTGCTTCAAAAATAAAATCGTTGAATCCCTCTGTTATTTGGTTCCTATCAAGCATTTCCTGTAATTACAAAAAATATGACTATCAACATGAGAGGTTTTTTATTATATACTACCTTTAATGTGCTCTCTGCTGGTAAAGAGTCTAGGAGCATCCGCAGATTGTTGTAAGCACGAGGGTCAAAGATGTAAAGTCCAAGACATATTGTTTTGAACTTATGAGAATATCGTCGACCAGAAGGTTTCTTGCCTGCATTTTCTATGAGACAGGCTACGAATTCAAATTGAGCTGGCCTCAAAATTTTTTGCAGATAATTTAAGGTGATCTTTTTGCATTCTTGTGCAGTCAGTTTTTTCTCCTTTGCTCTCTGCGCTGCTGCTTGTAGCCTCTTGGTTTTTTTGAGAAGGAAATGAATTTTTCCCTTCAATAGCTTTATGTTGTTTGGCAGTCTTTTGGATTCAGCAGCAACTGACTTCAAGATAGAAAAAATTCCATGGCCCACTGCAAGAAGAATAAAATGAAGTAAGAACCCATACCAATACTTCACATTACCTCCAGTTTGGTTCACAGTCGTAGATTTTTTTTCTTGTTCAAGCCTCGTAGTCGCTCTCCGGATATTGGTCCTCTCGGTTTATTGCCAAATTGAGGATTTTTCAGGGAATCATCAATTTTTTTATCTAAATTGACATAATTTGAATTAACACTTTTCATTTCATTGATATTTGCGACCGCAACCAAATTTAAAAGCAATTCAAATTTTAAATTATTTGATTTAAAATTTGTGCAAAATACATTGTAAATTTGATTGCAATAAATAAAGCATAATTTTTATGATAAACACACAAAGTTACCCTTTGTCAATCCATTTGTTTTCCTTAAATTTACATTTCCTTATTGCTAGGATAGATTTTGTAGTTTTAAATGGATGCATAAAAATTTCCTTCTCTGCATTCTTCCTTATAACACCAAACCTTCCTTTTCTGCATTCTTCCTTATACCACTAAACCTTATAATTAAAATATATATTTGTCACAAACTTATATAATTCTATTTAATTTTATTTTTTACCTGCTTGCTGTAAATGAGCCTCGTCGCTCTCAACACTGAAAATTTCAGCCACTCTTTGATACAAAACCTCGAAATCTTCACATTCCCAATCATCCTCTTCGTAGTTTTGGTCATCGTTGACTTGGCCAGCAGTTGCTTTCAAACCTAACAGGCGTGCTTCAAACGCATTCTTCGGTGGTCTGATCGGACTGATAAAACACCCTGAATCGTCTAAAACAAGAGGCCCATTTGTTGTTGGTGTTGCACCTCGCTCCTATTTTTTTTTTCATAAATTTTTATTTACAAAATTTTTAATATGTCATGTAAAATTACCTTGAGAAACAATCTCCCGTCAGTTGAAAAGCCAACCATTGTCCCTTCAAAGTGCTGGCTGCAGATGAAATATTTTCGCTCGACTTGGGCAAATGGTTTTTCTGATAAAGTTGGATTGTTGCAGAATGCAACCCATTTTGAACAGCTGGTAAAATTGGCAATGAAAATTAAACCAAAGTGGAAAAACAGCATAAAAATAAATCTCTTACGTATGTGGATTGGATGGGAAAAAAAACGCCGCTATCTTTGTGCCATCACCCGGGGCATTATCATACTTCTTTCTGCGATTCCAATCACAACCTGTTACTTGGCAATCGTTTGAGCTTTTTGCTTTTAAAAGCACTCCCAAAGGCACTTGTCTGGCCGGATTATCCGACATCCTAAAAATGAAGGGTAATATTGAGCTACAGAATAATATGCACGCGAAGAATCATAAGTTAAATGACAAATAATTACCTTGTATTATTCTGTATTATTCTGATTTTGCCGTTTCAATCATCAAATAATTTATTTTGCCAAAAATATAACTTTTGGTTGGCAGCACTGCTTCGGTAAGGAAAACACTGGTTTAGGAGGGTCGTGTGTCTAATTTCGCCTTTTTTCCCTGAGTTGAAGGCCATGGCATCTGCACATGTGCCGTGGAGGTCACCACAAGGGTACGCTGCCCAGCCACCCATAAATTGTGGCCCTTCTTACGGACATACAGAAAATAGAGCAAAATTCCATCATCCAGCATGGCCCGAAGGAACTCCACCCACCCCCGGACAGGAGATGGCGCCAAACCCTCTGCAAAATGGAAACAATGGACCAGTTCTCAACTCAGGAGGTTTTGGACAGACTTATGCAGGAGGTCCGGCTCCTCCGGGAGCTGTAGTAACGTTGGAGGAAATCATTCAGCGTGTTTTCCAGCATGTCACGCTGCAATTCTCAAATCAGCTCAAAATTCAGAATGACCAACTTGGCGAAATGTTCAGTAAAACAGTATCTTTGATGCAGGAGGAATTCGAAAAGGAACGTTTGTCCTGGAAGGAGAGAGATGAGAAGCACGAGGCTAAGCTGAGGGAGCTTGAGCGGAAGGTCCTTTTCTACGAGAAGAATGCAGAAAATGAGTCGAGCGGTACAGATAACAGACGGAGGCAATTTCACGGCAGGTATCAGAGAGGTTATTATCCACCAATTGCTCCTCTGACAAAGGCTGATGACACACCCTGCGTGAACCAATACATCGATCGCTCTGCCCAACTCGATGAGGCCCTGAAGAATGATGAGTCGCTCGCAGTGGAGGGAGCCAAGGTCAAGTTTGTTGAACATCAAGGGGTCAGTCTACTGGATGCCAAGCAAGAGATAAAGGCACACGCCATAGCCTCTGATCTCTGGACCAGCATGGGGGCTGCACAAGAGGTTACGGCGGCGGTGGGCAAACCAAAAGCGGAGCCGGGAAAGACTGAAATAGGCGGGATCATCAGAGAGAAGACTGAAAAGTACGGTACTGTGTTTCACGTGGTAACTAAAATGAGGTCCCCCCACAAGTTGCACAAAGCACCTGAGCCTTTCCTAAAGGGAGTGAAGACTGCATTTGCTAAGCTGGCCCAAGTCATTCGAGAGGAAGAGATTGACGAGATTGCAATGACCTACATGTGCAGTGGCATGGACAGGCTGCATCGCCTCTGGGTCTTGGACACTCTGTACGAAGAACTTCGAGATGTCCCTGTCACTGTTCATCTGTACAACAAGTATGTCTCCAAACGCTGGGGAAACTGTGGGAATTTGTTCAACCCAAAGGAGGCCGGAGAGGAAGAAGAAGAGACTGGAGGGAAGCCGGATGACGGAGAGCAGCTAAATGATGCCCCTAATTCGCAGACTGTTGCACCCAGGGAGAGAAGCAAGCGCAACTGTGGTGCTCGTGAGAAACTTTCTTTATAGATTTCCCTTGTCGAAACAGCGACGTGAGTAACTTAAAATTAGGGCTTTGGAATTGTGAAGGGCTTACGAAAGCATATGAATCTCCGATTGCAACAGAACTGCAAAATTATGATATTCTTCTTTTCACGGAAACATTTTTAAAGAAACCACTTCACATTCCTGGTTTTTATTCAAGGCAAGTTTTAGCTTCACATAAGGAGGCAGGGCGACCGATGAGGGGAATTTCCGTGTATTTTAATTCTAGGTTAGGAAATTTACTAATTGTGAAATATTTGGAAAACTTCATAATTCTAAATTTTGATGACATTACAGTAGTAACATGCTATTTAAATCCGAAGATACGTTCTACAACAGTGACTAATGAACTTCTCTCAATCCTTAAATATGTTGAAAATTTTGAAAATTTCATTTTGGCTGGAGACTTTAATTGCCGACTGGATACTAAAAACAAAAAAATTGACTCGCTGCTTGATTTTGCTGAGGAAAACAGTCTGACAATAGTAAATGAATATCCATATAAAAGTACCTACGACTGTAGTAATGGTCATAGTGTGGTTGATTTAATCTTCAAAGGGCCAAAAATTTACACCGAAAATTTTAAAATTTGCCCAACCATAAGAAAACATAATTTTATTTCAATAGAATTTAATTTCACGAAACAAAAGAACAGAAATGGGGACATGTCTTTGAATAAGAAAAATTTTAAATTAGATGAAAACATACTTAAAGAGCTTATTGAGACTAAATATAAAAATATTCTAAGAACAAATCTGGAAAAGGGGGACGTTGAAGAGTTTTATAAAAATATGATAAATATTATGAAAGAGGCCGACATTCCTCGTAGGCAAACTGAACGGATTAGTCAACCGTGGTTTGATTCTGAATGCTACGAATTAAAACAGAAATTGAACGAATGGAGAGAGTGCTTGGAAGTGGCTGAAAGTTTAAATGTAACTAGTATAATCAAGATTCTATTACCGCACTATACCGCAATAAAAAGAAATTACAAAAATGTGTGTGAAATGAAGAAGAACGCTTTTGTGCAAATGAAGGAGTTGGACATTTTAAAAGAGGCGGAGCAGAATAAGTGCTATAAAATTCTCAAGTTGAGCAAAAGTTTTTACAATACAAACAATATAATGATGGATGAATGGGAGTGCAATTTTGAAAAAATTTTCAACGAGAAAAAATTGAGTGAAAATGAATCTTTAAATCTGAAAGAGATGATAGTAGATTACAGAAATGATATAAATTTTTCACCTATTATGGAAGAAGAAGTTTTGTTAGCATTAAAGAAAATGAAAAACGGGAAATCCCCTGGACCTGACAAAGTGAAGAATGAAAATATTAAACTACTTGTTGAATCCTTACTCCCCGAAATAACGCAATTTTTCACCAAATGCTTGGAGCTAGGAACATGTCCAGAGGAATGGAGGCAGTCAAATCTAAAACTCTTGTATAAGGGAAAAGGGGACGCGGAAAATACAAATTCATATAGAGGAATATGTATTAGTTCGGCTTTTTACAATCTGTTAGATCGTGTACTGCATGCACGTATCTACTCATCTTTGATTCACGAGATTCCAGGCAATCAATATGGTTTTGTGAAAGGAAAATCCACTTTACAGGCAATTAAGTCCTTAGTTAATAACATTCAAGAGACAGTTTATAAGAAGAAATCACCCTTATATGCCTTATTTTTGGATGTAAGTAAAGCTTTTGACTCAATAGATAGGGCGTTTATTTTTAAGAAGTTAATAGAAAGCAAGAAGCTAACGTTCACGGAGTTAAATTATTTAGCTCACAACTTAGACTTAAATTTCTTGAGAATAGTAGATGGAGTAACAGTATCAAAACTTATTACACAATCAAATGGGGTAAGACAGGGGGGATGCACGTCCCCATTTCTGTTCAATTACTCTTTAGCTGATATAAATAATATTCTACGAGATTTGCCAAACGTGAAAGCCATTTATTATGCAGATGATATTGTTTTAACCTCAGAAAAATTAAGTGACTTGAAAATTGCTTTAGCCAGAATGAAAGAATTTTTGTTAAAACGCAGTTTGAAACTTAACTTGGAAAAGTGCAAATTCATGAAATTTAGAAATAAGGGTCTAGGAAAATATGCATTAAGTGACCGCCTAGATTTAGGTGGAATTGAAATAGAGAGAGTTGCTGAGTTTACATATTTAGGAGTTACTTTTCAACCATCAGGAATGTCTTTTGGAAAGCACATTGAAAAAAGAACAAGAGCTGCATTGCTGGCCACTTATAATATACGAGAACTAAAACAATTATCCATTGAAACAGCACACAAGCTATTTGATCTAAAAATTTCCCCAATTGCGTCCTACGGCATTGAAGAAATATGGCCTTTCCTAACAAAGACTGATTTTGAAAATCTTGAAAAAGTCAAAACAAGATATTTAAAAAGAGTTTTAGGACTGTCCAAGTATATTAGATCTAGATTTGTGTATGAATTAGTTGACACTGATCTCTTTGTATCGGACTTACAGGTAAAATATTCTCTAACTGAAACTGAAGCATTCCAGAAATTTTGTGTGTCTAAATATTTAAACAAACTTGAGATATGTGATGAGTTCTACGAGACAGAAACTATGAAGAATAAAAATTGGCAATGTGCAATGTTCAGTGATCGCCAAGTGTTTACGAGATTTGCCTGTCACGGGTACCACTATTTATTTTGTAAGAATAAAAATTTTCATTCTCAAGCGACAATAGATTGTGAATGCAAGCACTGCGGTAAGAAATGTTCACAATATCATATTCTTGAATGTAATGAACGAAAACTAAGCCTAAGAGAGGCTGCAAAAATCAAAATTAACTAATTTTGTACTTTGTAATAATTATCGAAACAAGCTTAATTGTAAAATTAATTTTAGGAAGACAAATTAGCTTTAGACACCCGTTGTACACCTAGTTGTGTTCAATAAATACTCTATCTCTATCTAAAAATATAACTAAAAAGTTGATCTGCGTTAGCTACCAAAACAATGCTGTCATGCCGTGCAGGATAATGCTCTGTTATTGGCTGTTTTTGCCACTCTCGCTGACGTCAGAGCCGCAGAATCTGATTGGTCGGAGGTATTGCCGGAGGGCTGCCGCACATTTGCGGCAGTCGTCAGAGCCGTAGTCAGCCAAGCGGCGAGAGCACTTACTTCTACTTCTTGGCCGCACATTTGCGGCAGTCGTCAGAGCCGTAGTCAGCCAAGCGGCGAGAGCACTTACTTCTACTTCTTGCTTCGCAGGCCGGTTCGGGCTTCTGATTGGCTGAGAGACTTTTACATGTGTATGGCCCTGCAAAAGTCGCGATCGGAAACTTTTGAGTGCCGTTTCAGACAAAAATAAACCATGTCTCGCGGCCGTATGCATAAAATTATTTATTTGGATTATTTAAAAACGTACTTTTCACGCTGCCGATGCGATAAGAGAGTTAAAAACCCGAAAAAATTGCCACGGACTGTGACCGAGCGGCCGCCAGAGAGCCGGGTCGGCGTAAAAATGAGGTCGTGGGGGCGAAATAAGACTTTGAACAAACCAATTAAACCCTACCTGAGTCAGGATACTATATTTCCGAAGTCGCCTGGTCATCCTCAGGCCCCAAGAGTCCTCCCTGGAACGAAAATCTGCGACATATACGCGAGGCGACTCCGGCGGCGGGTCCTTCTTGGCGAAAACAAAGCACGCGTCACGCGGCAGACACGAGAACCTCCAGAGGGAGAAAAAGCGACGGAAAGCAAAGTGATAGAAAATTCTTATTTCCACATTAATTCTAATATAGCACTGGCATGAATTATTTTTTTCTGCAAAAATCAGAAAAAAAATTAGCAATTTTTTGAAATTTTTTTATTTCAAATTGTGTCACGGGTTAAGAAGAAACATAAGGGTTTGCTAAATCTGCTGCCATAAAAAAAATTATTATTTTAGAGAAAAACAATAAATTACAAAGTTGTTGACAAAGAGCTATTCTATCATAATGTCCATAATAACTTTTTTGTATCTTGATTTGTTCTCTACAAAAAAACGCTTTAAATTTGAAATTTGAAAATTTCACCTTGAAAAAAATTTTTTGGAATTTATTTGAGATGGCCAATCGATCTTTCGTTTATTTTTGACCCAAGAATTTAATTTTTATTGACTAATTCTCAGCCGTTTGTGAATTACGAGCATAAGTAATGTATCATGTCAGTCGCCTGACTTGGCGCTTCAGCACTCTTTGAAAAATCCTATCTTACATGAATGCAGCTGAGAATATTTTAATAAAAATTAAATTCTTGGGTCAAAAATAAACGAAAGATCGATTGGCCATCTCAAATAAATTCCAAAAAATTTTTTTCAAGGTGAAATTTTCAAATTTCAAATTTAAAGCGTTTTTTTGTAGAGAACAAATCAAGATACAAAAAAGTTATTATGGACATTATGATAGAATAGCTCTTTGTCAACAACTTTGTAATTTATTGTTTTTCTCTAAAATAATAATTTTTTTTATGGCAGCAGATTTAGCAAACCCTTATGTTTCTTCTTAACCCGTGACACAATTTGAAATAAAAAAATTTCAAAAAATTGCTAATTTTTTTTCTGATTTTTGCAGAAAAAAATAATTCATGCCAGTGCTATATTAGAATTAATGTGGAAATAAGAATTTTCTATCACTTTGCTTTCCGTCGCTTTTTCTCCCTCTGGAGGTTCTCGTGTCTGCCGCGTGACGCGTGCTTTGTTTTCGCCAAGAAGGACCCGCCGCCGGAGTCGCCTCGCGTATATGTCGCAGATTTTCGTTCCAGGGAGGACTCTTGGGGCCTGAGGATGACCAGGCGACTTCGGAAATATAGTATCCTGACTCAGGTAGGGTTTAATTGGTTTGTTCAAAGTCTTATTTCGCCCCCACGACCTCATTTTTACGCCGACCCGGCTCTCTGGCGGCCGCTCGGTCACAGTCCGTGGCAATTTTTTCGGGTTTTTAACTCTCTTATCGCATCGGCAGCGTGAAAAGTACGTTTTTAAATAATCCAAATAAATAATTTTATGCATACGGCCGCGAGACATGGTTTATTTTTGTCTGAAACGGCACTCAAAAGTTTCCGATCGCGACTTTTGCAGGGCCATACACATGTAAAAGTCTCTCAGCCAATCAGAAGCCCGAACCGGCCTGCGAAGGGCTCTTGAGCCGCGCCCCCGTGGTTCAGCAACTCAGCGCGCCAAGATTGAAAAAAAGTGCCGATTCTGGTGGCACAAGCAAAAAATTATCACGCGCAACCTCATGGAATATCATTTTTGTTCATGAGAAGACGTCTCGCAGAGAAAAAATATGAAATTTTTGACCTCCTTTAAATATCTATTTTCCTAAATATGAATTTAGTTATATTTCTATATCACCAACGCAGCGGCTCTCGCTTGTATCTAAATAGAAATATACAAACGAACCAATGGGAAGCGCGGAAATAAAAATATATGCTTTCCACCAATGAGCTCGCCAATAAATATAATATAAATATAATTATACCAGCGTAATAACAAGTCTCATTTTGTTCTTAATTGGTTTATGGAACTTTGTGTATTTAAACAATCGTTTGTTGTCTGCTCCCAACTCCTGGTAGGCATGAGCAAAATGTCCTAAAATGCAATTTGACAATTAAATATTACACTTAATTAAATTAATACGACGCTCTGCCTTGTTGTTCTCTTTTTTGTTGTTTATTCATAGCGTGCACGCCATGTCCGATTTTTTTTACCAGATTTTCTTTTTCGCTTCAAACAGTGTTGAATTTCAAAATACACTGATGCTACCACTGATATAGCTTCGAGACCTGCTAAAGTTATGAGATCTCTCCGAATTTCAGAAACAGCGTTAAAATTTGCCATAATTATTAAATGTTCGTCTGCGCGTTTGCGGAAAGCAAAGTTGTTTTCACTCAATCCAGCCTCACTCAGCTGCTTTAAAGTTTCAAGAGTTGCCGCGCTAGGCGCTCGAGCCTAAATTTTTATTTCTGCCTCTCCCATTGGTCTGTTCTTATATTTCTATTTAGCTAATTTGGAATCTCCAAATAATTTGGACGGAGAGGCCTTTTCTTAAAATTTTATCCAAGAGCCAATCAGAGACCAGCTTCCTTATATTTGTATTTAACTAAATAGATATATAGAGCCGCTGTTTTGGGCTTTAAAAGCATGAATTAATATTTTAAAATTGCGGTCAGTATTCTTTTTTTATAATTCACACTTCATTGCTAAATTAGAAAGGTATGAAAATTTGAACCAGAAAAAATCTTGTTATTTCTTACTATTAATTAAAATTATTTAATGAATCTATCAAATTGCGTAAAATAAAATATTAAATGGGTTTACAGCGGCGGCCGAGTCTCTTTTGATATCTGGCGTTTTAGCAAACATATGCTAGTTGTGAACCTGTCTTCTCTTTTTTTTCATCATAAAAATTTTTGACCGACCGAGAAGAATAAATAATAAAATTGTAAAAAAAAAGTAGTAACTGGATAAAAATATCCTTTCCGAAGACTCGAACTCTAAACCAGCAAAACTCCCCATGTTTACGTGTCTCCGACCTAACTCACTGAGTCATGGCAATCGTGTACACAAGTGCGGACAAAAGAAGATCATATTTTACTTTTCTTATGCGCGCAAGAGAGCAGCCAAAAAGTAGTTTACTGCGCGATACAAAAGAGATCTCATGAAAAAATTAAAATTAAAATGGGATTGCATTAAATTAAAAAACTCATTTTTTAATTTCAACTTTTGTAAACAAGGAAGTATTAAATAAGAAACTTATTAAGGGATAATTATGCATATTTAAAAAGAGATTTTCAAAATGTACCAACAGCTTGTGGCAGTTCCACAGCACCAGCAACAACACCAAATTCATATACACAACAATTCAGTCTACCACATGGCCATCCGCCACAGCCCGCTCCGCTAGCTTGCAGTTCAGGGTCCTGCCGTCGACATGACGATAGAAGACCGAGCTGTGATGGATCAAGCCCGTGTGTGGCCACACACTTTTCCCACAATGATGCCCAGACAAAAGAACCGAACATAATCATCAATCATCACGACCAATCCAACCAACCTGCTTCGAGCGACACGCCCCTTGCCAGCATAATGAGTTCTGCATAACTCGCCTGACAGGTGGCGCCACCTCAACGCAGAAGAAAGAAGCATTACGACCTACAGTCTCAAAGGGGGAACCCCTGTGGCAGTTCCACAGCACCAGCAACAACACCAAATTCATATACACAACAATTCAGTCTACCACATGGCCGTCCGCCACAGCCCGCTCCGCTAGCTTGCAGTTCAGGGTCCTGCCGTCGACATGACGATAGAAGACCGAGCTGTGATGGATCAAGCCCGTGTGTGGCCACACACTTTTCCCACAAGCTCAAAGCCGCCTTGGACTATTTGAGAACTAAGTAAGAAACAATCTTAGAAACGCTCTTTAATTTCTGAAATTAACCTAGAACTCTAGATTTTGTAAAATCTAATGTATTTTATCATCCTCTTCAAAATGCAGTAAGCAAAATTTGCATAGGCATAATAGGTTTTTTTTAAATAAATTTTTTTGGTCTAGAAATTTAAAAGTCTAATTTATAGCTCTGATATGTAAGAATATTTATAACATTTTACCACAAGGTAGGAACTTTGCAGGGATAAGATGCCTTTTTAATAATCACTAATTTTTTTTAAAAAAATTCACTACTTTTTTATAAAATAATTAATTTTATATTTTATAATATGCTAAAAAATTGCTTTTGTTGAATTTTCTTTTTATCCTGTTTGTTTAAAAATTAGACTGACAATTAATTTTACACAATAACAACGAATGAACTTGAAAATAATCGAGAATTATCTTAAAACACACATTACAGCGAAAAATATTGCAGCGCGCACAAATATTGTCGCGCGCTCAGGAGTTCGAATTTTCTGTAGCCGACCTCAGCAGGTATATTATATCCTTCTTTGACTGCATGTGTGCCTGTCAACCTGTGTCAACCTCTTCAGCAGCCCCTTCGTATTTGATACAGTTCAGTAAAAAAGGTTAACTAGCTATATTTTATGTGCTCCTGGCAGTACTAACTTGGAACCTGGAGTAGCCTGAAATGTAATGAAAACTAGAATGGGCTGTCTTTATTAAAAATTGAGTACTTATATAATGAACATTAAAAGTTCAGAAAAACCGAGAAAAACTGTATGCTCAAATTACATGCATCCCTGAAGGCGTATTGTTCTTATAAAATAATAAGAACATTAGCAAGAATAAATAGGTAAAATGAAAATCATCATAATAGTTTGGTAGATTTTGGAGTTGCTATTTTTCATTCTCATCTCTGGGTCATAAAATAGAGAAGTTTGTTTCCTTCGCGATGGTTGTATGAAAAGAAAAAGATCCTTCTTGAAGGGGGAACGACCTACAGGGTTGCCAAGCCATTCTCATCCCCTATACCTGACTAACCGCCCCGCGACTTGCTCGCTCTCGGCTGCTCGCCTCATTCGAGAAAGAACGAAAGAAGAAAGAAGCAGCAGCGAAGGAACCCGGCACACTAAATTTTCAAACAACTGATCAAACGATACTTGCATCTTCAAAAATTTGGCGAATTCGAATATCTGCATAGAAATGGTAAGATGGAATTATATTATTTCTCGTGGGAAAATATATTTTGGAAAGGGAGTGATTTTTTTTTTTGCAAATTTATAGATTTAGAGACACCTGGCATATTTCTCTCCGAGAGCCAAAACCGCTCTATTTTTTTTTTGGGCTGCTGGTAATTCTTATTATTCATCGTAACTTAAATCCTTAAAAATGTCATTTTAATCTAAGATGTTTTATTAAATTGAAGCCAAAAATATTTTCATAAAATGACTTGGTTGATGGCCACAGTCCGCCCAAAAAATAAACGCATTCACGCGCTGGACAGTCTCCCCCCAACCGCCAACCTGTCAATCATTTCTCAGTGGCGCGATCTGCGCCAACCTCCCTAAACTTCACCGTGAAAAAGGCATTTTCATATTATCGTAAAAGTTTATTACGGCAAAGTGTAAGGGGGCGCGGAATAAGTATTTTTTTATTCATTAATTACTATTTAAGAAAATAATTCAATATTGAATTCACGGGCATCAGCTAGATTCTAACTTCTTGTTGATTTTCCTTGTTTTTAATTACATTTCTCTTGTTAACTTTTTTGTTTTTTGCAGGTGTTTTGTCATCATTTTCCTTCCATGGAAAATTACATACAAAGGAAATGGTCCAGTTCTATTGTACATAATTAGCTTCAAAATATCAAAGTAAGTTTAAATTATTTTCCATCCAAGCCAATCTGCTATTTATTTATCTATCAATAAATATGATAACTGAAGTTAAATTTATTTTATAATTGATAAAATTAAAAAAAAAATTGAAGTTAAAAACCGTCCTAAATACTTTTTATGTTTCAGAAATTTGAGGATTGGAAAATGTGATTCCTCAAAAGCACACCTGGAAAGCCTATGAAAGATGACCGAATACAGCTTTAACACCTATTAGAGCACGCAGCGTCAGCACACTTTGTAGTAATTGTACACTGCTCTACATTTTATAATTCCTTATTTTGCGTAAAATTTTTAGCCATTTTAAACTATATTCCTCATTAAAGATTGAATTACATTATGATTATTATCGAAACAATGAAATCTTAAAAAAGAGTTACAAATTAAAATCCTTTATCTTTCACAATTTTGAAGAAAATTTAAAACGTTATAATGTTAATTGCAATTAAAGTTAAAAAAAGAGCTGTAATATTGTAATTTTGGTGCGCGCATCCACTTTGCAAGAAGTCAAATTTTAACGTTTTGCAAGGTATTGAATTTTGAAATTAAATTTTCTGATTATGAATTTCTGAAACATTGCGAATTTTGAAATTTCAAAGTCTCTTTGAACAATATGGATCAAAATAAATCTAAGCTCTAATTAAAACTTTCAAGCAATCACAAAAATTTCAAAATTCAAACCTATTAATATAGTTTTAACGACTTCTCGGAAAGCAGATGTGCCCTGGTCAATGAATGGCACTCAGCGGCTGGTAGCCCAAAATTCATTCCACACGTCACAGAGCCGCGACAGTGTTAAGCCACGGTGAGGCTCGATTATTTTCTACCAAAGGTGGCGCGGTTTCATATCTTGCACCCGCTAATTGCCACCTTTGGATCAGTTGTGTAAAAGATCAAGTTTTGTTTTGCTTTTCATTTAGTGGTAATAGAGTTTATTGTTATTAATATTGCTGATTATTTGTCCAATAGCTGCATCGCATTGTTTAAATTGATAAAATTTTGTTTAAATTCTTATTATGTCAAAAATGTGATATGATATTATGTATTTTGTTTTGTTAATTAAAACGATTTTGAAATGTTATTTGCTGCTTTTTCATTGCATTGCCAGTGAAACCTGAATAATTTTAGTATCAATGACGTCACTGAATTATGACGTCATTGCAGCGTTTTTAAATGTAAACTATGCGTAGTTTAAGTGCATCAAGGTAAGGTTAGTGAGAAGGTATTTAAGCGGTCAGTAAGCGCAATTCAAGTGGTCTAACCATGCTGCTGTCAGGAGCGCTTAAAGTGCTTTTAAAATACGCTTCGATTACTTTGTACTTTTAACCGCTTAAATAGCGCTTTATTTGTTGCATTCAAGCGCAATTCAAGCGTAGTTTCATCCTATCTCTTACACATACAAGTGAAAAGTAGTTTAAAAGTATTTTACAACTAATTTAGGCGTAATAAATTTCCTGTGAGTAATTTTACGGTTTGGTGAATTCTCGGTGCTGGCCCTTGTCATCCAAGTTCCCATTTGCCCAAGGCTGTTGCGCCTCCGTGGAACACCATTGATGCAATTGGTCATTCCGTCAAGCTGACCTGCAGTTCGAGGACATTTGATCGCGAATTCTTCGTTAGAAGGTGTGCCTGTGTATGATTCTCCGTACTTCGTCATCAGTTTCAGCTTGAGGAAGTCTATATACGATTATTTATTAGTAAAAAATTTAGATTTTACTCAGTATACTTACGGTGAACAATTGCAATTGTCTCTGCTGGGAACTTTTCCTTATAACCAGCTTCCCCTCTCTTTGGCCCCTTTGGTCCTTGTGTTCCAGTGGCAGAGAAGAGATGAACCGAGTCTACTCCACATGCTTCCACAGTGAGATGCTGCACGAATTTGGAATTGTCTGCAATTTTTTCTAGTTCATCCCAAGAACGTTGTGAAATCCATTTGCCATAGCCAAGATGAATCTGTTCGTGAAAAAAGAGATATTGAATGACCATAAAAAATCAATTTTTGCACGGGAGGAAAAGAGAAATTTTATCAATAAAATTAGAGGTTTTATTCACCTTGTTTCCAAGAGGGTCTTTAGTCAATGGTTTCGGATCGCATTCCTCAATACGGCAGGTATTATTAGAACTCTCAGGACGCAGATTTCTATCTGGAGTCATCAATGCTAATGCGGCAAGAAACACATCAATTCCATAATTATAAAAAATACTGCAATTTTAATTACCATCAAAATCCCCATTTATGGCATCAACATCCCGAGACTCTTCCATACTTGAATGTTCAGCAGCGATTTGAATTTCTAAAATTTAATAAAAATAGAATTCATTTTTTAATTAAGATTTCATAATTAATATTTTATATACCTTCAAATTCAGTCGCGTCACATGGTTTTTTGTCAAGCACCTCGATAATTATTTCTTCAGAAGTATTGTAAACAGGGATAATAGTGTTTTTAGAATAAGTATCCTGGCTTTTCAGTTCTTGCTCTTGTCAAGCTTTCATGGGTTCTGAAAATTTATACTTTTTATTTAATATTTTCAAAGACACAAAAAAACCAATTTTTTTACCTTTCTTGGACCCCTTCAACAATTCATTTTGTTCTTTCAGAAACACGTTGTAGCTCTTGATCTCTTCAAAACGATCTTTTTGAATAGCTGCAAGTTCCTCGTCGTGAGCATGCACTTCCTTCAATCGAGTATTTTCGTTCCTGAGTTGCATGATTTCAAAATCCTTCGTGCTGCAGGTGCTGCAAGGACTTAAAACCGCGGCAAGTTGTTCAGAGTCAATGAATTTCTTCAGATTTGCCTTGCTGCTGGAGTTAAGCGAGTCATTTTTTATCTTCTTTGTTGATTTCTAAAGATTGAAATGTTGAATTAATACAACTCCGAATGCTATTTGGAGATATTTATTAAATTTTCCGACACAACGCGTCGGTCTTTTGGCCGCTATATATCTTAAATAATTAACTTACCAAATCCTGCGATGCGATTTTTTTTTTTGATTCCACAAACTTCTTCCTCTTCTTATCAGCCAAAAACTCTTCAGCCCTGGGTGGTGTTTCCAGGTTTTTAGTTTTACGAGTACGGCCACCTTCTGATAGGAGCTTCTGAAGTTCTTCGAGAGTTGGTGCAAAGCGTTGTATTTCTGCATCGAAATAGTCACACGATTCCACTGGAGGATTTGCGTGGTCGAAGTCGGTCACAATATATTCGTTGAACTGGTTGACACGCAAGCTGCTGTGATACAGAACCTGATAGATCAGCTTCATGTTATCTTGGTCGGGTTTTTCAGGAGCATTTTTGATGAATTTAGAGTGAATGATGATCCTCTCAGCGTCATCTGTAAAACGAACCAATGCGACGAATCCACTTGCCATGTGCTGTAGCTCGTACGGCCTTTGTAAAGGGCCTCAAATGTTCGAGGGCGGCCAGCGGCCGCTCTCCGGAAGGGAGAACGAGAGAGAGACGTGCGTTCAGTTCAAAGGGTAGAAAAGTTCTAATTTTATTTGGTTTGCAGTTGTACCAACTGTACAATATTTACATATGTATGTATTAACTTACCAACATCACAACACCTCCCGCCTAAGATAAAAACAAGTTTTAATTTACGCACTTTAAGGAGAACTGTGGCATTTGGCGTTGGAGCAAGAAATTGATTAATTTGGAAACATTGTTACAAAATCACATTTACATCCATTCACAAGAATTACTCTTACTCAAAAACCTTTGAAAATTTGTTTACTAAATTGAGTTCCTTGATTAAACTCTAAAATTAATTCTCAGATTAGGAAATTTAAGTTGAAACTTTAATTGATTTTACTTTCCTGAATTTTTAACGGAAATTTGGTTGTTTAAAACTGTATTTCTGCATTACTAATTTACTTGAATTTCGCTCAATCACTAAATTTTCAAATGAAAACCGAAAATGTTCCAGCACACTTGGCACGGTCTGAACTGCCAGTTGCTGTTCTCATCTTCTCCATGCTGGATGGACACTCGGCTCCTCGTTTTACACCTCGGACTCTTTGTAGTCCGGTACTTCTAAGCGACCCCTGAGGAGATCCCCTCCACTCAGGTCGACGGCCCAAGGATGCGGTTGCACCCTTCGGGTCCCTCACATGATGGCCAGAGAAGGCGGCTGCCTCCTCCCGGCGTCTCAGGTGGACAGGGCGCCACACGCCTTCTGTCCGACGGCCTCCGATGTCTCGGCCGTTGGTGCTGGTGCACACCCTTTTCTCTTGGCAGCTACTTGTCCTGCTGCTCTTGACTGCTTTCTTGAGTCCAACTCTGGTTGAAGTCCTTTTCGAGGCGGGGCTTCCTTGCAGCTGACTGTGGTCTCGTCTTCTCCTTGGACCACCTTGTCGCTCCACAAGTTCCGCTCCAGACTCTTCTCCTTCCTTCCTCTTTCTTTTCTTTCTTCTTTTTTACGGAACCTCTTTTTTCTTCTTGAGAGGCCCTCCTTCTTCACTGCCGTGTGTTTTCTTAGTGGCTACGTACAAGCAATCAGGTTATAGATTTTCTCAGGAATGGTGTGCTGCAAATCTAGTCATTTAATTACAACAACTTACTACCATTTTTTTTTTCAAAACCTTTGAGAAAAACCCCTCTTTTTTTTTAAGGCAAAAGTCTCGAAGACTCCTTTTTGGCCTGGAATTTCTTCCCTCTGGCCCTTGAGTTCTCACCTTAAACTTCACTAGATTATTTCCAGTCTCGAAGACACTGATGGTGGAAATAATATTCTGCGGCTAGTGTTTCACTTGACAATGCTTTGCACCCTCTTTTTTTCTCACCACGTTTTCGGCTCGACTTGCTCACCACTTGCAGTGCTGATTTTTCGCAATCAGACGCGGAGACTTCTTCTTTTCCCTTTTAACCACTTGCCTTTTGCGCTGGGACGGCCTTGGTGTCAGTGGTGCCGGACTGGTCCGCCTCCGGACACCTACCAAGCCAACTTCCGGTTGCCGCAACACGTGGCCTTCACGCGGATGACTGTCCACGCCGTCTTCTCGCTTCCGACGGTTCCTCTTCGTCGTCCTCTCCTCCTTCCGCCGCTAAGTTCGCCTCGTCGCCAATTTGCTGTAGCTCGTACGGCCTTTGTAAAGGGCCTCAAATGTTCGAGGGCGGCCAGCGGCCGCTCTCCGGAAGGGAGAACGAGAGAGAGACGTGCGTTCAGTTCAAAGGGTAGAAAAGTTCTAATTTTATTTGGTTTGCAGTTGTACCAACTGTACAATATTTACATATGTATGTATTAACTTACCAACATCACAACACCATGTTACTTGCGGGATTTTGCTTTGGCGGCATGTTCGTTTGAACTATACGGTCCCAGCGCGCAGTCTCTATGATGCCGAAGTCAATTTGGAGCCTGGATTCCCCTCTCCACCACACTCCTTCTGCCGTAAATTAATAAAATATAGCGGTACCGCACTGCTGTGCCGTTCTTTGAGAACACGTTGTTCGAGGTCAGGAGTGTCAAGGATGCTGGTAGGTGGCAGGGCAGTCAGGTACTAACAATAAACCGGTAATTTATTATAAACCGGTTATGCACGAGATAATTAAAGTTCCACATCTTCCATCCACGCCATTAATAATTTAATTTAAGTAGAAATTTGGTTTACACTGTTAAAATACTTAACGAAATCCAGCTAAAGTAGCACTCACGCAAGCATTTTTTCACAATATAAAAATACCGACATTTCATTAAATTAACCGGTATTAATGTATGGTAAATCTCGAAACTTGTCCGCGCATGCGTCGACGCGTAGTTCTACTTTGCGCAGTTTTTTTGTATCCACGTGACTTAAATTCGACGTTCGATTGGAAGATGAAGCCTATGATTTTAACCAAGAAAAGCACATGGCAATATTTCTTGGCATGATTTTCTTCAACGAACATCTGCGTCTATTTTTCAACATGGCAGCTGGGCATGAGATTATCAAAATAAATTAACCATTTAAAATTGAAAATCATCTAAAGGATACAATGAATTATTAAATGTCATAACCCATTCTGAATAATTTTTTTTTCTGTACAATAATTTCGAGTTGAATCATACATAGAGCTAATTTTCAAGTAAAATTTCTAAATGCGATCAATTTTTTATATTTGCAATAGTGAACGCATAAAACTCTTAGTAAGTGTTCCTCAGAATTTTATCAAATACAACAAAATTTAACTAAATTATAGAAAATCATTTAGATAATTTTTTTCTCTTCAATTATAATGCTTTAAATAATTTAAAACACTCCAAAAGGCCAATTTATTAATTTTTACAATTTTAATCGTCTTTTTATACTTCTAGTTTCGCGGGATCTATATACAAAAATGTGAATTTTACCGGTAATTTAAAATCAAAATAAAAAAAACCGATTTCATCCCTCCAGAAACTAACATTATTGGCGACTGAAACCGTTGACAACCGGTTATTTATTAAAATTAACCTTTTCGTCAAAAAAATCCCCAAAAATCATTGATCATCAATCATCAATCGCGCAAGATTTTGTGTGTTGCTTTTTATCTTGCTTGTTTACCAGTGTTTACTCTGTAATTTTCGTTTAGAACTTGGCTTTGAAGAATTAATTCTCTCACAAAAATATAAAATAAGGTAATTTGAAATTATAATTTAGCTTACAAAGTACTTGGTTTTAACCTATAAATGTGTTATTAGGTCATGTTTCCCGGGAAAAAGCGAGGGCCATATAAGAAATATTCACGAACAAATGATGGATCAGTTCAGTATCCAAAGACCACTGCTTGGCGGAAGAGGCGGCAGAAAGGCAGATCCTCTATAATGGAGCAGCAATTAATATGCAATGGGGTAAGTTACGTTAATTAATATAAATATATGGGCCTCTATATTGAACGTCGCTATAGATTTTTCTCGACCGAGGAATTTCATCGCACTCGAGGAGTTATAATATTCCAGATTTCAATGAAGCTATTTTTGTTGCACATGTATGCGTTTTTATTTAATTGTTTTTCTTTCCATTTTAGGCTGGCCAAGATGATCAAGAGAGTTTATCACCAAGAATTTTAGAAGATTCAACATCAGCTCGGTCAATTTCTCCCGAACTAGAAATTCGGCCTGATGATCTTGAAATCGAAGATGAAGCAAATTTTGATCAAGGTGCTGAAAAATTCTTTTTTAATTTAAAGTTAGTCACCTTCATGAGAGAATATAGCGAATACAGAAATTTTAAAGTCGACTATAGCGCCTCTGAAATCGCATTCATGCTGATAACTTTGTCCATTTCTCAAAATTTAACTCTAAATACAACTTGGCGGCTATTCAAAATGATCAATGGGGTCTCGATCCAAAGAGTGGTCAGATGCGTCCGCTTCTAGTACCGGAAGGGGAGTGGCAATTTATTTTACGACAAACGAGAGACATAATTTTAGAAGCAATGTCTTTAAAAAATAGAAAATTATAACGGAAAAATTCACCTACCTGAGGCGAGTCGATGAGTGCAGTGACACTTCCGAGTGGTCGGCGCGGCGAGAAAATCCATTATTCGCCTTAATTCGGTGAGATACGGGTTGATTGCTGATATTTTTGCCCGATTCGCCATTTTTCCTCCAGCGAGGAAGTTTCCAGAGCCGCCGGTGCATGGGCAGCCGGCGAGAGAAAAGGAAATGAGGGAGGGTTGGGAGGGAGCGCTACCTGCACAATGCAGCAGCATTGGAATGCGCTCCCACCAACACTCTCTCTTTCTCTTATCACTCGCCGCTGCCCTTGTGCCCAACAAGTCCTTGGAAGAAAGAAAATGGCGAGAAAGGCGAAAATTTTCATGAATCGCTACCGTATCTCAACGAATTGAGGCAAATGGGGAATTTCCTCGTTCAGCCGACCACTCGGAAAAGGCGCCGCACTCATAAACTGGTCCCAGGTATGTGATTTTTGCTATTATTCATACAAATTAATGCTTTTTCGTTAATTTTATTTGATCGTGCCACTTTCACACGCTGGTGAAAATTTGAAATTTGCGCTACGGAAAACCAACAGCCAATCAAAAGCGGTACTTATTGAGCCATAATGCGTGCGCTTCTGTTTCGGATATTTCTCAATATCAAGACCCCATTGAAAATGATGAATATCATTTTAGGAACTAAAGTTTTCCCCGATACTAAATTTAAATTTCAAGGTATTTTCAACCCCAGCCTTGAAATGGAATTTCATTACACTTGCAAGTGCTGCGGACACTATTTAGGCAAAAAATCTAATCCGTCTCAAACTAAAAAGACTATGGTGTGCACAAATTGCATAGCTGCTTGTGGTGACACACACTCGCGAAATATTGTCGAACAGAATAATAAATATTTGTATCAATTATTGTCTCTGCGAGTAAGGTTAGCCCATGGCCATAGCTTTTCATATAAAGGAAACTTAACTTCATTCCGAGCAAGCAACGAGGGGGGGCAGTCTGTGGTGACACACACTCGCGAAATATTGTCGAACAGAATAATAAATATTTGTATCAATTATTGTCTCTGCGAGTAAGGTTAGCCCATGGCCATAGCTTTTCATATAAAGGAAACTTAACTTCATTCCGAGCAAGCAACGCGCGCGCTTTTCCGAATCTCCCGCCGACCTTTCCCTGATGGCGTGGACCCTTCAGCCAACCTGAGAAGACCGATCGGCGCGCGCCACCTCAGGGCCCAATCAGACCCACGGTCGAGCCTCGAAGCCGGCTCTCCGTGCCTGAAGCCTCAGACGAGCGACGCCCGAAACGCAGACAACACCCTGTCCTATCTCAGCCCATTCGGTTAATGGCGACCACGTTTTACTAAATTCCTAATTGACCGGTAATTATCGCTTTTCCTCCGTTTCCTCAGCTTAGTAAGATCAGACTAGCTTTTCCGAATCCTATTTGGCCATATTTTGTATTTTGTTCTCTCTTTATTGAATAATAACTTTAATCTTAATTCTTAACTTTAATTAATTGCTTTTAATTAATAACTCAAACCTAGTCAAAACTAAAGTCATAATAAATAAAAGTAACTTTATTCCAAGCCATTTAAGGAGTGCTTGGGCTATTTAATTAAAGGATTAAAGAGATATTAAGAGATAAGTTTGAAGTCACATGGGGGATGAAATGCACAAGGGGGCCAAGGGGGACACAGGAGAAGCCTATTAAATATCAAACTCCAGTCTGCAAATTAAGGCGGCGCTCGGCTCCAGCTCCGCTCTTCATTAGTTTTAGGTGTTCAATGATTAATACTATTTAGCCCCTGTCGTGGTGACACGACAGATTTGGTGTCAGGGTGCGGGGTGATTTTTTTTTCCAATTAATCACCTCCGGTACGGCCTTACATTCCTCGTCCACCAGCGGCGCAAACCAGAAAGGAACCTCAACGAACACAGGAAGGCCAGTGACCAACAAGCGTCCATAGAAAAGGCGTCCACCCAGCGGCGTTGGCTTCTGCAGGGCCAGCGCTTAGCGGATTCAGTGTCCAGCATCGAGACAAAACGAGACGATCATAGGCGAACGCTCACCTCTTCGAGATTGCGCCGCGACGTCATTCTCGGCGCTGCACGGTTTTAGAAGATGAGCTGTTATTGATAAGTATACCCGACTTTTTACTTGGAAACTTTAATTCAAGCAAAAGTAAAGGCAGACTGTCATTGGGAAAGGGTAGCAGTCAAGTTAAAATTAAGGGAAAGCTCTACGGTGTGAGCATTTAATTACAAAAGCTTGGATAAAAGGTGACAATTTATTTTATTGTTGTGGCTATTAAATTTTTTTTTCTGAAAGAATTGCACATTTTAATTTTGTATTATAAGTGTATAAAAAAAAAATAACAAATTTCATGATTTTTTTTCACCATTGTATATAAATGTACTCTGAAAACAAATGCAAAGCAAAACCTCCGCCATAAGGCTGCACCCGAATGGCAATCGAAAAGTGACATCTTTACACAATTGTTATGAATCCCTCCCTTTTGCCAGTACTCCAGTTTTCAGCAGATGGGAGCATTTCATTGCTCAGGTGTACATCACTCACCGACAGCAGACCTCTCCAGCCTCTGCCCAGCCAGGACTGCAGATGTCTCGCTGCCAACAGCATCAAAATTCACCGTCCACTCCGTGGCAGATAAAAGCCACCTTGCTCTGCGAGTTGTCCGACTCCACCTTCAGCTGGTCTGCAAGATGGGTCGACAAACGACCAGTCATGGCGCCCTCGACGGAACTTCAGCACTGACTAGGACTGACACAAGGCCAGTGACAGTCCAAGTTGGTCTCACCACTACTGCAAGAAATAATCAGTCAGCATTGTCGACAAAAGCAGACAAGAGCAACACACACCTGCGCAGCACAAGTACCACCGTCCACTGTCCGGACCACAAGACCCACTTCCAGTGGCAGCCCAAGCGCAACATCCAGTTCCATCAGTTGACCAAGTTGGAAGCCAGCCGCTCCGCAAGAAGAAACACAACTAGCCCTCGGCAGGAGAAGAACCGACATCTTCGTCTCGCTCTGAAAATTTTTTTTAATTAATTTAAATCAAATTGGGAAAATTGTAAAATTTTAAACTAAAAATATTATAACATGTTTAGATTTAAGTCCAACAGAAGAAAATGAAACAGAATGTTGATTAATTGAAATCGTAAATTAAAATGTGTTCTAAAATGTTTAAAAATGTGTGTCAAACCGAGCTGTTTTGTCCACGGGAAAAATTTTTAAACTAAAATGAAACGAAAATTTTAATTGAATAAATTGTTAAATAATCTAAAAAAAAAAATGTGCAGCCACAACAATGAAATAATTAATTTTCCTCCCATTAGATAGAAAACATCATCGGGAAGTATGTAAATGAATTATTTTTATGCTCGACATGCATGAAGAAAACTAATTATTTTAATTTTCTTAGTTTTAAATTACTTGCACTGGAATTGACTAAACTCACCACTATTATGTAACTGCTGTTGAAATTCCTCGCAAATGTCTCCGCAGCTTCGCAAGAATCGCACTGTGCCTGTGCACAGTTCTTCAAGACCGCGAAATCCGCTTGTTTTCGCACCATCATCATTCAAGTCCGCTCGCCAACCAAGACAAGTGCTACAAACAAAGCAAAATTCCAATTGTCAAGCAAAAACACCGAAAATCTCACCTAAATCAACAGCAAAAGCCCAAGTTGTTGACATTTGTGTAGTGAAAGTGCAAGTGACCTTCGCCATGCACCAGTCACGTGACTCCAAGCTCGAATCCCATTCGCCAGCCTGCAAAGTTCCAGCCAACCAGAAACGCGACTCTCGCAAGCTGAGAGACAACAACAGACACACAGCTCGCCACGAAAACAAACAAACGAGCATGGCCATCAGACACTCCAAGTCCAGTAACTCCAGCCGAGGCCGTGGCCTCTGGCCGCCGCACACACAAGACCTTCAACAAATCCTTCTATCGTCCAAAAATTGCCAAAAACACACCTGAACACCAATTCCAACCTCTGAGAAGCCAAGCAGAGATGACCTATCTCTCGCAAACACCAACTGCCTGCCTTGGCCCAGCGCAACCACGAGCAGTACGACACCAGAGGCGCCCTGCCAAGCCCCAAAACCACCAAACCACCACACCGGACGCCAAGCCACCACCAGTCTTCAGCTTGATGGACGCGATGGCGCGTCCAAGTTGAAGGGGGGGCAGTCTGTGGTGACACACACTCGCGAAATATTGTCGAACAGAATAATAAATATTTGTATCAATTATTGTCTCTGCGAGTAAGGTTAGCCCATGGCCATAGCTTTTCATATAAAGGAAACTTTACTTCATTCCGAGCAAGCAACGCGCGCGCTTTTCCGAATCTCCCGCCGACCTTTCCCTGATGGCGTGGACCCTTCAGCCAACCTGAGAAGACCGATCGGCGCGCGCCACCTCAGGGCCCAATCAGACCCACGGTCGAGCCTCGAAGCCGGCTCTCCGTGCCTGAAGCCTCAGACGAGCGACGCCCGAAACGCAGACAACACCCTGTCCTATCTCAGCCCATTCGGTTAATGGCGACCACGTTTTACTAAATTCCTAATTGACCGGTAATTATCGCTTTTCCTCCGTTTCCTCAACTTCCTAAGTTCAGACTAGCTTTTCCGAATCCTATTTTGGCCATCTTTTGTATTTTGTTCTCTCTATATACATTTAATAATAACTTTAACTTTTATCTTTAACTTTAATTAATTGCTTTTAATTAATAACTCAAACCTAGTCACAACTAAAGTCATAATAATTTAAGGTAACTTTAGTCCAAGCCATTTAAGGAGTGCTTGGGCTATTTATTTAAAGGATTAAAGAGATATTAAGAGATAAGTTTGATGTCACATGGGGGATGAAATGCACATGGGGGCCAGAGGGACATCGAGAGAAGCCAATTAAAGTTCAACTTCAGTCTGCAAATTAAGGCGCCGCTCGGCTCCAGCTCCGCTCTTCATTAGTTTTAAGTGTTCAATGATTAATACTAATTAGCCCCTGTCGTGGTGACACGACATTGCTAATGCTATTGATGGCTACAAGTATACTGATTCATTTGTCACTTTGGATATTAAATCTCAGATCAAGCATTTGTTTGACTGTGGGGCCATAAAAGTAGAAAACGTACCAAGTTCAAGGAGCTGCACTGATATTTTAGGAGGCACAATGTACAGAAAAATGCGTCAAAATTTTAACTTTACAAGCAAAGAAATTTTCTTAAGCTGCATCTTCAATGCGGATGATGCGCCAGTAAGCAAAGATGGTAAGACAAAAATTACTCCGTTACTTCTAATGGTCAATGAGGCCAGTGTTTATTATCGAGGCAGAAATTTAATATTAGCTGCTTTGCATTATGGTAAAAAACCAAGGATGGAAGTATTTCTTCAACCTTTTGTAGAAAAATTCATTGAAATTTGTGCAAATGGCATGGAAATAGAAATAAAGGGTGAAATTTTCACAGTGAGAATTTTAATATCTGGTTGCAGTGTAGATACTGTAGCGCGTAGTCCTATTCAAGGGGTTGTAGGTGTAAATGGGTATTATTGCTGCAGTTGGTGCCTTATTAAAGGAGAGCGTTTTAAAGAGGAAGGTGGGCCAGTTAAATATGTGAAGCGGCTTGATGGGGAAGACTATGAGCCTCCAGGAAGAATGGAAGACAGTTTTATGGCCTCTTGCAAAAGGCTTGCGATCAATAATTTCAAAGATAAGGAAGATGGAATCCAATTGATAAGTCCGCTTATTAATTTGCCAAATTTTAAAATGGTTTGGGGATTCACTCCGGATTATATGCACTGTGCTTTGCTGGGGATAGCAAAAAGATTTTTGGGACTTTGGTTGACAGATGTTGGCAAGCAATATTACATAGGAAGCCCTTCGACATTAAAACTCCTTGACGACAGAATCAAACAAATAAAACCACCTAAGATATGTAAACGTTTGCCTATTGAACTGAGTAAGAGATCGTACATGAAAGCGCGTGAATATGAGAACTGGCTGATTTTTTATAGCGTTCCTATTTTAAAGGATGTTTTGGATGATGAATATTACCAACATTGGCTAATTTTTGTTGGGTCGATGCAAATGCTTTTACAAGATTCCATTCGTGTGGTTACACGACAGATTTGGTGTCAGGTGTGGGGTAGTCATCCGACTACCTTTGGTCCGAATCATCGCAGAAAAGCTCCGGAAAATTTGGCCACATGGGAACTAGAACTGCAGCTTCCCTTGGATTTGCGGTAAAGTATTCCTTCTCTGATTCCGTTTGAGCATCTGAATTTTGGGAAAAATTGGGTTTTTAAGTTGTGCCAGGAAAATCACGTGTAATTTGATTAGGCGCGTGTAAAAGTTGGAATAGCTCATTTTATTTGGGGGCTTTTTGGAAGCCATATTGTTGTTTTGCCAGAAAAAGAGAAAGCGTGAGTGCGTTTGCTAGCACAGGAAGCGAGAGCGCCGGAGGGTAAATTCCTTCTTTTGTCACTGGCCAGCAGTGCAGCTATCAGGTATATACGCTGCCTGCCTGGTTGTCCACGGGGGCGCCCCTACTCTCGCAGCACGTACACGCGAATTGGGATAAACGCGGGAATTGAGCATTCCAAAACTAGGGCCGACTTAGAAAATAAAAACAAAAGATGCCTTCTGAAGGGACTTTGGTCGATTTTCTGTTCCAAACGGGACTTGACCTCACTATTGACGGTCCACAGAACGCTCGCGCGCGCCCGCCGCGCCGAGCAGCAGAAAAGTCGTCACTCGAGAACGAGCTGAGCAGCATCGAGTTCGGCAACACCTCCCTCCTGAATGTAGGCAATGCCGTCACACATACAGACGTGGCGGGTTGCCTAACAGCACATGTGCCCTCGCCCGCACATTGGGTGAGATCGAGTTGCGCGCCAAGCAGGGCGCCTTCTCCAACGCCATCAGTGGCCTGCAGCAGCACAGCAGAAAAGGCGCGCACGACGTTCGACAGCGATCAGGTCGCGCGCCTCGCGCAGGTCATCGACGAGTTCGACGGCACCGACGAGCGCCGCAACGCCGAAGAATTTATTGGAAGCATCAGACGTTTGCGCCACCTCGACCCGGCGCTGAACGAGACACATTTGGTCAGCATTGCGAAATCCAGGTGCTCAGGTCAAGCCGAGAAGGTCATCGACACCATCAGCCCTTTCGCCACGCTGGCCGACATTGAGAACGAACTGCAAAAGTACCAGAAAAACAGCCTTCCGCAGACAGAAGCAGAACCAGACACGACCACCGGCACCCTAGGTCAAGGTCAACCGCTCGTGATCACCTCCCAGGTCGACCTCGGGGGCCAACTGGACACATCTCCGACGCAGGGAGGCGAAACTAGTGGCGACTGCTCCAGTCAGTCTTCCACTCCGAGCCAACCTTCCGCCTGCCCTGGAGGAATTCTTTGGGTTCAATTTCAAAAATTTCAAGTTCCATTCTCAGTGAATTTCAATTCACCCGTTTCCTTCATTTCTGCCGACGTTGCAAAAATTCTGAATTTGCGCGTCCATTTCAGCCTGCCTCAAAGCCTTCAGATTAATCATATCAACTTTCCTCTAATTGGCTTTTGTCAGTCGGAATTTAAAGTCTTGGGTGAAAATCTGAATTTGAAATTCCTCGTAGTCGAAGCAGAAAATTCTGCTCAATGTCAGTTGGGACAAGATTTCTTAATTGGGACAGATGCTCATTTTGGATTCAGGGATGGAGTGCTTGCATTCCAATGGGGTGGTGTTGTTTTGGAGACTAATGTTGGTCAGTTTCAGCCCACAGCCACCTTTGAACCCGAAATGAAGCCCGAGGACCAGGTCAGCAGAGAGCCCTTTGCTGTCCGTCAGAAGGGAGAAGGCGGGAAAGAACCCGATGCGCACGCTGCGGCAAAGACAGGTGGACAGCTGGACACCGTCCGGTCAGTCGCCCAGTCGGTCCTCGTATCCGTTGGTCGAGTACCAGGAAGCCCGGCGCGAGCCGGCGCCTTCCCTCAATCAGGAGGCGCGCACACACTCGAGTGCGTCCCTCGGAGAACAGAATGCGCGGCGCCACCACGCAGGACTCGAAGAAGAAAACGTCCTGTATCGCCGCCTATCAAATCATCAAACTGGCGCTCCAGCCTTGAAAACACGGAGCCCAGGCTGACGTCTTCAGCGGGGCAGCCTTGGCAGGAAACTTCAGCGGGGCAGACCAGTCCGCCCCTGAGTAGCCAGCCAGCCCCTTGCGCCGACCAGAGCAAAAGGCGCCTTATCAGTTCGGAGAACTGGAGAACTCCACCAGAGAGGCCGCCAGCCGCCCATGCAGTACCAGGTGCCCCGAGCACCGCCACGGTAGCAGTATAAACAAAAGTTACGTTTCTTTTGTTGTAAAAAAAAAAAAGAAAAATTAATTAAAAATGTGCATGTTATTTTGCTGGTTTGAATTAAAATACTTGTTCAACTGTCCACAGCCCTGCCATGAACTTGAGCACCCTCAGTACACCAGAGAATTGTGTTCTAGCAGGACTCAGTGGAAAATTTGTAAATGAAAAAAAAAAATGTTGTTCCGAGTTAAAATTTAAACCATTTTGCTTAGAGATGCGAGGGCGCATCTGTTTTTTTCAGCGGGGCACTGTTGTGGAACTACTGTCCACAACCTTTGAATAAAGGTTTAAATTTTAAATGTGCCATTGCCGCCTTTTGGGTTCCCTCACAGAGCAATTACTTTTCGCGCCCTGAAGGTGGCACCCTGAACGACAGCACGCAGCAGCAGCAACCCGCCCGCAAGAGAAGGAGGAGACGCTCGCGAGCCACCGGCCGGCAAACACACCCGTGTGTGCGCCGCGCGCTTCATAATTGGGGGGGTATCGCTCTGTCCATTATTTGTATCCCAGTTAACTTTAATTGCGCCTCGCAGTTTATTCCGATCGCCAAGTTGTACTTGCCAGTTTAAATTACAATAGATTTAATCCTACACTTAAAAGTAACCACCCGTGCTTTTATTAATTACCGCGACCCCGAGTCTAAGGGAATACGGCAGAGAGAAGGGGGCCAACTGGACACATCTCCGACGCAGGGAGGCGAAACTAGTGGCGACTGCTCCAGTCAGTCTTCCACTCCGAGCCAACCTTCCGCCTGCCCTGGAGGAATTCTTTGGGTTCAATTTCAAAAATTTCAAGTTCCATTCTCAGTGAATTTCAATTCACCCGTTTCCTTCATTTCTGCCGACGTTGCAAAAATTCTGAATTTGCGCGTCCATTTCAGCCTGCCTCAAAGCCTTCAGATTAATCATATCAACTTTCCTCTAATTGGCTTTTGTCAGTCGGAATTTAAAGTCTTGGGTGAAAATCTGCATTTGAAATTCCTCGTAGTCGAAGCAGAAAATTCTGCTCAATGTCAGTTGGGACAAGATTTCTTAATTGGGACAGATGCTCATTTTGGATTCAGGGATGGAGTGCTTGCATTCCAATGGGGTGGTGTTGTTTTGGAGACTAATGTTGGTCAGTTTCAGCCCACAGCCACCTTTGAACCCGAAATGAAGCCCGAGGACCAGGTCAGCAGAGAGCCCTTTGCTGTCCGTCAGAAGGGAGAAGGCGGGAAAGAACCCGATGCGCACGCTGCGGCAAAGACAGGTGGACAGCTGGACACCGTCCGGTCAGTCGCCCAGTCGGTCCTCGTGTCCGTTGGTCGAGTACCAGGAAGCCCGGCGCGAGCCGGCGCCTTCCCTCAATCAGGAGGCGCGCACACACTCGAGTGCGTCCCTCGGAGAACAGAATGCGCGGCGCCACCACGCAGGACTCGAAGAAGAAAACGTCCTGTATCGCCGCCTATCAAATCATCAAACTGGCGCTCCAGCCTTGAAAACACGGAGCCCAGGCTGACGTCTTCAGCGGGGCAGCCTTGGCAGGAAACTTCAGCGGGGCAGACCAGTCCGCCCCTGAGTAGCCAGCCAGCCCCTTGCGCCGACCAGAGCAAAAGGCGCCTTATCAGTTCGGAGAACTGGAGAACTCCACCAGAGAGGCCGCCAGCCGCCCATGCAGTACCAGGTGCCCCGAGCACCGCCACGGTAGCAGTATAAACAAAAGTTACGTTTCTTTTGTTGTAAAAAAAAAAAGAAAAATTAATTAAAAATGTGCATGTTATTTTGCTGGTTTGAATTAAAATACTTGTTCAACTGTCCACAGCCCTGCCATGAACTTGAGCACCCTCAGTACACCAGAGAATTGTGTTCTAGCAGGACTCAGTGGAAAATTTGTAAATGAAAAAAAAAAATGTTGTTCCGAGTTAAAATTTAAACCATTTTGCTTAGAGATGCGAGGGCGCATCTGTTTTTTTCAGCGGGGCACTGTTGTGGAACTACTGTCCACAACCTTTGAATAAAGGTTTAAATTTTAAATGTGCCATTGCCGCCTTTTGGGTTCCCTCACAGAGCAATTACTTTTCGCGCCCTGAAGGTGGCACCCTGAACGACAGCACGCAGCAGCAGCAACCCGCCCGCAAGAGAAGGAGGAGACGCTCGCGAGCCACCGGCCGGCAAACACACCCGTGTGTGCGCCGCGCGCTTCATAATTGGGGGGGTATCGCTCTGTCCATTATTTGTATCCCAGTTAACTTTAATTGCGCCTCGCAGTTTATTCCGATCGCCAAGTTGTACTTGCCAGTTTAAATTACAATAGATTTAATCCTACACTTAAAAGTAACCACCCGTGCTTTTATTAATTACCGCGACCCCGAGTCTAAGGGAATACGGCAGAGAGAAGGGGGCCAACTGGACACATCTCCGACGCAGGGAGGCGAAACTAGTGGCGACTGCTCCAGTCAGTCTTCCACTCCGAGCCAACCTTCCGCCTGCCCTGGAGGAATTCTTTGGGTTCAATTTCAAAAATTTCAAGTTCCATTCTCAGTGAATTTCAATTCACCCATTTCCTTCATTTCTGCCGACGTTGCAAAAATTCTGAATTTGCGCGTCCATTTCAGCCTGCCTCAAAGCCTTCAGATTAATCATATCAACTTTCCTCTAATTGGCTTTTGTCAGTCGGAATTTAAAGTCTTGGGTGAAAATCTGAATTTGAAATTCCTCGTAGTCGAAGCAGAAAATTCTGCTCAATGTCAGTTGGGACTAGATTTCTTAATTGGGACAGATGCTCATTTTGGATTCAGGGATGGAGTGCTTGCATTCCAATGGGGTGGTGTTGTTTTGGAGACTAATGTTGGTCAGTTTCAGCCCACAGCCACCTTTGAACCCGAAATGAAGCCCAAGGACCAGGTCAGCAGAGAGCCCTTTGCTGTCCGTCAGAAGGGAGAAGGCGGGAAAGAACCCGATGCGCACGCTGCGGCAAAGACAGGTGGACAGCTGGACACCGTCCGGTCAGTCGCCCAGTCGGTCCTCGTGTCCGTTGGTCGAGTACCAGGAAGCCCGGCGCGAGCCGGCGCCTTCCCTCAATCAGGAGGCGCGCACACACTCGAGTGCGTCCCTCGGAGAACAGAATGCGCGGCGCCACCACTCAGGACTCGAAGAAGAAAACGTCCTGTATCGCCGCCTATCAAATCATCAAACTGGCGCTCCAGCCTTGAAAACACGGAGCCCAGGCTGATGTCTTCAGCCGGGCAGCCTTGGCAGGAAACTTCAGCGGGGCAGACCAGTCCGCCCCTGAGTAGCCAGCCAGCCCCTTGCGCCGACCAGAGCAAAAGGCGCCTTATCAGTTCGGAGAACTGGAGAACTCCACCAGAGAGGCCGCCAGCCGCCCATGCAGTACCAGGTGCCCCGAGCACCGCCACGGTAGCAGTATAAACAAAAGTTACGTTTCTTTTGTTGTAAAAAAAAAAGAAAAATTAATTAAAAATGTGCATGTTATTTTGCTGGTTTGAATTAAAATACTTGTTCAACTGTCCACAGCCCTGCCATGAACTTGAGCACCCTCAGTACACCAGAGAATTGTGTTCTAGCAGGACTCAGTGGAAAATTTGTAAATGAAAAAAAAATGTTGTTCCGAGTTAAAATTTAAACCATTTTGCTTAGAGATGCGAGGGCGCATCTGTTTTTTTCAGCGGGGCACTGTTGTGGAACTACTGTCCACAACCTTTGAATAAAGGTTTAAATTTTAAATGTGCCATTGCCGCCTTTTGGGTTCCCTCACAGAGCAATTACTTTTCGCGCCCTGAAGGTGGCACCCTGAACGACAGCACGCAGCAGCAGCAACCCGCCCGCAAGAGAAGGAGGAGACGCTCGCGAGCCACCGGCCGGCAAACACACCCGTGTGTGCGCCGCGCGCTTCATAATTGGGGGGGGTATTGCTCTGTCCATTATTTGTATCCCAGTTAACTTTAATTGCGCCTCGCAGTTTATTCCGATCGCCAAGTTGTACTTGCCAGTTTAAATTACAATAGATTTAATCCTACATTTAAAAGTAACCACCCGTGCTTTTATTAATTACCGTGACCCCGAGTCTAAGGGAAGGGGGCCCATAATATGTCCGAAATAATTGTGTCCGAATCCGGAAAAATAAAGTGTCCGAAAATAATGTGTCCGAAATATTTTTGTCCGAATTTTTTCAAAATTTTCTCCGAAAATACTTCATCCGAATTTTTTTTCTCCGAAAAATGGTTCATCCGAAATGAAACTGTCCGAAATTGAGTAGTATGGTAATGTATAGTATTCTTATTAATTTAATTCACAGCCCGTTAAAAATAACGTTTGTCACAGAGTTCCAGATTCAGTCGAGGTTCAAGGGTCTCTAGTCCGAGTCAGAGTCGTGCTGGTTGTCCTGACGCCGCTTTGACCTCTGATGTTGGACTGGGTTTTGTTAAAATTAAAAAAAATGTTTAAGTTATATATAAATAAATAGATATAAATTCCTGTCTTTCTGCAACCCTCAAAGGATCGTACATTCTGTATGAAATCCTCTCCAGGAAAAGCCTGATGCTAATGCTCCCGTCAGCAAGTCTGTTTGTTTGTTCCTTGATGAATCTGTCTTGGTGAAAGTATTTAAGTTTTCTTGTCCTTGCAGGCAACGTTTAATGATTCCAAATCAGAGAGTGCTTTCATTGTCAATGCCTTCAGTGCCGCAATGTATGGCCAAATTCCTGGATGGGCAGTCTTCACAATCCCTATTAGCTTTTTGTGGAAAGACTCTAAGCTGTTATTAGTCCTATGCTTGTGGTTGTGTCTAATCGATAGCACTCTGCGGTTCACCATCATCAACCTTTTTGCCTCTCGCTGTACATGAAGGATATTTGGAGCACTACAGGTACTTTGTTGTCGACTTCGGGGTTTTCACTGATCTGTTGATATGCAGCAGGAATCCATTGTGAAGAAGAACTTCCTTTTTATGTTTTTCGACATTTTGTATTTACAGTCTCACTCACCTCAAACCAACACAAAACAAACCCATAACCAACCCATAACCAGCGGCTGGCCAGGGAGCAGGTGGGAGTGCGCGGAAAGGAGTGCGCATGTTTCTGGTGCTTTTAAGGGAGACTAACTACAGTATTACTTCGGAGAAAGTTTTTTCGGAAAAATTAAGATTCGGAGGAAAGATATTCGGACAAATTATGGTTCGGATAAAAGTTTTTCGGACATATTATATTTTTAACTTCGGATCAAATTTTCGGATGAAAGTTTTCGGACAAATTCCAGAAAAAACTTTCGGACACGATTATTTCGGACACATTAAGGCCCCTCTATGGGAATACGGCAGAGAGAAAGAAAGCAGAAATCTCTCTGTCGTGGCGCTCAGTGGCCGAGTGTCACGACATCCCTACTCTCAATAACATTGACAAAATATTCGATTAAATTTACTCTTGAAATAGCATCAACGGCTGTGAACACTATAGGCTGTTGAATTTTCAATTTTTTTTATACAAATTAAGCTGATCACATTTTGGGAGAGTAAATTTTTTGATTTATAATATATTACTTAATTTGGAATCACATATACTTAAATATTTAATATTTATTTCAGTTGAAAACTGATCCGACGTGCGACGTACCGCGCGTTTGAGATCGACCGGTATCAGTTTAGTCTCAAAATCCTTTTAAATTTAATCTCATATGATTTTTATTTTAATGATTGAATTGTGAAATTTATTTAGAAAATAATTATTATTGTGATTTAATTCAATGAGTGTTTTAAAATGATTATTTTTAAATCAGTATAATTGTAACCTGATTTTAACTTAATTAAAATATTAAAACTCTTATTTTATAAGAATAATTTGATATATTTTACTCCTTCATTCATGTATATATGCGTGTTATTTTATCACTGAACTTATTGTTGCCTAAAATGAATCAATGAATGTATACGCTGCATAAGTTGATCAACTTTCTGCAATTTTCATGACCACCTCATCCAACTTGTTCAAACAAATTTTCTTAATTACGTGATCGATTTGTGTTTGATTTGTGTCCTTTTCCATTGGTATTAATAAACATCAATCACCAAAAATTATTTTCATTTCTCTTCTATGTGTTCAAGTTTATGGAATTTTTAATCGAAATTTTTTCTAATATTTTCAAACAAATTTTTTTTAAATAAAAAATTTCTTACTATGATTTAAAAAAAAAAATCAAAGGCTAATTTATTGTGAAAAATCCAAATTTATTAATTCTAGTCATTCTAGTATATTAATTCATTTATGAAATGTTTTTTAATTATATGCTAGTAGCAGAGGCCGTTGTGGCACCTGTCAGGGCAGCGGTCACAAAGTGTCCCAACCTCGTATGGGCGGTTCTGGAAGCCTCTCAGGTTGCCGCTGCATCGAGAGTGAATTATTTTTGAAAATTTCTTTTATATAATTAGAAAAGGGACTCACGCCGGACAGTAGTTGCAGACGTAGTTGTGGAAGACGCCCTTCCTGTCCGAGCACTTGGCGTACCCGCAGCCAACCTGGTTGCTTTTCGCCCAAACCATTTGCGAGTAGTGGCCGGTGGCAGCAAAGTTGTTACTCCCGCCAAAAGTGAAGTCCTGTACCTCTTCCCACCAACGCTTCACGGCCTTCTCCCTTTTTTTTTCAAAATTTATCACATATGATTTTTTTAAACTCAAATCAAATTTTTGCTGGTCATAACAATTACGTATTTATATATATTTTTTTTAATTGCTGTGAATGATGAATTTTAAAATTTATAAGGAAAAATAATTCTAGAATGATTTAATTTAACGAGACGTACGTAACAAGCAGCAGGAGTAATGCGTTGCAAAAATATTTTATGTGAAATTTTCAAAAAACCTTTAATCACCACAATTCCAGCTTGACTCGCTTACCAAGGAACCTTCGCGCTGGACACGTAGAGATTTTGGCCGCAGCTTTTGAATCCCTTGACTTGCGGTTTGTTGTGCACCAGGCGTTTGCACGCGTTTGCCCAATTTTGGGCCACGGCCGCTGCTCCTTCATGGTAATACTGAAAAATTAATGAATCGAACAAACTTTAATCAAAAGATTAAAAAAATCCAACTATTTTATTCATTGCATGAAGCTGGCATGAAGTGTTTGTGCCAGTAGAATTCCTTTCAAATGCAGTTAAACGCGATGATCTCCCTTTCTTGAAAACTTGTTTTGGGTTTGACTATATAATATAATATATAATAATGCATGGCCTATGGCAAAATCCTTTATTTATTTAAAAAGAAAATTTTTTGGTTTTCCTTACAATCCGCTAATTACCTTACCTTTGAATTTGGATCGAAATTTGAAGTTAATTAACATGTTTATTATTTTTTGAAGTAAAAAATAAACATTTATACTTCTGGCGTTTTTCTACTCCAAGTTTTTACTTGCCATGTATTGCATGTTGGCCGCCTCGGGGTCGGTATTCTTCCTCGCCAGGTTGTGAAGTCTCTTGATGGTCAGATTGTCCTCGTCCGAGACGTAAGAATGCGTCCCGATCACGGCCATCAGCAGCAGCCCCTAAGCAACCGACAAGTCCATCTTCTTGTTGTTTCTTGTGTGAAAAGAGAGAAACACTAAAGGAACCCAGCATTAAGAGCCGTTTATATATCACTAGGGAGGTGTGCAGCTGAAGTTAATTAGTGTTAATTACTAATTGATTATATCACACTGTCATCGACCAAAAGAATACAAATTTAATGTATTTTTCTTGTATTAACGTCATTTTTCTGATAAAGTAATTTTTAGGTCGATAACCTTAAAGTTTCTAATTCTCAGTCAGACTACTTGCCTTATAAACAATTCATCAGAAATTAGTGCAGATGACATTTAATTTTGATTTTATTTTCTAACGACAAGATTCTTATTTTTTGGCTCATTACTAATGACAATTTTAATTATTGTCCTTCAAAATTTTTAATATAATTTGCACAATATAAGAATTTAATCAATAAAGGCGAGTTTTTGCAAAATATAGAAGAAATTTATAACAGCATGAGAGAGTCAAACTGCAAGAAATGAAAACCACATAATTATTCATCAATTGATTTTTATATGCATAAAAATGAAATTTGTGAATTGGGAATGAAACCAATAATGCACTTATATAGGCTCGGACCTTGGAATTGGACAACTGCAACAAAAGCCGCAAAAGAAACTAATAAAAATTAATACATTTTCTCTAAATTTTCCCTGCATCTGGTGCAGGTTCAGTTAATTGATTTATTTCCACTATAAATTCAGCAGCTCTCAATTTAACTTTGACGCGTTGCTAACAAGAAACTCATTCAGGTCACCTAAATTGCATAACTCAAACAACTGAAAGTCGCAGTACTCTTAAACTTTTTGTTTTATTTCATGAAATAGGCTTTCAAATCAAATTCATTTAAGTTATGACTTTCGACATACTTTGAAAATTTTGCTACAAATCATTTCATCCTCCCAAAGTCCTTTTAAAAGCGCAATATTGTCTCTAAAGCTGGTACAAGTTTCTGTTCTCTGGGCGCTCGTTCAGGTCACAGAGCCGCTGATATTTGATCGGAACATTGGTTGTGGCGCCCAGCAGGGACGACATAATGCGTTTTCTGCAATCATAAAAAAATGTGCGCAGGTAAATAAATTTAATAATTATATTTGGAATCATTTGGAATAAAAGCATATTGAAAGTAATCATTTTTGAGTTCCTTATAAGAAGTTTTTGTAATGCTATAGCATTACAAAAACTGTTAAAAGGAAAAAAATTAATTCAAAAAAATAATCTTTTGTAAATTCAATATAGAATAATAGATTGCAAAGGGTGCAAATTATTGTATACCCAATCTCCATAATGCAGGTGGTGCGAGTGCTATCAGCAGTCCAGATGCCGATTTTGTCACCCTTCCCGGTGTCAAGTTCAAAACAGCGCCGTTGACCTCATCACTGTACTCGCCAAAGGCCTCCGCACCTTCACCAATCTTGCACAGCATCTGCATCTTCAGGCCAAATATAATACATAAATATGTTAGGAATTTATTTTTTGTTATGAAATGGACAGTGGTACAGACCACTTCAAGCCAGCAATTGTCAAAAGTTCAAGGCGGCGTTTCTTCTTCTCAAACGACACGAACCAGCGGCCGCCGTTCTTGTTGGCAGGGTGTTCCCACATGGGTGGGATGCCCTTTTTGAAGAGCAAGTAGCCAGTGCCAATCTTCAGCTTACTAGCTGGCGTGATGTGATTTACCATCCTGTTAAAAAAAATTGACATTAATTTTTCCGCTGAAATTATAAGGAAGTATATACTTCCCTTTTATAATTTGCCAATTTTATTAAGCATACTTAAAATTGCTTATCTTTAATTATATGATGCTTCCTGGAAAATTTACACATTCTAAATATTAATTTGTGTTTTAAAAATCGCATGTCGACCGATTAAAAGCGACGGCGAATGTGGAATGTGAGATACACAACATAATTGATAAAATGTATAAAACCGACAAATGCCTTACGTCCAAAAGTCCTCGACAGTCTCGATACTGAAAATCTCAACCAGATTTTCCTCCCAGGACTTAGTACGGACGTTTAAATGCTCCCAGAGCGTCCACGAGTTCTGCAGAGGATGCTTGATCATGTCACGAGGCACGTCCCCTCTATGGGAATGCAGGCCTCAGTTTTTTGATCCTGCTCCTTATTTTCAGCTAGTTTCAGATTGGACACTTCTCTTTCAAGTTGTTCTACTTTGTCGGCCATGGCTAATATATGTTCATCAGAAATAAGCAGCACTACATAAATTTATGAAACAGCAGACCAGCAGCGTAAAATTGAGTTGAGAACTATAAAAGAGTAAAGAGAATTGGAAATTCTTTCATCTGCGGCTTCTGCGCGTTGATACATATTCAGCTCAGCACTCAGCATTCAACGAGTTTATGCTTGTTTTATAGCCTGCAACGAATAACAGCAGCTACATCGACGGCTGGTGACGACAGGGAGAAGACAGATTCTAACTTTGCAGTTCATCCTTGTTGAGTCTTGCTTATTGCTGGCAATGACAAGAAATGCGAGTATGAAGAGAAAAATTATTTATGCCTCTATATTGGGTTCGGGGAGTGCGGCCGGTGGGGATAATTTATAATAGAGTTCCGCGCGACATCTGCATAATTATGATCCCAGAAAAAAGGTGTAAAATTAATTTATATCCTAAAACCACCGAAAATGTGGACAAATAATAAAAGTTACATATGATAACAGAAATAAACAACATTTAAATAATTATGATAAAATCTTTAATTTAATCAATATTCTTCTCCAGGGTGTGTGAGTCTAATCTGACAAAATTGACATTATTGCAAATTCAGAGAAAAACAACCCTCCCTCCAAAAACTCATTTTTTTGCTACTTTGAAGCTACATGGAACCCCATTTCAATTTCTGTAAGGACTCTGGGGAACGTCAAACAAGATTTTGAAGGATTTTTGGCTGGTTAATAATATTATATCCATAAAATAATAATAATTTGGGAGAAAATAACAACAGCAGGAAGCAAGAGGCTAACGAATAAACATGTACATCATCTCTTGCCTCCAATTTTGATAAAAATAAATCCACGTAATTCGCAAATAGAAAATTAAATTTATCTTTTTTCGGAATATGAAATATATTTGCGCTAAAAAGCAATAGAACTAAATTAATTAAACATTTAAATTGAAATCTAATAAACCTGCGAATTCCGTGGATCAGATTTTTTGCACAGTGGAAACTTGGAATGCTGCAAAACAATTATGAACAATAATCTGCATACAAAACAGACTTAAAATACAACTGCGATAATAGTTAACTAATCTTTATACAGTAGTTTTACTTTGCCCAGATACAGATTTCATTGACACAGCCCCCAAATTATAAATACGCCACTTCTCAGAAAAACCCTTTCTTTCATTAGCTATTCCAGAATGCATCTCACTTCACTCCTGGCCGAACCCTTCGGTTTCTTCGATGGCAAAGTTCAATTTTTCTACGAGCTGTTCATAGCTCTTGTAAGGTGGCAGATCCAGTCGGTTGAAGCAGGTGTGGGACCTTGGAAGCCAAGTTTCTTTGCCTACCTTCTCGATGCAAAAGCGTTGCGGACCGTTGCTTCCTGAATTTTGAAAAACAAAATCAAAGATTAAGAAATATCTGAGGAAAATTTTGACAAATAGTACCCATTAGCTCAGCAAATCCACCCACAGGAACTCGGCACGTTCCAGTCACAAACTGAAGTAATCTGGCCCTCTTTTCATTGTCAGTTGTTCGAACAAACTGAAATTCAGCAAAAAATATACAAATTAAATTAATGAAAGAAAATGATAAATTTGTCATTGGAGAAAAAAATTATTACAAAGGTACCAACCTGCCAGAACCAAAGAACCTGCTTGCTGTTTTTGGTGTAGTGCCTATAAATGGAGTGTCTCTGCCAGTCATCGACATCAACCTCTTGCATTCCGCACAGCATCAGCTCCAGTTCTCGCTCGTCAAAGTACTTGAGCCACTCGAGTGGCACCACTTCGTTGAAGCCATCCAAAAAGGCCTTGGTTTGTTCCTCAACACCTCTCGTCATGCGCCAGTTTGTCATCAGGCTGAAATTTTTAAGTCAAGAATTTGGCAAGATTTGAAATATCAAATAAAACCTCATGTATTCTTCCTTGTTTTCGTCTGTGACTTTGACTTTGTCGCCGTTATCCTTTAGTTCGTGATGCAGAACTTGGCCCAGAACTTCAAAGTCGACGCTGAAGTACAACTCCAGGCCGCACTCCTCTATGCTGTTATCTCTCAACCACACTAAGGAATTGTAAAACTCGGGGTCGATCGTCTCGATGTCCTTCATTGTGAGCTTTTTGTTTAACATCCTCTTGTAGAAGGGCATTGTGAATCCAGAGTAGATAAACCGACCGTGATACAGAGCCTGGAATTTCTCCCAATCAAAATCTCATTCATATTTTAAAAAACTTCCTCACCATTGCGATAAATCTGCCAATGAACTTGAAGTACTGCAGGTGGTCGGGGTTGACGTAGGAGGCGGGGTTGATTTGGAGGCTGTAGTTGTTTTTGTTGGCATACTCGAAGAGACAGTACATAGGGTTGAGCACCTCGTGGGACAACAAGAAGAACCACTCCCTGGAGACGCCTCCATAGTCAAGGCCCTCCTCCCCGCGGAAGATGATGTAGAGGCGCCGTCGCAGCTCGTACGCCGGCAGACGCATGATCTGATGGTACGAATCTTCGAATAGCGTTGCTCTCGTCATTGTGATTTTGATATGGGACGGCATGACATTGCTCTGGCACAAGTACCGGAACTGACTTAGCTTCCATCGGAATGACCGCTCGTACGCCCTCGGCACTCCGTAAACACCGTTGGGCCTGGCAAAATTTTATTTATAAAAAAAATTGGATAAATGGATTAGTAAAATACCCTTTGGGTGCTCCCGGACGAGGATCTTGGAAAGTGGTTGACCTCGAGTTGTGGTCAACAAAGTAACGAACTCCGTCTTCGGTCAGGCGGATTTCCCAGCCGTCAGGCAAAGGTGGCTCGTTAGCACTAATTTCTAGCCTGAAATATTGAGGTTTGAAATTTTGAACTATTTATAAATTCAAATTGAAAGAGACAAATTTAAATTATAATAATTGCCAATTCTGTCAATTGGAATAAACTTACCCTTGAGTTCTAGGATCTTCCCATTGCGTAGTCCTGTTTTTGTGGTTGACAAAGTACAGCCTTCCATCAGGCTGGACCCTCTTTTCCCAGCCAGCAGGGAGAGGGCCCAGGGTTGCTTCGTCGTCATCAGGTTTCGGAGCCGCTGTCGCCGCTCCAGCAGCACTTGTTCCCGCCACAGGGGTGCTATTATTGCTAGTGATTCCATTAGACACATTCTGAAAAAACAATCATTAGTACATAAGCTCATAAATCAAAATCTAAATCACATTTGGGTAGAGGAAGCGCTGGTTGCCCTGCTGAATGACGTGGGCGCGCTCGCCCTGCCAGTGCTGGAAGTGCTGCAGGCGCTCAGTGCTTGGCCGCTGCCAAGTGGTAGTGCGAGTGTTGTGGTCAACATAGTAGACTCGACCTCTGGGGTCTCGTCTCAGCTCCCAGCCAGATGGCAGAGCCTGAGGACGCTCCCAAGACGTAGATCTCGTGTTGTGGTCCACATAATATCTGATAGTAGAAAAGCAAAAAAATACAAATTATAAATTCGAAAAGGAGTAGATTGTTTCATTTTATCCACAAATATTTATACTGGACTTTATATTAAGAATAGAAGAATGTATTTCTTATGTGAAGAATGAATTGTTCAAGCACAAATGAAACAAAAAGAAAAAAATGACGTTAAAAAATTAATTAACTGAAAATTGAGATTACCTCCTTCCATACATGTCGTATCTCATCTCCCAACCTGGAGGCAGCGGGTCTTCAATGCTGGAGGTGGCAGCGACGGTGGAGGCGGCTGCCACGGCATTCGTAGCTGCTGGAGGCGTGTCCCCCTCTGCTGCTGGAGGCGCCTCAGTGCCATTGGGCCTTGCAGGCTCGCTCGGGGGTAAGCTGGGGAAGTAAGAAATAGTGGCCCTCTGCCTCGGCTGAGGCGTCGGAGCCGTCGAACTGCTCTCCGCAGGTCTATCCCCAGAAGGGACTGCCGAGGCAGAGGCGGCACGATCTGGGGGTGGAACGGTGTTCATGTCAACGCGGAGGCCCTTCAGCATGACAAATAGTTCGCCGGCGGTCGAGTTTGTGAAGCCGTTGCCCGACTGGTGGTGCTGCAGGTCAAGGGTCAGCTGAAGGTCCTCACAGCGCCCGCTGTAGTGCGCCAGAACCTCGTACAGCTGCGTCACCTTTTCGCCCAGCAAGCGGTCCCTCCAAAACTCATTTTGATCCAACACTCGGAAACGCAGCACAGAATAAGGCGTCACGAGTCTGCAAATCAAAATAGATTTTTTTCTTTATATAATGTATTTTATATTTTGTAAAATTTATTTAAAATGTGTACCAAATGATATAAAGCAAATTAATGTTTAAGAACCGAATTTTATAGTTTTGAAAATTTTCTTTAATATTATGTATGTAAATTTAAAAATTTGTTCATTAATTTTTTTAAATATAGTTTTAAAAATTTACATTGTGAACTCCTCGTTCCATTTGGGTTGATGAGTGGATTTGAGCACTTCTGTTTTCCTGACATTTTTATCGTCGATGGTGAGCTCCACATACGGGTTGGGTTTCAAAAACGTAACTCGCCTCAGCTGAGCTCGGTCGACTGAAATTTTGAATCAATTGCAAATGGACTGAAACAATCAACGATTTAATTACTGGTCAGGCTGAGCTGGTAGTACCCTGTGGCAGGTGGAGTGACCACATCAGGGGGCGTCGATTCACTCATTGCTCTGGAAGCAACTTCACTGGCTGCTGCTTATCACCATATCGGGGCCTATGGATTTTACACACTCAATTATTATCATAGCGGCACAAAGATAAAATATACATTTTTCCTTGTCAAGCATAAATTGCGTGAATAATCGCATTTTTTCACCGCGAGAAAAATTAAAAACATGTCATGGGAAAATGGCCTTGAACTGTGCGATTTAATATTGACGTCCAAATCTCAAAGATCAATAACTAATATTGACAATTTTATTGGTCGTGGAAATATTTAAAAATGAATTTGCGAAACCATAATCTCTCGCTTGTAATTTCAAACAAATCCAATTATAACAATCTTATCTCTCTACGTGCGCAATCAATTGAGAAGGGCATCGCACAAATTATAAAATCCGATAAAAACTTTCCAGATGTTCTAGAGAAAATAAATTGCAAAATTTATACAAAGACGCGTAATTCAAGGAATAAATTTATAATTAACCGAATTTTAGCGAAAATATTCTTCCTTTTGTTGTGTACGTCAGGAGTGTAAGAGGACGAATTTCAATGTTATGCAGTTCCTCTCTTTCAAAGTAGAATAAAAACATTAAACTGGAAAACATTGCGAACACTCTCCAAACACTTTCGATTCTTTTTTTAAATTGAGGTCGCTCGTGTTTGCGTACAAGAAAATTAATCATGGTTGTTCAAAGTCTGATAAGCTGCTCAAAGTCAGTTCGATTTGAGGTCCAATTTAGGGGGGCCCTTGTGCAGCAATCAGAGCGAAAATTATGCGTCAAAATACCTGCTCGATAAGGGCTTTTGGCGGCTCAGGCGAATGTCCAGGGTCGTGCCCAACTGGGGAAGATTGCGAACGACAGGTCGCGGAATTCGGAAATTCCTCCGCGGCTGCTGGAAACGCTGGAAAGCGGAAAAAAATCCCAAATTGAGGAAGGCGTAGCAAAGCTAGCAGAAATAAGACTGAATAAGACCTTTCGACCCTAGGGGTGTATGCAGAGGAGTGCACGAGATTCGAAATTCGAATGTCTCCAAGGTCGTCGCTTCGGTCCGATGAAATTTTAGCGCAGAGGACAGCGCCGTGAAGTGGTATTAATCAGAAGCTTTAAGTAAATCGTTATTTGATTGGCTCATCGGGTAGAGTCCATCAAATAATGCGCCTCTCTTAAATGCACTATCCACTTAATTGGGCTTTAGCAGCAGCTGACATCTGCAGGACAGTCACGAGGGTAAAATCTTCCGAGGGTTTAGTCATGCATAAAAATTATTAAACTTCTGTCAAAATATTTTATGCTACATTGATTAATTGTTTCTTAATTCGATTAGAAGAGATTAAATTTGAACAATTAATATTTCTATAAAATTCCTGTAAATTTTAAATATCTTTAATCTTGGGAATATTTCATTTTAAATTTTAAGTTATGTATTTAGTGTATTTTATTTTGGCTCTTTTATTTTTATTAAATAATTTCTATGAAATTCAGAAAATTATAAAACTTTTTTCAATCTCATCCTAAAAGATCTTATACACATATTCATTTTTTTTTTATAATTAAGATTTTCAGTTTTATTATTATTTTGAAGAATATTTTGAAACGCGATATAATTTTCAATGATTTGAATGGAAAATAAAATATTCATGCTTTCATAATTTTTATAGTTCAAATTACATATTCATTTTAGGGAGGAATTATTCAATATTATTGAAACATTAAATTTGTTTTGTCAGCAATGTGTCTACGCAATGTGCAGAATTGATAAATAATTTTGTTGTGATGTTGGTAAGTTAATACATACATATGTAAATATTGTACAGTTGGTACAACTGCAAACCAAATAAAATTAGAACTTTTCTACCCTTTGAACTGAACGCACGTCTCTCTCTCGTTCTCCCTTCCGGAGAGCGGCCGCTGGCCGCCCTCGAACATTTGAGGCCCTTTACAAAGGCCGTACGAGCTACAGCAAATTGGCGACGAGGCGAACTTAGCGGCGGAAGGAGGAGAGGACGACGAAGAGGAACCGTCGGAAGCGAGAAGACGGCGTGGACAGTCATCCGCGTGAAGGCCACGTGTTGCGGCAACCGGAAGTTGGCTTGGTAGGTGTCCGGAGGCGGACCAGTCCGGCACCACTGACACCAAGGCCGTCCCAGCGCAAAAGGCAAGTGGTTAAAAGGGTGTGGCGCTGGGGCCACAGAAGGGTCGTTTGAGAAATGAAACGACAGTAGTTCTTGATTCAGGTTTAATCCGAACTGTAAAAAATAGATACAATCAATATCACAATAATAAAAATAAATATTTTATTTTAATCAGGAATTTAATATGGTGTGGTTTGAGTAAACCTATTTGGTGATTTGTTTAATTGAGAATGAACATTGTGATGGAATGCTAATTTGCATAATTAATGAGTTGTGTGGCCGACAGTGGCCTTGCTATGTGAGCAAATAAAATCAAACAGATTTGCATATTTAAATGAGAAATGAGTTATTGAACAATTGAGGGATAATGCAGTGCATGTAATTTGAGTAAATTAATTCAGAAATTGAGATATTCGCGAGATTAAGTAAATGGCACATGGTGGCTGCACTCGGAATAATTTGTTATTTTGTACTTGGTTATTGTCACTCGAGTATGGCACTTGCAGACAAACGCAATGTCTCGTTGAATGGGGAAAATTAACACTCGGGACTAAATCGTAAATTAAAGGCTTACCCCAGGCGTGGGTGTCGGATAAATTGAGATAGCGACGGACAGAGAGAATTTGTTTGTGTTGCTCGTTCGTGTCCGGCATGAGAAAGAAGGAGTGGTCCGAGGAGGGTCTCGGGGGAGATTTTACTGTGAGGTGCGCGCCCTCACGCGGCACCGCTACAGGGGCCCCCCCTATGACACCGGAGGTGCTCAGGACAGTACGTAGTCCTTGGTCCAAACGGGCAATCTGGAGCAGCGGCCAGTGCGAGTGATTCGGGTTTGGGCTGTGTTCGGAGGCACTTGTGGTGTCGGATGTTGATCTGGGGGTGAGTTGAAGAAGAGGTCGAGGCTGAGGTCGCCTGTGGTGTCCAAGTCTGGACTTCTTGGTCTTTGGGAATGAGGAGGAAGTTCTGCAGGTGGCTCAAGTGGTGGCCACTCTGTTGGTGTTGCCTCAGAGGCGCCCGAAGGTGTCTCTGGTGTACCTGGAGCTGAGGTAGGAGGCAAGGGTGCTACTGGAGGAGTGTCCAGACTGTCCGGAGGTGCTTCTGGGGTGTCCGGGACAGGACTTGGTGGCGGTGGTGGAGGCTGCGGAGTTTGCTGAGCTGTTGGCAGGTCGAAACGCACTCGTTTGACTGGTGCTGGCGCTGTCGGAACTGGTTCCTTCTCGGCGTGCTGATAGCAAGGTTTGAGTCTGTCGATTGTAACAACTTTTGATTTACCTTTAACCTCGATCACGAAGGACTTGGCGTTGCGCATGATCACTGAATAGGGACCAGTGTACGGCTTCTCGAGGGCCCCGCGGACAGCATCGGTGCGCAGGAATACGTGAGTGGCAGTGGCCAAGTCAGGGTGGACGAAGAATGTTTTTCCGCCGTGGTGGGCAGCCGGAATGGGCAGGAGAGTGGCGAAGTGACTGCGGAGTTGGGCAGCGAGGTCAGCAGCTTGCTGAGGAGTGGGTCGTACGAAAAAGGTTCCGGGCAGCCGGAGTTCTTCGCCGTAGACGAGGAGCGAGGGAGTGGTGTGCAGATCTTCCTTGAAGACAGACCTGAGACCGAGGAGGACCATTGGCAGGGCGGCCATCCAGTTTTGCTCCTGACACATGAGCGCCGCCTTCATGGTGCGGTGAAGGCGCTCAACCATACCATTTGCCTGCGGATGATACGCATTAGTATGGTGAATTTCAAAACCGAAATTTTTGCTGAATTTCTTAAACAGGTCAGACTCGAACTGTCGGCCTTGGTCGCATACCACAGTTCCAGGGACTCCGTAGCGAGCGATCCAGTTGGAACGAAAGGCTGTGACGACGTCCAGGGCGGAAATGCGCTTGAGTGGGACGGCTTCTGGCCAGCGTGTGAATCTGTCTACCATTGTGAGGCAGTACTTGTAACCCTCGACTTCAGGGAGTGGCCCGACGAGGTCGATGTGCACGTCCTTGAAGCGTTCTGTTGACTCTGGAAACGGAATCAGAGGAGCCTTAGTGTGTCTTGTAACTTTTGAGGACTGGCAGGGGGTGCAAGAGCGCGCCCAGAGGAGGCAGTCGCGGCGCATGTTGGGCCAGAGGAATTTTTCCGAGACCAGGCGGAGTGTGGATTTTGCACCTGGGTGGGCCAAGTTGTGGAGGGAGTCAAAAACTTGTTTTCTGAATTTTTGTGGCACGAAAGGGCGAGAAGCGCCTGAGGATGTGTCGCACCAAAGCATGTGTGGAGAATTAGGGATGGGTTTTTGCTCGAGTTTGAGGGGTGAATCTGGCAATTTACGGAATTTGAGGAGGTCTGTGTCAGCTGCTTGGGCTTCAGCCATGGCTTCAAAAGAGACTGCGGTCGAGATGGACTCAATTCTGGAGAGGGCGTCGGCCACCAAGTTAGCGGTGCCCTTGATGAACTGAATGTCAGTGGAGAACTGGCCAATGAACTCGAGATGGTGGAGCTGGCGCGGAGAGCAGTCGGCTTTGTTTTTGCTGAAAGCGAAGGTGAGGGGTTTATGGTCAGTGAGAATCTGAAATTGGCGACCTTCGAGGAGGTACCTGAATTTCTTGATGGAGGCAAAGATGCCGAGGAGTTCTCTGTCGTACGGGGGGTACTTCTTTTCAGCGGCAGAGAGTGTGCGGCTGAAGAATGCTAGTGGCTGCCAGGTGCTGTTGACGAGCTGTTGCACAACACCACCGACGGCATAGTCGGATGCGTCGGTGACCAGAGAGAGTGGGACATCTGACCTTGGGTGGGCCAGGCAGGCGGCGTTTGCCAGGGCTTCTTTGGTGGTGTCGAAGGCGGTTTGCTCAACCTCTGTCCACCTCTCCAGGGGTGCCTTTTTGGGGCCTTTGGGTCCATTCTGTAGACAATTCAAAGGGGCCATGAGCTTGGCTGCTTGTGGGAGGAATCTATGGTAAAAGTTTACCATGCCGAGGAAGCGTCGGAGCTCCTGCTTGTCCTTGGGCGTCGGGTAGGCGCTGATTGCTGTGACCTTGTTTGGTAGTGGAGTGATTCCGTCTTTGTTGACCAAGTATCCCAAGAAACTGACTTCAGTGGCGCCTAGGACGCACTTGTCGAGGTTCAGTAGGAGGCCATGGTCCTGCAGGCGTTGGAAAACCTGTCGAAGGTGCTCTCGGTGTTCTTCTGGAGAACGAGAGGCAATGAGTAAGTCGTCAATGAACACAAACACGAAAGGTAAGTCACCTAGAATTTCGTGGATGAAGCGCTGAAACGTCTGTCCTGCGTTTTTGAGGCCAAACGGCATGGACAGGAATTCAATGAGACCCATTGGCGTCGTAATGGCTGTTTTTGGGACATCCTCTGGTGCCACTGGGACTTGCATGTAGGGTCTGTCGAGGTCTAGGGTGGAGAAGATGGTACAGCCGGCCAGCAAGTGGGTGCAGTCGTGAAGATGGGGAAGTGGGTAGCGATCTGGCTCGGTCCTAGCATTCAGAGCGCGGTAGTCACCGCAGAAACGCCATGTACCTGGTGTTTTCTTGGGGACTAGGGTTGCTGGCGACGCCCATGGGGACTTTGAGCGGCGTGCATCGCCATTGTCGATGAGCTTTTGGATCTCAACTGCGGCTGCTTTCAGCTTGTCTGGGGGCAGTCTGCGGAACCGGGCAAAGACTGGTGCTCCAGGGGTGACCACGATGCGGTGAGTGGTGGTGTGCTTTGCAGGTTTGCGCTTGGAGGAGGTGCAGCACAGGTCGGGGAAATCTTTCAAAAGAAGGTAAAAAGGGTTTTGTGTCTCAATGATTTTGACAGTGGGTGCAGGTTCGGGGCGATTGCAACCTCTGACGTGGACGGATGTCAGCCTGTCGGAGAGCTGGGCCAGGCCGAGGTCAACGACCAGGTTATGTCGAGTCAGGAAGTCAGCGCCGATGATGGGGTGTTCCACGTCAGCCACTAGGAAGGTCCACTCGAAAGTTCTCCTGAGGTTGAGGGTGAGTTTGAGAGTGTGGAATCCGTACGTTTTGATCTCTGTCACATTGGCGGCGGTGAGATTGTAGTGGAGGGGAAGTTTCATGTGGGGGAACAACTTTTGGGGAAGGACGCTGATGTCGGACCCTGTGTCCATCAGGAAGGACATCTTGGAGGTGGGGTCAAAAATGAAGAGGCGGCCGGGTGAACTGGGGCAGGGTGTGGCCGCTGCTGCAGCCTGCCCAGTTAGTTTTTCGCCGGCGTGGGGGTGATGGCGGCGGCGGCCTGCAAGGACTGGTGACTGGAGTGGTAGCGGCAGCCTGTGATGCACTTGCGGGCGTCCAGTTGGAACGTTTTGTGATAGTAACAGATCTTGCCGGCAGCGTTGCCGTCATCGAAGAGGTCTGTGTACCTGGACTTGGATCGCTCCCCTGTGCGACTTTTGCTGCGCCATCTGGATCTGCCTCTGTTGAAGCTGTCAGACTTGTTGTTCAGCAGGGTCTGGACTGACTGTGTGAGGGCCAGGACTTGCTGAGCCAGGTCGTCCAGTTTGGTTTCCAGACGGTCAACTCTTGTGGGTGTGCCTCCAGAGTAAGAGGTGGAGTTGGTTTTGTTGGTGGTGTGTTTGATGGCAGAAAGTTGGGGTGCAGGTGTGGAGAAGGAGTGTGTCACAGCGTTGGTGTGGTCTCTGGCAACCATCATGTCTGCTCTGGCTGCAGCCACAGTGACGTCACGTTCGCCGCTGATGGCCAGCCTGATGTTGTCGGGCAGCTTGTTTGCCCAGCACGAGAAAAGCATCTCATTCATCATGGGGTGAGTGGCGTCAGACTCTGCGATGCGCTGCATCCTGGCTAGGAACTCGGATGGTTTTGCGCCATTTGGACTTTCGTCAATCATGAGTTGACGGACGCGCGCCTGGGTAGTGGGCTCGACGTGTGTCAGGATCGCCGTCTTGAGCGTGGTGTAGGGCTGAGATTTTGGCATGGGTGCCAGGTGGCACAGGATTGACTCAGGTGTGCCGTTGATAGGGATGAAGTCGCGCAGGAACCGAAACATCTGGGGCTCGTCTGCGAGGTTTTCCTCGGCGAATTTGTCGTCGAGCAGTTTCAGCCAAGTCATGGCAGTCTCGTACTCAAACATGGGCATCGAGATGTTGGCCATGATCCTGAAGTTGAAAACTGGCGGAGTATCTGGTTGCTCCTGTGGAGGTTGCGCGTCTGGGTCGCCGGTCAGGGGCGGCGTTGGTTGCGCAGCGTCGCGGGCCACTTCGTCGAAGAAGGCCAAGGTGTTTGCATCTGCTGGGGAGCGTGGTTGATCAGCAGTCGAGGGCGGAAGGTCAGGCTCGGAGACTGCGTTGATTTTGGCGAGATCGCCGGTTCCTTCGGTAGACATCTACTGAAGTACCAAAGGGCTGGGCACCACTGTGGCGCTTGGGCCACAGAAGGGTCGTTTGAGAAATGAAACGACAGTAGTTCTTGATTCAGGTTTAATCCGAACTGTAAAAAATAGATACAATCAATATCACAATAATAAAAATAAATATTTTATTTTAATCAGGAATTTAATATGGTGTGGTTTGAGTAAACCTATTTGGTGATTTGTTTAATTGAGAATGAACATTGTGATGGAATGCTAATTTGCATAATTAATGAGTTGTGTGGCCGACAGTGGCCTTGCTATGTGAGCAAATAAAATCAAACAGATTTGCATATTTAAATGAGAAATGAGTTATTGAACAATTGAGGGATAATGCAGTGCATGTAATTTGAGTAAATTAATTCAGAAATTGAGATATTCGCGAGATTAAGTAAATGGCACATGGTGGCTGCACTCGGAATAATTTGTTATTTTGTACTTGGTTATTGTCACTCGAGTATGGCACTTGCAGACAAACGCAATGTCTCGTTGAATGGGGAAAATTAACACTCGGGACTAAATCGTAAATTAAAGGCTTACCCCAGGCGTGGGTGTCGGATAAATTGAGATAGCGACGGACAGAGAGAATTTGTTTGTGTTGCTCGTTCGTGTCCGGCATGAGAAAGAAGGAGTGGTCCGAGGAGGGTCTCGGGGGAGATTTTACTGTGAGGTGCGCGCCCTCACGCGGCACCGCTACAAGGGAAAAGAAGAAGTCTCCGCGTCTGATTGCGAAAAATCAGCACTGCAAGTGGTGAGCAAGTCGAGCCGAAAACGTGGTGAGAAAAAAAGAGGGTGCAAAGCATTGTCAAGTGAAACACTAGCCGCAGAATATTATTTCCACCATCAGTGTCTTCGAGACTGGAAATAATCTAGTGAAGTTTAAGGTGAGAACTCAAGGGCCAGAGGGAAGAAATTCCAGGCCAAAAAGGAGTCTTCGAGACTTTTGCCTTAAAAAAAAGAGGGGTTTTTCTCAAAGGTTTTGAAAAAAAAATGGTAGTAAGTTGTTGTAATTAAATGACTAGATTTGCAGCACACCATTCCTGAGAAAATCTATAACCTGATTGCTTGTACGTAGCCACTAAGAAAACACACGGCAGTGAAGAAGGAGGGCCTCTCAAGAAGAAAAAAGAGGTTCCGTAAAAAAGAAGAAAGAAAAGAAAGAGGAAGGAAGGAGAAGAGTCTGGAGCGGAACTTGTGGAGCGACAAGGTGGTCCAAGGAGAAGACGAGACCACAGTCAGCTGCAAGGAAGCCCCGCCTCGAAAAGGACTTCAACCAGAGTTGGACTCAAGAAAGCAGTCAAGAGCAGCAGGACAAGTAGCTGCCAAGAGAAAAGGGTGTGCACCAGCACCAACGGCCGAGACATCGGAGGCCGTCGGACAGAAGGCGTGTGGCGCCCTGTCCACCTGAGACGCCGGGAGGAGGCAGCCGCCTTCTCTGGCCATCATGTGAGGGACCCGAAGGGTGCAACCGCATCCTTGGGCCGTCGACCTGAGTGGAGGGGATCTCCTCAGGGGTCGCTTAGAAGTACCGGACTACAAAGAGTCCGAGGTGTAAAACGAGGAGCCGAGTGTCCATCCAGCATGGAGAAGATGAGAACAGCAACTGGCAGTTCAGACCGTGCCAAGTGTGCTGGAACATTTTCGGTTTTCATTTGAAAATTTAGTGATTGAGCGAAATTCAAGTAAATTAGTAATGCAGAAATACAGTTTTAAACAACCAAATTTCCGTTAAAAATTCAGGAAAGTAAAATCAATTAAAGTTTCAACTTAAATTTCCTAATCTGAGAATTAATTTTAGAGTTTAATCAAGGAACTCAATTTAGTAAACAAATTTTCAAAGGTTTTTGAGTAAGAGTAATTCTTGTGAATGGATGTAAATGTGATTTTGTAACAATGTTTCCAAATTAATCAATTTCTTGCTCCAACGCCAAATGCCACAGTTCTCCTTAAAGTGCGTAAATTAAAACTTGTTTTTATCTTAGGCGGGAGGTGTTGTGATGTTGGTAAGTTAATACATACATATGTAAATATTGTACAGTTGGTACAACTGCAAACCAAATAAAATTAGAACTTTTCTACCCTTTGAACTGAACGCACGTCTCTCTCTCGTTCTCCCTTCCGGAGAGCGGCCGCTGGCCGCCCTCGAACATTTGAGGCCCTTTACAAAGGCCGTACGAGCTACAGCAAATTTAGAGCGAGCAGGAATGTAAATTGCGTTCCAGGGAAATAACATAAAATTTATTATCGGTGCCAATGCCTGCCGCGGTTGCTTCACATTCAGAGTGCAACATAAAAAAAACTTTCAGCTGGCTCTCAGCAAAATAAGGCAAGCTGCGAAGCCCGACCGACCGACACTGGCCCGAGGAAACACAGCGCGCCTCTGTTATATTATTCTGCCTTTACAACGTCTCAATACCATACACACACCGCTGCACCATCAATTTCAATGGATAAATTTCGAGACTCCTCCCCTACGAAGACCTAATGGGCATGCAGAGCGTTGAAACGCTCGACGCGGGCCGCCGTTCCCAGACCTTTGTTGGCACGAGAAGCGAACGGCGGCCCCGAGCGAGCATTGCGCTCTGTCACCCACGACGGCCCACAACACATGGCAGCCAGCATTCTTTTGATTGCACTTTACTCTGCAGGGGGTGCAAACACTGTTCACGCACGCACCATTCACCAAATACCGGTACTTCTCACGGTTAAACCGGTTTGCGGAAGGCTCTAAAAAGAGATCTGCAAGGGTCGGCTCAAAACTTAAACTCCCTAAAACAAAAAAATAGCAGGCGGAGATAGAGGTTCATTCTGATAAAAAAATCTCTAAAAGTTAAAAAAATACAACAAAATAGTTCTAAAATTAAAATTAATAAGAACAAAAGAAAAAGCGCTTAGCAAAAAAACAAAAATAGATAAATAAAAGCGTGGAAAATTGCTTAAACTTAAATTTATTAAAATATATTGGATGAAGATAGAAGTTGGGAAATGCTATTGGCGTATCTACAAAAAATTTCAATTATTTTTCTATATTTTTCCATCTTCCATCGACGAACGAAGTGGAACCGATCGCGACACCTGCTTTTCTCACTAATGTATGGCGGTGGCTTTGGGAGGATTTTATTCCTCATGGTCATGGTGTATTTTTTTTTTTTTTTTTATTTTTTACTACAGTTTTATTTTCTTAGATTACATACATACATAAAGATTCCCTTGGATTTTGGTCGGAAAAAATTTGAAAGATTTTTTTTTAACCTTCCATATTTTCCAATACATATATCTCAAAATTAAATGGGGTGAATCAAACTTTTATGAAACAATCTGAGGTTATAATTATAGAGGGTGCAGAGGCCGAGACCCGAGAACTTCAACAAATTTTTCCAAAATGATTTTTCATTTTGCACACTAATTAAAAAAATTATGATGATTTCTCTCAACAATGCAACAAAAAATTGTTTCAAAAATCTGGCTTTATGTAAAGTGTACCACTTTATAAATATCTTTTGCTCTTAAATTGTTATATTAATTTCATGAAATTACAATGAAGGGTTTGAAATTAAATTTGTATATGTAGTAATAATAATTCTGGCAATGGATCTGGCGTCAAATTTTACCAGTAAAACATGACTCGCTCTAATAAATTTGTATTAATTTCATTATATTTCAAATTAGGGGTTGAAATTAAATTGATAGCGCATAATTAACAATGGCAATTACTTGGGCTTCAAATTTTACCCTCTATATTGCTCTTCAATTTGTTTTTATTGAAGTTAATAGCTAATTAAGGGTTGAAATTGACATTTTTCATTTAAATCAAATACACCTTTGATTCCCTAAAAATTTTAGCCGATAATCACGGTATGTACGCACTTGACATTCAATTAGTTTCGTTCAACTCACCCAGTTTCTGAATCCACATTATAAAATTTATAAATTAATATTATTTGTTCGATTTAATTTGAAGAAAAAAAATGTTCGTTCTGGTGCAGGCCTCTAAAGTGTTCGGTGAAACCGATAAGCTGGGTGTCCGATCATATGGCAAGTGCGGCAAGTGGCAACAGAGGGGCCGTGTATAGTTGGTGGGTCGGTCGTCGTCATTCGTCGGTCTCCGAGGCCGCCGCCGCAGTCAGTGAAGACGCGTCAGGCGAGTGGGTCGGTCGTCCTCAGCCGGCGGCGCCACGGACGGATCTCTTCGTTCGCAGAGGCCATTTTGAGAGAGAATTAAGTGCTCTGCGTCTCTCCGTAGACGAAACGAATCGGGACGGCGATGGTCGGCGCGTCGCGGAGGCAGTGCTGCAGTTCGTCGCGACGCAGCAACATGCCGCCTCCGGCGGCGGCGCCGCCCCCGCTGCTGCTGGAGGCGCCGCCTGCGGCCTTCCGCAGGTCGGAGCTGCGCTTCGCCAAGCAAATCGGGATGTGCTCTCTGGCCGGTTGCTGCGGCCTCCGTGGGGGCTGCTGCCCGGGGGCGCCCGCCGCCTCCGCGGCCGCCCCCGACTCCCTGCTGGACATTTGCGCGCGGGTGGTGGCCGAGAACATCCCGTTCCAGCGCATCGAGGAGCGCTACGTGCGCATCCCCGAGCCCGTGCAGCGGCGGATCATCTTCTGGTCCTTCCCCAGGGATGAGAGTGACATTTGCATGTACTCATCCCTGGCGCAGGTGCACGCCGCCTCCTCCGACAGCCACAACCAGGCCTTCTACAAGGGCCTCAAGCTGCTCGAGGCCAGATGCGTGTCCAACGTCCTCCAAGTCGGTGAGTTCAAAGCCCTCCCTCCCAGTCTATAAATAAATTAGTTATTTTTTTCCAAATCAAAAGTTATGTAGGAAGTGAAATTCTGATTACTCCTCTCACAACAAAATGTGTGCAGCAAGATTCGGATCCGGATGACCAATGTTCTAGGAATTTTCAAGACGAGTCCGCGATGGACGCACAAAATTATTTAAATTTTCACTTAATGTTCTGGAATTCCATTATTGATTCCACTTCCAAAATAATCAACAGGAAATTATTCGAAATTCAATTTTTTATTAATATAATTCAATATGAACTATAGGTTCCGACATAAATTGATAAGAAAAGAATCAATATAATGTTTTGCTGCAAAAGTATTAAACTATATTATGACTACTGAAGTTTAACAATAACGCCCAAGTATACTCGATTTTTTTTATATAAAAAATACCCTTTTTTTAATTCCTTGTAATTTCTTTTAATGTCTTTCAAATAGCATTTCAAAGCTTTTTTTTCTTGTATGCGCAGCTGCCAATCAAGTTCTGTCGGAAGCACAAACATAGATTATAAAACCGGTGGTGCAGTTTTGACTTTTTATAATTTGAGGCCTGGAGTGGAGATACATGAGGGATTTTCCATATTGCCAGATAATTATTTCCTTAGAAAAAAGTAAATTTCATAATGTAATTTCTATCACACAGTATTCAAAAATTAATTGAAATTAATTTTTTCCTAATTCTGTAAAATGACAAAATTATAAAAGGGAAAAATAAAATAATAAAAACGTTTATATCTGCTGATCAAAAACTGATATTAAAAGTAATAAACGTAAATTAGTTGGAAAGGATTAACTTCAGTTACAGAAATAAACAATTCCAATAAGGGACACATGAGAAAAAGTTTCTGCGTAATTATGTTTTGCATTAATTCTTAACAACTGAATAATAGCGATCTTAAATTGATTTAATGAGTTTCTACTACACCATTTTGCTTGCGCAAATTTTTAATTTTAAATAAATTACATTGCAAGAAAAATCACATAATTTTTTTTCAATTACATTTTTACAAATATACTACAACATCTTTATCAAAATGATATTTAAAGCTTAAAGAAGCAGTAAATGTTGAATTATAAAAATCCCTCCAGCGCATTTTTGGCTGTTTTTTTTTTTTTTAATTTTAATTATATGACTTGGAAATTCATGGCTTCTTTTTGAAGAAAAGACATTTTCAAGGAAAGAAAATTGACCTTCCGTGTTTGGGGTTGAGGCGAAGAAAATCGTAACGGAAAAAGCCCAGAGTAGTGTAATGACTGTGGAGGGTTTGAGGGCGTATGAGGTCACCATCACAGGAAGGAAATCCCATTCACCCACAGAGATTCGTTTTTTTCCTTTTCCGCGTGAGCTCATTCAATCAAAATGAATCAGAGCTTTAAATGTATTTTCGAAATTCAAATAAAGCAAGCAGAAAATGTTGTTAAATAGAAATTTGGTACATACATTTTAAATGCAATGCAGAGCTGGCATTGAAGAGCAATGCTTACTTAGAAGCAATTAAAATCTAATTATTATAATAATTATAATCTTATTGTTAATTTAAATGGTGTCTGCTAAAAATAAATTGTTTTTGTATTTAATTTCAGGTGCGATTTTTGTGTGCCTAAAATCATTAACTTGGCTGCTCAAAATTTTTCCCATTCAATTTCTTAAATCGCCTTTTAATCAGACAACAAATTTATATTCTCTATATGGTATAAAAATATTGAAGTTTACAAATTTATTTGCTATTTCTGGCCGACCCTTCGTCATAGACCGAACAAAATCATCAAAATTCCTATAAAATATTAAATATTCCAAACAAAAAATAGTTCTGCAGATTTCTTTTTTATCAAAATACTTCAAAATTATGATAATCTTCTGAACGAGTCGCGCAGTTTTCGTCTTTAAAAGGCTTAAAGCCGAATTTCCTTGTTTCCTCCTAATTACCAGGAAACAAAGGATTCGGCGAAAATCGCAATCAATTCCGCGCATACGACTTAAAATCACGCTTCTTTCGGAGGGGTCGATGTCCAAAACCACGAGTTGATTTAGCAAGAGCATGTTTCCTTTTGAGCTGGAATGCAGGGTCGAGAGCGAAACAAAACGCGGACGAAAATATGCATTTGTACATACGAAGCGTATATACGTGCGGAGGAGCGGCGCATTAAAGGTGATGAAGTGCCGCGAGCGTGCGGGGGTGTCTTGCGCCGTTCGCCTCCGCCCGTCCCAACCTATCCCTCTTTAAACGCGCGCTCTTTGACGCCGCCGCGGCCCTCACTCTCGCGGCGCACACCCCATCACGCATGCATTTACCCTGGCACCCTAGCAAACGTTATATCAAATTTCAATCAAGTTGAAACAACATTTTATCGCCATTTTAAATTTTTTCGCCTGATGATGAAAATAAAAATTGCTTAAAATGATTTTTCTAAAACTATGGCTTAAAAAGTTATTAAATCGTTTAGCAAATTAAAAAACATTTACACTTCATTTAATATTTGGTTTCAAGAATTTATTGAATAAAAATTGAATAATTATATATATAGGTTTATTGTTTATTTCAATAATAAATTGATCTAAGAAAGTTTAAAACTTAAAATTCGTTTTTTAAATTAATACAATATGTGTGAAATAAGAGAATCCTCTTATTCTTAGTATTTAAAATTTATTCACCACATTACAATTACTTTTAAGCTTAGATGGATAGCAAATTTGGCAAAAGTTAACCAGAAAACTCTCCTCCATCTCTTCTATGCAAACAAAATTACTTTAGAAACAACAATTGAACTGACGCTGGTAAAATCCAAAAAGTTGCGTTTTAATTTATTTAATATTTATTAAAACCACTATGATTTTTATAATTGAGTGTTTCATATTATTTTCTATTGATATCTGCAATTATTACTAAAAATTTGCTTAATTTTTAACTGAAGTTTATTCTCATAAAGTAATTTCAATAAATAAGAGAGAGAAATGTACTGAACGAATATGGAATTTAGAATTCCACAACTCATCTTGCAAGATAGAACATTAAAAATTAAAATTCTATTTAAAGTTTTGCTGCTGCTCAAAGCTAATTTTCTATCTATAGGCAATGTTAAATGTGATACTACACATTCTTCACTACAAAAACTATAGATTGACATTCCTCTCAAGCGTCGGAGCTGGAATTTTTTATTATACAAAACAAGCGATCAGCGACCTTTACCATTCCAAATTTTCTTTGTTTCTATTTCATAAAACTCATCAATTGGTTTATTGACATGCAACAATTTCAATATTATTCAAACTTTATGAAACAACGAGACATAACTTAAGACGCACAACCCAGAACTTTGCTGTAAATATTTTCAATTTCATATTTCTCTGTGACCTTGAAAGTTGAGACCCTTTGGTTCAAAGGGGTGGAAAACTTTTTTTTATATTTTGAGAAATTGGTCCAGTTCGGGAAGCGAGATTTCCGCGCATAGTCCGGGGGAGGGTGGTGTGTGCACTAGTACATGCAAAGCAGAGCAAAGAGGGACCGAATTTCCATTGCCAAGCATGGGCGTGTATTGTATTGATCGAGCGGCTTCAGTCGCAATGAGAGTGGCGCAGAGAACTCGGCTTTGATCCCTTCGGCTGCAGCCGCCGAAACGCCAAAAACCAGTCCTTGCATCTTCAATACGTTTCGATCATGTCGATTTTCGCTTTTTCCAATTAATAAAATCTTTGCTTCGGATGCTGCCGAAATTTGTGCCTCTGAAACTGGTTTCTCCAGCAGACCGCATTCCTCCCCTCATCGCAGATTTTTCTTATAAAAAGGGTTGCATATTCACCCATGTCGAGTCGATTAAATTTAATTTTTTTGATTTCCGTCTCTTATGGGATGAAGATTTTGTTTAAATGCTAGAAACCAGTCTGAAGTCTGATATGAAATTATTTAAAATTAATCAAAGCACTTGGAACTGCTCAAAAATCGACAACTGCATTCATCAGATATTTTTATTTGATCTCATTAAAAATGTAAAACTTTTTCAACTGCATTTTAATCAGCCTTCCTGCAAAAACGACATGACATCAATTTTATCACGAAAGTTATCTTTTAAAGTCAGTCATTGATAAATCAAAGTAACATATTAAAAGGCTTGTTTGGCTGCATTTTCTAGCTAGTAGTTTGTGCAGGCGAATGTCTGGCCAAGTTTTTTGAAAACAATGTATCGTTGGGAAAAATAAAAATTATTAATTTTAAGAAACATTCAGCGCACATTTTGACCTTATTCGATAAAATGTTGGCTGAATGTTAGAAAAAACATTTTTAGAAATATTTTATCGCAGCTTTCAGGAAAAGCATGAAAGAATTCAATCCATCTGAAATTCATTAAATAAAATTCAAGATGCTTTTGAAAATGATTTCATTTAGGAAGTCCATGCACCATATCATTTCATTAATTTCATTTGCTCTCTTTTTTAAGCCAGAATATCTTTCTTCCATGATACGTTTATATCATCGTAATTTCCATCGAAAACAAAGTTCTGTTTTATAAAATGTGACTTATCTGTTTGAAATAACTGCACGATTGTCATGATTTTAGCATAATTATTTGTAAATGTTATTACTCGGAAAATTTTTAATTATAAATTTGGTTTCAATTTGGGGTGAATTTTTTATTGATAATACAACTTTTGCGTTCCTAAAATAAATGGAACTCGCTATCAAAAGGAAATATACTGTAAAATATTGCTCACAAATAACAATAAATGACCGAAAAATATTGTTTTTAGCACCAAATTCTTTAATAAATAATTATGCTATTTATTAATAACTGAAGTTAATTAAGCGCTCAATTTTATTTCAACGTCTCTCATAAAAAAGATAGTTCAATCAACTTACTATTATTTTTTATAAATTGATCTGTCCCAGATAAAATTTTAGAATTTATAATTCCTCTTGGAAGTTGTGCATAACCTTTAAAACAAAACATACAATTGAAATACAGTTGACCATTTTCAAAAGTTATTGAGGGTTTCAACCAACTTAATTTCTAGATAGATAAATATTTGATTCTTCTTATTTAAATTTTTCGGTCTTCCTAGTTTCCAAATATTTTTTAATATAAAATGATCAACTATTAGAAATTTTAGTTATCAGTGTTGAAAGTTGAAATAGTTATTGAGACGTGGGTCAGACTGACTGAGGACAGGTCGAAATTCGGGCCTCTCGCGCCGGCGGCGTCTAGCGAATGAGTCAGGTCGGTCGGCTGGCTCGCGCGGAATAGCAAGTAGATGCAGAGGATCAATAGTGTGGCCATTCTTTGTGCAGCTCCTCTTTATTTCATGTGCCGCTCGCTCGCTCTCCTCCTCATCTCCGCTCCCAGCTCTCGCTCTCTCCCCGCGTGCATCGTAATGGGTGATTACTGGCATCTGTGTGTGTGAGTCGCTTTTCGCCGCTCCCTATCATGAACGCGCGCTGTTGCCTACCCTGGCCCCAGGTATACACACACCGACCTGACCGACCGACCGCCCGACGACGGCAGGGAATTCGGAGAGGAAAAGTGGAGGCGCCAGGCCCTATTTACGAAAGCAGCCAGACCGACGGACCCCCACAACTGTGTCTGTGGTGCACTTTTATTAACCAATTTCCGTCCGTGGAAGCGAGCGGCGTCATGGCCTGATGAAAAAAATAGCCCCCTGCACGTTTCAGTTTAGAAAATTAAAAACAAAAATTATTCCAGTAACCTTTAGAAAATTGATCCTTGTAATGAGGGGTTTTCGATTTAATTTTTTCGATTCTGTTGTTGAAGGGGAAACTTTGTAATAAATCTTTTCCTTGGTTTTTTGGTTACGACTTTCCAAGAAATTAAACCGCAATTTTACATACAAATAGTTTTTATCTTCCTGAAAAATTTATCATTTTGATAGCAAACGAGGAAAGTGAGTCAAAATTTGTTTTTCGTCTATAATGAGCTCACAAATCGCCAAATAATCTCGGAAGCTTAAACACGTTTATGATTCTGAGAAATTAATAAGTAAAACTCATTCACTTCTCTCTGACGTAAATAGTAATCTTTTAAACTTCAAATTTTTTCAATGGAAAATTTAGTCATGTTCAGGATGCTGTCGATTGCATTTTAGCCATTGAAATATCATTAGAGGAAAAAATAAAACTATTTATCAAAACTGATGCTTACAATTAGTGCAATACGAATTTGTTCTGTACAGCGACTAAATCATGAACATTTACTGTATTATTGATGAAATGTTAGAAATAATGTTTAATCTGCTGTGAATTATCTTTTAATATTTGCTGTACTGTCTATCAAAATATGTCTACAAAAAATCTGAATCTATTTTGACTGAAAGAATTTCAAACCTTATATACTTGATGACTAACAAGAGTAGAGGGGAATGTCCAAAATTATATCTGGTTAAAAAATTATATATTTACTTTCAATAAATAGCCAGAACTGCCAGAAGCACCTTATGTTTGAAGAAAGAAAAAAAATTTCTTAATTTATAAATATTTGATCCTCTGGAATCATAAATGATTTGAAAATAATTTTCTTAATTGGAAGAAATTTAACGAAAGTAGCAGTTCATTCATAAATAAATCGTGAATGTGAACTAATCTGAACAAAATCAATGCGCTAACGTGTTACTATAGAAATCAGTAAAAGAAATACTTTCAAACTATTGGTTGCGTTTCTCATTTTAAAGTATTAGTTTTTGGACATAATAAATAACGATTAGAAACATTTTCTCATATTTTCTTTCCCTCAGCATGAAATATTTTTTTAAATACATTTTTAATTGATGGGAATTGATCAGATATGGGCAGTAGTTGATCATCTTTTTTACCTATTTGTTGGAAAAGATCTGAACTGCAATGTATACTAAGGAATTCCAAATATGCATTGACTAGTTAGAATTGAGTTTTTAAAATCTCCCATTTGATAAAAAATAAAACAATCTATTTATTTTTCATTTACTGACTAGCATTTTCACATATTTTGGAATTTCACTAATCTTATCCACTATTTTTAAGAAAATATTTCACCCAAAATCACCTATATATATTCAGAAAATAATATTCATTAGGCTTTTTCGACTTTAAATCACGCATTTCTTCTGATAAAAAGCACACATATTTCCAAGCGACTTCCTTTGAGTTAAATTAATAAATTTACGTTTTGCTGTTTAAATCATTTCCGTTAGTAAATTTGTTCATAATTTGTGACACGTGTTTAAAGGGAACTGCACTTGTAGTTTGTTCTTATAATTAGATTAGATTTTGATGATTAATCTTTGATTTTGGTGTAAATCAGTCTTTCAAGGCTAACTTGACCGTTTCTGTCTCTTGATAACGTCGGAATTTATGTGGAAAAAAATTTGGGTTCACTTCGGTGTCTCTTTTGATGTTGGACGTGTTGGCAGATCCCTGCCAGTTCTGCGCTCAATCCGCTCATTTTTCAATTTTTTCAAAGTTAATAAAGCAGATTTCGTCATCGAATTCGAGGGTGGAAGATAATTTCGTGGAAATGTGTCCGAGCAAGTGAATGCAAGCGAGAGCAGCTAGGCTGGCGTCCGTCGGAGGAGAGAACGAATCGCTTCTCCACAACTTTTTGCTTTTCTCTCCCGACGACCGAAACGAAAAATGGCTCGGAGGCTCCTCCGTGCACATTCAAAGGCGAGATGAGAGAGAAACTCTCCTCCTCAGCTCGCGGATGCATGTGTGTGTGTGCACATGTGGGGTGGCTGCTCACGTGACCCTGACGTCACCCCCGGCCGGGGATGATAACACACTCGGCTGCTTTGCGCCGCCGCCGCGAGTGAAGATGGTAATGAAAAAGCAGCCCTCTCGCTGCGAGCTTAACGCAACCCCCGGCTGGCGAGGGTGCGCGCGGCCGAGGCTAATTCGACTTTATTAAAGTGCATTGCGCGCACGTACTGCACACACACATGCGATCCCCCTAGCTCGAGCTGCCTCCCAAAGGCTTTAAAAATTCAAAACTGCCAAAGTCGTAAAATAACAACTGCAGCCAATCAGCGAGCCGCGATTTCTGCGATCAATTATGCAAAACAAAAACTGAACAGTTCGTACGTTTCTTTGTACGGGAATTACTCTAATTTGAATTATATTTGAATTTTTTAGTGATTTTTAAATTAAAAATTTGAAACACATATATGTAGATTGTGAAGAAAAATATGCTAGAATTTTGATAAATTAAAAAAAAAATGAACCAATGAGCTAAAATTAATTGTAATTGTTTTATCGTAAGTGAGTTTTCATTAAAAACCAGTCCACATACACAGAAATTAATGTCTTGGATTAAACTCAATCAAGTCGTTTTTAATTTTTAATGGAAAATAATTTTTTTTCTAATTTGCTGTGCAAGTATCAGAATATTTTTCAAAAATTATTTGCAAGATAACAAGATTTGGGTAATATTTTATTTGAACATGAATGGCTGGAAGCCTAATTTACACGGTAAATAATTTATGCTGTATTTATAGTTAAATGGAACCAGTTGATTTTTTGTTTCGTGATATCATTTTTCATGATTTATTAAATTCTAAACTGCACCATACTATTTTTTTAAAAAACTTCGTTTTTGCAAAAAAAATCAATATATTGTAGTTTTTTAGGACTGAATACTACTTTAAATCTTGCCATTTTAAATTTCAAGTAATTTTTTTACATCTTCAACTATACCAAACTAAAAATGGTACTGAACAGATGTTTCATAATTTCAAGGAATTGTTTAAACACATTATATAAATATATAATAATGCAATAAAAGCATTATAAAATTATGTTTCTGCTTGAGAAAAGCTTCATGAATTATTCTTCATTCAAAGCATTTAAATCTGAATGGCCTGCAGGCTTTTTCTCAGCACTAATCGCCTCAGGAAGCAGACCTTGGCTGCTCCGATCAGGTAGCAGATGATTTTCCCAGAAATCGGTCACTTTTTTAGATCAGTGGGAACTCTTGAATAAATTTTTTCCGAATTCGATCCAACACGAGAAGTTGCGTGCGCGGAGCTTCTGAATTTCATTTTCTAAATACGTTTTCTCATCGTGCTGTTTCTCATAAATTTGCTCAATTGCGCTTTGCTCATGTATTATGATGTGCGTGTTGCAGGCTTCCACCTGAGCGGCGAGGTCAACACTCCGAAGCCACCCAATCCCCTAGCCCAAGCCTACTCCGGAGAACCAGATCGCAAGTTCAAAGTGTCCGTTTCCTTCGACAGGTGCGTCCTCCGGCGCTTTTCACTTTTTTTATGCCACTTGCAACCTGCATGAAGTTTCCTGGCCATTTTTTCGGCGGTCGTAACGGAAGCATTTTATCAGGGTGATCGCAAATTAAAATAATAATAAAAAAAAACGACAGGATTTCCTTTTGAACTTAATCAAATCCAATTCTGTCTAAATTTTTTTTACAAATTTTCAAAAATTAATTTTTATTTTGGTATTAAAATTTTTGAGAGACTTGCGGGCCTCTAAATTTCTATGAGAATCAAACAGATCCGTGGGAATCGTCGTTTGCACAAATTTTAGCGTCAATCTGAAGATTGTTCTAGACCGAAATGAATATAATAAAGTAAACTCGGCGGAATTAATTGGGGAAGCGAGCCGGAAACGAGAGGATTGCGAGCAGCTGAAATGTCTTGCTCTCCGAGGGCTCTTAACGGACCGACGGAAAAACGACTTTTGCCGCGACTGAGTGTGTTTCCTTTTGATTCGGCAGGTGCAAGATCACAACGGTGACGTGCAGCTGTGACACCAGGGATATCTTCTGGTGCCAACACGTGGTCGCACTCTCCCTCTACCGCATCCGCAACGCGGAAAGTGTCCGCCTCAGGGTGCCAATTTCAGGTACACGCGAAAACCATAAAACCCGCCGCAACATCCTCCCTACAACACAATGATTTCTAAACAAATAAAACCGTTTTGCAGAAACCCTGCTGCAAATGGACAGGCAGCAGCTCCAAAAGTTTGTGCAATACCTGATTTCCGAGCACCACACTGAAGTGCTTCCCACTGCCCAGAGGTTGGCAGACGAAATTCTGCAGCAAAGATCGGAAATCAACCGCATTCCAGGTATGACTCATCTTTTTTTCGGATTTTTTCCTTCACTGAAGCTATAAAAACTTCAGATAAATTGATATTTAATGTGGCATTCTATTTTTCCTCTTTAGTTTTTGTGCCAAACTTTTTTTTTATGAGAATTTCCTATATTAAAAGGGTACAAAATTTAAAAATTTACATTTTAGATCCTATTGTATATTTGCTTAACTCCAACGCATGAAAAAAGATTTTTAGGACGTAAATAAATTTTTTTTCTGAATTTTGTATTTAAAAATATTTAATTTTTATATTGATTTCAATTTTGAGGCAATTAAAGTTTATTTCAAAATAGATTTGACCCAGTTCAGAAAGTAAAAACGCCTCAGTTGCCATTCAATATTTTGCGGCTTTGAACAAGTCGGGTGTGCATTGACGTGGAGCGAATCTGAGCCGAGCTCTCATGTGTTCTCAGGTGCCCCCGACCCCACAGCTGGAGCGAGCGCGGACGATGAACACTCGTGGCACCTTGACGAGGAACAGGTCTGCGAGCAGGTCCGATCCTACCTCTCGCAAGGCCAGTACTACAATGCCAACAAGCAGCTCAATTCCCTCTTCGCCAAGGTACGCAGCGGTTAACTGTAGTTGGCGCGGCTCGGCAATATTTTCAGTTTTTAATCGCCGAGCCTCCAATACCCTTTCGGTTTTGCGTCAACCAGTTTTATGTAAATGTGTATAACACGCTCGGTATATTTCTGCTGCAGCACGCTCCCTCGGCGTGAAAGCAAGCGAGCCTTTTAATTCAAACTGTAAAACTACTTTTAAATATGATAAAAAAGATGTTAATGGGAGGTTAAATCAAGTCAGCTGATTATTTAAATTGCAGCGCAGAAAAACAGGTTCTTTTCTATTGAAGAGAGAACGGATTTTTCTAGAAATGTTTCCGCTACTTTGAAATTTTTATTTAAAAATTGTGAAATGCGAAAAGCAAAATTAATTTGTGTTAAAGGACCAAGCTACTTAAATTTTTCCAAATTCAAATTTTGATAGGCCTTGCAGAGAAATGGGTTTAAATAAAATTTGAAGTTTTGCAAGTTTTCAATATGAATTAAACCCATTTTATTTAATTAAATGTATTTTGATCATTTCAATGCAATCTAGTATCTTTGCATGGTATCTTTATTGATATAATTGATATACTATTTAGCAATTACTGCCGAAATACATTATTCATTAGTTAAAAAAATTATGGAATTTAGGAAATTTGTGTATTCAAATAAAAAATCGTAAAAAATCTTCTTTTTGCCTAACTAAAATTGTGGTCTGAACTGCCAGGTTCGGGAGATGCTTCGCGCTGGCGACTCCAACGGCGCCCGCATGCTGACCCTGATCACGGAGCAGTTCCTGGCCGACCCGCGGCTGCCCATGTGGCGGACGCAGGGGTCTGCGATGAGCGATAAGTGCCGGCAGCTGTGGGACCAGCTGGGCACGCTGTGGGTCTGCATCATGCTCAACCCGCACTCGACGCACTTTGAAAAGCAGCAGTGGCGCGAACTGCTGTCCAAGTGGGCCATCATGGACGCGTGTCCGCGCGAGGATCTCGACTTCCGGATGGTCGTGTCCGTTGGTAGGCAAGACGAGCCGCAGCACCGGAACTTTGACTCTTCCGACAGTAGCTCGGAAGACGACGCGCCCATCTTCAACCCTAGATCTCGGCATCATTCCTCCAGGAGCGCCGCCTCAGGCAGGTTCGGACACTCGGTGCCCAGGACCATCTTCCAGAGGTGAAATTTTCAGCATTGAAAATAAACTCGGCTAATAATAAAATTTACAGAGCAATTGACGCGGTTGGTTTGTCCTGGGACAGCATCCACCTGAAACACCTGCTGTCCAGTGACACGTACTGCAGCCTGGTGCCGGACAGTTCTGTCCATTCAGGAATTTTCAATGCTCAAGGGCAACCTCTCTGGCACGGTAAGAAGGGTCTTATACTTCCTCTTTGGAATTTTTCTATTTTAAATATAATATTTAAATTCAATTTAAAACCAAAAATTTATTACAACTGAAAACAACAATTTAATAGTATTTAAACTGTATAAATGAATTTTTCAGAACCACTGTCCGTTTCCTCTGCTCGAGTTGACGCCCTGCGGTCACACGGCCACCAAGAAGCCGCTCTTCGCCTGGCCGTGGCGGTGGTCCGGACGATGAAACAGCAGCAACTGGTGGCGCAGCGCAAGTGGCACGACCTTCAGAGGCACCACCAGGGCCCGAGCACCTCGACGGCCACCACATACCATTCTTCTCCGCACAGCCGCCACTACGGCCGCAGCTCCAGCAGTCAGAGCGGCCAGAAGTGTGAAGAACTTTGGCAGGGCTACTCCCTCGACCCTGTCATCACCCTGTTTGAAACCCTGGCTGAGGCGTCTCTCCCGCCTGACGCCCCTTCCAGATCAACCGCCTTCTATGGTATGAGGAATTCAAATTTATATTAAACATAAATAAAAAGTAAAATCAATATGGAAGTGGGAATTTGAGAAATAATAATGCTTACCTTTTGAAAAGCAATTGCAAATAATGAAAATTAAAATTTCAGTTAATAAAAAAATTCCTATTATCAATTTTTGCAGATCCAGCGGGAGGAGAGGAAGGTCCCAGCACAGGGGTTCCTCCGAGTTACCACCATGTGCCAGTGGTGGGGTCGAGGGACCGTTCCGAGACGTACCTGAGCCTAGCGATCGAGGTTGCTTTGATAGGCCTAGGGCAGCAGCGCCTGATGCCGAGCGGGCCGTATGCCCAGGAGAAGGTGTGTAAGCAGGAGGAGCGACTGATCGCAAGACTGCAGGAGGTGGAGTTGGACCACGCGCTGGTCGCCGTCCTCCGAAGACAAGCCATTGTGCTGCTCGAGGGCGGACCCACCTCTGGCCTTGGACTTGGCATCCCACCCGAGTCCGTGCCCATGCACACATTTGCCAGGTTCCTCTTCTTGGCCCTGCTCAACTACTACCCTGATCTTGCCTACGAGGTTGGACTTCGAGCCATGAGGTAAATTGACCTTTTTTAATTATAATTTTCTAATTCTAAATTATATTATATGGAGCTCAAAATCAAGCTTGATTATTTCATGGATTTCTGCAGTTTTGTTAAATTAAAATTTCAAATTCAGTTAACATATTTTCACTGGAATGAACAAAAATCTAATCAAATATAATGCCCTAAGTTTTTGAAATGTTGACTAATTCATCTGGGGTGTCGAATTAAGTTCACATTGCATGCAATTTAAATGATTAAACGTACCAAACTTAATGCTGCCATTGTCATTTCAGGCTACCAATTTTGGAGGAAAGTGCTGGAGCAAATCGAGGAGAGGATGGCGCCGGAAACCACGTTTCATCCCTTGCCATTCGCTACCCCCGGTGGTTCACTCTGGGCCACATAGAGACCCAACAGTGCGCGCTTGCCTCAACCATGCTTTCAGCTGCCAAAGGCATGTCGAATTTCCAACTGAATTTCTTCATTAATTCATTGATTTACGGTTTGTGCAGGAGAAGGTCTCCGCCTTCGGACAGTTCTGGAGTCTGCTCAAAGACACATTCACAGTTCCTCCCATCTTTTCTCGCTAGCTCAGGATATTTTTCGTGTAGCGACGCCAGAAGGCGGGCCTCGCCACGCAACCCTTCTGAGCGTCTCCTTTGAATTGGGGTTGCAAGTGATGCGCATGACCTTGTCCTCCCTGAACTGGCGTCGCAGGGAGATGGTGCGATGGTTGGTGACTTGCGCCACCGAGGTTGGACTTGAGGCGCTCCTTTCCATCATGAGCAACTGGTATCAGCTCTTCACCCCGACTGAAGCCACTGGTAATTTATTTCAACTGATTTTTGTTCAAAATTTTTAAACTTGAAAAAAAAAACAGGTGCCGTTGCGACGACTATCATGTCCCACAGCACCATGCTACGCCTCAGCCTTAACTTTGCTCAACAAGACGAACTGTCCGCCTGTGCCAGAACACTTGCCTTGCAGTGCGCTACAAAAGTAAGAAATGTGAAACAAAAGTTACGAATTTTTACTTAATTTTTTTCCCTCAGGACCCTCCAAATTGTGCCTTGAACGCACTGACTCTGTGTGAGAATGACGGCAGGTCATTTGAGGCGGCTTACCAGATCGTGATCGACGCCGCCTCCAACATCATGACCTCCTCCCAGCTTTTCACCATTGCGCGCTACATGGAGCACAGGGCCTACCCTCAGAGGGCCTACAAACTGGCAATGCTGGCTATGAAGAATGTCCGACTTGGCTACAACATGGTGAGTGTGATTTAGAAACTATTATACTAAATTTTTGTTAATTTATGAAGTGGTCAATCATTTCATTAAAGTACATAATCCATATAAAAAAAACATCAAGACATAAAAATAATAATATGTTATGGTAAATTTTCATTATTTCATTTGTCTTGATTTGCTAATTTAGTTCTGAAGCCACCAAAGCTATATTCTTTAAATTTTAATTAATCTCATTTTTCACAGGATTCGCATCCAGCAATAAATGACATCCATTGGGCATGCGCCCTTAGCCACTCGTTGGGCAAATCCGAGCTGACCAACATGGTGCCGCTGCTTGTGAAGAACGTGTTGTGCGCCACAGTGTTGTCGGACATTCTGCGGCGGTGTTCAATGACAGCGCCAGGGGGCGTGTCCGCGTGTTCGTCGCCGTCTGATTTGGCAGGCGGGTCAACAGGCCTGGGCCTGTTGGGCAGCGGCGGTCACCACCACCACCATCATCACCACTCGAGTGGGCACCACTACCCGAGCAAGCGGCGGTGCCTGAAGCCTCTGAGCTACGACCGGCCGCCGCTCAAGCAGCTGCTGGACGCGGCCATCTCGGCCTACATCAACACCACCCACTCGCGGCTCACGCACATCAGCCCGCGCCACTACGGCGACTTCATCGAATTCCTAGGCAAGGCGCGCGAGACCTTCTTCCTCGCGCACGACGGACACTCGCAGTTCGGACAACTGCTGGAGAACATGAAGGTCGCCTACAAGGGCAAGAAGAAGCTCATGTTCCTGGTGAAGGAACGCTTTGGCTAAACCGCAACCTCATTCCACCTGATAATTATACACTTCGGCTTGCAAAGTTCTGATTGTTTGAGCAATACACAATTAGCTCTGAGCTAACATAAATGTAGATAAGCTATTTTCAAAGATGATCTTTGAGGGAGACTCTTGGGTTGATTTCTCCTGTTTGTGAGAGGAGAAATTTTGCATTAGAGGTTTCGGAAGCTATTGATTTTTTTATGTCTCTGTCTTTCAAATTTATAGTCTCTAAAGAAAATTTTATATAATCATTGACCTTTTTCTGTCTGTATTTCCGAAACTCTCGATGCAATCCATTGGTGAGCTCTAATTGGGAGAAATGATCAAAATAATTATTTTGAAACGCAAAAGAAAACTGATCTATATACATATGTAAAAAGGGAGGCCTTTTAGGTTTGATCTCTGCTCTGCTCACCAAGTAATAAGTTTTATTGGGACAGTGGCACTACTATACTCTTATTTTGTGTGTTTGAGGAGACAGTTTTTTGACTTTATAATTTCCACTCCCTGGATAAAGAAAATAATTTCTTTTAAATACGAGCAAAAGTAGCACTACACAGTTAACCAAATAGTGGGAGTTGCATAGTTTAAGCAGAAAGAATGAAGAAGTAAAAGTCTCAGGATGTACATACACAACAGACTCTTCACGTTGATCTCTTAAAGCGACTTGTTTGCCCAACGAATAATTATTTTTATTGATTACTTCGTTTGTTCGATATAACGAGCACTGGTTATTTATTTACTATGTTATTAATTGTTCTTCTTCTGTCTAGCTAATTTTAGAAGAAAATCAAGATCTGTATCATGTAAAAGTTCTGTTGATTTTCGCGCCCTGCAATAATATTAGAAAAAGTTTTAATACCTCATGCTACTGTAAATTAGAGACGATAGTGGATTTGAATCATTTTGGTTCGGGTGTTGTTCTACTTCTATGGTGTGGGCATTTGATTGTCTTCCACTTAATTCATTTTTAGAGAAACATGCAGTGCCAACCGACTTTTAATTGTGAATCGATAATAACACACAATGATATTATAATTTGATGAAAAAAAAAAATTATCTCACCTTCTTCTCATTAGTTGTTGTTTTTTCTCACTAAAGCCGCTATGTGTTCGGGTCTTTTTTGTATGATTCAGCAGCTATAGCACCATCGATAACATCCTTTGCTTTTGTGCCATATTTGCCATTGTACAAAGTGAATGTTGTTTTGTAACGTTACATGACTGTGTTCTGCGTGAGCGACTTGCAGACAGATGCATTTACACATATCATACAAACTCACAGCTTTCCGATCTCTTGAGAGAGACGAAAAAAATGATAACACCTCCATCAGTTGGCACATCCATTGGAGGTGTTCATAATAATTCTCAGCACTCATTTTCTTTTTTCATTTGTTCATCAAAGTACGTGGTGTGATTTACATAACATGGGAGAAGAATAAGAAGAAGCTTAAAGCAAAATAAATAATAATGCTGCTAATTGTATAAAAAAAACTCTCGGTTAAAAAAAAAAATTAAGAATGGGTGCCGCCACACATCAAAAATAAATAAAAGGGTCCTCATTATTTTTGCATTATATTAGTAATTGTTAGCAGGAGATACACATAGTTCTTCGGGCACTTTATAAAAACAAATGAAAAAGACCAGCTCACTCTTATTAAATAAAAATTACATTGTGTAATAATCATGTACACGCTGTTCATATTTATGCAAGAATGCTGCGACTTGTTGTGTGAAATTATGCGCTGATGTTTGATTCTTTTTTATCAAGTGAGAGAGAGAAGAGAGAAGTGAAGATTTACAAAGTAAAACACGCAGCTGCTGTTTTAAAGAAGAGTATAATATTAATTGAAATATGTGGTGTTGTGATAAGCTTTTGTATTTAAATGTAGCTTAATCCGGCTTCATTGTTTGTGTATCTGCATTATGACATATATAATACAATCTGAAGAAAGCAAGTTTCTTGAGTGCATGTACATGCGATTATATATATGAGAATGATTCGTTCATTTTGAAGGAATTCTTTTGGTATATTATAATAAAAATAGAAATTTTCAACTTGATCTGCTCTTTTTTTCTTAATAAATCACAAAATTAATTTTATGAAAAGACTTCTAAGTATTTATTATTTCAATTCTATTAAATGCTTTTCACTTTTGCATATTAGGTATACTACTAATTCACATTATTTTACAACTCCTTTGAGTCCTTTGGCGCTTTTAATTTTCTACTACCCCCTCTACAGTATTCCGACCCCCACTCCATACATTATAACAACGAATCAATGAGTTGCAGCTGAGCGGAGTATAAACAGCAGACGATCCTACTTTTGTTGTTTTCCAGTTACAATGACCCAAAATTAGTGATTTTTTGGTTAAATCAACACTTTCAAAGCACAAATAACAAAAGTCTGGTAAAACTTATTCCAACACGCAGTTTTGACTAATTTTAAACTTTGCTACTCGCAGGAAAAAACTTCTAAATGTCGCAGTTCAGCGCCCAGGCTAACAACCCCCCGTGGGCTCGAACAAATGGTTTGTTGTTTTAAGAAGTTTTTTTTGAGGATTTAAATTACTAAATTCTTTTTTCAACTTTAAGGTCAAGGTCTTCCACCGCCCTTGGGGCAGCACAACCAGATGCAGGGTGCGCCGATGATGCAGCACACGCTGCTAAATCAGCAGGTCAACTTTCAGCAGCAGCAGCAGGTCTACCAGCAGTCCATCCAGAATATTCAGCAGCAACAACAACAGGTTAATTGCTTTTTCCACAAAATCAACTTTTATTTTAAATTGAATCCATTTCCAGCCTCCTCCAGGCCTCCTGGGTCAGCTCGGGGACAAGTCGAAGAACTACTCGCCGATGCCCTACCCCTTCCAGACCACCCAGCTTGGGGGTCTGGCTGGCAGCATCGCCACCTCGGCCGGACTGCAACCCCTGCACACTCTCCAGGGCACAATCCCAGCCTCACCCCAGGTTAATTTCTTGTTTGAATCAAGAGAAACTTTTTTTAACTGATAATTTCCAGATCACGCAACAAGGATCGATTTCATATCCAGCACCCAGGAGCATCAGGACCTTTACGAACCAACCACCACCCCTGGCCAACGTCATCACCACAGCCCCTGCCGCCGCCCAGCAGAATCAGGTGACCCAAAAGAACAGGGTCTTTACAGGGGTCATCACAAAGTTGCATGAGAACTTTGGTTTTATAGACGAAGACGTCTTCTTCAACCTCAGGTTAGTTTTACCCTGAGCTTTGATATGTTTTTGACTAATTTTTTTATGTCCGTGTCAGTGTGGTGTCCAAAGGTCTTCCTCCTGTGGTCGGTGAACGCGCCCTTGTGGACGCCACCTACAATCCCAACATGCCTTTCAAGTGGAACGCCACAAAGGTCCAGGTCCTGCCCTCCGAAAGACAGACCTTCGGTGGTGGCGGCATGTCAGGGTATAATGCTGTTCCTCCGCCACACTTCAACTCCACTGGTAAATTTATCTTTTCGTTTTATTAAAATAAATCTATAAATCTAATTGAAGCAAAATCAGTCTCAGGTGGGGGTGGAAGTAAAATGGGCGATGGGGGCCATGGCAGGTCGGACGAAGGGAGGCGCGGAGACATGCGGAGGGAAAACTTGAGGAGAGGAAGCAGGGAGCGTGAAAGGGAGTCGGACAGGGAGAGAGAACGGGAGCGGGAGAGACGCACCAGAGAGGACAGACAAAAGTATGACTTGTGTTTTTGATCTAAAAATTATTAATTGGGAAATGTTGATTTTTAAATTCATTTTAATTGAAAGATTTTGGCATTTTTAATGTATTGATAAAATTATGTTTACACAGGGAAAGAGAAAAGGAACGGGACAAGGACAAACGCTCTTGCTCCAGCAGGAGTCCTTCTGCCTCTTCAAGGAGAAGAAGTCGCAGTCCGAGGGCTGGTCAAGCGTCCAGTCGCTCTCCCACTAGACGCAGGGCCCGAGTCATGCCCAGATACGTCGTTCAAATACCAAAAATTTCTCTTGAGTCGTAGGTTTATAATTTTTCTTCCGAATAATTAAGCTTAATTTAATTCTTGAGCAGTTCTGAGGCCAACATGCTGGAGCTGAAGCGGCGATACACAAACCTGTATGTGCCTTCTGACTTCTTTGTCTCGCACTTCTCCTGGGTTGACGCTTTTCCGGCTGACAGACCCTTTGCCCTCAAAAGACCAAGCGCCTTCCATGTGGCGCACAAGGACGTTGACGAAATTGTTCAAAACGACACCGTTTTAGAACCGCCAGACGCCGACTACTCTTTTTCAGCAAAGGTATATATTTCATTTTTTCTATGCTTTTTTACCCCACCCTTATAGTTTATTTTGCACGAGGAAATAATTAAAATTTTTCCTGCTTGCAGGTCATGTTGATCAGCGTACCAGTGCTAGATGAACTTTACAGAAAGTCCTGCGTCCTTGCTGAAGATATGAAGGTAGAGAATCAGTATTGTAAGATTTTTTCAAGAATTCTTGAAATAGAACTCAACCACTAAGGACGGAGAGGAGCGGGACGGATATGTTCACCCGACAAGGCTAATCAACTTCCTTGTCGGAGTGCGCGGCAAAACCAAAGAGACCATGGCCATTGGAGGCCCATGGAGTCCATCCTTGGATGGACCCGACCCCGACAAGGACCCGTCAGTTTTGATCAAAACCGCCATCAGAACCTGCAAAGCTCTGACGGGGGTCGATCTGAGCCCCTGCACCTTATGGTAAGTTTTTTCCTCTCTGTTCTTCCCGTAACCTCTCTTAGTGGCAGCAGGAGAAAGAAATTTTCTAGAACATTACTTAGGTGTTGAAAAAAACGCAACCGTGGAAGACAGAGAGACGGAGGTCCGAAAGGGAAGCCAAACGAGGAGGAGCAGTAGACCTAGATAATCTTCTTTTGTCACTTGATTTTTGCATTGATATGAAAGCATTGTATTTTAATGAGAACTTGTTGTTGCAATTTGACCAGTGAAGTGCAATGTTGACCGCAGGTATCGTTTTGTGGAGATTTACTATCACCGCAGCGAGACCACGCACAAAGGCAAGGTGATACCGTCGCGCGTTGAAACTGTTGTCCTCTTTCTGCCAGATGTTTGGAGCTGTTTGCCCACGCGGCTCGAGTGGGAATCCCTCCAGCTCTCCTACAAGAAGCAACTCGGTCGGAAACTGCAGAAACCTTCTTCGGCCACCGCGGAGGCGCCGGTTGAGGTCAAAGCGGCCACGAATGCGGCGGAAGAGGCGGCGGAAAACCAAAAGGCATCTTAGCAGACACTTAGTTTATTTTAATTACACAAGTCTTGCTTTCAAAAATTTGACCCAAATGGACAATTGCGCGGCGTCGTGACAGCAGAGCTCAGGCCAATCCGCCACCTTAATTCTTTCTATGATTTTGCACCCTGAGACGTACACACACTTCCCATCTCATTATTCTCTATATATATGATATATCATTAATGTTTTTGGTTCATTGTTTACCAACGTCTTGCTTATTCTCTGCCTACTTTTGCCCCCGGTGTGAGAGTGGCTTAATTTTCAGAGACTTCTCAGATTTTATCCAATCAACTTATTAGTCAGAAAGAGTTGTTCCTTCCATTTTACTCTGGTTCCGGAGAGACTAATTTTTCCTTTTCTCCCTACCAGGATGAAGAAAAAATGGAGGTGGATGCTGAAAAGAAACCAGAGCCGACGCATTTCACTGAGCTTGACGTGAAAGTCATGAAGGTGCGCTCCAGCCTTTTACAACCTGTTTTTTTACAGTCATTTTCAATCGTAGGTTTCTGAAATGAGACTCGAACTGGAGGCTCGAACTCTGAGTCCCAAGGGGCTCAAGTCGCAGCTAATCGCTCGGCTGACAAAGGCGTTGAAAACCGAGCAGGAGACGGAAGAGGCGGACGCTAAAGCGGCGGCCGAAAAAGCTTCGGACGCTGAAGAGGTGCTCGCCGAACCGTTGTCAGAAGATGCCGCTGAAAACAACAAGGTTTGTTTTCTTTGCTTAAATTTGTGATTTTATGAATTTATTTAAATATGATCAGGAGGAAGCTGACAAAAAGAAGAGTTCCGAGGACAAAGAGAAGCAGGTGCGCTACGAGAGGAGATTTGCACTGCCTGAAAACCCACACATCATCGTTCACCCCTCAAAGACGGCCAAGTCTGGCAAGTTTGACTGCACTGTCATGTCCTTGTCTCTTCTGCTTGACTACCGCCAGGAGGACACTAAGGTAATTCTCAAAAATTTGAAAAAAAGTCATGAGGCTAAGTGAATTTTTAGGAACATTCTTTTGAAGTATCTCTGTTTGCTGAACTTTTTAATGAAATGCTCAGGAGGGACTTTGGCTTCCGCATTTTCCGAGCTTTCAGTGAAATTCCTGAAAAGCCTAATGAGGAGGAAAAGGTAAATTACCGAATTCAAAATATGAATTCAAAATATAACTTTGGTTTATTTTAGGATAAGGAAGCTAAAAAGCCTGAAAAGAAAGAGGATGAAGGAAAGCAGGACGAGAAGTCTGAATCAAAGGAAGCCGCTGATGAGGAGGACCCCAAAGAAGTAAGTTTATCTTTGCGAAGTCAAACTTGGTTTCAATTTTGTCTTTTCTCTTAGGATGGCCACAGTAGCTCCAGCGCAGGGAGCAAGAAGAAGGAGTCAAAAGACGCCAAGGAGCCGAAAGAAAAAGAGGCGAAAAAGATTAAGATGGTCACTGTTGACCCTGGTCTGTTGCTGGCATTTGTTTACTTTGACCAGTCGCACTGTGGCTACATTCTGCACAAGGACCTTGAGGAAATCATCTACACCCTAGGCCTGAACCTGTCCCGCGCCCAGGTGAAACGCCTCATCCAGAAAGTGGTGCAAAGGGACGCCTTCAACTACCGCAAGTTGACAGACAAGAGCGAGTCGGAGGCCAAAAGTGTTATCGAAACGGAGGAGGACCCTGAGCAGAGCCGAGAGTTGGCCGAGGGCAATCACAAACTGCTGCCCATTTTCAGTGGTGAGCCTCGAAGGGCCCAAGCAGGGAACAACGGCGGCCAGACTGCATCCAGCAACTCTGGTAAAAGTCAAATTATAAATGTTTTCGTTTCGAGTACAAAAGTTTTTAAACAGAAGTGGTAATCTACAAGGGCTGTGTTGTTGACGTGGGCAAACTGATGCAGCAACTGGAGCGCATCGAAAAGTCGAGAGTAGATTCGGAGGAAAAAATAGTTGTCCTTGAAAAGCAATTAGGTAACTCTCTCCACCAAATCGATTAATTATTCTTTTCAAAATTAATTTCTTTGTAGCACAAGCTAAACTTTGTGCCAGTACCTCAACAGAGAGCGCAAACAAACTGACAGAGCAGTTGTCAGACTGCAAGGCCAAGTTGAGCGAAACTGAGGACCACCTTAAAAAAGAGAAGGTGCTTTACTCTTCCACGCTCTTATGAATTTTACTCTTATACCATTTTGTTCTTTCAACCAATAGGATAGCAACTCTCGTTACTTGACGGCGCTGAACAAAGTGACAGACATAGTGAGCGTGGCCACAACTACCATCAAAGAGGAGAAGGTTAAAAAGTGAGACAAGTAAGGGACAATCAGTTTAATAATTATTACACTTACAAAAGTATGTAATCAAGTGTGGTTTTTTTCACTCATTGTAAGTAGCAGATAATTGTATCAATAGAAACTGGCCACATATTTGCAATTTTTCATTACCATTTTTTAAACTAAGACAGTTCAAATCTTAATTAATACTGGTGAAATTTTTACTTATGCGTTTTTTTCCGTTTTTTGCGACTGTTTATGGGAAATAAATAATTATATTGACCGACATAACCGAACTGGGATACCTGAACTTTTAATTCGGTTTTTTTTATCCCAATTTGATTTTTTTTTTCAAATTTTATTATTTTAATACTGGAGTGGCATAATCACAGAAATTATTATAATCCATGGTTTAAAAATAACTTTGGTTGTTCCATGACGCATTGGACTCTTATAATTCTGCTCAGGAGTTATTACAAAGTCAGGTCAGCATCTGAGCTTTTGTCAGTCTTGACTGGCTCTCTTGAAGAGGGGATCCAGTTTTTGCCATGACCCCATTGAAGCCACCTGGAATAGGCGTGAGCGTGAATTCGCGCGAGGAAAAAAATAAAATGTTATATTTTGGGACGAATAGTTACACAAAGAGTAAGGTTGGGGGCAACGTGAGAGCCGCTGACAACCAGAAAACAGTTTCTGGCACTGTGTCTAGCGTGGCCGCGTACAAACTGTTGTACAACGGCTCAAATACCAAAGGCACCACCGCTTCCACGCATCCGAACAAGGCGTGTACCTTCCCTGACAAAAATAACACAAAATAATTAGTACATAAATTTGAGGTGTTTACCCGAAATGTTGGGCAAAATAAATAAAAAGGGATAATAAAAATTTTCGCACCTTGTTCATGTGACTCAGTGAGTTTCGTCACAATAGCTCTGGGAATAACAACGACTTGTCCGTTCGCCACCTCCACCAACGGCGCTGAAACCATTCTTTTATACTAGAAAAAATAAAAAATAAATTCAGACCTATGTACATTCCCAAGGTTGATTTGGCGAACGTGTAAAAAGTGCTGGAGAGGACTTGGCTGACGCAGGACATGAGTCCGACGACGGTGTCCGGCAATCGCAACTTGTGGCTGAATACTGCCATCGCTATCACACTCCCTAAAACAGTTAACTTAATTTTCACAAAAATGCAAAAAAAAAATACAAGCAGTACCTATAACTTCCATGAGCATGAGGAAAGTTCCGTAGAGTCCGTATTCAACTTCGTCCCATTGGAAACGCAACCTGCTGTACATGAACATTATGGCCTGACGTCCTATTAGGAATTTAAAAATTTTTAATCTTGCTAAAAGAATAAATTGTATTCGATTTAAAAAACAAGGTGATTTTTATCCAGAATCAGGTAGAGCGTTTAATATTAATTTTATAATAATTTTTCTTTGAATATATGTTTCTGGGTCAAAGCTATCAAAAAAAAGTCTGAAACTTTTCTGTTATTTCATTACCACAACTGGCGCCGAAAGCCAGGAACAAGTTGAAAAGCATGAGGAGAATCAAGACTCTGGCCTTTCCAGGTCGTTTCGCAAACGCCACCCCAATCGACTCCACCACCAGACAACAGTCAATTTTTTTCTTGATTTCTTCTTCTTCACTTGTTGCTTCAGAAGCAGCTTTGCCCAGCCCTCGCATCTGTGAAATGAATTTTTAATGTATTAAATTTTTTCATATTTTGAAGTATATTATGAATTATAAAATTGTACAAAATTAAGTAGATAATATTCATTATTTTTTTTTATAAAATTAAACAAAAAAACATATTTTTACATATTCACTTTTTCCTGCTTTTAAATAAAATTAATTGTTATACCCGCCAAATGCAGATTAGGCAGCAAACTATTTGCAGTGCAAGTCCGGTGGAAAAGACAAGGATTTCTCCTCCGGCTTGCAGCAGAAGTCCAGATAAGAGGAGGCCGAGGACGCTGCCGAAGCACCAACACGCGTTGGCCAGACCGAGACGCATTGTCCGCATCTGCATTTCCAAAAAAAAAATAACGAAGTTGATTCAATTAAGTAAAAGCCGTTCCTTCTGAACGGTGGTGTCCGAGATGTAGCTGTAGGCGGCCATGTCGACGGCCATGCTGGACGCGGTGAGGGCCACCGGCACTGCCAAGCTGACGCCAACCACCATCAGGGAAGGCGGCAAGGGCAGCAGGAGGAGTCCGAGGGCCACCACCTGCTGCACCGTCCTGCCCGACAAAGCGAAAAGCATCACGGGCAAGCGGCCGTTTTTGCGGCCGTCACTCCACGCGCCCAGAAACGGCACCAGCAGCAACGCCACTGAAAACTCAATTGCCGACCTCCACGCCTGCCAAAAGTGTTTAAAATAAATTATTGTTGCTTAAAAAATTTTTGAGAAAAGGCTTTTCGACTTTGTAAGTATGAATTTATTTTCTCTATTATTTGATTTTATAAATGCTGACCGATAGAAAGCCGCGATTTTGAATAAAAAAATTTTAATTAATTTTTTTTACCAATTTTAGGGAATTAAAAATTTAATGAAATCTGAAACGGAGAAATCAAGTGTGTAGTTCCTTTATAATTACTATTATTTTTTTTTATCTAAAAAATTCAAAAATTGTAACCTATTATTCTTTTTGATTACAAATTTGGCAAAAGAGTTGAAGACTTCTTATTGTTTTTAGCATTTCTCTCAATGTGATTATGTGAATAAATTATTTATATTTTTAAAAAAGTTGTAAACATTTAAGTACTAAATAAGACCAATATTCTTTGAAAAGTCTGAAAAAGTAGCTAAAACTCCAAGAAAAAAAACAAACACATTAATTCATATTTTTTCTCTCATATGATACAAACATGGTATTTTATTTAATTTTGAATGAAAATCTCTCTACCTGCACTTCGGCGACCGTCTTTTGTATGTCGGCTTGGATTTCGTGCTGACTGCAGTCGACCCTGCACTGAACGGCGGTGCTGTTATCGGATGAATCGCGACAGTTCGCCTCGCTCACCTCGTCGCACGCCAGTCGCAGCAGCCAACTTTGCGAAATCACCTTTGACAATTAATTGAAAACCTGCAGCTTCAACTTAGAGGCGTTTCGCACCTGAACAAGTGCGACGGTGGTCATGTTCAGCATCAGAATCGGCTCCATGCTGATGGCCGTCGCGATGCTCACCAAACGCTCGCTGAAACCCACCGACTGCTTTTGCGGCGCATCTTTGTCTTGCAGAAACGAGGCCAAAGACTCGCCCTCTTCGCTAGCCATGTTGCTTGAAAGGGTCTGAAAGTGACAAAAAAAAAAGTGCATTCTATATTTATTTGAAATTCTGTTGAAATTATAAGTGTTTTTCAAATATTACTTTGAACTAATTAAAATTAATTGAATATAACAGATTAAGAAAGGTTCAAGGATTTTAACTCTGACATTTTTTGACAATAGAGAGATCTTTCAGAATTTCAATTATGGAAATTTCAGTTTTCAGCTGAAGTGAAAGTTTTCTCATCCTTTAGAAAAAAATTTAGATTGATGCATAAATTAAAATTTTTGCCTCCAAATAGAAATATCATTTATTGCTTTTTGAATTGCATTAATCTTGACAGGAAAAAATGCAAGAGAAAGACAGTTTAATTGAATGCAAAGGAGCTATAAAATTTAATTACCTCTCTTTGTCTCTGCAGCTGCTTATCGAGTCGTGAACAAATCGAGTGATAAGCCGCGCAGATTGTGGCAGGTTTGTAAATCAGACTGTGTCACTTGCTCTCGCGCGGTCGGGCCGACTGACCACCGCGAGACTGATGCCAACTATATTGAATGAGACGCGCGGATAGAGATATAATTATCTGCTTATAGGCGCGCGTTGCATAACCCTCGCGCGCGTCTATTGTTATGGGCAGTTTGGTAACAAGAGAATGCACAATTTCATATCGCCGTAATATGTTTGGTGGCCCCTCTGCTGAAAGAGCGCGAATTTTATTTCATCAAGTGACATCGTTAATTAGTTACCATAGGGAAACACTTGAAGCGCAGCTATCAGATTTCTTTGCCTATGAAAATTTAGAAGACAACCTAAGACGCATTTCACGTTCAAACCAAATTCATTTGTACCACTTTCCCTGCGCCTTCACAATTATTTTTTTATCTTGTGAAGTTTTTATAATGATTCAATTTCCGGTCTCAATTTTATCTCCTAGCAAAACAATTTTTAAAATTAGTCCTCAGTTTTATTTTTCTGCAAATTTATTAGAGAGTTTAACCTTAATTTAGTTAGAAAAAAATTATAATTTAGCGTATTTTTGAATTTAGTCATCCCGCAGAAAGTGAAACTGATGTACATTTAATTATAAATTTTGTTTCCTAATTTATAACATGCTTTTAATGAAACGGAAAAATTGATATCATACTAACATTGATAAAATGAATGGTGAAAAATGTATCGAATTCTTGATTGAATAAAAAAATTCTATAAATTAAAGAAAAGAAAAATTTGTAGCTGATATAAATCTTCTTTTTAATTTTCACAAAACTTATTTCAGCACTTCTCTTTAACATTGTGAAAAGAAAGAGAATAAAGAACTTATTGTTCAAGTTAAAAGTAAAAGAAGTAAAAGAAGCAAGCAAGTTTCAAGTACTTGAAAGGAGATCTGCTCTGCAAAATACTGCACATAGTTAAAAGTGTGTTTTCCTTTATTTATTTATTGTTTTGAAGGCAAATGAAAATAAATGATATTGAAAATGGGGCGTGAGTGGAAATGTGGGAGTACCTACTAAAAATCTAAATTGAACAGAAAGTTGTGAGGTTTTATGGGTTTTGAAGTTGAAGAGTGAAGGCAAATTGAGACATTGAGGGAGAAAAGCTGTGCCAATCTAGGTATCTTTTGAAGAAAAAAAATACACAAAGTTTATATTATTTTTATACTTAACACATACCATACTGTATTCATAAGCAAAAGTGATCTGGTTTAATCAAACTCCTATTTTTGGAACACGAAAATAATTTTTTATATCATTGAATATATTGTGTATATCTTTTCTTTTGTTTTTCAAGTGACAGGGTTTCGGAAATCCAGTGACGAAAGCATTTTATGAATTTCAGAATTGCAACTTCTGGAAATATTATATTTATGGTAAAGTTCAATATAGAACACAGTTTTTATGGTGAAATTTTGGTTTTACTTTTTAATTAGAAATACCGAAAAGTACTGATTTTGAAATGAAAATAGTAAACGTTTTTGCGCATCTCCCGTGAAGCGCTTCGGAAGAAGGGGATGCTGCTTATAGCCTCTTAGGCGCAAAGTGCGAAACGACGAATAAACAAAGCCGTGCGGCGAGCGAATAAATAAAATAATGCAGCTTTTGATATTGTGTGGCGCTGCAAATAGCGCGCCGGCCGAGTGGAGAGGCGGTCGAGTGGTGGTGCAGTCAGTCGGTCGGGAGTTGCAGAAATGCCGTCGGCGGCGGCGGGCGTTGCGGTGGTAGTGCTGGCCGTCGTGCTGCCGGTGGCCGCCGTCTTCAGCTCGATGCACTGCGCCAACGTGGACCCTGACTGCTCAAGACACTGCGGCGCCGACCTCCGCAGGCAGCTTCGCATCGGCCTCGTCCTGCCCAAGGACCAGCACTTCCTCCCGTCTATCTCCAGGTCAGACTATTTTTTATTAAATTTTTTTGCAAATTTATTCCATTTTTAAAACAAGGTTGTTGAGGAGAAAAATTCTATAAATTGGAAATTAGAATTTTTTAAATTTAATTAACTTAAATAATTTGGCAAATTACGTAGTGAAAAGTGTACTTAAAAATTTTAAATTCGTACTTCTAAATGTACTTATTTTGATACTTTTCATTGCAAATAAATTATTTCGATGGTCTGCTCCAATTTTTTCCATCCCTTGTCACCACATGTTGCACAAGTATGAACTCCAGATCGCAAGTCTCGTCACGCACGTGCCTTTTTAGAGCGGAATTAAAATAATACCCATATATGCGCGTCTCTTTCACTATAGAGTGGGTGATTCACAAGGTCTGCCAGCTAAGAAAATTGCATGAAGTACTACAGATTCTGCAAATGGTTATTAAAGGCATTTTAAAAATTAAAATGGCAAAATTAATCACTTTAGTACATTCTGTATATTTAATTGTTTTCAAATTTTGCAGCATTCTCCTAATTTTAGTCAAAAAATTTATTTTTATAAAATAAAATATAGTTCTGAAAAACAATATTTTATTTTTTGTGATGTTTATCAATTTTTATGCTCCCGCCAAAATTACCTCTAGATTAATATCTTCCATTATTATCTTCCTTTTGGAAAACGCATACTATTTTAAAACAAGTCAACACCTCCCAATGGCAAAAAATACCATGCAGTTATTCTTAATAAAATGCACAAATTTCCATTAAAATGAGAACGTTTTGTTCATTTGGAATTTGGTTTTTAGCTCATCGAAAATTCCCCGTTTGATTATTTTTAATCTCGCAGCCGAATTGCTGAGCTTTTTTACGGTTTGTTTGTTTTTGTTTCAAAATTAATAAGGAGTCTCGTGGAGATAAGATATAAAAAAAAGCGCGGACCATCTCTATCTTTGAGAATTATAATTCAGTGTGTAAGTAACACACGTTCTCGAGTGGCGCCCAATATGAGAGTATTAATAACCGCACCTGCTATCGCTTGTGTTCATTCCAAAGGTTTTTGATCCTAATTAAGTCGCACGCGCGAATTTGTTATTATACAATTTTGTGAGATGATCTCTTTATATATTTGCTACTTTCTCATTTTCATACCTAGTATATTTCATTTTGCTAATTTTTATTTATTCTTTTTAATTTTATTTATTTATTACAAGACGTTTAAAATTATAAAGTATACCATTTTCAATTTTTTTTTATAATTATTATAAATCAAGTTAGAAATTAACTGCCATTTAATTGCTTGGTTCGAATAAGGTTTAAAGTAGTTTCCAAACCATAAAATTATTAAATTATTATACACGTTATGAAAATATTGATTTTATTTTTTTTATCTGATATTAAATTGTGGATTTGATTTTTAGGGTGCGACCTTGGGTGGACCGGGCGTTGGAGGTGGCGCACTACATGAACCTGATCCCGCGCAGCGAGTACGACGTGTGCGTGATTGAAGGGGACACGCAGTGCAGCATGGAGCACGGCCTGATCACCGCTGTAGACCTGATGGGCCGCTGCTGCCCGCACGTCTTCATCGGGCCCACCTGCGAGCTCAGCCTCTGTGAGTTCAAAACAGGTTTTCTTAATTCAAACAAAAGTCTCCATTCATTGTTACATTGTTACAATTGCACCGATTGAAATAAAATAACTGTCACTATGGAAAAATGCGGAAATGACAATTATTTATAAATTCTTGAATATAAATTGAACTAAAAAAGAAATCGAAAATGAAAAGCTAAATTTAAACTATTTCAAATGCAAAAAAAAAATGATTCAAATAAAAGTTGATTTTTTTTCATTAAACTAGAGCATAGGCAATTTTTAACAAAATTCCAAGCTTCTAAGATTTTGAATTTTAGTAAAAAAAAACTTGGTTTGTCAAAAATTATGCTAGTTTCTTTCTTGTTCATTGAATACAGTCGCAGAACCGTGACCGAAGCTGGTAGAGCCATCTTATTTGTGAATAAAGAAATTTTTACAGCAAGGAAAAAGCTCAATTTTTTCACTTTTAAAATTCTAAGCAAAATGATTAGAAAAATCTTTGTTCAAAAATGTTTCTATTACTTCTTATCTGATTCTATAATTTATAATATCTGATATAATTTGCTTGTCTTTTGATGCTGTTGAAAATAAGAGCAATCTGATAAATTCGGTAGGAAAAAAATAATAAAATAATACTTTTGTAAAGCTAATTTGACCATTCAATAAACATTTCAACAAATTTTTTTCAAAAACATTACAGACGAATTAATTAATAGAAAATTTTAGGAACGTTTTAAAAAACTAATTTCTACTAGACTAAGTTTAAAGAATTGGGTTATTGCGCTAATTCAAATAATAATAATAATTAAAATACTTCAAAATCACGGTTTGAGATAAATATAAAATGTTTTAAAAATATGAATCGAAAAAGCGAAGCAGCTGTTGAGTGCGTATGGAGGTCTCTTCTTTCTCCATGTGCACTTTTTTTTTTTAATATTCCGCTCGCGTGACTTTCTCTGTGCATTGCGGTAATTGTAGACCGAAGCCGCCCGCTGCACTCGCTGGCATTGACTGCATTATTGCAGTGAGAACACATAAGTCAGAACACACACATATCAATCGCTAATGACTCACTCGCGCGCTGCTCCACTCCGTCCGTGCGTTGCTGGCTTTTAATTGCAAACGATCCGCGTCGCACAAAATCAATTAGATTCTCTGATTGATTTTGCATGATGCGGCGCGACGTGCACGATTCGCCTCACGCCAGATCAAAGGATTAATCCAAAGCGGGATGGCAATAATAATAACAATAAAAACTGACATTCAATTGAAAATCATCATGTCTGGTACTCGGAACATTTGTCATAAATTCATAAACATAGGAATTGATTAAATATACATGTATTTGATAGAATTATTTTCTACACAGGTGCACATGAAAAAAGTATTTTCCTTTTTAGGCTATATACAGTTTTATTTTTATAGTTGAGAAATGTTTAGAAAACGTGTTTAAAAACAAACATGGTTTTTTTTTTATTATAAAAGCATTTAAAAGTTTCATTTGATTTTTAGCCCACGTTTGTGATTATCCATATTTTGATAAATGATTTTTTTTTATTATTATTTATTACTCTTTTTAAGTACAACATTTTCAGCAAAATAAACCAGCAATGATATTTCTATGAATTTCAAATTGACACTGAATTAAAATTTTTACAATTATGAATGCGTATTGAAAGGTTTTTTTCCTAAAAAGTTTGATTTGAAAAAATGAAGCGGGACTGTAAAAGAAAGTTTAATTTAAAAATTTAACTCTTCTAATAGATCCCGTTTGCATTATAATGTTTTATTACAAATGACATATATATGCAAACTGTCCTTTAAAATTTATTCCACTAAATAATTAGGGCTCTTTTTTTGTCAAATCAAATAAGCAGTTCGCAGTATTTTTTAGTTAGATTTCAAAGAGAAGCGCTGGATCATTACACATGTATATTGTACAAAAATAAAAAGCGGCTTTTCGCCGGAGGAAGCATCAGGCGTCTTGCTTTTTTTTTGTGAAAGGGAAATAATTTTGTTTGCAAAAAACACGCGGGCATTTTGCTGATTCGGCTTTTAAATTGTGCTTTGTGCAACACTCGCGGGAGTTCGTCAAGTGTGGGAAAGGCAGAGGCGCCTCCTCATTTTTTTCGCATTCAGCGGCACCCGTGCAAGTACCATTTCCATATTTGCGCACCAGACTGCACAAAGCTGGCTTTAATGAGTTTGCACGCCAAGACATGTGAGGTGTGTGCTCTCTTTATCCCTTTTCATTTCATTCCCTAAATGGCAGCGACTCTTAATGAATTCACCATTCTTTCTCCAAAAAAAAAAAAAAAATTTCATTTTCTTTTTCATTCTATGGAAACAATAATTTATTTTTTTATTTCTGGGGCGTATATTATAATGTCGAGCATTCTTTCACACTTGACGCTGTGCACTGCATTCACTGTTTTTTTTTTTTGCTTCATATATGGACTTCATAAATACCAAGCCAGTATTATATTAATATCTAGGCCATCCCACAGACACAAAACATCCGAGGCACTTGTTCTCTTGAGCACTTTTTTTTCGCCGGAACAGAATCGATCGGCAGATGAGACCAAAGCTTTTCCTTTTTTTATATACATGAAAGTGAAAAAGAATCAATCGACGCCGAGTAATTAGGTCAGTGCACCTATTTATCGATCAATTAACAAGGGGAGTGGAGGGAAAGTTATTGTCTTGTCTTTGGTTTCAAGCGAATCGGAAACGGTTTTGCGGAGGAGTTGCTGGCGATTGTATATCAGCCGATTATTGAACCGTATAATAGGGTTTGTGCTGCGGTCGTCCGGCCACAAGCATGTGCCGAGGACGCTTCTCAACTCGGCCTGCAGTCAGGTGCAAACACAAAAACAAAATATTTATAGCGCAAAACCCGTTTTATTGTGAAATTGGATCACAAATCCTCAATAGAATTTCAATGTGCATCAAAATAACTTAAGGATGCCGGGTCAATTTTTTAATATTCGTAACAGAATTGAATGTAAAGTTTTTTAAGTCCTCGTTGATGTGATTCTTAAAAAGCAGAAAATTGTTAATCCCCACAATGTTTTTTAGATTTTCAAGTAGTTAATTTTCTAAGTGATATTAGGTTAATTAGAGCTTATTCCTGAATTACGAGAAAATAATCAGAATTCCTTAAAAATTTATCAAGTGGAAAATTTCAGCTGTATTTTGTTTTCGTCAAAATCTGCCTTAAAGAATTGATTAAAATTCATAAATTTTTCTTCAAACTTTAATCAACGTGACAATTTTCTAGCAATAAGATCAGGCAAACAAATTATCTAATAAAATAAAATGGAGTAAAATTTATTTGAATGTTCTTCCTTGAAACTATGCAATCGGGAAAATAAAATAAATGTATTTTACCTGAAAAATTTAACAATTCTTTTTTTTTACCAAATCGAAGCGAAACTTTTTATCCATTGTAATTTATTCTATTTGAAAATTTTACGCACTTTGCATCAAGCTGCGCAGGAAAATGTAATAAAATCGTCTTCATAAAATTTGAATAAATCTGAAATTTTTGTTGCAGCAAGTGTGGCGCGGCTGGTTAAGTTGTGGCAAACGCCGCTGATCACCGCTGGCGGCCTCGCTTCAGACTACATGGTGGATCGGACAAACCCTGATTCCGAGTACTTTTTGCTCGTGAGGGTCGGCTGGTCCTTCAGGGACATCGCCAAAGCCCTTGTCGCCTTCATGGACAAGTAAGAATTCAACATTTTTTTTTAAATATTTTATTGCTATTGAATTTGAACAGACACCGTTGGCGAAAACTGCTGCTGATTTATGACACGTTCGGATACGCGGCGGTGTCCGGTTTCCAAACATGTTACCTGATGATGACCTCGCTGGTGTCGCTGCTCAAGCAGAGGAACTTCACCTACTCGGCCTACGACACGGACAAGAACCGCCAGAGCTCCATCAAAGAAAACCTCAGGCGCGAAATGGGCTACGTCTACAGTAGTGAGTACGCAGAATGCTTTCTTTTGTTCTTTTTAGAGAGACGAGAGACAAACTTTTCATTTACAATCAGGGAATGTCTTTTCTCAACCTCGGGAGAAGGATGAAAAAAGACAATATGTGCGATTGGTTTTCCTTCTTTCATCTCACGCAGCAGCCATTGATTTTTTCTCTTTCTAATTGAAATGAGTGCAATTGGACACGTCAGACACGTGCTTTAGATAGCCGCATGTTTTTTTTTTATATATCTTAGATTTACTTAGTAATATATTGTAGACTGTTTGGTATTCAAGTTATCTTATTTAGTTAATCATTATTAAGGACTACAAATATTTTAATGTATCATTTTTTGTTACATTAGTTTTGTTAGTTTGTTAGTTGGGATGAAAATATACGTAAAAAATGTAAGCCGGTAAAATTTCTGAAACTTTCATTAAAAAAATTGAAAATAAAATTGAAATAATAAAAATAGATGACAAATATTCGTATTTGATAAAATTTCAGATAAAAAAAAATTGTACAAAAGTAGCTTACATGGCATAGAGTTTGTGCCAAAATGCAAAAACATCAATATTCTTCATTCCCAGTCCTAATTAACGGACTAAAAAAGTTTAAAGTATTAATATTTTCGGGTTTAAATGTCACGCTTGAGGTTTCCAAAAGTGTGCAGGAAAGCGATTTTTGGATGGAAATTGGTAAAGATGTTAAAAACATTCAGTCGGCTGCTTTGCTTTTCCAAAATGCATGCCATTTTAGAGAACTTAAAAAGCTTTTGAACATTTCAGTTTTGGTTTGAATATACGTTTCCAGCATATTGTGGTAATCGTATCAAAAAGAACCACCAGAAAAGGTTTGAAAGAATTTTCATAATAAAAGAAAGGTGAATTTTTAAGTAATTTTCAAGATTATATATCCATCACAATTTGGAGTGAATGAAAGATTTTGAAGAGTGATGTTGAATTAAAGTTTTGAAAAGTGAGTTTTGAACTGAAATCTGGTTTGAAACGCGTTCGGTGCGACTCCCCTAGATGGCACGTCCGCCTTTTGCAAGGGGCGCGAGCCCAGATCGGGATCGACCTCATCTGGGGTGTTTCACTTGACTCGCGCGAGACCGGCGTGTGTATACACAAATATCTCCTCATTCTTCATTCAGCGGCGGCGGCGGACCCTCGCGCGAGGGCGAGGTGCTCTTCTCTGCTCCCCTTCCTTCGATCGCGCCGCGTTTGATGGTCCCCTGAGTGAGAGACGCGGCGGCACTCACACCCGGAAATTGAAAACTAATCGAGGTAGATCAACTCTTACTTAACGGTGTTTACTCAGAAACAGCGTTTCTTCCTCTTTCATTCGTTTCTAAGCAACCGATCATTTTTTTTGCCCAAACTCATTCATGCAGAAAATTTGCATTTTATCTTGATTTTTTTCTTTTTAATTTACAGTTTCTACAAATTTATATAGATTTTCTCTCAAAGCTGAAATAAATGCAGCAGTATTTTTTTTGTGATAAATTGACGCGATTTTCAGCTTAAAGGGTGAAAGGCGTGCGCGCATTTGTCAAAAATTAACGACTGTTTGTTTAATTTTCGTTACGTCATATTCTTCAGCGTCAAATTATAAAGGAAGCGCGTGTGTGTTCAGAAGGCTGGGACCACTCGGGCTAATTACGACGGGAAGTGTCATTTGTTTTAAGATGACACGACGCAAATTAAACGCTGGCCCCTTTTGACGGCCACACACGAGACGGAAAAACAACAGGTTGCAAATGCAAATAAGGCGACAAACACGCGTGCGCCGCCAAAGTAAATTCGATTTCGCGTTTTTTACTCTCACACCCCATTCATGAATCCGCTCCGATTTCGCCTCAACTTGTTAGCATTCAATTAACTCAAAGGGCGGAGAGACCACGGCGCCTATAGCAATTATCAGAGAGCGTTGAAGTTTTAATTAACAAGCGTTTTTTCAAAGAATCTCTTTCACATATTTTTAATTGGAAATTGCAAGTGTTAAAGGTAAAACCAATCTCACATTTTGAATGGCAATAACAGTGTTGAAAAATCGGTTCGTTTAAAATACATTTTTCTTTTAGAAAAAACACAAGAAGAAAAATTATGAAATTTTATTTAAATTAATGCAAGCTATCAACATAAATTACGTTTTCCTTTATTTCCCACATGCTTTAATATTTTCAAAGTCCTTGGCAGTTTCCATTATTCATTAATTCAGGTATTTATTAAACCATCCTCACAAATATCAGAAGACGTATGGAAAATTAGCAAAACGCAAACCCTTGCAATTTATTTGATAAGATAAAGAAAATAAGAGGCGAAAGTTCTTAAGCATATTCAAATTTTGCATAAGCAAACAATCAAATGAAGTGGAAGAAGTATATCTTCTATCCACAAATTTTATTGAAATTTTCCACTCACATTGAACATTTATTGACGCTAAACGTCATGACTATCAATACTATCTGAAACCATGTGAAAATAACACAAAATTTATGTTTAATAGGAAAATTGTGAAATTCTATTTTTTTTTCTATTCTAAAATTAGAATCACCAAAAGAGCTTCGATCAAGCAATTTTATTTAAAAATTATCCATTTTGAATCCCACTAACTATTTTTAATGGAGAATCCATTTCAAAAGCAGCTAAATTTACAAAAACCAAATTAAATTATGACAAAGATTATTGAGAAATCATTTTGGTAAAAAAAAAAAACATAAGTTGATAAGATTTATAATTTTAATTTTTGCTCCGCATAAACAAATCAAATTATAGATATTTTCTTTTTAACAAAAAAGTGATTTTTAAATCATTTCAATAGTTCATTGATGTACAGAAAAGGTGTTCAGTGCAATTTCCAGACATAAAAACCTTGAATCACAATATTCACTATGTCACAAGGAAAATAAAAAAAGATCACCTGATCAAACTCTAGTGCTGTATGATTATGGACATTTAAAAAATTTAAAATAGAGGATAGTTGTGTTTTCTTCCCCCTTAGAGAGCAAATTTATTAATGAAATTTGCAAAATCCAGTTAAAAAAATGATGTTTTAATCCGCTTTGCTTAAAACATCGTCGGTGAGCTTTAATTAAATTACTTAATTTACATTTATGGAGGAACCTTTAATCGAAAGGCAGCAAAATTCTAGAAAAAAACAATTAACAAAACAAACTAAACCAACACAAATCCAACGCGTAGAGAACAAATAACTTGTGAGGGAGCGTGCGAATTTGTGTCCAAACAAGATATTTGGCGTTGAAGGATAAAAAACGCGCGTGTGCGTTTAATCAGTTTTGAGAGGGAGATAAGAAGCGCGGCGGGAAATGAGTTTTGTCGAATTGCAGAGGTGGTTCCTCGGAATTCGGATGATGGAGTTGGCGAGCGTGCTTTTGGCGGTCGTGGTGTTGGCCGGCGGCGGCAGCGCGTACAACCGGACGGTGCCGGTGTTGGTGCTGGCGCCGGCCGAGCCGCACCACGAGCAGAGCCTCGTCAAGATCATGCCGGCCATCATGTTGGCGGTGCGCAAGGTCGAGGAGAGCCGCCTGCTCGCCGGGGTCCGCTTCCAGGTGCAGCACCAGGACTCGCACTGCTCCTCCACCTACGGACCGCTCGCCGCCTTCCAGTTCTACACGCAACACAAATCAGGTCCATCGCACAATTCTGAATACTTTTTTGGTTCAGAGAAAGGTTTATTTAAAGGTGGATATAGGAACAACATGACTTAGTTTGAGAGTTTAAAGAAAATTTCCGTGAAGGATCAGGTCACACAAAATTAAACACTTCAATTTGTGGTGCGCGTTAGTCGCAAAACATTTAGTTAAAAATAATAAATTTGTGACCGAATATGTTTTAAAGTCACAATTAATTATAAAGAGCAATTATAATTGTTCAAAACGTAATGCGTGACATACACGTATTTAAATAATGTAAACAACCTTACATTGGAAACAATTAGAAGTTTTGAAAAAATTCAAAAGAATGCTTTTCGGCTGAAAAAATCCACCACCATATCGCTTATTTCCAGCTTTTTTTTTACCGTTTTTCAGGTCGGCTATAACTGCCTCCTATATCTATTTCAGTGTCGTTCAATATCCACTTTAAGTAGACCACTCTTGTCAATGTCTGCCTATCGATCGTGCACCTGAAACCTATCAAGGAAACATTTTCAATTTTTCATCTGCGATTTTGGCGAAATTGGTCTCAGAGAGAAGCCTGCGAACGTACCGGGCCGACTCCCAAAATAATCTTTTGCCAGTGCGGATTGAGAAAATGAGTTAAGTAGAATTTTGGGAACCTGTGTCAAAGCAGTTGCTTATATAGCTCAAAATGGAAAATTTCAAATTCACTGTTCCTTATCTGAATATTTTGAAAATATAATTTATCAAAATATTTATCTCGTCAATTAATTAGGTTATTAAAATTTAAAATAATTTATTACCATGGGTTCGATGACCTTTATAAACACATTTTTAAGGAATAGATGATCCTTATTATTAGGTTTTTACCCCTACTTGCAATTTTATATCTATTCATAAAGAAAAAGTCACAAGGAAAAATAAAAAGCTAGAAATTTATAAAAAAAAAAAAATTAAAAAGTTTTTATCTCTTTATGTTGAAAAAAAATTGTATACATTTTATACAGGAATTAGAATTTTCTGTAGGATCAGGAATGTGATATTAGAATTTGAAATCAAACGTCTTCATCGCAGATGGAAATAATGTGGAAAATGTTTTCTTGTTAAAATTTCTCTATCTGCTATTATCCGCACAAATTCATTTAATTTTAATACAATGGTCTTTGAATCGCTCTTAAATCTCCATCACAACTGAATAATCTCTTGTTTATCAAACGTCTCGAGGTGCAATTTTGAGCGAAAAATTAAAATTCGCAACGAACCGATGCATGACAATGAACAGATTAATTGGAATTGAAATTGAATCTGGGCACGCGATCGTCCTCTCTCGGCGCCGCGGGGCTTTTTGGTGATTGATGAAGAACCTATTAACGTCATTTGAAAATTGCGCCGGGAAATTTAAGGGAAAATTGATTTTGACAGTTTGCGAGAGAGAGCAGGTATTTGAGTGGAAAGCGCGCGCCGTCGGTTCGCATCGCCCAAGGTGAAATATGGGTCCGGGAAGCAATAATTCTCTGCAAGCCTCTCCTTCTTCTTGGGCTCAATGTATATTTCTCAATGCTCTTCTCCAAATAACTGCGAGCTTTATGCGAACGAGAGAGCACAGGAGATTGTGTACAAGCCAGGCAGAGAGAAAATTGGAAAAAGCAGCGCGATCGATAGACACAGTGTTGTTTTGACGAGATGTAAGAGTGGTGGTTTGCGCCGACGGCCATAACAATATTCGCAATTTCCTGCGTGTGACAGGCGTCTTCCTGGGGCCCGTGTGCGACTACGTGATCGCACCTGTGGCCAGGTATGCCGGCGCGTGGGGCATCCCGGTGATCACGGCCGGCGGCCAGGCCGACGCCTTCCACCACAAGACGCAGGGCCAGTACCCCAGTCTGACCAGGATGACCGGCAGCTACGCCGCCATCGGACAGGCCCTCAGGTCCATCTTCACTCAGTTCGGGTGGAACGTGGTCGGGCTGCTCTACCACAACCACGGCGTCAACAGCGGTAAAAAAATGTTAAAAAACAAAATTTAGCCAAAATAATACTTCCTTTTTGGGCGAACTTTTCAAAAAAGGACGCGACCTCATGCCGTTGTGAATAATTTTTTGGAGAAAAAGGTTAATTTACTCGTAATTTGTAAATAAAATAGCTCCCTTTTAAAATCAAACCGAATTTGGCAATAATACGAAAATATAAAATTCCAATACACTAAAAGTTAAGAGAAATTCATTGTTCAGAGTAAAAATTCACTAAAAAATTATGACACAAAAAGTTATATTGCTCAAAATTTTATCAAAAAACCTTTGTGGAAATATTTTTGGCAAAACTTTGTATCAAAGAATCATTTTTTCCCCCAAAGAAAACGTTCTGTTTATTCAATATTGGTTTTGCGGCGTCACGATTATTGAGTGTGATTGGCCGCGTGTCAATCGTGTTTGATGGGATATGTGGGATTGAGGCGTCAGGAAAATGCGAGGATTTGTGTTTGCAGCTCGGGGCCACTCGCTTTGCCACTTCGCGTTGGCCGCCGTGTACAGAGCGCTCAATTCGACCGGCGAACACCGCTGGTTTGATCAAGAGAAGGCCACTTATCCTGTTTACCTGAGCCTGTTGAGGGCTATTTCGCAGAGCGCCAGAAGTGAGTCGGTGTTTGTGTGTGTTTGCTCTAAAGCTCGCATGCGTATACACATGTGTGTGTTTTAAAAAAAAAAAGCCATTAAACTTTGAACCGCGTTTGATCTTCGATAATTGCACTCATTCGTTCCAGCATGCTTTAGAATCCAAACAGTCCGTAAAAAAAATCCGGTTCACATTCTCAAAATCATATTTGCTGTCCAATTGCACTCATTTTTTACTTTTTACTTTTGGGGATTCCAAAAGTTTGATAATTAGATAAATCCGCTTTTTATTTATTTAGATTGGGAGCTATTTGCTTCTTACAATTAGGTTAAGACCATATTGTTGTCAGAATTTATGGCTGTGAATAAATTTATATGATCTGAGCTTTCATCAAATTTGCATGAATCGTAAAATTTCAAACCAATATGCACGTCTTATATGAATCATTGCTAAAAAAGTCTATAAATTTGCGTAAAAATCGTTTTAAAATGTACCAAAAAATTTAAAGAACGATAAAATATATTTATCCTGGATCATTAATAACTTAACCTCTTGCAATATTTTAGACAAATCATCTTCTCCAATGGGTTAACAAAAACATAAATATTTTTTAATCCTTGATTAAAGTACGTAAATTTACCCGTTCTTCTTAATCCCGATTTATTTTCTCCATTTATCGTATGTTGCAGTCGTCGTGATCTGCGCGAACCAGACAACCGTGCGTGAAATCCTGCTGGCCGCCGAGGAGCTCAACATGGTCAGCAGCGGAGAATACGTTTTTTTCAACATCGAATTGTACAGGTGAGAGCAGCGAAGCGAAAACTTTCCTTTTCTTGTCGTCGCGCGTTCGGAAAAAATCCATCCCTCTTCACCGGCTGCTGTTGTTTGCGTGTTAAAAGATTTACCCCTCGTTCGATCTAATTTTCACCCGACCTTTCCATTCCCCCGGAGCGTCAGAACTTTACTCCGAGTTGCGCGCCACACGTACGCACCCAATGAGCAAAAAGAAAAACTGCACCTCTAGGAAATAGAACTTTCTCAAAAAGTGTCAAACTTTCGGGAGAAATCTTAATAGGATCTAAATATGCTGAGGGCGAGTCGTGGTTTGCAAAAGTTCTCTCCGCATAATTTCTCCCTCCGGCTTATGAATGGTCTTTTCGCCAAGTCATTTTCGTAATTACTCTTTACGCCAGAGTGAGTGACTTTGGAAGAAAGTTTTCTTTTGTTGAGATTTATTTCATTCAATTTAACGCGTCTTGAAACACTTGTTATTCCATTTGGCGAAATTCCTTTGCAGCGGAAACGCGGTGCAGCAGTCGTGGAACGTGTCTTGGGATTTGCCGGAGAGGAACGAAAGGGCGCGCAAAGCGTACGAGGCGCTTCTCACGGTCACGGCGCGCAACCCCAAGGACCAGGAATACGAGCAGTTTTTCAACGAGGTGCACCAAATCGCCGAATACAGGTTTCAATAATTTTCATACTCGCACCAAGTTCAAAATTTAAATCTAGTTTGCTCTTCTGATGCAGAATAATGAGATTCTATAATAATAGGGTCTGAAAACATTTAATAAAAATAATCTTTTTTATTTGAAAATGATTCTTTGCGCAGTGATCAGTTTTTTTTTAATTTCAAATTACTTCTAAAACAAAAATAAACCTATGAAACTTAAAAATTTATCGATTCTTTTTAATTCGTATTCAAATTAAAAAAATAAAATAATTAGAAGCTAAAAAACAAAAGGAATTTTATATTTTCAAAAAACGAAAAAAAAACGCTTTTCCCTCAATTTCTAAAACATCTTTCTTCAAGAGAAATTTAATCAATGATAGTTTCTTATTAATATTTATACGCCATTGCCTTTTTTTGTGTGGGGCAAAATTAGGTTCAATTACACGTACAGCCAGGAGGAGGGGGTGAGCACTTTTGTGACCGCTTTTCACGACGCGGTGCTTCTGTACGCCCACGCACTCAGGGAGACCCTCAACAACAATGGCACCGAGAGGGACGGCGAGGACATCACCCGTCGCATGTGGAACCGAACTTTCACTGGTAAAAAACGACAAAAAGAGCAAAAGTAATGTAATTTGTCAGAGAGAGAGAGAGAGTTTTCGTTCACTCGGAAACATCAGTAATGTTGGAGAAAGAAAAAATTGAAAAGGTGGTGGAGTGGCGCATCAACAGTTGGTTCCTTTTGTTGTGCAGGGATCGCGGGCGAGGTGACCATTGACGAGAACGGCGATAGGGTGGCCGACTACTCTTTGTTGGACCTTGACCCCGAGACAAACTCCTTTCAGGCAAGTTGATTTTGTTGAAAAGTTTTCCATCAGCCGAACAATAAAGTAATGAAATATATTATAAGTATAAGTTAGAAAATTTTGGTTTCCCACGTATTCTGCCAAAGATAATAATTTTTACTACAAACCAATTTTTGGCATTAAGATTTGTAAATGCTGATAAAGTTTGATGAGTTGCTTTTTAATATTTGAGTACAAATTAAATTTATACAAAATTGAGGGGCATCACGAGTAATAATAATGGATGTATTTAAATAAAAAAGTATATAATTTCAAATATAAAATATTTTAAATTAAATGTTTTAAATCCAAAATTTCACAAAAAAAAAAATATTATTTGTTTGATGATACAATGCGATTTTAAAATTTGCAGGTAGTTGCAAACTACGTGGGCCAGAACCGCAGTCTTGAATTCGAGCCTGGCAAGAAGATCCACTGGGCCGGTGGGAGGACGAGCGCACCCCCTGATACACCAACCTGCGGTTTTGACGGCAGTCTTTGCCCAGATAATTGTGAGTGATTTTTTTAATTTTAATATTCTTTTCAATTTATTTCACACATTGATGTAATAAAAGGAGTAGTTCAAATATCAAGATTTGTGAGTAAAAAATTGTGGATTTGATTGTCAATTGAATTCAGTGTTTTAAGGCTGGTAAAAGTGAGGGGATCACTATAAAATACAAAAAAGCTTATATTCTAGAAGTAATTATGAAGTATAAATACTTCATTTTCTTGATTTGACTCATGCCACTAAATTTTTATTGGGGGACTTGAGAAAATTGAGTTTAAAAGTGAACTTTGCAATTAAGTGATCCTTTGCGGAAAGTTGTCAACAGAAAAGTTGTCAAGCGTGAAAAAGTTGCGTCTGAGAGCAAAGAGAACATCAGAGAAGATACTTATTTTCTACGCAGGAACAAAAATATGTAAAATATTTTATGCTCTTTAACAAGCTGATATCCTGGAAATTCATATTTTGATTTGAAAATTTAATTTCCTTTTCATCTTTTTTCAAGATATCTGTTGAACATTTTCCTACAATTTTTCTTGGACCCATTACAAAAATAATTTATTTATGCCCATTCAAAAGCACTCAAAAAGTTTAAAATGTCATTAACTTTAAAAGACGACAACCAGAAGACAAGAAAAATCAATAATATAGCTGCTTGAGCTTAAAAATTCAAGTTTGTTCTTGTGTTGCTCATAAAAGAACGCTAGAAATAAAAATTATGTTTATTTTCTCGCTCTGTTTACTCATAACAAAAATAAACATTTTTCTCTCAAAACACAATTTTGATACGTTTTTAGTTAAATGTCAAGTGTACATCTGAAATTTTGCTAATTTTCCGCAGCGTTGCCTGGCTACGCGATTCTGAGCATCGTCTTGAGCTCGGTAGTTGTCATCCTATCGATCGTTTCCTTCTTCATATACCGGTGCGTATGCAAAGTAAATTTAGTCGATCTCCAGCGGCACTCATGAAAGTACAAAGGACGTGTTCCTACCTAATGAATTATCTTGCTCGAAACTTTGTACCTCTGTTCAAAAATCAACGATCTCAATTTCTCTTTTGGCGAAGAAAAAATGTCTGTTTCCATAACAAAAAAAATAAAAAAGTTGAATTTACATTTGAATTTTTCATTTTAATTTCGCCGCGCCTGAAGTGGAAAAATAAATTTTGCAGTCACTACAAAATCGAGGCGGCGATCGCGTCGATGACGTGGAAAATTAGTTGGTCCGAAATCAACAAGGCGGGAGCGGCCGCGGCCAAATGCAGAGGCAGCATGTACAGTTTGGCCAAAAGCGAAAATGTGAGTGCAACGTAAGGTTCGCCCGAATCGGCCTCGCACTTTTTCTCAGGCACCTCCAACTCAAATTCGCGTTTCAGACTTTCTACTCGGAAGACGCCGTGTCGCCGTCTGACAACACCAAAAGGCAGCAGTTTGTGCCCACCGCCATATTCAAGGTTACTCTTCAATATTTTTAAAAAAGTAACAAAAATCATACTAGATTGAAAGTAATTTCACTTAATCCAGGAATGAATTCAAGCCTTTAACCATTGCCAATTTCAGTTGTTTTGAAGTAAATTTGATTAGATTCATCCAAGGTTTTGCCTTATAAGTTTGTACAGTTTTCTTTTGGTCTTAATAGAATCACTGCGTATAGTTTTTTTTTTTAAATTTTTAGCAAACTGTTGTAAAAGCAACCCCGATGTCAAAAATTTCAATTTTGATTATGAAACGAAAAATTTAAATAATTTATTTCCTGGAATTCACTAATTTCGATTAATTGAATCAAAATTGTACTTAAAATCACATTTTGGCGGCAGGGAAACAAAGTGGCCATCAAGAGCATCAGCGCAAGAAACATTGAGCTGACGCGACCTCTACTTTTGGATTTGAAAAGGGTGATTTTTTACTTTCCTTGCGTATGAATTCGCAAAATGAGCATTTTTTGGCAGATGAAGGACCTGCACTACCCGCACCTGGTGCGTTTCATCGGCGCGTGCCTTGATGCGCCGCACTGCTGCCTGCTGACTGAGTATTGTCCCAGGGGAAGCCTCCAGGACATCCTCGAGCATGAGCAAATACAGCTCGACTGGGTCTTTCGCTACAGCCTAATGCACGACGCCGTTAAGGTACGCATTATTCAATCGTTTGTAAATTTGTACTGCATTAAATCGCAATTTGGCTCTGTCGGATTTAGGAACTCAAACTGGGCTTAGGCAGATCTTTAGCTGTTCTCGATAAATCATGTTTGAATCGAATTAGCCAAAACTTTCAAATTCAACATTTGAAGGGTTCGAATGCTCTTAAATGTTTAAGTATATTTTAATAACATTAAATCCCCAGAACTTCAAGGACTCTAAAAATATAGAAAAATATAATAATTTTTAAATATATTTCTGAATCTACCGTAAAACAATCAGATTTAAAAGTGGAAAATTACATTTGAAAGAAAAATCAGTGTTTTTTATTTTAATTACAGTCCAGGATATTTAAATAGAGGTGATCAGGGCATTTTTTTAACAGGTCTTTGAAATTTCAAAAGATTATAGTTACCCACATTTAGAGTTCATACAAATTTACATAAATATGGGACGTGGCAAATCAGTCCACAAATTGTATGGGGAGTTTTATTAAACTTTGCTTTTGGTGACATAAAAAATTCACTTCTTCACCACCTTAATTTAACGGTTTTTGTGACATCATTGGAAAACAATTTTGCAACGCAGGGCATGACGTTTCTACACGCGAGTGAAATTCGCACGCACGGCAGCCTCAAGTCGTCCAACTGCGTGGTCGACTCGCGATTCGTCCTGAAAATCACAGACTTTGGCCTGCACAGTCTGCGCGGGGCCAGCAACAACCTGGCCGACGAGGGCAACACCGACGTCTACGCCTTTTGGAAAAGTAAAGCGAGTGTCCCTTTTCATTATTTTTTACTTTAAAAAAATTAAAGTTTTTGTTCGTTTTTTACTGTTGTCTGGAGGGAACTGTTTTTGAAAAATACAAAAAATTTCAGAGCAGCTGTGGACGGCGCCCGAGTTGCTGCGAATGAAATTCGGCCCTCTGCCTGGGGGTTCGCAGAAGGGCGACGTTTACTCATTTGGCATCATCATGCACGAAATTGTCACTCGGCAGGGACCGTTTTACCTTCCAGAACGTCCCGAGTACGACCCCAGAGGTACGTAAATTTTGAACATTTTAATTTGAACTTAATTATTTAAAAAAGTTAAATGAATAGTGCATTAAAAGTGGAAATTTGAATACTTAAGAAGTCACCTAAAGAAAATTACAGGTTTTGTGATGGAAGATTTAGAGTTATTAACTTTGAGGATGGATTATTTAAAAGTTTAATTAATTAGAAAATTGTCCACACTGATAAACATTAAAATTTCAAATGAGCTCAATATAAACAGAAAATTTAACTTTCGACCATTCCATGAATTTGCAGACATAGTTGAGGGTGTGAAGGCCGGGGGTCGATGCCTTCTGAGGCCGTCGCTCTTGGGTCTGCAGTGCGAGCCGCAGGTGGCGCAGCTGATGGAAAAGTGCTGGGCCGAGGACCCGATGGAGCGACCTGACTTCACCAACCTGAAGGGCGCCATCAGGAGGCTGAACAGGTAGCGAGTGGATCCGAACAAAAGAAGCAATTACGCGTTTTGTGATTAGAAAAGCACTCTGGCGCGGATCGCATTTTTCCATTTCCATTCTTGTTTTGTTTTGCTCGCCACCCGCACGACACAACTGACGTGCGGGTTGCATCGTACGCCTCGTTTGGAAAAGAACAAAGGCGCACAAAGCGGAGCAGAAAAAGAATGCGCCTCTTTGTAATGGGGGAAAAAACGGGGCAGTGACCTCGGGAAAGAATTTCAAATTAGCTTTTATTCCATTATTGATCCTTTAAAGTTGTTACAGTTTAGAAAAAAATCCAAATTAAATGAATTATATTGACTAATTCCAATTAATGACAATTTTTAATTTTTCAATATGTTTCAAACTTTATAATTTTAGAAAATTGTAGTTAGATTTTTTTGCAAAAGAATTTAGCAAGATTAAATTTTTTATCTTTTTTTGGCCTAGTTGTTACGAGAGCAGCAACATTTTGGACAACTTGCTGACGCGGATGGAGCAGTACGCCAACAATTTGGAAACGTTGGTCGAAGAACGCACCGCCGACTACCTGGAGGAGAAACGCAAGTGCGAGGAGCTCCTATACCAACTTCTTCCTAAGTACTCTAAATCAAAATAATTGTGAAGAATAAAGATGAATTCTTAATTTGTGCCCAGGTCAGTGGCCAGTCAGTTGATTCTGGGCCACAGCGTGATAGCCGAGACTTTCGAGCGCGTCACCATTTACTTTTCTGACATTGTCGGCTTCACGTCTCTCTCCGCCGAAAGCACCCCCCTGGAGGTTTGTTAAAAAACAAATCAAGTACCGATAATTTTAATAATTTTGTAGGTGGTTGATCTGCTGAACGATCTATACACGTGCTTTGACTCAATTATTGAAAATTACGACGTCTACAAGGCAAGTTTCTTTACTTTCAGATATCAAATTCACAAGGAGAAATAAAGTTCACTTTTTCAAATTCTTCAAAATAATTTCTCAAACTTCCAGACTTTTCTAAAAATAAAAAACTACTAATAATAATAATTATTATTATTATAATGGGGGACATTCAATAGACCTAGCTCTCCCCTAAAAAAGGTAATTTTGCCAAGCAATCGCTAAGTTTGCGTAATTTACTAGCTTTTAGTAACCCTAGCACATTTAGGAACGCTATTTTTGCGTAATTTGTTAGCTTTGCAACATTTAGGAAGTTAATTTTTTTATATTTCTCGTTTCCGTACGCCCCAGATTAATTAATTAATTTCACTGAGCAATCGATAATTAAGCAATCGCTAAGTTTGCTAGCTTAGCAACCCCAGCAAATTTAGCAACGCTAAATCTGGCCTTGGTGCCCAATTGCACCTCAGATTGTTTTTACGCTCCCGGGATATGTTTTATACCGGAACAGCTAAGTCTATTGAATCTCCCCCAATATTTATTATTATTTTTCCCCAATATTTATTATTATTTTTACAAACTACTTTAATTTAATTTACAAAACTATTGCACATTTTTCAATCTAGTAATTCTAGCAATTTTCATCTTTTTGAAAGGTATTTTCTCTAAATAAACAGAAATTTAATTAATTTTTTTGATAATTTTTTTCACCTGAATCAATTTGATTTTTTTCAATTGGAACAAAAATTTCAAATTATGAATAATTATTAAATACTTTATGTTTTTAACAATATCTACATAAATCGGATTAGGAATTTGGCTTAATTTGCAATTTTTTTACGCGCAGGTGGAGACGATCGGCGACGCTTACATGGTGGCGTCGGGTCTGCCGATGCGGAACGGGGACCTGCACGCGCGGGAAGTGGCGCGGATGGCGCTGGCGCTGCTCAACGCGGTGCTCACCTTCAAGATCAGACACAGGCCCGAGGAGCACCTGAAGCTGCGCATCGGACTGCACACGGGGCCGTGCGTGGCTGGCGTCGTTGGACTCAAAATGCCGCGTTACTGCCTCTTCGGAGACACCGTCAACACCGCCTCCAGAATGGAGTCCAACGGCCTACGTGAGTTTTTTTATTCAAAAATTAAAAATATTTTTTTTTTATGAATGAAAAAGTAATATTATTATATTTAATAGAATCCCTAAAAATTGGGATTTTTATTTTTTTTTTTTTTTACAAAATTGTCAGATTTTTGGGTTGCGTATTTTAAAGAATGATTAAAAGCAAAATAAGAAAATATGGAATTATAATCTAATTTTAAATTTGCAGCTCTCAGAATCCACGTCAGCTCAGTGACGAAAGCTGTCCTGGACACTTTTAAGACTTTCCGCCTTGAGTTGCGCGGCGAGATAGAAATGAAGGTAATTTTTCTTGAAACTATATCTATATTAATTTTATTTCGACAAATTTTTGACCCAGGGCAAGGGGAAGCAGACGACGTACTGGCTGCTGGGAGAGGAGACGACGACGGCACCCTCAGCAACAACACCTTCCTCGGTGGTGGCGCCACCGTCGGAGGACCTTCGGCCGCCTGAACAGAATGAGCAAAGCAACAACCAAGAGGAGCCGACGTCATCGACGCCCTTCCTGAACAACGCCAACGGATAGTCAATTTTTCTATTCCACTTAATTTGTACTTAATTATATTTCATTTGAATTAGTCAACGCATAAATTTAAGGAGAGACGCTACTGTGCATTTCAAACAAAACAGTTTAACTAACATGTGTCCGCAGAATCAAATAATTATATTGTGACAGGTGATTACATAATTTATTATTGTTGAGTGTGCCAGAAAATGAATGTGTTCACATTTGAAATAATAAAAAATAATTTATATGTTGGTCAACTCTAAAAACAAGCTTTGGTCAGATCTTGAATTATGTAGTTGTTTCTTTGTTTTTTATTGTAAGCATATAATATAAAAAAGCTTTAACTTTTTAGCATGTGTATTAGATTAAATTTCAAATTGAGCTTTATATTTTTGTATTTTAAGTTTAGATCATATTTTCAGTCCAACTTTTTTTTCCCATAAACCGCTTGCAATAGTATGCAAGTTAATTTGAAAATTGATGTAAGTTAATTCATTCAGCCTGAAAATAAAACGAACAATTAAAATAATCCAAATTTTTTCTTCCGTTTTAAAATCCTCTATATATTTATGTACTTAAAAATATTACTCTTTTGTCAAAATTTTAAAAGTAAAAAAAATTAATTGGTTTCATCAGTTGTTTTAAAAATTGAATTCCAAAATTTTGACGCTCAATATTTTCAGAGGAAAATAAACAAAAATAATAATAAATTACAGGATAATATAAGTGCTGTGTATCAAGGAACAATTAATCTCTTCGTTTCATTTTTGCTCTGAAAAATTCAAAACAAATATTTTTCAGTATGAAAAAATTAATAGAAGTGATGGAATAATGATATGAATAAAAAAAATCACTTGGAAAAAAGCGTGTTGCTTATCTGTTGTGGCAAAAGTCAAAGTGTATAAGTCGCGGATTGAAACAACCTCTGTTTTTGCTCATCTGTTGCCGAATCAACAACTCTAGTTCTAGCAAATACATTTTATTTAATATTTCTTGAAGTAAGTATAATATAAAATTTAATTAAATTTTTTGAATTCATACGAATTATTTCGTTCACACATTCCTAATTTTTTTTAGCTCACCCTTCAAAAATGGAGAAAAAAAATAGGATTTGTTTGCTCACTACCGTTTGCAGCTTGTAGTGTTGTCCTCTGATTTATTCACATGGCTCGACTTGCTGCCTCACGTGAACAAGATATGGACGTCCTTGAATTAAATAAGAACTGCTGCTATCATAGTTCGTAATTTTTTTTTTGTAGTGTATAGTGGTAAAGTAAATTTTCAATAAAGAATCATAACAGAATTTCAATTTATTTAATACGATTTATCAATTATTTTATAGGCGCTTTAATTCTTATGTCCTTCAAAAAAATTATTTGATCTGTTAAAAAATTTGGTAGAAAATCTCGTCAGATTTCTCTTGAAAATGAATAGGAAGAAATAAATTCACAATTCAAGGTATGCAACCTGTGGAGCAGCGGTCATTTTCAAACATATTTTTTTACAATTTAATCAGAATTAATTAATTTATTTTTATTTTTGTTGATTTTTGTTGCTGAAATTCGCTTGCAAAGGTTATCAGTGTAGTACCAAAGGTTATAGAGGACATATTTATTTTAGGTTTTATCAGAGTTGAATTAAATAATATGTTGTTTTGTTCATTGCTTGGCGACAAAAAGTTCAGTATATATCAAGAAAGGAGTCAGATAGAAAGCAGCAAAATTTTAGTCATCTCCAGCGTCTTTTTGGTAAGAAATGAATTTGAAAAAATTAATTTTTAACTGGTTGTTTTCAGTTGCACATGAAGTTTTATTGGTAGTACCGCGAGGATTGTTTTAATTTATTCCCACATAATGATAATGGATATCTGCAAATTATATCACTCTGATTTAAAATACACCAGAAAAAAAACAAATATTTGAACTCAAAGCAACATTATTTTAAAGCTTTTTTCAATATTTTTAAGAATATTTCACTTCTTAAGATATCAATAATCTTGATAAGGCTTTGAGAAGGTAAAACATTTATAAAGAATGCATTTTTTTCCCAAAATTAAATTTCACTTTTTGTTTACTATTTTATGCATGAAACTAAAATAAACTTTTTTTCACAAAAAAGTAACATTTTTAGTTAAACACTAATTTACTGATTGTGAGACTTTTTAAACTGAAGGAGTCTAAAATTTTTGTTCTAAACTTTTCACTAGTCTGCCCAATTCAGTATTTTTTTTCCTTAGCCTCATTGCAAAATAACTATGAAAAGCTCAAATATTATATTAATTTCTGCATTTTTATGTAATTTTTTTTTTCAGTTTTCGAAGAGCTTTTCTGAGTTCAAATGAAAACCATGCGTTTGGTATGGACCAGCATTATTCTGTTTTTCCTCTCTGCCTCGCTTTCATCTGCGCGCGCTGACAAAGTAAATCAATTTTCATTTAATTTTTTTGCTATATTATACAAATTTTAAGTTTTGGAGCAGTAAAGTGATTTAATTTGAACTTTTCCCAACTAGGTAAAATCAATCCTACAACACGTTGCGCATGATTTGAATGAATTAGCGGCAACTATCACCAGGAGCAACGGATCTTTCAGATCTTACGTCATTTCAAATTTGCAAAAGAGTAAAAAAAAATAATTTATTTCTAGCCATTTTTCAATGAGAATAACTCAATTTACAGAAATAAAACCAGGAGACCTAGATGTGATCGCCACAAACGAGCTGGTGGAACTGGAAACTGGAATTTACTACATCAGCGAGGAAAAAGTTTAAAACAATTTTTTAATTCCAAATTATTCCATAACTAAATGTTTGCGTTAAAAGTTGAACTGGTACAAGGCGGGTCAGAAGTGCAAAGCAAGTGGGCTCGACCTCGCGAGCATTGAGACAGAGCTGGAGAATGATCAACTAAAGAAAACAATATTTGAAAGTATTTTAAAATATACATTTGGAAATATTCTCCAATGTTTATTCGGTTTTTGAATGTTTGCTTTGAAAGGTGAGACCGACGAGTACTACTGGCTCTCGGGCACCGACCTTGGCTCCGAGGGTCAATATTACTGGGCGGCGACAGGCCAGCCGATGGCCGAGTACCGCGACTTTCCTCTCCACCAGCCCGACAACTACGCCGATGAAGAACATTGCATCCACCTAAGAATCAACTACAACCACAAGTCGCGCTCCCCTAATGAGACCTATTGGAATGATTATTCCTGCTTGGTTGAAACCAGGTTCATCTGCGAGTACCAACATTGACGTCAGTCATTAATTTGATTCGAACTGACGAAAAATTATTTTTATTCCTAGAAAGCCATTCCTTGAAAATTATATATTTCCACTTATAGCGTTGAAGGAAACTCGATCGAAAAGAAGAAAAATGAATTTAATCTTACAGCATCAAACTCTTATTTCTTAAACTTATCACTATGATATTTTTGTCGCACATCATTCTTCCGCTCAAATTTCAATAAAAGCAATATAAAAATTAATTTGATTTTTTCTAATATGCCCGAAATGAAATAATTTAAAGGAGGCAGGGCTGACCTAGGGCTGACCTATCCCTAACTCCTGCATTTTATGCAAATTCCATTATGCTGTCTTCGCACAGCTGCAATCGGTCGGTCGAAAATTCGGTGGTTTCATCGTCGAAATCGGTAATTGAAATTTTGGCCAATTATTCATGCGCATTCACCAATTTAGCCTATTCTCTTTTGAAGCAGCCGTCCTGAGCACTCTCCCAAGAAAATTAATTATTAACCTTAAAACTGAAGTTTAACAATCATCCCTATTTGCTGATATTAAAAAGATACTTTTCAGGATAAAAAGTATAGCTAATAAAAAATACTTTTAATGGAATATTTATTTCCTTATATTAGGCCTCAGTATTTATGATTCGGGAATAAAAATTGCTGATATTTTAATATGCGTCTGATAGAAAATGAAAGTGCTGTAGGAAAATTCCAATGAAAATTTAAAAAAATAAAAAATTTAAATTAAACAATTTAAGATACTTCAGCGCCCTTGCAAGTTGCCTGATGTGGAAAAGGAACGTAAAATGTGCGTATAATGAATAAAGATGACAAAATATTGCTTCCAATTTCAATCCAAATAAATGGCGATTTGAACGCGTGCAAATTAATAAGCTATTTTATTTATCCTGTTGAGAAAAAATTGTCACGAACTTACATTTTAGGCGGTACATATGTAGTCCGGGAAATTCTCTTCACATAAATCCAATGAAATTCCTAAATCCAAAGTGGAAAAGCAGCTAGAGATGACACAAAACTCTCATGCGATGTCCGAAATCCGAAGAGGGCAGCGAAACAAGGCAGCGAACTAACGACTTTTCGCATTATTGGAGAGCGAAGGAAACTATTTTTTGCCTAATTCATGTATGCATTATACTATCATCCCCTCTCATTTTCATGTGCATAAGACATTCTGGAAATTGAGGAACAATGCGGACTGCGGAGCAGGTGGAGCTGCAAAAGTTGCAACATTGCTCTGCGCAGCTGGTGCGGCGCCGGCAGTGTTTGGTTCTGTACCAATTTTCACCACCGGCAGTTCACCTTTTTCTTTCCATAATTATCTCACTAAAATTTCTGTTTTTATTGAAAGTCCCCCAATAAATATCGTTTAATTAAATCACAACATACCTTTCTAACAAAATATCATACACACGTAAAAATGGTGAGCAGATCTCATTAATTAATATTTAAACAAAATTTAATTATGCTGGTTTACATAAAGGCTTAGATCATTGGTGGCAACATGTCCATTATAGCGCATTTTTTTTCTTTGCTCGAAATTTTATTGTTAGCAGGAGATGTGTGTGATACACAAATGCACATGAGGAAGAAAAATTTTCTTGCCCACAATTCAATAATTATATTTTAAATGCATGCATTTTTGTGTCGTGACTTAACATATTTTTCGGTTTATAAATTTCAGGACCAGCCACGCGGTCGGGGTGCCATCTCAAAATCTAGCACCGATGGTGGTGGTATTCGTCAGGCGTCTAAAAATGCTGATAAGGACGTTGCTGAAATCGCCAAAGTGTTGAGCACCCTAGATGTGAAAGGTGAGTCTGCAGTGCCTTTGATGGTAAACGCTGCTGTGCAGACGTTGGAGAGTGATTTCCATGAGAAAAGTTCTGATGGAGTGAAGAGGAGGAGGCCTCGCAACCGACGCCGCAAGAAACGCGCATTCCAAGAAAATCAGGCAGCTTCTTCTGACCAACGTGCTCCTGATGAAGGCACTGCTAGTGTCTCAAGTGTCCAGCCCAGAAAGTCTCCACTTCCGAAGAGAAGATTCCCTGCAACTTCTGCCCAACCCAATGTAACAGGACCAAAAGCAAAATCTGCGCCCATCAAGCAGCACAACTCTGCAGGAAAGAAGACCCCAATAAGGCAGCCCTATCAAAGACACTATGCTCATTATGGTGTTGACCCTTCAATGGAGCATCAAGATGATTTCCTCATGAACCCGAACTTGGAGGATCTTCGAGACGATGATCACGATGACTTCCTCATGGACCCTTACTTGGAGGGTTTTTGAGAGTACGATGATTTCCTCATGGACCCCAATTTGGAGGGTTCAGAATCCAGAAAGCATTCTACGAGATGACGATTATTATTTTTGATAATATTGCTTAATGTTTGAAGTCTATAAAGAAAATTGAATTTTCTGAATTGAAAATAAATAAAAGCTAACAAATTATGATTTTATGTAAAAAAAAGGCCACAAATTTTGTGAGCCTTATCAAGATATTGAAAGTACGTTGGTCACAATATATTTATTAATGCTTTCCAATAAGATCACAAACTTTCTTTGAAAAGTGAATTTAATTTTTTCAAATTCAACATTAAATATTAAATTAAGCAATTCATCAATACTGAATGTTCTCAAATTTAACAAAACTAAAGTAATCCATTACTTAAGTGAAATTCTAACTTTTAATAAAAACAAATTGGATACAAATAATGACTGATTGACAATAAATCTTTTAAAAACTACAATAGCATGATAGATATTCCATGCTAACCAGCTTTTCTATATATTTTAAAAGATTTTTAAGAAATAAATATATCATGACAACAGATGCAGGTGCCTATTGCTCAAAAGACAAAATTGCAAAAGCCGTCTATAAAAATCACTGAAATTGTTAATCACTTTTCACAGCTAGAAAAAGAACTTTGAAGTTAGTCGACTGGCTCGTTTCTTCTTTGCCACGCCAGCTGGATGGCCCAAATGCTCAAAGGGCGCATGTACCCGATGGCACGGTAGTGTTTTTCTTCATACAACGCCTCAGGCGTCTCGAAACCCATGCCAATTCGCTCGTACACTGTTTGGTAAATGCCACCAGCGGTCTTGAACGACTCCTCCACCATGCCCTGCAACAGCATTTTTCTTTTTCAATATTTCAAGAAAGAAGTAACAGAATAATCCAACCTCGTGCATCATGAGAGCAGCAAGGGCGTAGACAGTCCCCACCCAGACCTCTTCACTCTGGATGGTGAAAAGGTCCTTGACCCCAGAGGGCAACATCCCATTCACAGCCCCCATGGTTCCATTCTTGAACTTCATAACGTTGAAGTTGAAAATAGTAGACAGCGCTTTTTTCACATTTTCTTTGGGAAACACCTAAAATTGATTTTTTTTTTAAATATAAATAAAAATTACTTTTTAAAATTTCTCTAACCTCATCTTCAACTCCACAAGCCTTTAAGTACCAGTGTCCGCACAGCTGGTCCGACATTATTGAGCTCGAGTGTGGCGCTCCTGAGCTGTCGAAATTATAGTACTGGCCTAAAATAATTATATTTAAATTTTAACCAAATGTTTATATAATTTTCAAACCATTCCACAGTTTATCCTCAAAAGCAACTTTTCCCTTCTTCAAAATCGAGGCAAAAGGTTCTGTCGACTCGCCCAAAGCTGTCGCCATTTCCACCATGGCGTGCAGAGCGGCCAGCCACAAACTGCCACAGTAGGCACTGCAAAAAAATTTAAAATTCATGAATTAAAAAAGAAAAATTCAAACGAACCTGGCCCCCGTCATGATCCAGCTGTCGTAAGTTTGGTCTGGAAAGCCGCCGTTTTCGATCAGCCCGTCCCCGTCAGTATCCCAGCTGAAGGCCCTCTGCATGACAGTGCACGCCTGGGGCCACATGGCCTTCAGGTACTCGGGGTCTTTCCACAGGCAGTAGTCGCGAAAAACCTGCAGAACAAACTTCGAATTGAGATCGCGCCAGTCGGCCACGTCGTGGATCGGATACGAGTTGATGTTCACAAAGGGATCTTCCTCTGCAATTTATTTAGTTATATTTTTATTGCAGTTAAATATAAGAACGTAAGATATACCTGGATCACCAACGTCATGGGGAACTGAGCCCGCAGACTTCCGAGACGCCTTTTGGCCGTCATACAAATGCTTTCGACGAGAAAGGTTCTCTTGAGGAATTGTGTCCCTGATGTCGTACTGCAGGACTTGCTGAAGCTGCGGCCACAACTGGGCCAAGGCAAATGAGGCGTAGAAATGCACATCATAGGTGTTGTACATGCGGTACTCATGGCCCTCCAGGTAGCCGAATCGTCCATACTCGATTCTTTAAAAATTCAATTCAATTTTAAAAATGAATTCAACTCCCCGTGAAAATTCAGCCACTTTTCAAGTTGGCGCTAAAAAAAAAGTAAATTATACCTTGGATCACCAACAGGCAGTTTTTCAGTTTCGTCAATGTCAACCCAAATTGATCCACCGTCGGAGACAAAGTACAGCTCGTTAAATAAGGCACTCTTGTACCAATCGGGAAGGTCTCTGGATTTTTTTATTCAGATTGTGTGCAATTAACATGTATTGTAGACAAACCTGTCATTGAGAATCGGGAACTGCCAAGCATCAATTTCCTTTTCCCAAACATGGTAGTTCTCGATGGCGTATCTCGAGAGCTTTGGAGCAGCTGTGCCCTCATTTCCAAACCACCTTGTGTAATATCTAATAAAATCTTAAGAATTTGCACAAGAAAATTTATTTTTAAAATAACCTATTGTAGGACTTTGAGCTTCCAGAAAACCTGACTTGAGGCATGTCCCAAACTAATGAAAATTCTGCTGATGCTCGACCATTCGGTGGCACCAAATTTTTGCAGCAAACCGCACAGCCAACTTCTTCCCTGGAATTTCCTAAAAAATAATCAAATGGTTTTTTGGTTTATTTATATTTTAGTTTTCATTACCTGGACGGTACTCTTCTGGCTCTACCCTAAGATTCCCATTATTGAGCAGCGCTTGCCAAATTTCAGCACCAGAACCATTTGGGTTGAATCTGGTTTCAGTCGTCACATTGTCCTGAAATTGTGAATAATTCACTTATTGACACAAACCCATAGATATTCTTTTGATAGGGCACTGACACTGTTGTTACGACATGCAACACCGTATGTGCACTGCATGTTCCTTATCTGTTGATGTATCATGACGCCCTTGACGGTTCCATCTGCCTCGTCAAAAGCCTGGGTCCAGCAGCCACCTGTCCCACAAACAGAAAAAATTGGCCTTCAAGCTTTATAATAATTTCTTATTTCCCAAGAAAATAAATATTTACTCGATGTTCAAATTTGTCTGCATCAAACAATAATAAAAAATTTGATTGCACCTTTTTTGTCATCCTTCCCTCCAGTTCCATTCTTGAAAGTAAAAGTAATGCTGATTTGCAGCTCCTCCTGACTTTTATTCTCAATTTCCCAAGCAAAAACAGCGCAAGGCAAACTTGAATCCTGTGCAAATAAAAAAATGTGTACAATTCTCTTCGATCCGCAAATGTGCATACCTTATAGTTATGTGGTATGACAGGCGACACTTGGCGGCAAACTAGTGTTACTTGATGCTCTGGAATCTTGAATTCAGTCCAGGCACGCGGGTAAAGTGCGCAGTATTGAGCGTTTGAGCCATCAAACTCCCATTTCCAAGAGGACAGCCTTTTTGACTTTGGTCGTCTGTGGAAACGTGAATTTCACTATTATAAAATTTAATATAATTTGACTTGATTGTACTTAAGCGGAGACAAGACTTGCTGATAAAGCGTGGCCCCATCTTTATTTTTTATTGTGACCAGAAATTGGTTGGCTGCAACGGTGTGATAGGTGTAGAGGCCTGGCCTCATCTGGTACCGACAGAATTCACCTCGGAACCCTCGGCCAATTGTTCCAGCGCCTATCCCCCCAATTGGAGCACCTATTCATATATAATTATAATTTTTTTATTTAAGTTGACAAAATAATATTATATATTATTTACCATAAATTTGCTTCCCAGTTTTCATCTTGAAATAATTCATTAGCGGCCTCTTTCCATCTTTCAAAGTATTCAGAGCCCATATTAAATACCTGCAAAAAATTCGATTTATTAAAAAACTAAAAAGATTTTAAATGTGTTGAAATCAAACCGGAGTCCCAATGGCACCAGAGGAGGCAACTGGTTCAGTTTGGGCTTGACCCTTTGGTTTCGTCTCTCGGGGAAAACATGGTTGAGCCGCACTTTCCAACCGTACTGTGGGATCGACATCATCTCCGACATGGCACTCAATGCTACTTTTGTTGGGAGGACATCTGAGTGCCTACGCTGCTGGTGATGGACTGCTGGTGCTGGTGCTCAGTGTGACGCGCGTCATACAGGAGAGGAGAGATTTAATTCCGCTCCCTCTCTGATAAACCGACGTGCACATTTTTTATCGTCGATTTGACGCTTTTTTATCAGCGGACAGGCTCGCTGCTCTGCCCCTCCGGCCGATCAAATGCTCACCAAATGAGCACCAATTGGTCTTAAGACTGAGGAAAACCAAATCGGGCTGATTTGGAAAGCCAGGCAAAAACAGGTCTTGTGAAATCTCTGCGGTCAAATAAAAAAGTTGCTGATCAGTGAGATATTTTATAAATTATAAAAATATCGCGGTTCTCAACCTGATGATTAATTTTTCTATTCAAAAATTATATTCCCCAATTTTCCGCTGCAAGAACGGACATCCGTACAGCGACCCCTCTTTTTATCTCATTTGACCGCAGAACCGCACCCCCTCGAGCAATGACAATCAATTGGGATGTAAAGAAAGAAGTTAAATCAAATTTATCAAACTTTGCAGTCAAACTAAGTAAATGGCCTTAGTAAATATTTTAAAATGTCATTTAAAATTTAAATAACTTGAAAGAAACAGTAAATGTCTTCCAAAGTTGAAAACCAACACAAGTTCGAGTTCGTTGAAAGTTGGAAGTGTCACTTTCCTTCTCCTTTTTGCACACTCCAAAACTTTTTATTTTGATTTCTCTCTCGCATGTCAACAAACGCAACAAACATTGCGAAGTGATTTTTTTGGTAGATGCTGTGTCGAAATCATAATTGTGTCTGCATAATAGCTGGCCTATAATTGGTCGTGGTCGTTACGCAAGCCACCTTTTTAATTAGAAGCCCTTCGTTTTTTTTTCACCGAAATGAGCATGTCAGAAGCGACTGCTTTTATTCCGCCGTCGGTTTTCTCGCTACCGCCTGTGCAAAGCAATCCCGTCGTCGATCATGAATTGTCAACTAAATCGAAAAAAGGTGATATGTCAAGTATAGAGTTGGAATTTTTAAACTAATCGTCACATTCCAGCAACGGAACGGATTTCAGAGAACATGCACATCGTGGCTAACGAGCCGTCGCTGGCTTTTTATCGAGTTCAAGAACACGTGAGGAAAGCTCTTCCTCCGATGGTGAGCAAACGAGTCGAAGTGAAGAAACTGAATCTAGAGCTGCAAGGCCGGTGCTACGATTTGGAGTATGCCCTAGGGTCTGTAAATAAAAAATTACGCTCCGCCAAGTAAATTAAATCTAAAATATATGTCAATTTTAATATTTTCAGAGCTGTTAAGGCCATGTCAAATGCTGGGTCAACTTTCAAGAACCTGCAGGATCTCACCAAAAATGCAATTTATTTTAAGCAGCAATTAAAATACGAAGAAACTAGAAGGTGATGGAAATAATACATTTGAAAAGATAGATTTAAGATAATTAATTTTGGTATAGGTCGAAAAAGGAGCCATCAGTTTACAAAAGACTGTCAGCTCATATATCTCAGGAGATTCCAGACTTGGCTGAAATATCAGATGCTCTCAGAGAAACTGCCTCCAGAGTAGAATCAATGATGACGCATGCCAGAGGTAGCTCTGGATCTGCACCAGTTGCAACGGAAGCGTCTGAGGCGATTGGTTCCTCGAGTCAGCAACAGCAACAAAAAGATTAAATTGTATTTTTCTTAAATATTATCATTTCCTGTGATATTAATTTGTTTATTCAAGATGGTTCCGATGATTATATTATTTTACTTGGTATTAAAGTTGAAAAGAATTATTTAATAAAAAATTCTCTTTGAAATCATCCCAATTTTTATGCCGTGTCCTTAAATGATTTTTTCACAAATTACAGAGCAAATTATAAAGAAATAGATTTGAGAACAATTATATACATCACATCTCATGCTGTTCCTATAAAAGTTGCTTTTCGCAGGGGGTTTCTTCCAGGGTTGAAGTAATTTATCAAAGGAAATCACTTAAAATGTAGAGTGTGCATTATCATATTTTTTTAATATGTGGAAAGTTTTCCATTATATTTTCTTAATAGTAATAATAAGTAATTTGGTGTATCAGAAAATAATATTTTAGAAAATTAAATTGGTAGGACCAAAATCACACATCATTGCCGCCAAAATTTAAATATTTGATTTTATCGATTATCACCAACAGTATAAGATGCGTTTTATGAACTGAGTTTTCTCCATTACTAGGATTTTTTTATTTAAGAATTGCGGCTAATGATTAAAAATTGTCAAAATATTTTTCCAAAAATTTTTTCCCGATCACTTCATGATTTTAAGCACATTTTAATTTTAATTTATTCAGTTTTTTTTTTAGTCTGGGATGTTATTGGTACGATTGATTTTTGTTTACTTTTTCTTTCCTTTCCGCCTCTCCCTCCGCTGACGGCTGAACCCGCTCTTGCCGTTGACTATTATCCGATCTCTGCTCATTGCAACTTGTGGAAATTTGTTCATTTCGACCGCTATATCTTATCGTTCTGGACAAAATCCATAGCACATTTTTCAGACGAACAGATTAGGGGTTTGTCAAATTATTGAGCGGCCCCATCTTTTGTCTGGAGGTATGCTAAACGATGAAATTCAACGCGGGGTGCACGTGTGCTGACTCCAGCAAAATTATTTCTACAGAAAAATCGCTCAAAAACAACTTTCATGCTTAAGGGGGAATTAGTGTGGTTAGAGTTATTGGAAACCCTTCTTTTCATATCTGCTTTCCCAAATATTAAAAAATTTGTGAACTTTTTTTCAAATGAATCATCTCCTCTGGCCTCGCGAACTGCGCGGCGCGCTGCTCTGAGCATGCAACTCTGCGATCTGGAGTTTTGGCTAATAAATCTTTCTATACGCCCTTCAATCCGTTTTTAGTGGCATCAATCGAAAGATTAATGATTTTGGTAACAGAAAATGTTCATAGTAGCACATATTCGTCGATAGTAATTAGCCAGGAGTTCAAAAACTATATTTATTTTGCCGTGTGATCCAACAATATTGAGTTTTCTCAGTGAATAAATTGAAAGCGGTTATATTTTAATGTTTTAACCGGTAGCCGATACTCTCAACTGATTTTTCGTACCCAGAAATATTCCTTTTGCGTGTCCTAAGTAGGAAATAATCGGTTTTCTTTTAGTGAAAGTGCGGTGAAAAATCGGAATAAACATCCACTTGGCAACACCGCATTCGTTTTCTCGCTTGCTCTTCTTGCCGGCCGCCCCGTTTCATTTTGTGGAGGGGAGGCCTGCCGTCGGGCAAGAGCCGCTCGTTTTGATAGACTTTTGCGCGAATGCAATATTTTTTTATAACGCGTTATATTTAAGTATTCAAAATTTCACCGTTGAAAGAAAATTGAATCATGTATTTTTTGATATGCTTGTTTTAAATTAATTTTGACTAGGAGCGGAGTTATTAACGTTTCCGCGAGACTTTTGTTTTTTTAATTTAAAAATTAGAAAAAAAATTTTAAACATAAAAACCCTTGATGAAAAATGTTGCCAATTAAATTTCCTACAATTTCTTTCACAGGCTTGATGACGTCAGAATTTTTATTACATATGTACGGAAGGCTCAAAGTCAAAATATAATTTTTTAACATAGAAAAAAAATTTTTAGAATTTTTTTGAGATAGCCAATCGATTGTAAATTTAATTTTAACTCTGGAATTCAAATTTCATCAAAAAATATTCAGCCGTTTCAAAATGAGAAAGTTATATTTGATGGCACCTCAAACTGCTTTTGAAGACGAAGGCGGCATCAGAGCGCTCATGAGAAAGCAAGCTGCAGCTTAAAAACGGCTCAATATTTTTTCATGAAATTTGAATACCAGAGTTAAAATTAAATTTCCAATCGATTGGCTATCTCAAAAAAATTCTAAAAATTTTTTTTCTATGTTAAAAAATTATATTTTGACTTTGAGCCTTCCGTACATATGTAATAAAAATTCTGACGTCATCAAGCCTGTGAAAGAAATTGTAGGAAATTTAATTGGCAACATTTTCCATTAAGGGTTTTTATGTTTAAAATTTTTTTTCTAATTTTTAAATTAAAAAAACAAAAGTCTCGCGGAAACGTTAATAACTCCGCTCCTAGTCAAAATTAATTTAAAACAAGCATATCAAAAAATACATGATTCAATTATCTCTCAACGCTGAAATTTTGAATACTTAAATTTAACGCGTTCTGAAAAAATATTGCATGTGCTCAAAAGTCTATCAAAACGAGCGGCTCTCGCCCGACGGGGGCGTCGCTGGTTGCCACCAAATGAAACGGGCCAGCGGCAAGTGTCGTTTCGGCCGCGTACGTGTCGGCGGCGCACTAAAACGCAAAATAAATGTCACCAGCCGATTCTGCAGTATGTTTTACGTGATTAGTGCATTCCCAGAGCTCAGAAAAAGCAAATTGATGGACTCGATCGCGTGCCGTTTTCGCGCCTGATTTTAAAACACGAGCTACAGCGCCACGCGCGGCGAGACTTATGAACTAATCTACCACACTAATTCCCCCTTAATTTGAGATTTTATTCTTTTCTGCTTGAATATCTTTAAATTTCAATTCAAAATTTCTGTACAATTTAAAACCGCACGCAGGAATAAAATGAAGAGAGCACACAAGAGTGGTTTCTCATCGGACGAAGACGTCGATCCGGCCAAATGCCCGTTCTTCCAGCTTTCTGCAGAACCCGCGGCGCCGCCGCCGGAGGAAGAAAAATTCGTGCCGCCGCCTCCGGAGGAAGAGCACCCAGTCCCAGAGCCGCCAATGGAAATTGATTTTGGATTCAGCACCTGCGACTTGCCTATGACTGAGTTTTTGTCCTACGACATCCTGGACGAGTACCAATACTTCAAAGTGGACGAGCAGGACGACGGCGGTCGGATGAACACGCCGGACGATAATGATTCAAATCAAATGTCTTCAGACGAGTCTTCCGAAGAGTGGGACGTTCCTCTTGACGAGATTGACAACATGCTCGAAGAAGGTTGAATTGATATTTAAATACAAAGACTGAATAATTAAAAATATTTCTAGGCGTCACTGCTGATAAAATAAAAAATAAGAAGGCTGAGAAGAAAAAGCAAGATGCTGATGTTGTTGAAAGAGAGAAAATAGTTCTCAATGGTAGCACTTATACAAATGCCTTACAATCTAATATTCACAAGTATTTTTCAAAACAGAAAAGGACCACAACCACTTTGACGTGTTGCCGGAGGGTTGGATTAAAGTGACTCACGAAAGTGGCATGCCTGTTTATTTGCACAGGAAGAGCCGAGTTTGCACAATGTCCAGGCCATACGCTTTGGGCACCGGAAGTGTCAGAGTATGGAATTGCCCGTTTTTAATTATTTTTAGTAATACAATTTCAATAGAAACACAACATTCCACTGAATGCAATTCCATGCTTGCACTACTCAAAAATGAAGGAGCGCGAAGTGGCAAAACTAAAAGAGCCTGAGCCAGTGCCACAGGTTAATGAAAATAATGAGGAGAATCAGGAACCTGCAGCGAGTAATGCATTAATATTTAATAATGCTATATTTATTATTTTTTCTCTGAATTAAGCTGATTTGCCAAAAGTTCGTGTTGAAACAGTGCAGGAAAACATTGAGAACAACACAGTCAATCCCAATCAGCTGCAAGACTACTGCAAATCCAAGTTTGAGTTCAAGGTTGTCAAGATCAAGAAGTTCAGGTATGTTTTTTTTTTTGTTATTTTTCTTCCGAGCAAGTTTGAAATTGTTTATAAAATTAGTTCTTGGACGTCTCGACGACGATTTTCGAAAATGGAACGAGCTCAGAAACAGCTGACCAGATCCACGCTTCCGGAGGGCACAAATCTGATAACCTTTCCTCTTTACAATCCAAGTATTAAAATTGATATTTAATTATTAAATTTATCTGTGATATAATATAATTCATATAGATGAAAATGATGGGGAGAATTCTGGTGCTCCTCCCCCCAGGAGGGAGTGGGTGATGAATCCTAACGGCAAAAGTTATGTTTGCATTCTTCACGAATATGTTCAACACGCACTTCGAAAGCAGCCAGAATACGAGTACAAAGAGCTGGGTGAGTAAAAATTAAGTTTTGTAATTTTTCCTTTCTGAAAGTGGAGTTTGTGTTAGAAAATGCTGCAACTCCTTATTCTGCAACTGTGATAGTCAACGATGTGAGATACGGCCAAGGTTTTGGCACCAGCAAAAAACAGGCAAAGTCAGAGGCGGCCAAAGAAACCCTTGAGATGATGATTCCTGAGATTAGGAAAATCATGAAGCAGGACAATAAGGGCCGTTATACGGCCAATGACACAGATCTCCACGTAAGTTCTATGACAATATAAAATTCTTCAAAAGTAGAATTCAAGTTTTTTGAAATTCAATTTTTTTGTTCAAATAAATAACTAAAACTTTTATAAAAAGGCTGAATTCTCTGGTCAGGGTCTCACCGAGTATAACTTAATTTATGAATTATTTTTTTCTTTTTCAGTATTTTGATAGCATCGAAATAACTGACCCAAGAGTTCCTGAGCTCTGTGCCAAGACATGTGAGCTGTCTCCGTACGGTATCCTTCTCATTTGTCTGCAGAGAAACATCAAGTTAGAGAACATGAAAATTGAGTATGACGTCAACACTTCCAAGCACCAGAAGAACGAGTACACCATGCGAGTGGGAGAGCACACGGCCACGGTGCCGTGCAAGAATAAGCGGGACGGAAAGCAAAGGGCTTCGCAGGAAATTCTGCAGCAGCTGCATCCAAACGTCAAGAGCTGGGGGTCTCTGTTGAGACTGTACGGCACTCGATCGATCAAAAGTCTCAAGGAGAAAAAACAGGAGGAGAAGGAAATCACTGTGTTGCAAAAAGAGGCTTCACACAACTCGCCAAATTATGCCATTCTCGAGAAGCTCCGCAAGGAAATGCAAGCTCTGCATCAAAAACAGGTAAAATGAAAAGACACAAAGGGGAATTTTTGGAATCAAGGTTTTTTGTTTGCAGAGTGCCATCAAAACCATCGGTCAATTTAAACCACCTGGAAATGTGACTCAACCTTCATCAAGTGAGAAGTGTTGCTAACCTAATTCCATTGAAGTCATTCAAATTTTTAGATAGATTTTGTCTTTTACATTTAGTTTACCAACCACTTTTTATTATCATAGTGACACTACAAAAAATGAAATGAATTTTTTTCGACATAAATTGAGAAGTCATAAACTTACAATCCTTTGTATATTAACTTCATTTTCAGAATTCCAAGTTGAACGGATAGTCTGGGTGATCAACGGAGCTGAAATTTAAGCATTTTATAAATTCACTATTATATTTGAGAATTGAATAAGTAACCTAGGCTCGGTGCAGAAACGAGTGTTTTTGTCGAACGAGTCCAAAAGTTGCATGTCCTCCTGACTCAGTTCAAAGTCGAACACGGCGAAGTTTTCAAGGATGCGAGTTTTGTGGACAGATTTTGGAATGACCACATTGCCACGTTGAATCTAATCAAATGTTCAATTAAATTTTGTGATATTTGGTTCTCTAAATGTCCACCTGGTAGCGCAGGACAATCTGTGCAGGAGTGCGGCTTAATCTGGTGCTCATTTCATGTAGTTTTTTGTCTTCAAGCAGGACCGGCTCACCAGGTTTGGCCCAGGGTCTGTCCTTTGAGCCGAGGGGAGAGTAAGCGGTGATGCTCATGCCACGCTCCCTGCCAAAGGCAATCAGTTTCTTTTGGTTCAAGTAGGGGTGACACTCAATCTAATCCAAATTATTCAACCTTTTATATAAATTATAATTTTCAATTATTTTCTTACCTGAAGCATAGCAGGTTTGATGGTTGCAACGTCCAGGACGCGTTCGATTTGCTTGCTGTTGAAATTGGACAGTCCGATGGAGCGTACGAGTTTTCTGTCCACTAACTTTTCCATTGCCTTCCAAGTGTCTACGTAGTCGTCGGTGCTGTACATCAGCTTGCCATTCTCATCAGTGGGATGAGTTTCAAATCCAGCCTGTATTGATCTGTGTCGTTAATTTTTTCTTTCTTAAAATTTATTTATTTATTTATTCTCCATTCGATACAGTCATGTCATGAATACAGCAAAAAAAAAAAACTATACAGAAAAAGTACAGAAAAAGCTGAAAATACATTTTAAAAGAGACCTACTGTTAATTTAAATTATTAAGATTTTACCTTGTAAGCAATAGGGTAGTGCATCAAGTACAGATCCAGGTAGTCGAGACCCAGGTCTTTGAGGGTATTCATGCAGGCGGCAACAACAAAGTCAGGGTGGTGATGAGAGTCCCACAGCTTTTAAAATGAGGCTTATTTGTTTAACAATTTTGAGAATATAAATTTATGAGACCTCACCTTGCTAGTAATGAACAGGTCTTTTCTCTGCACAACTCCCTCTTTGATTTTGGCATTAATGCCGGCTCCAACTTCCTTCTCATTTCCATAAACATGAGCGCAGTCAATATGCCGATAACCTACGTCAATGGCATCTTTCACTGCCTGAGTCACAACCCCCGGCTGAGACTAATGAAAAAGCCATTTAATTTTAAACATTACAAAATATAAATCATGGCGTTTTCTAACCTTCCAAGTTCCCAAACCAATGATCGGGATCTCTAAACCGTTGTTGAGGGTGACTTTAGGTATCATTTTCAGATCAGGGTGCCAACCAGAGTGACGACTGTATCCTCTGTTAAGGAGTGTGATAGATACTGAGAGTAGTCTGCTCCTCTTTAAAGTGAAAAGTAGTTTGCAGGCCAAGTGGGACATAAATGCACTTTGTAGCAGCTGCTTTATTTTTGTTCTGTGGATCTTTCGAATTTTTCAAAGTCCAATAATCTATGCGTCGGCCCTATAGAGTACAGCTAGGTTAAGAATTAGTGCAACAATTGCAGCTGCATCCCCTATGCATTTCAAGGAAGACCAACAGATTGCGCTCTGTGGTGGTGGTGGGAGGACTTCTAGGTAAAAATGTTGGTAAAAATTTTACTTTTTTTCTCTTGCCAAATTTATTTGTTTATCATAAAATATTAAATTTAAAATTTCTATGCCATAGTCTCGGGAATGATTTTATGTCTTCAGTCCATACTGATGTGTCTGATTTTTTATGGCCATCTACTGATCATTCACAGGTACAATAAGGTACTTGTTGCGTTGTTTAGTGGTAGTAGATGTGTTGGCTTGAGACGAAGATGTGCTGTGAAAAGGAGAGGTTGGCAATGTTGTTTGAGGTAAAAGGCTGCACCGAGGCTATTGCCTTCTGAAAAATCATAACCAAGACTTCATTTAAATAAGTATCAAGTGGGAAATTGAAGAGGTACTCACTTTGGGTTAGGAAGCCAGAATTTTGGTGGTTTTCATTTTCAAAGCATCGACATAGCTCATGTCTTTCATTCCCAACTAAATAAATTAAAGAAATTAAAAATTTTATATCTGTTGCAAATAAATCACGTTAAACCAACCCAGAGAGGGCAGTCTTCATCATTCAACTCTTTTCCATTCCAATGCAGTTGCCATTCAGCATTTGTACCAACCTTCTGGGCTAACTTTTCCCTCCACTCGGAAAACTTTGTATTAGCAAGGCCACTAATTCTATGGTTGTTAACTGTTCCCTGCATGAACATCTCATCTATTACTCATCCCATTTTTTTAAACATTTATTATTTTACCTTCAAAAGAACATCTATGGTGAAGTTGGGAAGCCAAACTAGAGGATCACAATGCAACTGCATGTTCTTCAAAAATAAATAATTATAATTAATTAATTTCTTAAATATTTGTTAAAACATAGCAAAATATAGTACTTCTTCTTGAACTATGACGTAAACTCTCACAAGCCCAGGTTCAACAAGTTTCTGCAGCAGACATAATTCAAAATATGAATTTTCCAAATTTTCACCAACCAGGAAGATCATTTTGAATTTCTGAATTTCTTGCGGCTTTAGGGGGCAGCTGTTTGAAGAATGTTGTTTTATTATTAAGAACTTTAATGAACATTATTTAAAACCTGTTAGGAAGGAGGTGAATAACTCCGGGAAGACCTGACTGCCAGAATTCGATATTCACTGGATCTTCATCCAAGTTCTGGATTTTGGTTTTGGCTAGATATTCAGTCTTTGTGTTTCTCACAAGACGCAAAGGAATGACAGAGGGAATGATGGAGATCAAATTTTCTTTCTTCATGGAGAAAGAAGTACTACTAAAAAACAAGGAGATTTAAATTTAAAAAAAAAAAAAAAAAAAAAAAAAAAAAAAAATTGAAACAAATATTTTGTATACATACACTCTGCTGATTTTTGGCGCTGCAGGAGCAGAAGGAAGCACTGGGCTTGAAGTAATTGGACGTTTCAGATGAGAATAATTATTAAACTGGGCAAAGTTTGTTAATGGGACGATTAAATTATTAGCAGGCAAAACTGAAGTTGAGTAAATCTCATTGTCGACGGCGACTAAATTCTCCAGTTCTAATTTGTCCTTGCAAGGACTGCTCAAAATCTCCTTGTGCAGTTTAGCACCTAATTCAATGGCCAAGTTGATGTCCATCGCAAAAACTGTGGAATGATAAAATTACATTATGTTATTATGTATTGCATATAGTACACTATATATATAAGTTGAACATACATACATATATATGTATGTATGTTCAACTTATTAAAATTTTAGCGCGCCGTCCAAATTCAAACCCAAGAGGATTTTCTATTTTCCTTTTTGTATATAATTACCTGATTTTTCTATCGGCAGTCAGGAATCTTGGTTTCCGTCGGTGCGCCTGTTCCTTGGGTCTTGGGTGCTTGGAATTTAAATTCGGGTTTGGGTTGAGGGCACCGCTTCAAATTAAACAGCATCCAACAAACTAGAGCATGTACGTCAAATGTACGTACTCTACCTCTGAAATAAACATAAATAAAAGACCATGAAAACAACACGCATGTTGACAGGGGCGGGACTGGGCGGGACCAACAAGGGCGGGACCAACAAGGCGGGACTCACGAAATTCAGGCACGAAATTAGAGTGAGTAGAGGAGTCAGAGGAGAGAGAGTGAAAATGAAGCTATAGACAATAAAATTTATTATCATTTTTAAAACTTTCAAAAAGATCGTTTAAGAACGAAAATTTAGGTGACAAAATTTGAGTTTGATTATTAGAACTCATTTTGAAAAAAAAATAACACTGAATAAAATAGATTTTCATCGAGTCTCCTTTCTATATTCCCTTCTTCTTACCGTACACCCATGGCGCCAAACCCAAATCCTTCCAATGGGAAAAAGCCATTCACATTTCAGCCAATCGCATATCTGCGTTCCGGCACAAACAACTGAGGTTAACGTCAGGAGTTCATGCAATAACGTGATACTATTTTACTAACTTGTTGGGTTTGCCGCGGTTTCGAGTTGAATTGGCAACGCAACACACGCCAGCCAGCCTCTCCCCCACCGAGCAATTTGTTGAAAATTTTCAGACTCGATGCCTCGTCTGCACTAGCACTGAGGGCGCTGCCTGGGAGCAAATCATCGCAGCTCGTTAGTGGGATATCGATTATGATACGATCCAATTTTCCGTAAGGTTAACATTAAAAAATTGAATCGAACTTTAATCGATATCCCACTAACGAGCTGCGATGATTTGCCCCCTGAGTGCGAGTGGGCGTTAACCGCACTGAGTGAAAACGGGCTGCCGTCTTTACTGCCTCAGCGTATGCAACAGCTGATAAAACTAAAGCCCGCGCACTCTTTTCGCGTGTCTTATAAATCTTTGATGTTCTCTCCCAGATAGCTAACAAATATATTACATTGTCTCGCCAAACAAATTACTTGAGTGTCCCGTCCTACCTGGGTACAAAAATGACGGATTCTGAGTCATCAGACGATGATTATACCTCTGAAGTGGCCAATGAGGTACGAAATTCGTAAAAGTAACCTTAATTCTTTATGTAAAAATTTGTTTCCCCAGGCATTGAAGTTGATTCAAACGGCAAATCATCTCATAGAACTAGGCTATCAAGAAGAAGAAATTAGCAACAAAAGGAAAGCTGCTGTGGCAAAGCTGCAGAAGAAAAAACTGCGCCTTCTTTTCAACGTCAAACAAGCTTTGGATGGACGAGGAAAAAGTCGTTCGATTTGGATCCAAGCTGAATTGAATGGTGGCACAGGTTACTGGGAACAGGTCATGCCTCACCTTTGTGACGAACGTTTCCAAAAGGCATTCCGTCTATCAAAAACATCTTTCTATGAACTTGTCGGCGAATTAAAGCCGTTTATGGAGAAGACAGATACCAACTTTCGGAAAGCAATTCCCATGGATAAAAGGGTGGCTATAGCTATTTACTGCCTTAAAAGCACTTGTACACCCGAAGATGTGTCAAACATTTTCAGGGTTGGAGTTAGCACTGTGTCAGAAATACTTCATGAATTTTGCCATTATGTAAATGAAATCCTTTTAAAAAGATATGTCAAATTCCCTGGGACCCAAGAGGAAAGAAAAAAAATTGTGGAAGATTTCATGACTTTGTGGCAGTTTCCCAATACTTTTGGTGCCATTGATGGAACGCACATACCAATAATTGCTCCTTCTGAGAACCCGGAAGACTATTGGAATTATAAAAGCTATCATTCCATTGTTGTCTTAGCAGCCGTAGATGCAAAGGGTTGTTTCATATACGCGAATGTTGGCCGCCCGGGAAAAGCAAATGATGCTGGCATTTTCAATGATACCTCACTCAAAGAATCTCTTGTAAACCAGATAGGTATTGATCATAATTTACATATGATAGGTGACGGCGCGTTCCCCTTGATGCAAAGCTTGATGAAACCCTTTCGAATTCGCCCTGGAATGCCTCTAATGGAAGAGAACTTTAACAAACGTCTTAGTAGGGCTCGTGTTATTGTCGAGGATGCTTTTGGACGCCTGAAAGGACGCTTTCGATTACTTGCAAAAAGAGCAGATTATAGTGTATTAAATATGATTAATATTGTAAACGCTTGTCTCGTTCTGCATAACTTTTGTGAAAGTAAGAAACACAGGTACTGGTCAGAATGGGATGATAAACTCAAGGAATTGTTGAAAAAGTACCCCCAACCACCTAATGCTGATGCAAAAAATACCCCTAGCTCACTTGCCGTGGCAAAACGTTTAAAATTAGCTGAATGTCTTGCATCTGATTATGTCTCATATGAATAAAGCAAATGAATAAAAGATTATGTTTTTCAATATTACAATTAAATCCCAATAAATTTAAATATTATGGCATACTTTAAATTTTTGGTCTTCTTTTAATAATACAACCATAGTTATGTGCTTGGTTTTTATTTCAAGGTAGAAAAATATTCGGTACAATGATGCAATTACTTTTTTCATAAATAAGCACCAAGTCAACAGTATGTAATAAATATCAGTACAATAGTCAGCTTATAATTTCATTATTAACATGGTTCACACTTCATATACCTTAAAATTGCACAATGTGCTCCAGCCGTATCTCACAAATTCAATTTTTCAGTTTGCTTGTAACTAGAAAATATGAAACAAGTGGCCCAAAGGCAGAGAAAGCCTCTTATTTAAAATTAATTGGGACCATGAATTATTGTAATAGCAGAGAATTTTTTCTAGCATTTAACAATTATGCAGCCAGTAAGCCATAAGTGATAAAAAATATTTGATTCGTAAATTGTCAGTCGAAGTACACACAATAAAGATCACTCAAATTGAACAAAATGCTACAAGTTGTAGATAAAATTATCCTTAGGATTTACTTAAAAATAGAGATCAGTTTTAACATCAGTTCACTGGCGATGCGGAGCTAGTATAATCATCTGCTTTCCCTCAGCAGACGTAACAACTTGCATTTGGTTAGAAGAGGAAGCAAAAGTCTTAAATTGTAATGATCGACTTGGCACCGATGTGCGAGATTCTCCAGCAAGGAAGTTTGGTGTAATCGGTTCTATGATGCCCATCTCTTGCTGTAGCTTTCTCAATTTGAGCTCACCAGTCTTAACATCCAACTCCATCTTTTTCTTTTTAAGAGCAGTCAGTTCCATGGTGGACTGAAAATATTCGCTCGCAACATCACAGGCTCGTCCCACCTTCTCTGTTGCCAAAGTGAAGGCATCAGTCCTTTTCTTCTCAAGCCCAAGTTGCTGCTCGAATATCTTGGCACTCCCGTCGGTCAACTTCGTAATCTCGTTCAAACATTTTTGGGTTGGAGCTTGCTGCCTTCTCCTGCTTTTTCTATAAATTGAACATGTTCTGTAATTAAATCAATACTTAAGAACCAAAGGGAAATACCCACATGATAAATTTGCCTCCGGGATCAGGTTTCTTTTCGTCAGACTTTACTTCTTCTGGTGTCTGAGGTGTGTCTTCACCAGATTCATTGACGAAGCTTTCATCAGCTTCTTCTTCATTATTCATGGTGTTCTTAACAATTTCCTCCTCTTCCTCTACAGCTAAAAGAAGTACATAAAATTAATAGAATATCTTAAATATTTTTTATTATAAAAACCACTTTATGTAAATTTAATAACTTTAAAATTTTGAATACATACTCATGGAATCAGTTTCATTTCCCGTACCTCCAATGTGCTTGCCAAAAGTTTGCTTCATGGCGTTGAATAAATCCTCCTTGTCACATTTTGCTGATCCTGTGGAACATTTTTATACAACAAATTAAATTTAAAAGCGAAGAGAACAGAAAATTTAAAAAAAAAAAAAAAGAATAAATAAATAAATAAATTAAAGCAATGCAATTTTCTGTACCTGATTTCCCATATTTCGCCAAAAATGCCTTGTAGTCTTTCAACAAATTCTGCATTTTCTTGGAAATTTCAGCAGTAGAACGATTGTAGCCCTCTTCCTGCATTTTGGCTTGAATTTTGGAGGTCAGCATTGCACCTCTCAGGGTCGGCTCCGATCCATGAATAATTGCTCGATTTTGGAGAAGGGCAATGGCCTCATCGTCAGTCCAATTCCTCTTTCGATTCTTTTTTTCCTCCGCTGCTTTTTCCATGATCCCTGCCTCTAAATTAAAAAAATACCAAAGCAAAAACCAAAATTGGCGGAGTGCGACTAGTGCGAGTGGAGCTTGTAGTCACGAATGTAAACGTGCCCGATGTGCGCATGCGTCGCGAGCAAAACAGCCTCAGCATGCCCGAGCGGCACGCTGAGGGCAAAAGTTGCACTGAGCGTGTGTGCGTGCTTTCACACTACCGCCTGAGCGAGAAACGCGCTGAGGGGAGAGGCACTTAAGTGCAGTGCAGACGGGGCATGACTTTTCTTTTCGCACTTTTAACAGTTGGTAGGGAGAGGTGAGTCAGCCTGTGGCCGCGGCGGATTTCATATTGGAGTCTATAGGTGCAAGAGCAAGAAAGAAAGCAGCCTTTCTCGTCCGAATTTTGTTGGTGATCGACAGGCGTTGGCATGGCAGACGACGACTCGTTGAACGGGGTGCACGAAGAGGTGCCCGAGATTGAGCTCATCATCAAGGTGAGAGACCTTCGACCTGCAGCAAAAAGGGAACGCGCTACTCTGCGCGAAAACGCCCTTTTCTCGCGAGCAGGGAAGGACTTTCTTTTGCGTATATATCCCGTCGCGGACCCTATCCTGTCTCACTACCCCCTTGCCAATCCCACCAACTCGGCATCCGGCACAGTTTTTGCCGCACGATGACGCCCTGCCAAAGGTCTGTGCACCTTTTGCAGCAGCTGTTGTGACTGACAGGGCGAATTTCGAATTCGCCGTTATCTTTGGCAAACATGTTTGTTATTCGCTCATTATGCAAGTGGTGTGGCCTTACACCTGTCCTTTAAAGTGGTTATTAGATTTTAAAAGATGGTCGCGGTACTTTGAAAAAATTATGCGACGAAGCCCTTCAATGCCGCCCCTGCATAACTTCTTCGGCGCCCCGAAGCAAGCAGTAGCAATCGTTTGACCAAGGATTTGTTTGTTTTGCAATTAGCCTAGGACGGCGAAAAGATAATATCGGGAAAAAATCAGTTCAATGGTAAAAAAAAATAGCTCACGTTGATTGAAAGCAAGAAAATAATTTTGCTTATCTTTCTTTCTAGAATAAAAGCTGCTATCACATTTTTCAAAGAATCGGATGGTTATTTATAAATTTCTAAACATTTTCAAGGAAAAGTTTTATTTAATTTGTATTATTATTATTTTTTTTACGTCACCTCCTAAATTTAGACCTAAAAATTCAAATTAAAAAAAAAATCACCGATGAAAGATTTATTTATGCATTTTTTCCTTCTCTTTCTATTTATAAATTTCTGACTCGTGTTTTATCAGCAACTAACTTTCAATTTATTAATTTCCTCCCTGTTCATTTCTGGTTAATAATTGTTGTTTTCGATTAGCCCCGTCGGCGTGTTGGCGCCTTGTAAGTACAAGGGAGCAGACAGATAAGCAAGGGAATCAATTAAAAGCAGATCAGCTTTTGTCCTGCTGATAAGAGATGAATGTGGGTCTCAAGATGCTGACAGAATTGCTGTGTCCCCCGTGTTGTGTGCACAGGCGGTTTTTTCAGCTCTCTTGTGACGTAATTATCTATACATGTGTATTTGCTTTTTCGGATGACGTCAACAAAATCATGCATGATTCAGTTTGCCACACATTGCCAACTCTTTGTTAACACCTGCAAACAAGATGAATTACCAAAAAGTTCCAAAAAAAGATATAAAAAAATTGATTACTTTTTAAACCATTTTTAATTATTAGATAGGTCAGGGAAATAAGTGCTATTCAAATAGTACAATACAAAATAATAAATAATATTAAAACAGAATACTAGTTCCACTAAAAGTCGTTTTAAAATTATAAATTTTAATTTTGGGAAATTTTCGCCCTTAATTAAAATTGTTTATTATCACAACAGGAATTTTTCTAACTTTTTTACACTGGCTTTGTCTCAAATATCTCGTTGTCTCGGAACGTAATTCCACGTCAAGGCGATTAGTCGCAGTACTAATTTAATTAATTATATCCGTTTTAAAATTGAAGAAATTGAAATTCATTTTTTTTCCTTAGAAATGTTGGATTTTGCAAACACATTTTTCCATATTTGAGCTCGTTTTGCCTGTTATCTTGGAAAGAAGTTGTGAATGCATGCATGAAATTGTTTTACAGTTTATCAATGTCTCATTATCACTCTATCAACACAAGCCTTGTTTGTGGTCTGGATTCTTCCTCAACGCCCGCTTGAGCAGAAAACACGCCTCTGTCCCACATTTGCAAATGAATTATTATATTCAAATGAAATGCAAATTTATGCACAGCTTAATTGTTTCTAATGAATGGTTTGCATACAAACTTTGAATCGGCTAATGAAAGATCATATTTCATAAAGTGGAATTTAGGAATAAAAAATTGAGTGAAAAAACAATGAAAAAATATGCAAACCCAAGGTTGACAGTCAAAATAGAATGATAAAAAAGTGGGCGTTTGTGCGATTACAAACAGGGAAACCCAATTATTCTTATAAACTTCCTAGAAAATTTTACTTTAGTTTCAATTGATTGTGAAATTTTCATAATTTCCAATTCCAGGCGTCCACAATCGATGGCCGAAGAAAAGGCGCGTGTCTCTTTTGCCAGGAGTACTTCATGGACCTGTACTTGTTGGCCGAGTTGAAAACCATCAGGCTCAAGGTGACGACGGTGGACATGCAGAAGCCGCCGCCAGACTTCAGGTAAAATTTCTTCACCGTCCCTCAAATCGTGAAGGTCGAATTCGGCCCGGCTGTTTGCTCGGCACTCGAAACTCACTCTGCCGCCACGCCTGTGCCTCCTCATTGTCTTGGAAAGGCGGCGGGCGCACCCTGTTGCACGCGCACAATTGCTGCTTAATATACTCGTTTTGGCAATTTGAATAGTACCGTTCTCCTAATGCCTCTCTTTGCTTTGCTTTTCGCAGAACGAACCAACTAACTTCTTCTGCCGAAAATTGCAAAACAGAAACACAATTTTGAAGAAAATTTTTAAAAATTGCATAAAATGGACCTATTCATTTTTTAAGGAAAATATCTTTGTGCATCATAATCTAGTTTTCCAGAGACAATAAAAAAATGAGATGACAACTGAATTTTTAAAATTCAACAAAATGGAAATTTTGCAATTCTTATCTCCAAAATAATCCAACTGAAATTGATTCAAATTTTACTAATATCCAATTTTTTATATACAAAATCAAATCATTATGATATGAAAATTAAAAATCAAACATTGCAAGTTTTTCAACTTTCTCCTTCCTTCTGTAATTAATTAATTCTCCAAATCGCAATTTTTCTTCTTCTCAGGACAAACTTTGAGGCCACTCCTCCGCCCATTTTGGTCGACAATGGACTGGCCGTTTTGGAGAATGAGAAAATCGAACGGCACATCATGAAGAACGTGCCTGGCGGACACAACCTGTTCGTCCAGGACAAGGAAGTCGCCACTCTCATCGAAAATTTGTACAGTGTACGCCCAAAGCCCAAATTAAATTTCTCCCCACTTATTTTATTGTCTTTAATTTCCAGAAATTGAAACTGATGTTATTGAAGAAGGATGACACCAAGGTCAGCGCCCTGATGTCTCACCTGCGCAAGATTGACGAGCATCTTGCTCGCAAGGGCACCCGATTCCTCACAGGTGACACCATGTGCTGCTTCGATTGCGAGCTCATGCCCAGACTCCAGCACATCAGAGTTGCAGGTTATTTATCAATCTCTGATCATTTTTTTAACTAACTTGGAGCTGGATTGGTGACCCTTTTATATTGTAATTTTTTTGTTTTAACTATAATATCTTCACCTTATTTTTGTCCAAGGGGGAAAACTTAATATATTTGTATTATCAAATTTTTTAATCATGATCAATTCAATTCCTAAAATAACTAAATAAAAAATTAATTTTGTTCTTTCTTTCAGGAAAGTACTTTATGGACTTTGAAATCCCGATCGAGTTCAACAGTCTGTGGCGCTACATGTATCACATGTACCAGCTGGACGCTTTCACCCAGAGCTGCCCGGCCGACCAAGACATCATCAACCACTACAAATTGCAACAGGTTTTAACCTTTCTTTTCTTGATCCTCACTTCTTTAATTTAAGTTCAACTCTTTTTGCCTAAAACCAAGTTTTGCATCTTCATTGATCAAAACTGGAAGGTGAGGACACTGTGATTTCCTTCATCTGATCACTGTTTGTCTTCCAAACTCATCTGACTTTTTCTTTTTGGTTGAGCTGTGTTTGACTGTAATTCCGATTTCAGAACGTCAAGATGAAGAAGCACGAGGAGTTGGAGACGCCGACCTTCACGACCTCCATACCGGTCAATGTGGACATCAACTAACACCCCAGCAGTTCTTCTTCTTCTGTCCTGAGCATTTCATTTCCTCAATGAAAATGCATTACAATGACCTAGTTGATCATGTTCAAAGCACGCTTGTGTCCACCAATAGATGTCTGAGCTGCCTATTGGAAAATATTCCAACTATTCGACAATATATTTTTAACTTTTAAGGAGAATTCCTTTCAAGCAATTATTATTTAGGTGCGTTTTTTTAGCTCTGATATCTATTTGTAGTCGAGTGCGTGAGTCTTTTTCATTCTTAAAAGAAGTAACCATGATATAAGTTTGATAACAGAAAGAAGCACGGAAGTTGCTTTTTTAAGTAACCATTACTTTTTAAGCATTAAACCTGCATTATTGTTTGATTTGAGCTCCGAGAGGTCCTTGGATTTGTATTTTTTAGATTATTATTATTTGTGTTCAAGTCGTACTTTTTCTTTACTGGGTACGATGAACTTCGGATCTAAACACTGCAGTGAAAGTGACTGCCCTCTCTCTTGTGTTTCAGTAGGGATAGTCAGGAATACTTGTGCAGAACAAGGGATTATCATCACCTTTATTAATTAATCAATTGAGAATTTATATAATATGTAGTTGCCATCTCTTGTGAGAAAATGTGATTTTTGGCAAGCTTTTGATACAAAGAGTTTCTTACTGGCCAAAAACTGGTTGCCTCGGCCTACTCGTCCTAGGACGAGTGCTTCGATTAACTAATATAAATAACCCCAATGCCATAATTAAAATCCTTTCTGGTTCTGTGATGATCCCGTGTTTTCTCGTTGCATTCCCATGTAAATGTATATTCATTCACGCTAATTCTGCTCTGAACAAGTGCCTCGAAGTCACTTTATGTAACTTTCTCAGTAAGTTAAGGTTGATCGCAAGTCTTCTTCACATTCGAATAACAATAAAATGATAAGGTTAATTACTACCAAATTGATTTCGCTATCTGTCCAGCTACGCGAGCTATATTCTTTGTAGAATTGAACTTGAGTAGCTGGACGCACAGCGTTTTGCATTTTATTTCTATCTAGGATATCCATCGACATTGCCAGCATTGTGGCTCAGGAAGGCCAGATGACCTTTGGGACACTTGTTTGCGTAATGCCCTTTGCAGCCACACTGGAAGAAATAAGAAGTTCAATAAAAATTTATACGCAAGTTGGCATTAAAACAAACGAAACAAACCTTGAAGCAAGTCACTTCGTCCAGCGGTTTCAAAATTTTGGGGCCGTCCCTCCTCGGCCTGTCTTCGCCACCATGTCTATCAGAATACCGATGATGATGATGGTGACTCTGCAAGATTTTTAACAATTTATAACAGTAATTCTCTAAAAAAAACACTACTTTTTCTCTAAAGCCCATGTTCTGCTGCGTCTGGTGCGTTTCGATCTGCTGGTGGTGCTCCTGGTGGGAGCCCCTCGATATGATTCCTCGCTGGCCCTCTTGCTCACTGTTAGCTTTGGAGCAGAACATAGCCTTGTGGCCCTGCTCGCCGCAGAAGTGGCATGTAATGGTGCTCTTGGGCTTCATGGGTACATCTTTGTTGACCACGCTGTCTGGAGCAGCCGGGAGCTCAAACCGAGGACTGACAGGATTATTTTAAAGACGTTTCTAAGTTCAAAACTTTATACGTACTGCATTTGTTTGCATTTGGATCCGTCGGGACAAAAGCCAGCAAGGTAGTTCATGCAGAGGACACGGCGAACATGCCTGTGTCTGCAGTTGGGACCATGTCTGCAGAAGCCACGGTCGTACCACGGGCAGTCCTTCATTTTGCTTTCAGGGTCGATGTGCAGAAAAGGGCATTCCTTGTTGTGGCATGCGTCTATAAAATAGTTTCATTTTGAGATAGTTCTTTTAATAAATTCTAAAAATTACTGAATCTAGAGTAGAAGTAGCACTCTGGCATCTTAGTCATGTCAAACTCGTGGAGGAACTCGCACTGGTCGCCCTTTTTGCAGAGGCCACGCAGCCAGTGCTTGCAGACGACGCTTCGGTCGCTCCTCACATGTCGAAAGGGGCACGCCGCTCCTCGGCTGCAGCTGCCCTTTGGGTAGAATTCGCAGACTGCACTCGTAGATTCTAGGTAAAAATTAGATTTGAAAAATCGTTCGTGGAGATAAATAATTAAAATCATACTGTCCATTCCTGTGAAGGGCAGAGGCAAGGCTCCGAATTGCTGCTCCAGAGCGACTTCTATGTCGAATCTAATGCCTGAAACGTTCGCCACGACGAGCTCCATGTTCTTATTCTCAAGACAACTGCAAGATCAATGAAAAATGCAATTTTACAAATTGGCTTGTAAATTATCAAACCTTTATGTATGTATCTCTAGCATAAACCACACTGGCGTGTGGCGGTCAAAGTAAAAACAATCTCAAATTGAGATTTAAACGCACCGAGGGGCGCGCGAGTTTTTAGCAGAAACCTTTGTTAAAATTAATATTCAGGATCAGCTCGGTTTAATTACACCAACACGCAGTAAAATTAATTTTCCTGCTCCGTCCCTCGTCTATATGTAACCACACAAAATTAAAACCAAAACATTCTGTCTCAAACACAAATTTGTTCGATGCATTTACCAACCAAACAAATATTCTAAAAATTGCGCTGCTAGCATTAAAAAATTTTTTGAAGTGATTTGTTTTCTTTTCTACTTCAAATATTATAAAAATATAAATTAGATCAAGTGCCAGTGATTCTAAATAATTTGCAGAAAAATTCAAAGTGTAAAGGGAAGATTAATTTATGTTGGAACCCCTGCTTGAGACTTTGAGCATCGAGCAGCATCGTAGGGCTGAAAAGTGAATTGAAATTTCAATTGTTATTTAAAATTCTAGTTGAAAATCTGAATTTTCAAATTACATTTCACTTATTGAACCATATTTTCTTAACTCTGAAACAGTCCACTTGTGCGGAAAAGTAAAAAAGGTACGCAGAGGTGTCAAAGGAAAAATTGTTTACAAAATCAATGAATGGAATTTTGTAAACAAAAGCAGCCTTTTACTTGCTTTTTGATAAATTGTCGTAAATAATTTCCCAGGCACCGCAGATGAGGACATGAAGATGGAATCGTGCAGTTGCACCCAGTTCAGGAAGCACACAAAGTGGAGAGCCGGCTGCTTTCAATGAACAGTACGCTCGCCTGAGTATGTCTGCAATACATAATTTTTTTCGCAATCAAAGATTTTCATTGGAATTTTCTTATTTATTCGCAGTTTGCAATGCCGTCGGGATACTTGGGCGATGGCTACGAAGGGGGCAGCGTATTCGACGCGTCCGACGTGACCCCGCTGCACCCCGAGGCGGCAGCGCACTTTTCGCCGCGGGCCAGGAAAAGCAGAGCTGCCCACCACCAGTGGCACCATGTCTGCTGGTACAGACTGGTGCAGAGGTGCCGCTGCTTCACCATCAAACGTTTCCTCTGCATATTGCTGGTGCTCATCCTCATGTCCGTTACCTACAACATGATCATCTTTTGTTACGACAACTCTGTGCTGCCCAGGTTATTAACATTAAATTGTTTTTAAAGTGTTATATCATCTAGTTTTTACCAAAAATATTGTTGCTCAAAATTTAATCTTTATTTGGAAAAGGTAAAATATTATGACGAAATTTTTGTTCCTCTCAGTTTCTCTAAGAGACAGACACGCCTAGAGCCGCTGATCATGACATGCAGTGCCCTGACCGAGACAAAAAAGAGCTTCAACAAGCAGCTGGACCATCGGTCTGCAGCCAGACTGAGGATTGACCCCAAAGTGCTCCTTTTTGTTGAGACCATGTACTCACGTCTCGGCAAAGACATTGCCGAGCTGTTGGTCCACAATAGAATAAAGTTTGTCCTTGTGGAATTTGATAGAACTGGAGATTTCAAATTTTTATCATGCGCAGGTACAAGTTGGAAGTGGTTGGGAGGTCGTTGCCCGTGTTGACAAACCTGGACAAGGGCAAGTTTGGAGTGATTGTGTTCGAAAACCTGACGAAGTACCTTACGATGGACAAGTGGAATCGAGAGCTTTTGGACAAGTACTGCAGAGAGTACAGTGTTGGAATTGTGGGATTCAATCCGCCAAGTGAGGAGTCTCTGGTTGGATCGCAGTTGAAAGGATTTCCACTCTTTGTGCACACTAACATGCGATTGAAGGTAATTTCAATTTGATTTTCTTTTATATAATTAAATTTTTTTTACTTAAAATATTCTTTTTTTGTTTAATTTTAGGATGCAACATTGAACCCAGCGTCGAATGTCCTGCGCATGACGAGATCAGGCGAGACGGCGTGGGGCAAATTGCCAGGCGACGACTGGACGGTTTTTGCGCCAAACCACTCCACTTACGAGCCCTTGGAGTGGGCCTTGCCCAACCATGACCTTCCCTCGCATTTTGTAAATGAAAAGGGTGCGTCTAAGTTGCTGACGACTGCAGTCCAGGACCACGGGACTTTTGACGGAATCCAGAGGATTTTCTTTGGCTCGGGGTTGCAGTTCTGGCTGCACAGACTGCTGCTCTTAGATGCCCTATCCTACTTGAGTCAAGGTCAGCTGAGTCTGGGACTAAATAGGTACATTCTCATAGACGTGGACGACATTTTTGTTGGAGAAAAGGGAACCAGGGTGCAGAGGGAGGATGTGGAGGTAAATTTCTCAATTTTTATTTCTGAATGAGTTTCTTATTATTTGAAACTAGGCTCTGCTTGCCTCTCAAAGAAGAATGCAGGCCATGATTCCAGGGTTCAAATTCAATTTGGGATTTTCTGGAAAGTACTTCCATCATGGCACTGATGAGGAAAATGCAGGAGAAGACTTGTTGATGGGTAATTTTTTTGTAAAATAAAACTAAATAATTTTAAACGCTCAATTGCAGAAAACGTTGATGAGTTCTCTTGGTTCAGTCACATGTGGAATCACCAACAGCCACACTTATACGACAATCTCACCCACCTGGAAATTGACATGACCCTGAACAAGAATTTTGCAAAGGTAGGAAATTAAATAATTAAATGCAAATTGCAAAAATGATACTCAATTTATTGATTCTAGGAGCACAAAATTCCAACTGACTCGGGGTACTCGGTGGCGCCTCACCATGCAGGCGTCTACCCTGTGCATGAACCTCTTTACGAGGCTTGGAAGAAAATTTGGAACATCAAAGTTACTTCGACGGAAGAGTATCCGCATCTAAGGCCTGCTCGTTTAAGGAGGGGGTTCATTCACAGAGACATTATGGTGAAGATTTAATTATTTTTAAGAAATTTAAATGAATATAAATTTCTAGGTTCTGCCGAGACAAACATGTGGCCTGTTCACCCACACTATTCTCATTGAGAGGTACCCGGGTGGAAGAGAGAAATTGGAGGAAACAATTCAAGGAGGGGAACTTTTTCAAACAATCATTTACAACCCTGTAAGAAATTGTTGCTTTTCAAGTATCAAATTATAATTTTGCTTCAACAGATCAATATTTTTATGACGCACATGTCCAATTACGGAAACGATCGCTTGGGGTTGTTCACCTTTGAGTCTGTTGTGAAATTCATTCAGTGCTGGACTAATTTACGGTTGCTAAGTGCACCACCCATTGATCTAGGTGAAAAGTACTTTCAAATGTTTCCTGAAGAGGAAGATCCTATCTGGGGGGTGAGTTAAAACAAAATCTTGTTAACAAAAATAAAATAATATCCCATTCAAGAATCCTTGTGACGATGCCAGGCACCAGAAAATCTGGTCGAGGAACAAAACGTGTCAGCAGCTGCCTCGATTCCTGGTCATAGGGCCACAAAAAACTGGCACTACAGCGCTGTACACATTTCTGTCAATGCACCCAGAAATAAGCAGCAATTTTCCTAGCATGGATACTTTTGAGGAGATTCAGTTTTTTAACGGAAAAAACTACTATCGCGGCCTAGATTGGTTGGACTCGTGAAGAAAACAAGCCAATGTTTTTATTAAAAAGTGATTTGTTGCAGGTACATGAGTTTTTTCCCTGTGCCGACCAACTCGAGTGCCCAATTTTTATTTGAGAAGAGTGCAACATACTTTGACGGGGAACTGGTGCCGAGGAGGGCGCATGCCCTGTTGCCGGATGCAAAGCTGGTGACAATTCTCATCTCGCCTGCCAAGAGGGCCTACAGCTGGTACCAACACATGAGGGCCCACAAGGACCCTGTGGCCCTCAACTACTCATTCTACGAAGTCATCACGGCCTCAGAGACTTCACCAAAGCCACTCAGAGAACTCAGAAACAGGTATAATTATCTCCTGATGGCAAAATTCAGCTTGTATTTTAATGACCCCCATCAGGTGCCTCCTGCCTGGCAAATACTCGCAGCACTTGGAGCGGTGGCTCTCCCTCTACACCCCACAGCAGCTGCACATCATCGACGGGGAGCAGCTTCGAGTCAACCCTGTTGAGGTTATGAACAATGTTCAGAAATTCCTGAAGGTCACTCCTCCGTTTGACTTTGCAAAGCACTTGAGGTAAAGGTTTAAATTGAGTTGTTCTTGGAAGTATTTTGATTATTTTTCTAACAGATATGACCCGAAGAAAGGTTTCTTTTGCCAAGTTGTCAACGAAGATCACACAAAGTGCCTGGGACGAAGTAAAGGTCGCCAATATGCTCAGATGGATGAGAGATCTTTGAAACTGCTTCAGGTAGGGCAATTTTATTTTATTTTGAAAATCTATAAAAAAAAAAATTTGCAGCGATATTATCTGTCACACAACACAGCCCTAGTGAAACTGCTGAAAAGACTGGGTTTTCAAAACATTCCTGAATGGTTGAAGGCAGATTTGAGTGACAACCTGGGCACTTGACAGCACGCCAAGGGCTACAGACGCGGCTCGTCGCTCTACAAGCGCCGCCGGCGCCAAAAACCCAAAAATAGACAGAGAACGAACTTTGTCGATGCACCCTGATATGTACTAGTCAGATCATCAAAATCCTTATTTGTAAGTCGATAACTTATTTGTAAGCTAAGAGCCCTGATGGGAAGGGTCTGAAAACTTTAATGTCCCTTTGGCTGCAAGAAATTGTGCCATAATTATCTTTTGTTTACAATTCGACAAAGCAATGTGGGCCTTTTACGTAGGGTAAGGTTTACAAGGGAATGATTTAATTTTTATATGTGACATGTGCTATGGTTTTTCTACTTAAAATGTATTTTATTTTAAAAACCTTCGCAAAATTTTATCCTCTGGCCCAGCTCTGGCCATAAGTGGAATAAATATTTAGTGTGGCCTTCTTTCGATCACATCTTTGAAGATCAAGCATTAATTTTTAAAATATCCCTGACGGCTTCTTGAATCTTTTTACAGGCACAGTTAATAATAAATCTGAGGAAAATAATCTGATGTGATGTTTAGACCTTGTTGGTGATGAAAATCCGTCAATTTTTTGCACAATTATGGCAAATTCATTATGTGCAAAATCCCTCCTGAACCAATGAGTAGTTTATGGCGAGGTAGGAATTGGCACGACTGGAGAGAGGAGATGGTTATTGACATATCAGTTAGGAACTAGAGTTTTCATTTCACAGTAGGCATCACCTGCACCTATTTGCTTCTCTCTCTCTATTTTGATAAACGCGCGCGGTCTTTATTTTTTACATACCAATCGGTGAAAGCCATCAAATCAAACTTGAACATTTCTCCCGTCATATATGTAGTTATATACATAAGTTTTAGTGGCACAAAATGTGATGTGAATTAACGCTATATACATATTAATGTACTGCTGTACCAGGTGAATTTATGCATTTCTTTATCGATTAATAGCCATATTAATATATTATTGTTTGATGATTTAATTTTAAGCTGCGACCACTTGCAAAATGCTTAATTCATAATAATCATCCACGTACAGTACTTGACTGGTCAAATCGAAAATTTTAAACATGTGTTATTCGTGTTCATTGTTATAAAACTGAGGCAGCTCTTAAATTTTGTAAATGTAATTTTTAAACTTGATTCAGTGCGTGTTGCTGTGTCTCAACGCAATATTGATTCCAAAATGTGTTTTTGTCAATATTTATCGATTTTTGTCCAACTTTTAAAAAGAATCATCCTATAAATGCAGTTTTTTTTTTAATAATCGTTGCTCTAAATTGTTTTGGCCACTGAATGTATACCTTTAAACGTGCTTATATTTGCTACGTTGTCTTTGTCAACTTGGTTTGGAATAACGGAAAGATATAAACAATGTAAATGTGTATAATTCCATGAGTATGTATTCCAGCTCGGAATAACTCACTCTTGACGAACACCGGTCTCATTTAAGGTACTACACACATACGCAACACACTGAAATTAACTATACATAAAAATGAAAATACGAACAAGAAATAATATTTAATAAATGTTGTACAAATGACAATAAAAAGCTTATTGATGTAAAAATATACAGCAAAAAAAAAAAAATGTAATTTAATTTTACACCCAAATTAAAAACAATTATAATCGGAGAATTTTCATTCGTACAATTTCGGTGGTGGTGTGTGTAATTTATGGCCCATTAAATTTGAGGGTGGGTGCCTCTGGGGGTGGCGTTTTTGGGTCGCGCGCTCAAGCACTGCGGCGAACGGGTGCGACCGAGGCGACATCTGGTGAAATTCCTCCGAGTGTCGAGTGGGATCGGTGGTGCTGCTGCCAGAAAGTTATCTTTCGTTTGTGGTGCTCGAATGTAATTTGCAGCGACGGACGAAAGAGAGAAGTGGTTGTTTGCCGTCGAGAGACGTATCACAGACGTTCGCCGCAACGTCCGCAGCCGGGAGCGGCCCCCGTCTCTCGATTTAGTTTCGCACCTCCCGCCCTGCGCTTCGTTCGTCCGAGCCTCCGGACACACGCACAAACGGCTTTTGCCATTCCTACCCTCGGGATTGAGCCTGGAAGGAAGGGTTGCTGAAGAAGAGTGACCGGGAGGAATCGTCAGGAGCATGGCGGGTGCATGGGGGCGCAGGGTGGTCGTCCTGTTCGCGGCCGAGTCGAGGGCTTTGCGGCCTCCGCGTCTAACCTGCAAGAAGGCGAGTGTCCAACTGACCTACCTGCCACGCCGGGTCACCTTGACCTACTCGCCTTAATCTTCAGTTTCGATGACTCTCCTTTCTTTTGACTCATCCATTTCAAAATCGATCCTATCTTTGCTATAGCGTTTAATTTTATTGATGAGTTCACTCATACAGGGTGTTCCAAAAAAAAAAAAAATTATCTATTAATTTTTATTATTTATTTCATAAATTTTTTCTATTTTTTATCAATCAAAATATTCAATCATTATAATGATAATATTTTAATTTAATTTCTATTAATCTCCTTTAAATTTTGCAGAACTTCTTGATGCAACCCCAAGTGCTGCGGTGTCTGAGCACCAGCCTGATTCGACCTTCGAGTGAATCCCCCATTGAGCCGAACCTGGTCAAAGCAACCCCTGCCCAACCTTCAGACGGAGGTGCGTTATTTTTTATAATTATTCTAAAAACAATTTTTAATTGAAGGCAATTAAAAGTGAGCAGCAGTTAATTGACGCAAGGAAAGCAAAGACTATTCTCTCAGGTTTTGATTGACTGCAGTGGGTTTTGCCATTCAAGTTGAGTGTGTTTGTCGAGGAGGGCGGCTCACCCTCTCTCCCTCTCTGCTCGCAGGCACATTGTTTGCAGCACCGCTTTTGATATTAAACATATTGTGGTGGTGCTGGCGCCACTACTCGCTTTCATCCTCTCACCAGTCTGGGCATTTTTTCCTAATTAGAGCTGCAAGTGTCAAACGGGCCTGTTGACTCCAGACCATCTTTGAACTCAACCGCAGTCTTTTGTTTCTCGTGTGAGCAGGAAGAGAGTTTTGCGGTCTTTATTAAAGGGGATATAATTAGGTAGGCCTCTGCTTTTAATTAGAAGGTTTTGAAAAGAAACTTTTCTATGGAATTAAAATAAAAAGGGATTTAACGATGGAAATTTTTATTTAATAATTTTATGATTCACTGCAAAAAGTAGTTTTTCTTTTTAAATAATTCATTAATTTTTTAAACATTATTTGTTTTATAAAGTTTTTTGACGAAGAAAAAAAATTACAAAATGCAAATAAATCCTTTCCTTCTTTAAATTACTTTAGATTTAAATTCTTCATTTTTTACAATTTAATTAAATTTAGATTGTCCATTTTATACATTTTTTTTTTAACAATTTGAAAGCTTCAGAGGATCTCATTGTCAAAGACGAGAATCTCAAGTCTGCTGTCGCAGCTGTTGCTCTTGACGAGGCGGCTCTTGGCGGCGGAAAGTTGGACGAGGCTCCTCTGTCTTGTCTGCAGAATCTCCTGCAGCACCCTTCTGGTGGGCGAGTGCTTCTGGTTGCTGGCCACGACGCGGCCGCCGAAGTAGGTCACGCTGCACCCCTGCGCCCTGATGCGCTCCATCGTCTGCCTGGACACGGCCTTGCTCTCCTCTTCGGACTCGCAGTCTTCGTCCGACGTGTCCGATTGGACACTCCTCTCGTCGCCGCCCACTATGATCTGTCGCGGCTGACGCGGCGGGACGGCCTTGAGCTCGAAGAAGGACAAGGCGCGGCGAACCGTGTCTGGACTGGGCAGCTCCGAGTCCAGCACCTCCCGGTTGCTCGGGTTCTGCGGACAGAAAAAGCGACCGTCGGTCTGTTCGGGCCTGCTGTCCTTGCGCAAGACCTTCACCACGCTCGGCCGCATGCTCTTGCTACCTGAAATTTAAAAACAGAAACATTCAATCCCGTTTTTCAGTTCTATCAAATCATTAAAATAATTTGAAATAAAATCTCATAATTTTTCATAATTACATTTATTAAATAAATCCATCTCAATAATTAATAATTTTTTCATTTTCCTATTTAAAACTGCCATTTAAGAGCAGTTTTTAGATTTTATTATTATTATTTATTCTAATCGGTCGATACAAAATAATTTGAAATTTTATCAAATTTGCTTAAGCAAAAAAGCAGTTTCTGCAAAACGTTTTTGCCTTATTTTGAATTTTAAATGATTTAATTTATAATCCACATAAAAATTAAGATCCAAATTTTACAGAAGCCTAATTTAAAGCCTTAATAATTGATTATTTTATCAAAATATTAATAAAATTACACCTTTTTGTTTTAATTTAAAATCTTGTAATTGAAATGCATTTTTTTTGCAAGAAATCTTGCATTTGATAAATTTTTTATATCGCTTACTTTCATATTAAAAAATATATATATAGAACTATGAAACCAAATTTTTTATTAGTGCAAAAAATCTATTTATTTTTTATCTGCTCTCGATACTTCAAGATTCACGAACTTACATTTTCCCCATTTGATTTAAACAATTTTAGATGAGAAAGGAGCATGCCAGATTCTTTTTTTCGTAAAAATTCAGGAGTAAAAGTGCACGGCGCAAAAAAGTGTGCTCTGAGTACGGATTAATTAGACGTGGAGCGACGTGAGCAAATGTGTTTTTTTTCCCAGCTTCCGGCGCTCGTGCGTCTCTCTTTGTGCCTTTTCGGTGCCCGTGACTCGAATAGGAACCACATTGTACAGGGGAGCTCTCACCTGCCAGCATCGGTGGTCCATTTGTCAGCGACCACGTCGTTTTCGCAACTGCGGCGTTCCAGCCTGCTGCCTCCGTCCCTCCGTTCGTCCATCCAAATCGTCCCCACCCATCGCAGATCACGCGTTTCTGCCACCATGGGAATATTTGTCAAAACTCGAAACGGTCTGAAAATTACAATTGAGCCATTATCTGAGTGTCAACTTATAGTATTTACAAGCTGGCAGCTCTGTTAGGAATTTCAGGTTTTAATTATTACAAAATTAATGATTGAAAATTGATTATTTATATTTTTCATTTTATCATAATATATTTATATCAAGTTGTTGGCAAAATTAATCTACGTTTCTAATGTTAAAAATTCAAGTTTAGTTTATTACTATTAATATTATTATTTTTTTTTAATTTTCAATCATAATCTGCTTTTAGAAGATTTTTTAATTCAATGGAAATATAAAACAATAAATGAAACTTATGAAATTTTTGCTACCTTTACAATTTTGAATAGAGACCAAACGCATAGGTGTATCATGAAGCAATCATTTTATCATTCATAATTTTTCGTCGGCTGGGTGGACTTGCGGGATTTGAACTTTTCAAACGCGTCTCTTGGGATCGCGTTGAGTGCGATTTTGGTGAATCTATCCTTGCAACCCTAGGATGTTTCAACCGCGCAGGGGCATCTCTAGGCAAATTCGCCTTAATGCAGGAGACGAATTTGTGCGAGCAGGAAAAGGGCTTAGGGAAACTCGGCCCTCTGTGGGCGGAAAGTGCGGTGCAAGCGAGTTGGCGGCTCTGGTCTGCTGAGAGAGAGTTTGCTCTAATTTTGGCAGGCCGCTAAAAGAAAACTATTTGACAAGCTACTTAACGTCCCTCTGACGCAACGAGTTGCTGCACCCCTCCAAAACTTTTCACGCCGCGTCAACTTTCATTTTTCCACTCCATCTTCAACAAAAAATTTTGTTTAAAAAAATCACTCTAAATTTTCTGACACCTTTGAAGAGCCGATTCGCTTCTGGGAATATTCATTGTGAAATTTGCATGGCTTTCAGGGATAACGATCCACTACTCGCAAGGCCTGCCTGTGGTGACGGTGCCTTTGCCCTCGAGGAAAGAGCGATGCCGCTTCACCCTGCGACCGATAAGTCACTCCGTCGGGGATTTTCAAGAGATGCTCAAGAAGGAAGACAAGGGCATCGATCGCGTCGCCTGCACCACATTAGGTGAGTTTTTTTTCGCCAGCAAAAAAGTGCAGACGTCGCTAATGACAGTCATTACATATCATTTTCCGTTCGACCTGCTTTGCTCGTGAAAGAGTAAATAGAAGAGATTTTTATAAATTCAAGTTCTTTTGGTTTCAGAGGGAGTTCGAATCGCCTCGTCAAATACCATCGAATCTCTGATGGAAAACGACTTTTGTCTGGTAATGAATGATGTGTCCTACACAGTCGTCACTCCGCACCAGGAAAGGTTGTCTCAGGTAAATTAAAAAAAATTTAAATATATATTTTTCTTAATCCTGAATATCAACAAAATTACACGATTGAAGTTGTAGTTGAAATCAGAATCTAACACCTCTTGCAAACCTCGAGGGTAGTTTTATCCTGATTTTTTAATCACATGCTCTGAGCTCTGAGTGAGGTTCAAATGATGAGGGTGCATTTTTTTCATTCAATTTTGTTGACTTCCACATTCAAGAATAAAAATTTCTGGTGTAAATCTAAAATCAAATATCAATATTAAAATAATTATATTTTTAGGAGGAAATAAAACAATTGTCCGATGTTCGGAATTTAGTGAACCAACTGTACGAGGCCCTCAACGTTGGCGAACACCAACTCTCAAAAGAACGGGAACTTTTCTCCCAGCTGGAGGTCCTAAAAGAACAGATCCAGCCCTTTGAAGCGGTCAGTTTCCCCCTCATGCTATTTTTCTTATTTATATATTTGCTTGTGCAGAAAAAAATTGAGCTCGCCCAGCTTGCCGAGAAGAGGACGACAACCCTGACTTGGGTTGGCCTCGGACTCATGTCTGTCCAGTTTGGCATCCTTGCACGCCTGACGTGGTGGGAGTACTCCTGGGACATCATGGAGCCGGTGACGTACTTCGTCACTTACGGAACCGCCATGGCTGCTTACGCTTACTTCGTACTAACTAAACAAGTCAGTATAATATATTATTCGGAAGAACCAAATCTCACAAACACCCATAAACATTAATTACTTGTCAAAAGAAATTAATTTCCTTCAATAGATGAATTAATTTTTTCATAAAAAACAATCAGTTTAAAATACCTTATTATAAAAATCTTAAATATCAAAAATATTGAAAAAAAAATCTTTGGCCAAAGGAACTGCATATTTTTACTATCAAAAACATAGCTGTGGATCTTTCCCAAATAATTGGCTATAATTGAATTTAAAAATTATTGTAATTGTCCCAAATTATAAAAAAGTTGAAGTACAATTTTGCTTGTCTCAGATAATTTCTAATCTGGGTAATGTTTTTTTCCAACAGGAGTATTTGCTTCCCGACGTGAAAGACAGGCAGTTCCTGATTTCTTTCCACAAGAAGGCCAAGAAGAATGGCTTTGATGTGCAGCGTTACAACGAACTTCGCGAAGGCATCGCCAGCGTTGAGCGCGACCTGCGGCGGTTGCGCGACCCCTTGCAAATCCACCTGCCCCCGTCACACCTCCAGGAGGCGTCCCCCGAACCACACATTTCGCCTCTTGCCCGCGCACAAGAACAAATCCGTAGCTTGCTCAAGAGAAAGTTTTGAAAAGCGTTCGATTTTTAGAGAAGAGGCTCCAGAGAAACCACTTTTTAATTTTGAGCATTTTTTTCATCCTTGTCTTCTGCAACAATAGACTTTGACTTTTTATTTTTAAGCATTTGTTTTTTGATAAATTAATGAAACTGCCATGAAACAAGGTTCAACTCATAAGTTTGCCAAAAAATGTCATTTTTATCTCAACTAGTCTGAATGGAAGACTTTTTCTTCTCGAAGCTGAGCCTCTTGCCTCTTTGTTACATTTGCACACAAATACTTAAACGGGCGCGGTTAACTTATTTTATATTCTCGATGAGAAAATTTTTCGTCCTTAAGCACAAATAATTTGATACTATTGGTTTTATGTACTTGCGGTGTGCACAAAAGGCACTCTCATCTTTGCGACTGTCTGTCATCCACTTTCATTGTTTTTTCCGGTGCTGATGAATTCTGACCTAAGCTTTACTTACGTCCTACCTGTGAATATACATACTGTTAAGATACATATATATGCTGGTGAGAATTTTTAATGAGCTTTTCATATTTTAAATTTCATGGTGCTGACGTGAGATATGAAGTTGTTGTTGAACGAAGTGTGTATATGCAGTTTTAATATATTATATATATTTAATTGAGATGATTGTGATACACTTTCATCACAAAAGTAGCTTGATTGTTTATTGCTGAGGATTTTATTCAACTTGTGATATATATGGAAATTTCTTAAAAAGCACACTAATCGCCAATAATTAGAAAATCTTTCAACTCTCACCTATAAAATTTTTAAATCGATACAAGCGTGGCAAGTTGATTAAAATCCATCTAAAGTATGTTGATTAAAAAAATCTTGTCACTTTAAAATAATTAATTAGCTTCAAGTGCATCACATCCCTCTGTTCATTTCCAGCTTGCTCAGAATCAAATTCAACAAGCTGCTTAATGATTCCTTTGCGCACATGCACATAGTCTTTCAATAAAATGCTTGAAAAATTATATTTCCAACAAGTTTTGAGAGTAGTGAACAACTGATAAGAATAAACACACCAATAGCAAAGAGAGCAAAGTGAATTAATTAAAAAAATTTAATACTAACCAAAATAATAACCACAATATGTAAAAGTTTGCAACTTGATATCCCTTGCTGAAATTCAGCGCACAGAGTAATTCGCTTGCACAAAATTACTAGCAGAAGCACAGCTTGGTACCACACAAAGCTCCCTTTCGCTCCTTAAGGCTTTAATGAAAAATCCCATACTTTCTGCTGTAAGATCAAAATTAACCTGTGTATAAATTTATACTATTCCATGCATTACGCTCTTATAATCTTACATAATACACGCCACATTTCCATTGGCGCTTGTCTTTTCTCAAACCCTAAGTTGGTAGCTGAACACGACCCTGAACAAATCAAAATCTAATTAATACGTGAAACTAACATGTAATAATATGGTTGTTACGCGGATAACATTACCTAAAACGCAAAACTTAACATAATTATATCAACATTTTCAACAAAATAAACTAATAGAGCAAATTTGGAGTGATGAACTCAGAGTTACCTTTCGAATTGTGATAATTTTACTATGAAATACATACAACTATGAAAAGATACACGTTATTGTAAATGATGTTTTCATAGGTGAAGAATGAGTTGGATTTTTAATCAGGAAAGTTGTATTAAAAGTGATATATCAAACAACATGGAATTTTCTTCAAAATGGCTTGTCATTAATCTATTATTTAATTCTAGTTTTCATTTATTAGTTACGGCATAATATTGGCGACATTCTCTGCCAAGGGCATTTATTTTACATTAAAAAACCCAGAGAGAGACTGAGCGGAAGCTTGATCAGTGTCACGTCCGATGCCGTCGACGCAAACTGCGGCGAGCGAAATTTTCGCTGCTGCCCGATCGTTCACCCACTATGGTTCGGCTTTGCCACTTGAGACTTTTCTTACTCTTTTCCTTGAACGTACGTATAGTTTACACCATTCCATTGCTAAGCATAATAAATCTTAATTTGCTTTTATTTATAGGGCGTAGCGCTGGGCCACGGTGGGCACGGTGGTTATAAAGGAAAAGGAGCGAAATTAGAGAGCAAAAAGCCATGCAACAACCATAAGATCAATGTTGATGTTTTGGAGTCGGACAATGACTTCGACTTCCTGAACCAATTGCTGCCCGTTTTCAACTTTGGATTCGGCAAGGGGGCTTTCAATAAGGGCAGGAGGGGCGGCTGCAGCTGCCAACTGACGACGCCCAGTCCTCGCGAGGTCTGTCCCAACAACGTCACCATGAACGTGACCAACGGCCAACACGGCTGGTGGCGCGGCATGGAGATGCGGCGCTACCGCCCTAACAAGAAGAGCATCAGTCTGAAGGAGGGGTGCCCGGTAAGGGTGCCCTTACCACCGTGTCCGGAGAAGCTCAAGGACAGACGGACGAGGAGGTCTCCGCACCATGGCGGCGGCTTCAGAAAGGGCAACTACTTTAGGAGGGGCAACAATGACGGCAGCAGCAGTGAGGAGGATGACAAACGCTCCGCAGCCTCCAGGGGTAAAATGTACAAAGGACCCAATTCAAATCAGAGGAGGTGCATCGACCAGAAGTCCAAGGAGACCAAGGTATACTACATACAGGACGTTTCCACCGTGTTCATGACGGCGACGGTCACTTCAAACGTGTACGTCACCAACAGCAGAGATATTGAAGAGAGAGATGAGGAGGAGGAAGGATCTTCAGTTCAGTTTTCAATAAACACGTCACCCGTCGAAAGTAGTACTGGTGTAGTTTCAGGAATTTTGCCTACTGGAAGTACTCAGTACACTTTCACCGAGACTTCAGGTGGCTTCAGTAACGGTCAGCAGGATGACTGGTCGTTTGGTAGAAAAAGGTGGACTTCTATGGACTCAGGTACTTATTCCAGTGAAGCCTGGTCCTCGACCAGCAAGGGTCAGGGTGAGCTTCCCTCATCTTCTGTTTTTAACCAAGTTTCCAGAGATTCATCGGGAACTAGGGGATCAGATTCAAAATCGTCATCCTCCAGCTCAAAAACAAACGGCAACCAAGGTTCTAACGAAGCCTGGTCTTCTACCAGGGGTCTGGATGAGCTTTCCACTTCTTCTTCTTCTGTCAACCAAAATGGCAGAGAAACTTCAAGAAGCAGAGAATCAGATGCAGTTTTAAGCTCAAAAACTACCTATCAGGTTTCTAGTAGTTGGTCTTCCACCTATTTAGTTGGAGGCGCTCAGGATTCTGCCACAAGAGCCCCCTTCAGCACTGCCATCAGTTCTGCTTTTTCTTCTTCAACCAGGAAGGAGAGTGATTACTCAACTCAGATTCAGCAATCAAGCCAATCTAGAGGAAACAATAACGATCGGGAAAATTACGGGAGGATTCCTGGAGGTGAATCACAAACTGTGGAAGAAACTGAAGAAACTATGCCTACAACAACGAGTAGTTACGCAAGAAGGGGTACAACTCGAATAACAGTGACATCGTCAACGACAAACATAGAGTCTTCTTTCTCTCAAGCCAGTTCAACCAAAAGCTCGTCAGCAGATAGGACTGACACCTCAAGAGTTGTAACTTCATCAACCCAACCTTCTTCTTCCTCTTCATCCATATCTTCAAGTGATTCCCTATCACCAACCATATCTTCAATTTCTTCTCCGTCATCTCCAACTACGTCATCAACTGCTTTCACATCGGCTGCAACCACATCTTCAATTGCTTCCACATCACCTCCAGTCACATTTTCAGTTGCTTCCTCATCATCTCCAACCACATATTCATTTGTTTCCAAATCATCTCCAATTGATACCACATCGGCTTCAACATCAACAATTACAACTCAGAGCTCTAAACGTGCAACAAATAGAGAAACAGATACAACACAGACTAGCACAATAAGCTCTAGATCAAGTTATTTCGGACTGATGGACATTTTGGAGAAGGAAAAAATTTCAAGCACGTCAAAAACCAGTCCAAGCGCTCAAACGACAGCCAGTATCAGTGATGCGCCTTCGGAAATAACTTCTAGATCTAGGTGGGAAGTGCAGACGACCTCAGAAAAGAAAACGAGTAAAGAAACAATTGCTGTCACAGAAAGCCCAAAATTGAAAATTGAAACAACGCCAAAAATAAGTCCGATCGAGCTGGAAACGCGACCGGTGGTATTTTCCACCGAAAAAGCTACACGCGATTCCACGACCGCAGAAATAAAATCTGTAGCAAGGACGTTAACAACAACAAGGGCAACGGATAATGATAATAATGAATCGGTAAAAAGAGAGAGCACAGCATTAAAAGTTGAAACCTCAGCGCGCACCGAAAGCACTAGAGCAATTAGCGCGGCAGAAACTACTCAAAAATCCATTACGAGCGAGCCGGAAATAACGCGGGCGCCCAGAACCACACCAGTTCCCATTTCGCAATCAGAAGCCACTCGCAGATCTCGATGGGATTCGCAGGCGTCGACGCAGCAGGAGACAACAACAAGTTACAGTCGCGAGGACGCCGAGAAGAGGAAGTCGACAATGGAGCAATCTCGGGAGAAAAATGAAAACTCGTCGTCAAGTGGCTCTTCCAACAATAATCTGGAGGCGCTCGTCAACGGCGGGCGGAAAATCGAGCCGACGGAGAGCACTGGCCGAGATTCGAAAGAGAGCGAGAGAAAGGAAATTGCTCTCCAAGGCAACAACACGACTTTCGATAATAAACAGCAGACCGTAATTCAGAAAAGCGGTGCAAAAAATACGTCTACGGGTGATGATGTTGCTGACGCCGCCTCCGAGAACCGCAAGTACGTGTATTACTTACTATTCGGAAACAGCAACTGCATGTGTAATGAGAAAAACAACAAAACGGGCCTCAATCAGACTGAACCGGAGCAGACAGACGCGCAGGGCGTCAGCTGGAAGCAGCAGGGTTTTCCCGACGGCGACGGCGGACAGTTTTACATTGGTTACAAAGGGAAAAACGGCACTCAGGAGAGAGTCAGGGGTAGCATTGTAGAGGTCAAAGTCAGCCATGCCGACTTTAATTGCACTTCCATGTTTGCACCACTATTCGGAAATTAAATTAGCTTAAAATTATTATGAAAAATGATAAAATATATCTTTCAGTTCCAATCAGAAATAATGGTTTTATTGCATAATAAAAATCCATAATTTTTTTAATTTTAATTTTTACATTACTTAAATTTTTAACGTGCCATGTAAGAGATTTATTAGATAAATTTAACATTGATCTGAAAATAAGGGAAATCTAGTTTTTTTACATTTTGTAAATGAAGAATTTGGCACTCGAGGACTGCTCAAGGAGACGCTCACGGAAGTGAAGTAAAATTGGCTTTTGCCTCTTCGTAACATTTCAATTAAAACCAACTGTTTCTTTTTTTATGATTAGAAAATGTGACGAGGAAAAAATTTCGTTCAATTCCATACTTTTCTATTTTTACAATGTTTGTGTTAGGCTGGAGCTATGAGATAGCTGATGATTCAAGCGGTGACTGCTTTAAACTGTATCAAACTTTTGCACGATTGTTATTTTTTTATTTTTTTTTTTTTAATTGTTTATCCCTCTTGGGAAAGGCACCAGCGGTAGCAGACAGGCTGCTAAATCGCAAGGGCCGATAACTCGGATTCTCCCCTTTCGGTTTATTTGATCTAAAAGAAGATGACAAAAATAAAACGTGTTTTCTGTTGTTGTATCCCCAAATTAAAATTTTTGGACCCTCATTCCCCATTCTAGCGAAATTTTTCACGGCATGTATTTCGCAGTTTTAGGTTGTTTCACAATTGATTTGCATGATTTAAGTTTCAATTTCGCGCTCGGCAGATATAAGCTCAATCGTAATTTGGCACGGAGGGAGCAATTAAAAGAGTAGGTGCAAGATACTGTTCCAGCATTTGCAAAGAGCCACTTGTTGTCGCGGCAAACGTCATCAACGGAAGCAGCAGTGATAATTACGTGTACAAAATGTATGGGTGTGTGTTTTGAGCAAAGTGCCTGTTAATTGCCTTTGCACGCGAGATGTTCGCAGCCCCCCTGGGAAAGAGAGTTTTAGTGTGTGTGCTGAACGGCACTTTGGCAGCACACACTCTCTCAAAAGGTGTGTGAGCCTTTCTCGCGGCTCGGGTGGCGCCAAAGAGAGAAAGAGAGCCCCTCATTATTTCGCTCGGCACTTTTCTGCGAACAGAAACGGAAGAGCCGACGGAAATTTCTCTAGACGCAAGGCTTTTTATAATAAATTTAATTTCTCGCGAGTCAAAGGGAAATAAAATAAAGCTGCTCTTGAGTGGAAAATTCGCTAAAAACTTGCCAACAGGACCTCGGAGGGAAATAAATCATCCTTTTCAACTGTGCCTCTCTGCGGAAACCTGCAAATTTTAGGGTCTAATATATTTCTTTCAATTGAAATACCATAATTTAGATCTGTTATTTTTTTTTAGGAAATCATTAATTTACAAAGATTGACAGATTTATTAGTACAATAATTATCCTGCAAAAAATTTGCTGTCTCTTGGAAAAAATTTGAAACTCTGTTAATTATTGTAAATAAAAAATATTGAAACGAAAATTTTGACAATTCCTGAGAGAGCTCCAATCGATTTTTTATTTTCACCATAACATAATATTTTAAGTGACGAGGCTGAACATTTTAGTGAGCGAGCTTCCTGACTACTCCCCATCAAGCCTCTTCTTTCCTTCTCCATTAATAATTCAATTTCGCGCGTCGCAGGCAGTAAGCATCGAGGAAAAACTGCACCACTTTTTTAAAATTATAATTAAAAAGCACTGCAACGTGTGCACACGCAATTAAGCAAAGTACTCGTTTGTAAAGAGGAGGAAACAAAATTAATATAGCACCGCAAATTTATGCGGAAACGCAAATCAAGCGGAAAACCAATCGCCAATAATTTACTTGAAATTAAATTTGCCTCTGGAAGATGAAAGTTGGCCGGGGTCTCCCGTAATTAATTATGTCACTCAAATAATGCGAGGGAAGCAAAGAAACACAACAGAGGGTTGGCAGGGGCCGCGAGTGGCGGCGCTGCGGCGGCGCCGGCGCCCACTCGCCCGCTGCACCGCGACAGAGAAGAATGTCCAGCCCGTCGTCGACAGTCTGCCTTTAGAGCAGCGAGTGTGCTGATGGCCCCCGACGGGCAACAAGTTGGACGTGGATCGCCGCTGTCTGATAAAAGACCGGAGGCACCTGCATAACGAAGAGTGACAGGTACGTCAACCCCAACAAGTGGCGACACAAATTTCTTTCACTTTTTTCATTTGCTCTCTAAATGACCATTTGACCTGGCAGTTTTTTTTTTCGTTTAAATTCAAATAAATTTATTAATGGAAGAAATAAATTAATAAAAAATTAAAGACATAGTAGAATAAATTTGTTAAATCCAAATTAAAATTTAAAAGGATTTATCTTTGAAATGGGAGATTTTATCTTCAAATTTCTCATTAAATATTGAATTGTTCATTGATAGTTTCACACAATTTGTAAATTAAATTTTCCGTTGGGACTAAAAGGGTTAGTGGAACGCAACTTGCTTATCGAAGGAAAAGCAATCTCCTTTTTGCGTGCTGGTAAACGTCTAATAGGTTTAGAATGGAGTAAATAGATTAAAATCTCATTCCCTGCGGGTCGTGCACAAGCGTGGGAGGCTGCAGATAGCCAGCTGCAAAAAGTAGATTTGCTCTCCATCTTTGCCAAATCACGCGGAAAACGTGAGAGCTGCTGGTAGCAATCATATTATTCGCCCCGACGCCTGCGAGCATCGAGGTTATGCAACCGGCAGGACGCGTGAGACAGGCAGGATGCAAACTTTCTGAAAATTACAGAAAAATAAAAAAAATAAACTTATTTTGTATTAAAATTGGAAAAATGTGTTTGCGTTGGTTAAAAAATGAAATGGGAAATTAATTAATGAAATTGCTATTTCACTTTCGAGACCAATTTGATAGAGCTTGAATTTAATCAGCTTTTCATCAATGGGAGTTGATCACTGTTTCGTAGAAAAAGCAATCCTGCTCTACATGTTTTGGCTAAAAAAACCGACTCAAAACCCAGTGAGGAAAAGCCGATTCAAACATCATGGATCAACCTTCGGTCTTGAATTTCTTCTTAAAACAACAGTTAATAATTGAAATCCATTATTAGAATAAAACATTTTAAATCGTAAAAAACTGATAAACCTGTATAGAATCATGAAAATTCTGAATTTTTGAATTTTTTATTAAAAAATTTGGTCCCTCTTTTAATTAAATACATTTTCCCATCTTGTATATTCATCGTTCTTTTTCTCCTCCGCGCCAAAATTACTTAATCAAGATAATCTTAATTTGCAAGCCTAATCCAGCCAAAGATAAGCGATGTATAAAAATTAGGGAGAGTAGTGTATGCAAATGAGAGCCGAACTTCAAAGTGAGCGCCTCCTTGGGGAATCTGCGGCGAGAAACAATTTTTTGCCTCGCGCGTTTTCAAAGGATTCGAGAGGGTGTGTGTTGTGTCTTCAAAGTTTCTAGGAGCGAGAAACAAGGAGCGTAAAACGGGTGCTAATTGAATTCAAGTCTCGCGGGTTGCACATTCCTGCGTGCTCGCTCGCTTGGAATCGTTTGCGGTTTGAATCATTTGCCGAGCGAGGTGCTTGTCAATTTCCGACTAAATAGAAGCCGCCGAGCGAGCAAAGCAGCCGGTGCAACACGAGAGAGCAACACACAATGCGCCTCTCAAGAGAGAGTTTCCATTCCACGGATTTTTAACGCACAGCTCGCGGCGGCAGCTTCCACTTCAACTGTGACGCAAACATTTTCCAATTCCCTCCGTAAAGGCTTTTGGAAGGAGCGAATTCCGAACAGCGTACTTAAGTGGTGGAACGCTCGAAAATTATCGGAATGCTCATATTCTGGCTGCTCTGTGACTTAAATTAAGACCAAAATTGATCAACGGATTTCATTTCATGGTAATATCCAAATTCAACAATCTCTTTTCTAAATGACAATGCAGAGCTTGGAAGGCTTAAAAATCAATTTCCAGAACACAATAATTGCATCCTACATATTTCTATTAAAGATTGATTAAATTTAGTTTTTTGATAAATTTTAAGAACTCAAATATTTTAATCTCTATTTTCACATCCATATTTTGCATTTAAATTAAATCAATTTAACTAGTTGAAATGTTTTCTTTGGCGTGGAATCTTCAAATTATGTGTTTTCAATGATTAAATTGATAACTTTAAACATCTTCAGACATTTCAAAATTGGCATATAGCATAAAAGAGATTTTTTTTTAAATTATTAACTTCAATTTAATATTTTTAAATACCCAGTTCTTGTGACTTTATATATTATAGAAGTTCCAGTTTAAGGTTTAAAGCATCATTGTTTTAGTCTTTTTAGTTTTACACCTCAACAAAGAGAAAAACTTGTTGATACAAATGGGAAATTTTGCAAAACAATTTATTTCCAACTGAAGCTTACGGTCTTTTTAGTTGTCTGGCTGGACCAATATGAGGAAAAACCGACGGTAAAAAAGCAATTCAAAAAAAGAGGGATTTGTGTCTTAATGCAGAGCTAACGCAGTCTCTCGCCCGTAAAAATCTCTCACACTGTCAGGGGATGAAATAATGCGCAGACATGTGCGCTTAAAAATTTACGGGCTGCCATCAAATAAATTGGGGGAAAAACACACGCGCGCGCCAAGCTGGCAGCCACTGCGTCAAAGCTCCTTCTTGCCGCACAAAATATATCAGGCCCGCAATTAAAATGTGAAAAATTTGCCGTTTGAAAGTCAACAAACATTCGTGGCTTTTTGTTTCCAATGCAAAATGTTTTGATCAAACTTGTAAAAATAGGGAAATATTGACACTAGCTGCCAAAAAACACAAAGGGAAAGTGAATGAAAACGAAATAAATTCTCATCAAAGAGCGGAGCTTTTGCAAACTCTTTGATATGCGGGGATATCAACAAAGTGAACGTCGCCGACTGGAAAATTGAAACTTGCAGAGAAACAATCGTTCTCCTCTCCGCCAACGCTAATTAATTGTCAAGCACATGCAGCTCCGCATGACAATGTACCTCGGCGTATCAGTCTCTCGCTCTGTTATCATCTCTAGCTGTGTTCATCGCCGACGCGTGCAAATATTCATTCGTTACGCTCCCAGAGTTTCATATGTACCAAGAGTGTAGTTTGACACAATTCAAACTTCTCTAATGGAACTTCAAAGCTCTTTTGTCTTTGAAAGTTAAATAAAAGATCTATATCATAATTTATATAATATAGTTGTTGCAGAGTGAGAGGAATAATTCAATATAAGGCAATGTATAAGTGGAAAGTTTTAAAAATTATAAATAATTATAAAATCAACTAAATTTTATGTTGAATTCAGCTAATTTAATTTTTTTCACGAAAAATAAACTTAAATACACAACAGGCTGAATAATAATATAAATTTTATTGAAATTTTTGTTTTTTATTTACGGTGTCGGCTATTTATACTTTTCAGTTTTAAATTAAAAATCTAGCTTAATTTTAAATACAAGAACGGAAAGTGCATTAAATATCGACTATATTTTGACTTCTTATGTCAGCGCTGCGTACAATTATAACGTGAAAATTGTTTCAAAAACCTCTAAATTTAGTAAAAGAAGTCTTAAGATCATAAAGGTCTAATTATTTTTTACCTGTACTTTTTCAAAAATTAAAAATCAGGTTAAGTTATTAAAGTTGTTTGCATTTTCCCAAGCATAAAAAAAATAGCTAAACGAATCGAATAATTATATACATCGTTAAATTATTTAAGATTCCTGCGCATATTGTTCCAACATTTTTTTCCATAAAAAAAGTTTCATTAAAGCAACGATATTTCAAGCGCATTTCTGAATAGAAAAGGACAAAAATATCAAAGGAGGAAATTGTTTGAAAAATAAAGCAGAGAAGGAACAATAGCGAGTGACAACTTGAGAGGGTTTTTTTCTCAATTCTTTGCGTTTCTTCTTTGTTTTTTATTCTGTCGCTCGCTGAAAGAAAGGTTGGCCAAATGGAACTTTTGTTTTTCTTCTCTGCGGAACGCGGAAGAGTTTCACTTGAGACGACAGCGTTGGAGAAAAGCTGCACTCGCGCTTTGCATTTTATTTTTCGCTGGAATGTAATTATAGCTGAATGTTTTTGAATAAACTCGCTGCTGGGAATAGCGCGGCCTGAACAAACAAATCGTCCCGCTGCCTCGCGTTTATGGACTTGACACACACTGTTCGCTCGCGTCGTCTCATAAATATTTGAAAACAGCTGCTTAATCAAACGGTCGATTGCAAATTTGCATGTCGCGATTCATTCCGCACGTCGCATTCCGTGTTAATCTGCCAGATATTGTGTTTTTCTCTTCGACCTCGCCCTCGTTATTGCAAATGCAATAACAGTTGCTGGCGTTTTTCTTAAGAGCTTTTTATTTTACCGCTAGTAGGCTTTTTAATCTCCGCCAGACGCAGCACGTCACTGCTCGAGGAAAGATCGATTTAGATTTTGCACAACTTGATTTACAAAAAGATCAAAAGCTTATTTTATGAGGGTTTTGGTATTAAACTTTGCGAACTCTTGAAGCGCTAACAAACATAAATAATTCTGATCTATGTACAGGAAAATATCTACATAAAGGTTAAAGGTCAAGGAGTTCGTTAAAGTGAATCTACTCCTATTATTTAAACTTATTTTGATTGACTAAAAACGTTAATTTTTCTATTTTTGTGACATTAAAACAATCTTTTCATCTGTTCAGTTTTTAATGAAAAATGGTAAAAAGGTATAAAAAGTAAACAAATGTATTTATAGTTTCTGTATTCCGTATAAATTTTAATATTACCTTTCATTTAAAACAAAGATTAGAATATTTAATGCTTTTTATTATGGACAAAAATAATATTATAAAATAATTGCCTAATTAGTAAACCAGATTAAACACAAAACGATGACATTGAATAATAATAAAAATAATAATGAATTGAAATGCACGAAATGAGAATTTTCAATTAACGACTAAATCACAAATTAAATTTCTTGGCCAAGCTACTAATTATTAAAGGTTGCTCTTAGGGTCGATCCGAATGTTATGAAATTTTAAGCAGTTCTACTTTTGGAAGGCAAATAATGCGGTGTGCGATGCCGTGAAAGTTATCGTGCTTTACGACGTGTTTTGATCGTTTGTTTTTGACATCCACTTAAAAGTTCA